GATTAGTCCAGATCATACCGCTTTTTCGATTGAACTTTTCCGGACTTTGTCTGGCCCCTCCCTTGTCCACCACCGTCTTTTATGCACCCACCAAAAAAGAAAAAAAAAAAAAAAAAAAAAAAAAAAAAAAAAAAAAAAAAAAAAAAAACCCCACCAGAACGACTGATAGACCAAAGAAAACAACAAACGGAAAAAAAGAAAGTAAAAGGAAAAAAGTTCATGACGCTGGCCGGCTCAGAACCTCTCCCGATTCAAGTACCTACATCTCCCCAGACCGTCCAAGTGGCCGTGCAGCAGCTGTGAGGCGAGTGGGCAACGAGATTGCGGCCAAAAGGACCCGCCCGCCAACGCAGGGTGGGTGTGGATGCCATGCCATCCTATCCCATCATCATCATCATCATCATCACCACCATCACCACCACCATTATTGTGAGGCGGCCAGAGTGTCTAGTCTGTCTTACCCAAATCCCTCGGCTCAGGTTGGTTACAAACTCCACGCAGTCGGTCTCCGATGTGATGCGCTGGTCATTTGCCTGCGTGGTTTCGTCGATCCCAGAGTCAGCCGACTACTATTCAGCGTTGAACGGCCGATAAGTATAAGAAGCTCAACCCGATCACACAGTCACCTTTTCTCGAGAAATTTTCTCTTTCTCTTCGACCGGCAGGCTGCTCTTTTTGTCTCTGCATCCCAATCGGGATAACCCACAATTAGACCGCATTCCACCAGAATGGGCCCGATTCCCCAGTGCTTTTGATCGACAAGCGGGACGGTTTAGGCTTCCTGGTTCTAACGGTACCTGAAGCCAAGGCGTCGGGTGGTACGTCACATTACTACCATTACTATTCGCCTCCAGGAGTTCCCTTGTCAGTTGGGAAACAATCTCTCCGACAGATACGAGAAGGGACAAACGGCAAAGAGGGAGAAAAGCGAGTTGACTTCGTTTCTGTTCAATTCACCCCTCAACGCCTCGACTGCGACGCCTCCAATCCACGTGTGTGGGAAGGGAGTCCATGCGACCATCGCGGAGAGACATGCCGGCTTGCATTGTTCTCCCTTAATAGATGTAATAGATGATCGACTCCCCATCCGTGGCTGAAACCCTGCCCCAAGTCCGGCTGCATCCAAGCGCCTCCTGCCTCCTATTCTAGGCTTTCTAGCCTTTCCAGCGCATCTTCCACTGTTCATTCCGACCATTACTATTGTTTGATCGACAATCTCCGGCTGCCCCCTTCCGCAACCAGATACACCTCTGGTATCTTCCTCACCGTCTAAACATTCCCCTTTCTTGCTCTCATTCTTCATTCTCACTTGTGCACTTGGTTGCCCCCATATCTGTCCTCACGATTATCTCCCATATACTCACGACCTTTGCCACTTTCTTCCCAACCGTCACCGCAATTCTCCCCCACCATTTGCTCCCTACACTTTTACTTCCAACTCACTTTTGGCCATCAAACTCGGAATCTAGTGATCAATTCCGCTATGCACAAACCATCGCTGGCTCAAATCGTGCACAGCGCACTGTTCCCACGGCCGCGGGCAAGCGATCCGGCCACCTTCTCGGCTCATATCACCCGCAATCTAGTCCCTGAAGTCCGCGTCGAAACCTCCACCTTCTATGGACAGCTCGACTGCATCGAAGCTCAGTACCCGGGACTAGATTACTCATACGGTCCTCACCGCATGAGGCTCAGCCGCTTCCCCTGGCACCGCAGACTGTTCAGGGCATTTGATGAGTTGGGCCTCACGGAAGCGGAGATTTCGTCCCTTTGTCGCTGGGAGGGGACTAAATCCGCGCGCGAGCGGTATGAGATCGAAGAGGGGGTGAAGGTACGCGATACGACTGCCGACGTTATTCGACCTGCATCCCCCTCGCCACTACCATCCGTCGAGGTGCACTACGAGGATGGTCCCGAACTTCCGAAAGAATCGGACCGCCGGACAGAGACCCCATGCATAGAAGTCCGCACCCCGCGCGACCTCATTGACGATCGCGGCATCGACTGTATTCTCGAAGAGACAGTCGAGGAAGAATACAGTGAGGATGACATGGAAAGCTGCGGGGTGGAACTGAACCATCGTCTCCTGGCAGCAAGTGCCGCTCGTGAACAAGGGGCTAACGTGCCGTTGGACGAGGATTGGGAGCAGTGGCTCAAGGAAGCTGGAGAACGGGGAAGCTACACTGATGTGGTAAATGCCATTCGAATGGGTCAGCCCTTGGGGTATCTATACGACCCACCCGCCCAACCGAGTCGAGCAGGCACTCGATCGTCCTCCTCACTATCAGAACCCTTCATATTACCTTCTCCATCGACTTTGCTTCCTGCTCGACGAGCAGGGCCTTCACCGTCTCGGGCTGCACGTTAGATCTTCATATGTTGTTTTGTTTTCGTCGGATTAGCGAATGGGCTTGGCTTCTCTGATCAATGCATTTTCAGCGATCCGGTGGACTGGTGTCTTTGAAGCGTGGTTTTTCTCGGTGCTGGTCATAATAGATTTCCTTGGTTTTTCTTGGTGTGGAACTGGCCCCAGCGATCTGTAATACCCCGACCGACTGGTGCGATCAATATTGGCATAGATAGCAGCTCGTTGTTGAGAGTTAGATAATTACAATATAGTGAATTACACGAAGACTCTTTGATGGTCGAGTGTCAGTCGGGCGGAAAGGTTCTCCGCGCTGCGCCTGAACTTCCCCGCGACCACCGAACTTCTCCCTCTCCCACCTTTCTCCGTTTCCCCAGCTCTTTGGCAAAGATGCCATCCCACATCCATCCTTTACGGGCATTCGCTCATTGAGAGGCACCTCCCAAGCTGCGCAAGATGGGCTGGCATCCTACATAGCTTTTGCTAGATAGCTCTTCTCTCTTTACCTCATCCTACCACCCCTAATCTCTCCGCCTCCGGCTCCCATCATGATCAAAGCTATCTTCTATAGCAAGTTCGACACCCAAGAGGGTACGATATCCCGGGATCAAGATTCGCAGGCAACAGCTAAATTATTCTAGGTCCCAAGGTCGTTCACCAGGTCCCGGACGGTGCCATTGTTCCCTCCTCCACAGCGCCCTCGCAGCCCCCCTTTCTGACCTTCTCCGACATTTCCTTCTTCGTGATCCCTCGTCAAGAACTTTGCGGAAACTTGATCCAGGTCTGCACTAACGGCTATCGTATTCTGGGCTACCCGATCTGCATGAAGTCACTGCGATATGATCGTAACGAGTTCATCTTCAACTTCTGTGTCGTCTTGGCGGAAGAGGAGGACTTTAGCACATACAAGAGCGTTGTACAGAAACTCGCTGATTTGATGCATGGACTGGAGGAACAGAGCGGATTCCTGTCCAGAGACCATTCCAAATCCGGCGAGGGCAAGGTCTACAGCCTGTGTGAGACGTTGATGGAGGACTTGAACAACTATTGCGAGTGCATGATCCCAATCGGTAATTCTGCCCGGCGCAGCGCATCACACCGTCTGCCTCCCTCATACAGCCCAGATATACTGACAGAAACCCAGATGAGCTCAATACCCTCAACATCAAACTTTTTCCGATTTATCCTGCTCCGCCGCCAGTCAAAGCCTGGCAGGTCCCTCTGTTCACGGTCCGATATCAGACTTTCATGGACGAGAATTGGGATTTAACCATGCAACGCGTACGTCGTAAAACCTTGCCACCAGCATTTCAATGTCCAAGTGTCGCGCTAACATCATCCTTCCAGATTGTGCCCCACATCAATGGGGTTAACAGCGTACGGATCATCTCGATTCTGGCCGACACCGACTTCTCCCTGACGTGTCGAGCCATCCGGCACCTCCTTTACTATGGGTGTTTGTTTCTCCTTGATATCTTTTCCTTCTCTGCTATCTATGCGCCTACCGCGCAATTCAGCTCTACTATTGCTATGGACGAAGACATGCAACATGAATGTGCGCGTTACGTCAACACCTCTTTTGCCTCGCCCGTCACTGCTGCATCCGCGGCGCTCGCCGCGGGCTCTGGCCCCGATGCTGTCTGGCCGCCACTGGGTGATGTACTCACTACCAGCAGCGCCAGCGTGACCGGCCCTAGCCGGACCCCAAGCCCAACCCTCCTCTCCAACACCATAGTAGCCACCTCGTCTAGCGTCACCGCTACACCAAGTCCGGCCGCTCTAGCTGCAGCCGCCACCTCTGTCTCCTCCGAACCCAACCCGACCACCGCCTCAGCGCGCGGACCCTACGATAGCCGCCCCGTCGTCGACGGCGTCGGCCTGGTCTCACTCTACGCGAGCCTCAAGCAAGGCCAAAGTGTCAAACAATGGTACCTGCACCACAGCCGACAGCTAGCGCATATCGATATCCGTCGCTTCATCACCTTCGGCATCATCAAGGGCTTCCTCTACCGAGTCCACAAATACGCGATCGCCACGGGCCAGCCGGCCCCGCCCCTCAAGGCCTCCGCGCTCTCCCACAATTACCACTACCAACACCACAACCATCATCCAAGCACTCCGGCGGCCACACCCGTAGGCGGGGGCACCCTCCAGATCCCCATCTCCAGCGGACCCTCCTCGCGCGGGCCCGGCACGGGAACAAACTCCCCGTATGCGTCGAGCGCAGGTGACGAACCGGCGCCAATCGCCCGCCACCAGCAGCAGCAGCAGCATCATCATCAGGATGGGCGGGACCACTCGACCTCCGTGCACAGCGGAAGTCGTCCCGGGACGGTGGTGACGCTGGACAACGAGGACGAGGAGGATGAGGAAGACGAGATCGACGACAGGACGTTATCGAAGTATCTGGATGGCATGCATTGTTTCGATCAGATCTGCACCGAGCTGGAGATCAGCGAGCGCGAGCTGACGGCGCGGTTGAAGCGGTTCCCTGGCGAGGTGCTGATTATCCATCGGTGAACGGGGTTTTGTATTGTTGCTGGCTGGGCGGTGATTTTGATACCCTGCAGGTTTTTTTTTTTTTTTTTCGTCTTGGCTTAGATCCTTTTGCCAACACTCCATCAATGATAGACGTATCTTTTCTGCTTTTGGGGGGTGGTTCTAGATATGGTGAGGGTCGGAAACAGGAGTGGATGTATGTAGACTGTAACTTCTAGGTATTTTCCATGTATGCTCACTCACAGAGTCAACCAATCCCTTTCAAGAGTTACCCCCCGACACCGACACAGTAAGCAAATACGAGTTCGAGCAACGTGTGATTTGAATGACGTAGCTCTTAGTTGATTGTAAGTGGAATTGCAGCAGTCACCAATAGTCGTTTGTATGTAGCGTACTATGTACCCGTACATAGAGAGATAAGAGAAGCCAAACCGGCCAACCATTCATTTCATCCATCCATCCATCCATCCATCCATGACTTTGTAACGCCTAAATCCCGACGCCCGACACCCGACACCCCATGACCCCACTCTCCGCCCGAAAAGATCAAACCCATAAAAAAGTTTCATCAGCCGACAGGAAACAAAGACCCTTATGATGTGATGCGCTCAGCGCGGACAAAGAACGGGCAGTCCAAATCAAAAACACTCAAGACCCAAAATAAAGAAAAAAAAAGGGGGAAGAGAAGATGTACATTGAACAAGTACACACAGCACGGATACTGTAAGATGAAGGAGGAAATAAGGGCGATAAGTGTGAGGATCACTCCTGCTCCTCATCCCACCCCTCCAGCTCCGCCTTCTCCAGTTCCGCCATGGTCGCCGGCTCGAAGACCGTCTCGTTCTTCCCGGGGACGCTCGTCTTGCTCTCGCGGAAGACAGGGCCGATGCAGTCGCGCCAGCGCTTGCGGCGATCCATCAGGGTGCGCGCGACGTCGCCGATAGCGGGGCGGCCGACGCCCGACCCGCCCGACCCGCCGGCACCACCGACACCCCCGGCGCCGCCACCGGGACGGTGCTTGGCCTGGGAGCCCTTCTTGCTCTTGCCGAGGGTGCGGCTGCGCTTGAGGTAGGCCTGCTGGACCTGCGAGTCGAGGTCGTCGTGGATGGTCATGTACTCCTGATGGGCCATGCGCTCGCGCGCGATGTCGAAGAGGCGGGCCTTGCGCGCGCTGTTGATGATCATCTGCTTCTTGAGCTCGCTCTGCAGCAGGCGCAGCCGCTGCGCGATGTCGTCGTCGTAGTGCGCGTCGTAGTCCGGGTTGTCGTCCGGGCCCAGGAACCCGACGTGGCGGAGCTCGGCCTTGAGGCGTTCGTCGAGCTGCGCGTGGTCGAGTTTGGCCGCAGCGGCTTTGAAGCCGTTGGGGGACGCGTCGGGGAAGCTCGTCGCCGATGCGAGGGGCTTGGTGTCGGAGGCCTCGTTGGTGCTGCCGTTTGGGAGACCCGGTGGCGGGAGCTGAGGGTGGTCGAGGTCCATCGAGTCAAAGCCGTTGAGGCCGTTGGTCGTGGTCGGACCCAGTCCGTCTCCGTTGGGAGCTGTGTCGTCGGGATTTGTGCGGTGCTCGTAGCGCAAGAGAGAGTAGAGTCGGCTGAGTAGGGGGCCCACGGAGACTTTGGCGGTCTCGACCGTCTCGTCGGTGATTTGGTCAATGTTGCCGCGGCCTTGGTTCAGTGGCAGACGCTCTTTATCGCCGTTGGCTTGGTCGGAGTTGTTGAGTCCGTCTTCCTCGGCCCAAATCTCGGTGTAGTGCTTCTTGCCGCGGCGGGGCATGATGAACGGGGTCGCGCGGTCGCCCTGGTACGGTTTAGTTGACGGCCCGTGTCGTGGTATGTTGTAGTCGGAGCGTACCTTTTCCTTCAAGAATGCCATATCCTCCTCCGTCATGGGGCGCACGTATGGGTCAATGTAGGCGAGGAACGTGTTGGCACTGACTTGGTTGGTGGGCTTGGAGTTGCTGAAGTCGCGGTCGGGCGGGACGCCCGCCATCATGTGGCTCAAATCGCTGCGCGGGAAGCGGTTGACGCTGTAGATAAACTTCTTCTCCTCATCGGTCATATTCGGCGTGACCTCGCGAATGTGGTAGATGGTCGGGTCATCGAATTTGAGCGGGTTGGGGCCGAACACCTGCACTTGAGGCACGGCCGGGGCCGGCTCGGGCTGGTGCGAGTCGGAGCTATCGTCTGAGTCGCTATTGGAGTCTTCGTCTTGAGAGCCCTTGGCTGCCTCTGCGGCCTCGCGGGGGGACTTCGGGGAGAGCGAGGTGTCTTCGGCGGCGGCATTCTTGGATTTTTTGGAAGCTGGGGATGCGGCTGGCCCAGTCAGTGATGTCTGTTGTATGCCACCAGAGGAATTGCGGGGGAACAAAACTCACCTCCCTCCACTTTAGTTTCTGCACCATCCTGCCGTGCCAGGCCATGTGCTCCATGAGCCAGAGGTCGATCCTCCCGGGAGCTGCTGCCGCGCTCCTTGCGCTTCTTCAGCTTGCCGCCCTTGAACACCTTTTCTTCGTCCTCCTCGTCCGCTTCGCGCTTCATCTTGAGTCGATCGCCGCCGTCCCGGTCGCCGTGTTCAGGTTCGTCCACGACTTCCTTGCGCTTCTGCGATAGCTCCCGGATGCCGGCATTGCAGACGTCGTGGCGGGTCTCGGCCAGCTGGCCGAGCGTCTTCAGATGCTCCATCAGCATTTCCAGGGATTTGGAGTCCGGAATCGGACCCACGCCGCCCATACGCTCGAGCAGCTCCCCGTATTGTATGGAGGCGTTCATCATCAGCTTGGATGCATCGTTGTCGAGGTAACTGTGGACCGGGGCGGCGGTCGGGCCAGCACTGAAACTGGAACTTGGAGTGGTGTTGCGACTGCGCGAGGGGCGTACGTCGCGATCACGATCTCGATCTCGATCACGATCTCGGTCGCGATCGCGATCGCGGTCACGGCCTTTTCCTTTGCCTTTGTTGGCTGCGGGCATAGTGGGAGGTATGACGGTTCGAGGTGGAAAGCTGGGGTAGATGATGAGATGAGATGGTCCGAGTCGGGGAGCTAGTGGTCCATAGCGTTTCTGCGGGCTGTGAAAGCGTCGGAGTAGGCCACGCACAAGTTGAGGGTAGATTCTGAGTGTGGAGCAGCGATATGGGATAATATCGGGGAGAGCTGAAGTTGATCTGTTGTACGGAGTAGCTGTGCCCGCTCCATCGTTCCTGAGGGGGGTGTTGATATTACGTAAGGGGACTGGATATTGTCACGTGAGATAACACCGAGTCACGTGGACTCGGCATTTGTTATCCCTCCATAGGACAGTAGGACTGACTGTATGCGCCAGTCACTGTGGTCACTAAGTAGGAGGACCCATCTCCTCCTCTCAGCAGCTGGATTCATTTGACTGCCATGTGCTTGCTCTACTGCCTGGGCCCCTCTCTCTGAATTTCTTTGAATTGTTAGTGCCTTTAGTTGAGGTCGGTTTTCCACATGACGACCAAACTCCGTCTATCGAGTCATGAAGGAGTTGCTCGATCAAGTATGTAAAGATCTGCCTCCACCCTCCCAATGATCATTGCTCGTATAGCCTTGGCCGGTTCGAGCAATCCATTCATCAAGTTGTCATCACATGCCTGCAAAGCAATTCGATCGTGATGGCTAAGCAATTGCACATCACGTTCCTCTTCCGTATGTAAGTTACTATAGTTGTATGTTTGTGCAGTTTGTCGAGTGGTGGATCCCGAGATTTAAGGTTGATTGCGAGGAGCAAAAGAGGTGGAGTCAACCTTCAGTCAACACTAAGTCATCCGTACGAATTATCATATCATATCATATCATATCATATCATAAAAGCCTCACCCTATTTCCCATGGATGGTTGCAGCCCCCCTTAGAAAGTTCCTTCCCAAGCACACATCAGCTCTCCCAGCTATGAGTAGCCGCACCCTCCGCAAACGTCTCTGGCGGCTGCAAACAGGACCGATCGGCAACAACGGTCACCCAAACAACCGCGCCATGAACACTCACACGCCCAGCTGAGGGCTGAGACAGACGAGGCATCTCCGAGCTCTGCAGGATCTGCCCCTGCAGCTCCATGTTCAATGCAGTATTCCGTAATTTTACCAGCCATCCTGACACTGACGGGCAAGTCCGGCCGGCCCATTTCCCCCAGTTGCCCTACTGTCAGCATTCCTCTGCGCTATCGGCCTGGACACTGCTCGCATTCTTCCTCTTTCAGTGGCCAAATGGGCTTGACTCTGGTACGGCTTGCCTAGCCAAACCCGGCGCACCATGCGGCTGTGCTGGCTGTGTTTTAAGTCGCTGCTCTCCCCTTCGAGGGGGCGGTAGACCCCCATGCAAGCCCATCATCATGAGTGAGTGTGTCTGCTGCAAGCATAGCTATGCGTGCTGCGTGAGGGCTACTACTAACGCATCTTGCAAATAGCTGCGAAATCATTGACCACGTTCACGGAGGTATTTTTTGCCAATCCGGGCCAAGCGAGTAATGCGACACCGTCAGTCAATGTATGTTTCGTTCGAGTCTCGAGCACAACGGCGTAGGACTGACAGAACGTCGGCGCGCTTCTAGGACAGTGCCGCCTTCTCCTTGAAGCTTGACCATACCGTGCAAACGCTGTCGAGCAAAGGCGCCCCTAGCAAAGGCCCAATTGAAGGGTTTCTCTTCGTTCCGAGTCTCGACGCTGCCGATCCGTGCAACAATGCCACCGCGAAATACGTCCCCGCCAATGTGACCCGGCTCGACGAGATCACCGCGCTCGGAAACCGCAAGATCGGCCTGGCGCCCTGGATCAGCGTTGACTGCACGCAGGCGTTCTTGAGCGCCTCTCGAGAAGCGGGAACGGATGCGCTGGTATTCTACCAGCCTCACAGTGACGACTCTGAACCGCCACCGCCAAGCGATCAAGTATGGTCGTTAGGCGATGGAGACGACTGGAAGGGCACAAACAAGTATCCGGTGTATGCGATACCCGGGCCGGCGGGTGTCACCCTGATGGAGAAGCTATCGTTGTACGGGACTGTGAACGACCCTGCTGGGGGGTTCCAGTCTGATTACCAGTTGGTGTCTGTCATTGATATAGGTAAGTTCTTAGGGAGAGTTTTTGGCGGGGCGGGTTACTGATGGCAATGAACAGAAAACTCCAGCCAGACCATGCCTAGTTTGTGGGGCTTTATTCTTGCCATCTTAGGCACGATCCTCGTATTGAGTGTGATTCTGTTGTTGTTTTACCAGCTCGTGCAACGGCGACATCGACAGACCCTCCAGCGGCGGCTGGAGAACGGGGATATCGACCCAGAACAGGTGGCAATGCATCAGCTTCGAGTTCCGCAGGACTATCTGAATTCGATGCCGATTTATGTCTATAGAATCGAGGGTGCCGATAATCACGAGATCCAGGAACACCCAGCCTCGCATGCTCATTCGGCAACAATGGGGTCCGCGGAGACGATCGTCGTCAAAGCCGAACATCCAGACACTCCCCCGCAATACTCCTCCGAAACGATCATCATCAAACCGGAGCCGGCCAGAGTCAAGCAAGAAGACAGAGCATCCATCCACTCCACCCGGGACAGCGGGTTCTCGGGACGAATGAGTGGTAGATGGCGCGAGAATCGATTGAGCCGGTCACAGACGACGTGCGCGATCTGTCTGGACGACTACGTCCCGGGCGAAACCACCGTGCGGGAGCTACCCTGCGGACATATTTTCCATCCTGAATGTATTGACATTGCATTGACGCAGTCCAGCAGCCTGTGTCCGTTGTGCAAGACGAGCGTGCTGCCAGTGGAACGGTTTCCTGCCCCGGATTACACATTAGGCCATTGAGGGTTTTGCTGCGCCACGTTATGATTGCCCGATGGCATTGTAATTTGCGGTTGTGCCTAGTGAGCATGATCAACCTGCCAGGCGCGTGCCGGACGCCACGACCTGATGGTATAAGCTTGGACTCATCGTTTCTTGATCGCCACCTCGGGGCCACGATGTCAGACGGCTTGACTATCCATGCACTGGACCAGATTCGAGCCAAGCGCACCACCTGGGGCGTAAAACAAGTTCCTCCATCTTGGTGCGACTCTGTCCAGAGTACTCGTCGCTGCTCCTGGCCTCTCCTGATGGGAAAGAAACCCCGCGTGGACATCTACATTGAAGACTTAGGGATGCTGACTATGTCATGAGATGAGTGAGTTGGTTGCAAGGATGGAAGAATCGGATCACCCATCCAAGGGAAGGAAGCCACCGGAGGTGTGATGCACGGTTTCTACATTGTTGGATACTAGCACAACTCAAGTGCCCTACATAGCACCATCTGTGGCCGGGTTGCGCCAAGTGCGATGAGCCAGACAACCAAGCCGGGTGCGGGTTACTCTGCAGGTTTTGAGTCATGAAATAATACCCAGCTTCACTGCCGGAGCTGCGAATCTGGATCAGCCCGATGAAAGAAGGATATTCGAATGGATTATGTGGAGGAATATGCCTTTTCTGGTATCGGACCAAGACTGGGGATTAGCTGGGGAAGCATTATCGGAGCGAGAATGATAGCATAGATGCCAATCGCAACCTGTACACTGATAAGAGCACGACGAGGACGGAGTATCTACGTAGGGCCCTTCAAAAATCAACCCTGAACGGTATCCTTCAACAGTCCTATAGTGTCTACTCCCGACTCACTATCCCCATCCAGAAACGGTCCTTCATAAAGTAGTATTCCGTACTCCATACTCCCTTTCTCTTCCATCGCAAATAGAACAGACAGACATAACCCGGGGGAAGACCCCCCTAATAACCCCACAAATCGCCCCCACCCCTCACCAAATCATCCTCATTCAACACATGCAACCCATTCTCCCTGCCCTCGCGCCGCCGCTGCCGCTTCGTGACCATCCGACTCGGCGTAAGGGGTGTCACGGGCGTGAACGGCATGTACGGGCTGTACGGCGTGGGGATGCCGGTGCGGGGACCGGCCCCTCCCGGATGCTTAACCGGACGTTCCAGCACCGTCAGTTTGGTCGCCGGGGCGCTTTGCAGTGGGTAGGCATCGCGGAGGGGGAGACTTCGCCCACCTGCTCCTCCGGCGCTGGTGGTGGTGGCGGCGGGGTGGGTGAGGGATAGTGGTGGGGGGATTCTCCTTTCCCTCTCCCTATCTCTTTCTGTTCCAGGCGTGGTAGTCGTGGTGGGGGGAGTGAAAATGCCGCGCGGGGTGGGAAGTGCTCTCTCTCTCTGTGTCCTCATTTCTTCCGTGGTTCCTTCGGTGGGTTGGTAGGTATATGGCTGCTGCTGCTGCTGCTGCTGCTGCTGCTGTTGCACCAACGGAACCACCGACGGAACCACCGGCGGAACCGGCGGCGGCGGCGCAGGATGATACACCCTCGGTGTCAACGGCTCATGCGCATACGGATCCCCCATCCCCTCCCCTTGGCCCTCGTACTCTCCCACCGGTCCCCGCCCCCGGGGCGAGGTGATTGGCGAAGAAATCGACATCTTTTTGCGCAACGGCAGCGCCAGACGCGGCGAGCGCAGTCCTCCTCCTCCGCCACTGCCACCACCACCACCACCACCCCTCGACGCACCGGCGGACCCCTCCGACCTATCTCGTTCTCCCTTCGCAAACAGCGACAAGGAAGATGAGATCCGCGACAACCGGGACGGGGTACGCGGCGACGTCGGCAGCTGCGCCGGAGCAGGCGGATCTTTGAACGGATTACTACTATTCAGCGTATCCGTCGGGGAGATACCCAGCCCGGTCTGGGTCCCACCACCGCCGGCTTTCATCTCATCGTGCTCGAGCACCGCCGCGTACAACATCTCGAGATCCTCTTGGGCTTTGCGGCGGTCTGAGGCGACGACGCCCTCGTCGAAGGTCGCGAGACTGATGTTGCTGCTGGGGTTCGATTTTTGGTGCTGATGCTGGTGGTGGTGGTGGTGGTGGGAGGAGGAGCTGTGTTTGCTGAAGGTGCTGGTGCTTCTGTTCCGACTCCAGGTGCGGTTGGTGCGGGCAGCGACTGGCAAGGAGTCAACGGTCGCGGGGATGCCTCCGTCCCCGCCCCCCGGGCTAGGGAGGTGGATGCTAATCGGGGTGACAGGACTCGGATCCATACTCGGCGGCGGTTTCATGGGCTGCAGCATCTGCACTTGCAAGGAGTAGTTGGAGGAGAGGACGGCGCGGCGCAGACGGCGGCCGACCACTAGCAGCAGACTCAATAAGAAGATGACGGTGAAGAGGTAGGCGGCGATGATTCCGCCGATTTGGACGGCGAGGAGGGGTTCGTCGAGGGAAGAGGTGGTGTCTTGCGATCGGATGTCTCGTTTGGGGGGGAGAAGCGATGCTGAACCAGCAGCTGCAGACACACGATGCAACAACAACAGCAAATGAAGCAGGAGCATTCTTTCGCCGCTATCCTGAAGCAATCCCACGGGGATTGGGGTTATTTGAAGTCTGAATGTGATGCGCAGCCGGGGGGGAGGGGGAGAGAGAGATGCGGATCATGTACTGGATGGATCGTCGCCAGGAGGAGACTCAGACTCAGACAGCGACGCAGTCACACTGATCAGACCGCCATCTTACCTCCCCCCCAAACGCGGCAGGAAACAGCCATGGGGCTTTTGCCATGTTCCCCAAGTGATTGGGTGTGATGGATGAAGCATCGCAGTGATGGTGACGCCAAGTGGTGAAGAGTGATGGGCGGAGGGCAATTCCCCCGCTATCGTTGGCCGCATACGCGCCCGCCTGCAGCCCCCGGCACATTCACCACCAACCAGTCACAGTCGGCGCGTGAGCGGGCAAGTGACTGGCGTGATGGCTGCAGTCTCAGACTTTTGTCTCCATGATAAGAAACACGGTTGCAGAGTGAGCCCGAGCGACTGGCTGTCGTCAAAGCTTAGTTAGAATTGCCGGACACTAAAATCATGCAAGGTGAAGATGTATCACGGGTCTACGTTTCAGATCAGGCTAGTAGCTTAGTTGAAATTGTGAATGGTAGTATTCTTGCCATGCATCAGGTATCGTAAAAAATAAACTCTCTATGTATTCACCTAAGTAGCAGGACTCTCCCACGAATCCCGCCTGATCTTCATCAAAGCCGACTGCTTGTGCGGGAACGTCACCTCGCCTTCCTTGTAAAATCCCGCGCGCTGCAAATATTCAATAAGCCTAGACTTCACATTAGCATCATCCTCTCAACCACCACAGCAACGCAGACTTACTTCTCATTGTCCACTCGTGGCTCCAGCATCACCGTCTGCGTCCGGGAATCTGCCAACCAACAGTAATGCACCAAGGCACTTAGCCAAATTGCCACGCGGTGCGGCCCGCGGAACTCCTGCTCGCCCACCAACACATGCAGCCCCCGGTCGTAGTTGTCCGCGCCCCCCGGGATCAACGGGCCCAGTCGATCCTCCTTGACCCAGTAGATCTCGAAGTAGCCGAACGGCTTGCCATCCCAGCAGCCAATAACCGGGAAACTGTGTCGACTGCGGAGATTGTTCCGGAGGAACTCCTCCTGATGGCTGACTGGACCGGCCTCGCCCCACGCAGCATTGACCCGCGGTTCGTTCATCCATTTGTGCAGCAGCTCCACATCCGACGGCCCGGGTACCGGGGTCATCGACTGGTCCATACCACTATTCGACGAGCTATGCGCATGCTTCGCGCCCAGCGCGTCGGGCGCCGAGCGCCCCAAGTATGCGACGCGGAAGGACAGGTACTGCTGGAGACTCGGAATGTAGCGGATGTAGAACACCCCGCCCTGGTGCGGGGGCTTCGGCCGGATCGGATGGCGGATGCCATTGGTGAAGGTGTACTGCGTCGGGGGCGGCGGGAAGTAGGTGGGGAGATGGCTGGTCGAAGCAAACGGGCCCTCGTTCGGGATATAGTGGGCGGTCTCCTGGCCGGCCGGGTTACTGAGGTACATGCTTGCACGCGACGGCGACGCGACCCGCTGGACGAAGGGCGACCCCGAAATCGCCGGCGGGATATTCATCTGGGGCGTCAACGAGAAGACAAAAAGCCGGGGATCGATTTGCCAGAAACTGCGACGGCTCACAAACATGTGCGCCCACGCCTCGGGGTCGTAGGGCTCCGTGCCGACCGACGAGTCCTCCGAGGCGATCAGCCCCATGCGCTCGAGCTTCTGCAGCAGTATGCGACCCTGGAAGAACCCTTCGCGCCGGATGGAGATCCGCCAGTCCCCCTGGGGCCGGCCCGTGCGCGGAGTGTTGGCGCAGGCATCGGTGGTCAGGTACCGCTCGGGCTCGGCTTCGTGGAAGTACCACCAGAGGGTCACCCACAGCATCATCGCGATCTGGCGCGTCGGCGAGTTGACGGGCTTGTAGTCACTGCTGTCGACGATGTACGAAATATAGAGCGAGTCACTGCGCAGAGTGGGCGTCGTGAAGCGGGCGTTGACCATCCGGGCCGGATGGCTTGTCGATTCCCGACCCCGGCCGCGGTTTTCCTCCTCATCGGCCACGGGGGTATCGGCCTGTTCGACGGGTTTGCTGGTGTTCAGCACGACGCTCCAGCCGGGAAGTACCACATGTTGACTCCCATGGAGGTCGTTCGACTTGAAGCTGACCCCACCGAAGACGGGTGACACAGTGAAGGTCTGCCCGTTGGGCAGATGGCACATGTGATGGCGCATCGCAAGAGCCTGTGAACACGACCGACCTGCAGAGAGGAGGATGTCCAGAAAAGGGGGAGAGGAAGGGTTTCGGACGAAATTAAAAAAAGGTCAAAGGAATAAAATACCAGCACGAGACTGAGGGGAACTAAGGCGGACGGTGGGATGATGTGTCTGCCCCTCCCCCCGCTGGCGATCGCGCCGTCGTCGGTGAACGGCCGCTATCAGGCTGGCTGGTTCTGGGCCCAACTGCGTCCCAATCACGGCTGCGGATAGTCTCGCTGCGACATGATCCAGTCGAAGTAGAGGTCGTTGCACAAGTGGAGGCACAATGAGCTGTGGGTGTCGAATTGAGGTGAGGGACAGTGAGGGGGAGCGTAGAAGAAGACAAAGATGGAGAGACAGAGAGACGATAAGAATTGGCCGACTGGTTGATGTCATGGGCGGAATTACAATACAGCCAGAATTACGAATCTAACCTGATTGACCAGGGCTTGGGAGCTTGGGAGGGGGCGGGGGGGGAGGGGGGGGGGCCAGTGCCCGCCTCCACCGTATGACAGTCCGCGGATTACCAATGCGCTTGGTTACAATGATCCACTCCAAGTCTATTTCTCGAGTAGAGGTACGTATTACTCTGTAAACCACAGTCCTTGACCAGTAGAACGCCTTTTAAAGTCAGCGTCAAAGTATATTACCTATCCCATTTAGTTATAATAATAATAATATGAAACAGAGAAGTGATAAAAACCCCAGGTCTGTCTCGCAAACATCATGATGCCCAAGAAGTAAAGTCCGAAGAAGACCTTCGGAAAACAAGATGCACCCACGCCGAATCAAAGCAGTACTGTAGGAAAAGCCGCCCGAATATCTCAGCTAAAATTCCGCAATTGTCGTGCCAATGTTCTTCTCCCGTGCCAACTGGATCAGATCCCCGCCGGTCACCAAGTCCATCAACCCCATCCCCACGCTCTTGAAGATCACGTTGCCCCGTTCCACCCACTCACGCAGGCTTTGATGGTCGTCGCTGTCCGCGTCCCCGTGCGAAGACTCGCGCACGATCAATAGCTCGCCAATTTCGACCACCTGGTGCGGCTTGATCCCCGCCTGGACGATCTCGCCCGCCTCCTGGAGGGCGGCGTCGAGGCTGTCGACCACCACCACCCCACTGCGTTTAATGTGCTTGTGGAAGTGGCGGTGGCCCGGGGGGTGCACGTTCACTTCGTCGCGCAGCAGATCCGGGGGCAGTTCCGTCATGTGTGGTTTGTAGGATCCAATTGCGCTGATCAGCCGGCCCTTCTGGCGGCCTTCACGGTCGGTCAGGATCTCGGCGGGGAACAGCGGATCGATGGCCGGGGTGCAGCAGAAGATTGCGTCGGCTTTGCGCAGCGCGTCATGCCGGATGCGGGGGTACTCCACAAAGTCGGAGCTGACGGCGGAAAATTTCACATTGCCGCGCCAGCTCGCGTTCTCCGGGGCGTAGATATCCCGGAGCAACTGCGCCGCTCGGTCGAACGATCGATTGATGATGTAGACCCGTTTGATGTCCGCGCTGCGGAGCACCAGCGCTAGCCGGATGTGCCAGTAGGCCTGCTTCCCCGCGCCAAACACCACGATCGTGCGCACCCGCTTGCGCTTGTTGAGCGTCATGAGGGAGGTCAGGGCGGTGCGGAAGGGCGTGAGTTCATGCGCGTTGATCAACCCGAAGGGCAGGCTGTTGCTGTCCAGCAGCGTGACGCTGCCCTGTGGGGAGGTATCGCGGGCCCCCGCCGCCGGCCAGGCGCCCATCGTTTGGGATAAGCCGCCCGCGACCGGTTGTTGATTGACGCAGCCCACCGCCAGCGACTGGCTGCGACTGCTGCCACTTCCACTGCCTCCGCTACTCGTCATGGTCAAGGAGTTGCTGGTGGAGGTGCCTTCTTGTGAGGAGAGGGAGAGTTCGCTGACGTCCGAGGCAATCGAGGCCATGGATTTGCGCTTGTCGACTTGGGAGACTCCCGTCCGGTCGCTCGGGGAGACCTTGGCGGCGGCGTCGACGGAGCAGCCCACGGGAGCATTCTTATCTTGTAGCGAAATCACCTTCATGCCCAGGGTAGGGCCCGTACTCGCGGGCATGAACACGGTGGTGCAGCCATCGGGACGGGTGATGGCAGTGCGTTGAGGTTGATATGTAGCAGCACAGCCCTTCTCTTGGCTACCGGTAGAATAATCGCGAAGGGCCCGGGCAAGGTTCTCTTGCAGCGAAACGATCTGGTCGCGGGAGAGCGAAAGGAGGAGGGAGCGGAGTTGTTCTTGGGAGAGGATGGTGAGGGGCATAGTGGGTTTGAGTCAATGATCGGCTGATAAGATAAGGATTCTTCGGCGACAAAGGACAAAGAGGAAGGGAGGGAGGGGGTGCGGGGGAGGAGGGAGGAATAAATGAGAGATTAAGAGTTGGGCCGGTGGGAGAGATGGGAGAGATATTTCGCAAGGATGATTGATTGAGGAGAAGGAGAGGAAAGAAGTTTTTAGAGAAGGATGGAAGTTTATTGAATGAGAAGAGAAGATCAAAGCATGGATGTTGACACCGGGGCCGGAAGCAGGTGGATTGGATTGGATCAGCCTTGTCTCGGCGGACGGAGGCGATGACGCCAGCCCAGTTGCTCGGCGGCCCACCTCCGGCTGCGGATTGGCGTCGTGCAGCCGATCAAAGCGTCGAAAATCTGCTTGAGATGGCGATGCGATAGATCATGCGCCCGAGGAGTAGGAAAGGGATTGATCTGATCAAAAGACCCATACTCATTGTCTCCAGAAAATAAATGGTTGAAGGGACATTGGGTACATTGAGGGGAACACAACATCTCCGAGTCACCGCCAAGCCGATCCGACCCCGGGTCTCTTGGCCGAACTCGGTCGGACCTGAGTTCATTGGCCCGCGCACTGCTATTTCCGGCCTCGCTCCACGGTTGCCTGCCTTGGCGAGAATACGAGGATAATTGCGGAGTATTGGATAAGTACCTACTACGTAGTCACCTGTGTCTATCATCAATTTCTTCCATTATGATCATCGTACCTGACAACTAAGTGTACTTCGAACTAATTGACTACATAACTGATTCCCCATCAGAGTATATATCCATCCAGCCCTCCATCCATTCTGAAACACCCAGATCCAAATATAAATACCCAAAAAATACAATAATTGCCAGAACCACGTCCGAATCAGGGGGGAAAAAAACATCAACGCCAGCGGAATGCAGACAGTAGCGAGTGTCGGGGTATTGAAAGATTGTTCGTAATTGGCGGGTGAGCGCAACACCACCGTGCTTTTTGCAAAATCAATGCATAACCTTGAAGGAGCAGAAAAAAAAAAACATTAAAATATCATCATGCCACAAACGCTTGATCACGAGACCAGCTCCATGATCTATACTTAGTGTCGACGACCGCCCATGTAGGACCCAGCGGCGGTGGCGAGGAAACGCGCCACGAAGCCATGACCGCCGCTCGCGACCGGGTGAGCGGGGCCGTGGGGATGCGCGCCGTGGCCAGAATACCCGAGACGCATCTTCTTGCTGGACTGCGTCGGCGCCAGACCCTCCTCCAGGGGCAATCGATCCCCCAGAAATCCATCGTCCACCACGCGCACAGGCCCGGCGTCTTCAAAGCTGGTGATTGAGCTGGAGGTCCGCAGACTTGCCGGAGTGCCAGCCCGCGAACTGGGCGCCAGGCTGGACGCCCGCGAGCTCAAGGATGTCGCCGTCTCCGTGCGGGACAACCCCGGTACATCCTGCACCGCCGGAGGAGAACCGGACATGCGACCGCGCGATGTAGGACGTCGCCGGCCGGTCGGGTAGGGGTGGTAGCGGTCGGCCCCGGCCTCCGCCAAGGATGGCGCGGGTGAGCTCTGGGAGCTTGAAACGGACGAGACAGACGACAGGGAGGACAGAGACAAAGATGAGGTAGGGCTGGCTGGCAGCATCCGTCGCTCAGCTGGCTGGTACCCAGCATCCGGCATCTGTCGACGGGCGTCCAGTTTCTGACGCCGAAGTCGGGAGCTCAGGAGATCCGTGGAGGAGTGGAAGCGACGCCAGTCTCGCGAGTGGCGGCGATCTGCTTCACGCTGCTGCTGCTGCTGCTGTTGTTGCTGGTAGCGGTGGCGGATCGGGGCCAGGAATGGCTCCAGGTGCTGCAGCAGATCGGCCTCGGTGACGCGAGTGTCCCAGTCGAGCAGGAAAAGCAGCTGGCGCTCCATGAGGTTGACCTCAGGCAGGGGAAAGGCGAATCCGTCATAGCCCTTGACGGCGGTGTACCGCGCCCAGTGCTTGTTCTTCGGGCTCGAGTCGTTCAAATTCTTGGCTGCAAGGATGAGCGACGCGAGGAAGATGCGGTGGACGGTGCAGCGCATGCCCTTGGCTACGGGGGGCAGACGGGAACGCAACCGGGCCAGATACACCAGGGAGGTCATCAAGGTGGGCACCTGCACCTGTGATCGAGCAACCAATGAAGCGATAAACGTTTCGACGGAGGGCAGAGGGGGTAAGCTCGCATCCATGGGGGGTGTGCTGGGAGGAGTGGGCTGGCCGTGGGCTTGTTGTGCCGTCACATGCGGCTCGCAGCGGATGACCTGTGAGGCCTGCTCGGCCAGGTGCGCTACCATCCCTCGCGACACTGGCTGCATGACAAATTCATGCAGCGCTGCCCGGTGCAGATCCAGCGTTGGCGTTGCAGCGGACGCCATATTGGGGGTGCTGCTGGAGTAGTGGAGGTGGGGTTGAACAGTCATCGTGCACAAGATAGTAGGGAGTGAAACGAGAACACCACCCAAGTGTGGGAAAGCTACTCTGTAGACTGGCTGTCGTGGAGGCGATATTAAAGTAGGTGAAGGAGTATACGTCAGTCCTGCCAGCAGGAGAGGAATGCGTGGTTGTCGAGTCAACTGTAGTCGGGGATGCGATCGCTATGGGGATGCCGTGAGACGGGATTTGAGACACGGAGTGGATGCCGGAAGTCGGGCCAGAGAGGTGTAAAAAAAAGAGAGAGAGGGAGAGAGAGAGACCGTTCTGAGACGAGGAGGCCGATTAAGCTGGTAGTGGTGGAACCCCGTTAGGAAAGAAAGGAATGGAACTGTTGACGATATTGATGATATTGATGAAGAGAGTGTACCACCAGCCAGCGAAGAGAGCTTGATATAAGTGACAAAGCCCTAGTTAGGAGGGCGCCTGCGCGCAACACACAAAAAAAGGCTGGTGCTGCAAGGACGGAGACGCGCAGAGTATGCATGAGGGGCAGACTGACTCCAAACTGTTTCTCTTTGCTGCTGCAACATGCTACAAACCCCCAGTGAGTGGTCACGGGCTGCAGGGGGCTGCATGGGCTGCATGGCTCACGCAGGGCCGATCGTCGGGGATTTGGCGCGCGCCAGCCTGAGATGCGGCAGTGATTGGAGCAGCCACGAGATGCAGGAATCAAGGGTTGGCAGGTCAGCGCGTCGACGCCACGATCCTGGCACGCGTGAAGGACCAACTGACTGGTGGAGAGTCGAGGGAGTCCAGTGCCTGGGAAATGTCGAGAATGGTCGAGAGTCGACGCCAACCAAGGGCTGTCATTCCAATGCGCGCTCAACGCAGGGTTACCCGTCTTGCGATCTTGCCAGTCCAGTCGGGGCATTCATTCATTGAACTGCCAATTGCGGCTTGTACTGTAGGGTTGGGGCATGGGGGCAAGGGAGGAGATGACGCCGCCGGCTACACTAATTTAGCTGCTGCACTTGCCGTACTTAAGCGCCCGCACCATCGCTGATGCTGCTATTCTTGTCCGGATTTCCAGCTGGGGAAAGTTATATTTAGAGGAACAGAATTGATTGATTGATGATAAGTACTTTAACTACTCATCTAACCGCCAAACTAGTAGCTTACTGTATAGTTTGTTTCAACTGCAATAGTAGTAGGATGTTATATTCAGATGCATTGAATGTATGTCCAGGACAAATTAATAAACAGATAATGAGAGGGAGAGAAGGAGCGTAGTGAGTAGAACATCTTCGGGAGCCCTAGTATAAACTCCTACTCTGGCCCTCGTCTGGTATCCTATCTAGGAGCTGAAACACAGCGCCTACATTCTCCCCTCCTCCCCACCCCACCACCGCCGCCTCCTGTCAAGCTCCGTCCGTCCACGCACCACGGTTGGAGATCTTTCGTAACACTCAACGTCTGATTTACGCAATAGAGACGGAGTACTCGGAGACGGTCAACTTGGCGTCGGAGCCAGTGAAGGGCTCGGTACCGGCCTCAAGGGTGGTCAGGTAGAGGCTGTCAGAGAGACCCTCGTACTCGACCAGGTAGTTGTAGAAGTCCATGAGGTCACCGCAGAAGTCCTCGGTGGTCGAGCTGGCGACGAAGCTGTAGACGGTGGTGTCCCCGTTGGGGCCGGAGTACAGATCCCAGGTGACGCCGGACAGCGTCGGGGTGGCGACGGTCGAGCCAGTCGACGAGATGGGGCCAGCACCGCCCAGGGCAGCAAGCCAGATCATGATCTCGTACTTGTTCGAGCCGCTGGCCGATTCGGCCAGGAATGTGTCGTAAGAGACGTCGGCGACGATGCTCGAGCCGGAGTATCTATCCATTCGGGTCAGTTGCCGTCTCCCCGCCCGGCACATAAAAAACAAGCCACTTACGACCACTTCCAGCTGGTAGGAATGCTGGAGATACTCTTCAGGGTCTGAGGAGTGAAGGTCAGAGCGGCGTTGGCATAGCTCTTGACGCTTGAGCTGCCACCGGACCAGGACCAGCTGGTGTGCCAGGCGATGGTGTCGCCGCTGGCCGAGTCGACTCCAGTGCACTGGGAGCCGGTACCGGAGCTCTCACCCCAGAGATCGTTGTACAGGGTGAAGTCACCGGCGGTGACGGATCCGTACTGCTCGCAGAAGTCACTGCGGCGCTGGAGGGTAGCAGCCGAGGCCAGAGTGGCGAGAGAAAGAAGGGAAAGCTTCATGTTGAAGAGATGGTGGAATAAGGAAAGACAATCGGTCGGTTGGTAAGATTCAAATGTGCGATCAACGTCCACTGTTCAAGAATGAATGATTTCTGACCGGATGCCAGGTAGACGAGGTTCTCTTTAAATACAAATCCCACATGGCACCACCCCGAGATGAGATGGCTGAATAGCCGGTTCGTCTGGGCCGTGAGGTCAATCGAGCAGAAACACTCAGGGAGGGGGGGAGGGGGAATTAGTCCCTCCACCTGGGAAAAGCATTGAGACCTGAGCAGTCAGCATGAGTGAGTGAAGCCTTCCAGCTGGTGGACCACGAGGGCGGAGACCGATAGGGTCAATTATCGAGTCATGTCTGGATATGAAACGGTTCCACAGGATGCTCCGTGCAAAGAGAAGCAGCCAACGGTCGACACATCCAGTCAAAGAACGTCAAGAACGGGGTGAAATCAGGGGAGACAAGTGGATTCGTCACCTTTCATTTCCCTGGTCCGTTTCGCATTCGATAAGGGGAGAGGCCGGATAAATTGCGTCTCGGCGACCGACGTCCGCCCCTCGTCCAGAACGGGGCGTAATCGAAGTCGATCCAAGGCCCGACCTCGAACCAATGCTATTTTTATGGACGGAAAAACCGGATAGGAGGGGTTAATATTTCATGCTCATATTATGTGGAATGGATATTGATGGGTTTGGATGGGTTTGGATGGGGTCGGAGAAAAGAGGATGTCTGCCCGTGCACCAGGTGCGGTGGGACGGAGAGGGGATCCATTCTGATGGGATTTTCACCACTCTCAAGGATACAAGGATAACTATCAATGGATGGAAAAAAAATCTAGCAAGTCAGTAAATCCAGCAATTCAAGATGACAGCATTGTATCTCCTGGAGACATCAGATCGAATACTCGCGGAATATAGCGATGAAACCCACTCAGTCGTAACAAGGTTCCGACTGACGTGTAGTTTAATGGCAGTGGCCAAGATCCGCCTCGATTCTTGCAGAGAGGCTAATAACTACCTAGTCTCCTGTCTCACGATGGCTAAAGCTAAGCATTAACAGGACAACCGAAGCTAGTCGGAGTAGCTTCTCCGTGAGGTCTAGATTGGTTCGGGGGGGGGGGGGGGGCAAATTGGAGAGACATCCAAGATACTCCGTACATCCCACCATCCATAGGTTCTTCCGGGAAGAAGAACATACACCGTACAGTGGCACTACCTGGCTATCTACATACGGTGTAGGTGTTTACAAGCATTCCGGGTCATTTAGCCGGAGACTGCACAGCTTCTAGCGCAGTTCGACCCCAGTCTCTCATCCATGTTTACTGCTTAGTTAGCGATGAGTGACATGTCATTCACATGCATTGAAATCCTTCAATCTCCACCGCGAGTTCGGAGGTTCGGTGGGTGGGCAAAGACAACCGAATTAAATTGGACCCTCATCGAAGCAACGGGGTCGAGAGCTTGGTACCGCTTGCTATCGCTTTGGGGCCTGAAGGTGTAGGTAGGTATCCACTGAAGTTGATGAGAAGGGGATTTCAAGGAACAAAAGAGTCAATGCAGTGTCTCGAGCAGTTGACACCTCAGGCTGCAGGATTACCTCAGACGGATAAGCGCGTCCTGACTAAGCCGTGCATCCCCAGCTCCATCCCATCTTCACTAAACCCAATCAGGAATCGCAGGGGGTGGGAGCAGAAAAACAATCCTATCCATCGGCCCATCACTCTTCAGTTCCCTGAATAACTCCCTGGTTCCTATCTCTTCTCCCACGCACTCCACCCGGTCAATTGCGCTCGTGTGAGACAGCAATTTGCCTCTTCCCCCCCCCCCCCACCATGCGCGCCATCAGCTTCGCCGTGGCCCTCCTGGCCCTCTTCTCCGGCCTGTACAACTACCTGAACGCCCGGCTGGAGCAATTCTACATCTTCGACCCAACCCACCTGCACGACCTCTCCACGCGCGCCATTGCCGCTCACGGTAACGACACCCGCGCCGTGGTTAACTACATCGTCTCCGAGTTGGATGAGAAGATTCCCGGCACGCACATCAACCACGATGAGGAATGGGTCTTCAACAACGCGGGCGGTGCCATGGGCGCCATGTACATCATCCATGCTAGTGCGTATTCTTCCCGGGAGCTATATTTACCAGCATGCCGACTAACCCTCTTGCTTGATAGGTATCACGGAGTACCTGATCATTTTCGGTAATCTCACCCGTCCGGAGGATCTCCACCCCCTCCACTCCCCTCGTATCTCCTGGCTGGCATCATCAGTAGTCACACAGTCATAAACTAACACCATGGAAGGAACCGCCATTGGCACAGAGGGCCACACCGGCCGCCACACAGCCGACGACTACTTCAACATCCTCCAGGGCACGCAGCTCGCCTACGTGCCCGGCTCCTACGAACCCGAGGTCTACCCGCAGGGCAGCGTGCACCACCTGCGCCGCGGCGAGGTCAAGCAGTACAAGATGGACGCCTCGTGCTTCGCGCTCGAGTACGCCCGCGGCTGGATCCCGCCCATGCTGTTCTTCGGGTATGCCGACACCTTCTCCAGCACGCTCGACTTCCCGACGCTGTGGGCCACCTCGCGCATCACCGGGCGGGAGATGATTTCCAACCTGTTGAAGGGAAAGATGTAAACCCTGGTGACTGCAGCAGTCAAAGACACCCTGGAGCGATTGTACGATGAGGGCAGAAACAAAATGGGTATGATGTGTCTTCTTGGAGTGTCTAGAATAGACTGGTGGTCGGTGGACCTTTCTTTTCCAGTCGGGGCTTGGAGTTTGGCCGATCAATGTTCATAAGTAAACTTTTAATGTATGACTCGATAGTTATGAATATTCCAGGAGGTACTTCGAGAGATGAGCAGTAATTATGGCGGTTGAACAAACCAAACAAAGCAAACGCATTCTGACTAATCTCCGCCCTCCACGCCTCTTATCGATAAGAAATTCCATCCCTCCAGCGTGTGTGTCCGCCTCCAGAAAATTGCCTCCCCACTTTTTCAAATGCTCTTCTTCCTCGATCGACATTCAGCGAAACAATAAGAAACCCTGCTCACTCCCGAACTTCACGCGTTCAATCTCATTGGCAAGCGAGGCAAGCCGGAAGAAAGCAACATGCCCCCCACCCCGTGCGCGAACTGCCACGCGGACCGCGCGGTGATCATCCGCCCGAAGAACCGCCAGAAGCTGTGCCGGCAGTGCTTCCTCAACATCTTCGAGACGGAAGTGCACGAGACGATCACGGCCACAAAACTTTTCCAGCGGGGCGAGCGGGTGGCGATCGGCGCCAGCGGCGGCAAGGACAGCACGGTGCTGGCGTCGGTGCTGAAGACGTTGAACGAGCGGTACGACTACGGGCTGCAGCTGACGCTGCTTTCGATCGACGAGGGCATCAAGGGCTACCGCGACGACAGTCTGGAAACGGTGAAGCGGAACGCGGAGCAGTACGCGATGCCGCTGGTGATTTTGGGCTACGGCGAGCTGTACGGCTGGACGATGGACCAGGTGGTGGCGCAGGTGGGCAAGAAGGGCAACTGCACGTACTGCGGCGTGTTTCGGCGGCAGGCGCTGGACCGCGGTGCGGAGCGGCTGGGCATCAAGCACGTGGTGACGGGCCACAACGCGGACGATGTCGCGGAGACGGTCATGATGAACCTGCTGCGCGGGGACCTGCCGCGGCTGGCGCGCGGCACGAGTATCGTGACGGGCTCCGCGGCCAGCGAGATCAAGCGCAGCAAGCCGCTCAAGTATGCCTACGAGAAGGAGATCGTGCTGTACGCCCACCACAAGCAGCTGGATTATTTCAGCACCGAGTGCATCTACTCGCCCGAGGCGTTCCGGGGCAGTGCGCGCACGCTGATCAAGGATCTCGAGAAGATCCGCCCGAGCTCGATTCTGGATATCGTGCGCAGCGGTGAGGAGATGGCCGAGCTGGTGCCAAGTGAGGTGCGCGGCGGCGCGGCGGCGGATGAGGAGGCGGCGGAGACGACCGGGTGTGGGAGTCAGGGAGGGAGTGGCCGGACGAGGGGCGGCGAGATGGCGGAGATGGAGAGGAAGCTGGCCGAGGATGAGGCGGCCGCGGACCGCGAGACGGAGGTGACGCTGGCTACGGCGCCGGCTGCCCGGCGCAAGAAGAACGCAGTCAAGTCACAGGTCCTGGGCAAGTGTGAGCGCTGTGGGTATATCTCCAGTCAGCGCGTGTGCAAGGCGTGTACTCTGCTGGAGGGGTTGAATAAGAACCGGCCGCGCACGGCGATTGAGATGGAGGAGAGCTTGGAGGAGAGCAGTTCGACGCTGCGGCGGCTGGAAAAGGTCGAGCTGGGAGGATAGGCGCAATACTAGGCCGAATCATGAGGTATGAGAGACGAGACATGAATCAGGTGCATCATGTGCGCATTCTAAAGATAACACCAACCACATCCGCCATGCTTGCTCCCAGCAGTTGCACCTTAAGTAGTAATATATATATCCGACCTCCACCCGGAGCATAAATTTACCGACATAGACACTCACTTAGCTACTTTGGCATGAACTATAGTACGAAGTACGAAGTATTCTCGAGAGCTATTCATCCTTTTTTAGTTCAGTACCAAAAACATCAACCCAAAAACCAGATATAGACAAATTCAAATGAAACCCACCCAAACTCCATTCCCTCATGCAAATCACATAATATACTATATAGTACACCCCCATCTCCAGCTCAAACAGATTCCCACTCCAAAACCACCTGTTTATACAAATACAACCCCTACGCTCTTCAACTGTCCAAATCCCCTCCCAACTCAATCCCATGTCCTGGGGATAATCCCAACCGATACCCGGGGGACAACCCAATCCAACCCCAATCATCCAACTTATCCCTATTCCCCCAGCCCAGCCCAGCTAGCCCAGCCCAGGCCATCTCACATCCACGCCATAACATCCTTCCGGTCTCTTTCCTCCACCAAAAATGAAAAAAACCTCTTCAATTCGCCTTCCCCTCCCCCTCAACCGGCAAATCCAACCCCACCCTTCTCGCCGTCAACCGGATCCTCTCCTCCTCATCCAACCAACTTCCCGGATTGTACCGCTCAATCAACGCGGCGTACTGCCGTTGGGCGCGCGCGTACTGCGCGAATTGCTCTGCCTCCTGGAGGCGGCTGTGGAGGATGATCTCGGATTCCGAGTCATTCGATGATGACGCAGACGACTCCGAAGCGGGGTTCTTGTACAGAGCGCGCACGCTGGCGTGCAAGGGGGTGGACTTGTTCAACGTCCGGCGGGGGAGTTCGCGGAGGATGGCGCGGTAGGTAGTTTTTATGGAGGGGATCACTGGTGTGGACATTTTGAGGGTGGGGGTCGCTGGTTTTTGGGTGGGTGGGTGGTTGTGATGTGTGGTGTTTTGAGAGGAAGTTCGGTTGTTAATGTTAGTTGTTTGTCGTGAGGGTAGCTGCGTAGCTCGTGGACTTTGTTTGCGCAAACAGGAGGTAGATGTGGATGGAGGTATAGTTTGCGCGAAGGCCTGCCGAGTCGCTCGCTCACTTGACTTATCGGCTTCGGAGGCAATGTGGACGATGTCTCACGTGATACTCCCCAAACCCACCAATCCACCGATCCACCGATCGATTCAAACTACTATTTCTAGAATCTGGCGAACCTGACTAGCTAGTAGCTAGTAGCTAGCTATCTAGCTACTGAAGTGTTATAACTACATGTCTCAGTGTATGTATGTATGTATGTATGTATGTATGGATGTATGTATGTACATCATCAAACGACGATCGTTACATTCATGTCTCGTCAGCCTGCGTCTGCGCCTGCTGTATCTCCGTAGTGGTCATTATACGCCCCGGGGCCTGTCCTTAGGACCGCAACCAGCCAAACTTCTTTCGTCCGGGTTCACCGCCAGCGGAGGGTTCTACCTGCATACTGCGTGCATACAGGTCCTGTAATCGTCAGATGGCGCTCATATCCCCTAAAAAAAAAAAAAGGACGTACCTCTTCATCACCAGACAGCTTGATGTCCAAGATCAGCCGCGTCACTTCGTCGAACTTGGCAAGGTGTGGGTATGGCGTCTTCTGGCTCCGTTGGATGCCCAGCACGACCTCGCCCATCACCTCGAATTTGCGCCAGTTGATTCGGGTCTTCGTGTCGCCCACAAAGGTCCGGTTGCCCTCCTCGGCGGACACCAGATCGCGGCGGTGCAGCGGCAGGAACGGGATTCGCTCTGCGAATGAGTTGTCCCACGCCAGGCGGTATGCAAAGTGGCTCTTTTGTGTGCCCATGAGGATGACCAGCCTCATGAAGTCCTTCTGCGTCTGCATCGGCACTAGCTCTCGCGTCTGCGAGAGTCGGTGCACCGGCGTTCCATTAATTCCAGCAATCAGAGCCCCAAGCGAATTGTAGTTGTTCAGTCGTCGGAGTTTCTGTTGAGCATTAGACGCAGCACACACGGCAAACCTTCTATGGCAAACACTCACAAATGCAATATTCATAAACTTCTCCAGCGCCTTGGCCCGGTGTTTCGGCTTGTCCCGCAGGAGTATGACACTCGCCACGAAGAACGCCACGTGGTTGAATTGTTTGATCATCCGATTGACATGCTTGAGACTCTGAATCTTGTCCTTGTCGGCACCCGTGATGCTGACATGTCTGACGAGGTCCCGTGGGCGAAAGGAATTGAACATGATCCAGTCAATGCGCGTCAGTTCGCGAGCGAAATCTTCATCGGGTATTTCCATGAACTGTCGCCATTGCACCTTTGTCAGCGGCACGCGGGGCGTCAGGTCCAAAAGTCGGGCCTCTTTCTGGGCCGAATCGATGTTGAGGGCTGTGAATGACTGGCTTGCAACTGTCCCGGGCTTCTCAGCGGTGAACGAATTCGACATCGACGCCGACAGCCTCGAACCGGACTCCAGTGCACCCTCGCTAAGGTCTAATGCACTCATACTGTAGATAGGATCCTCCTCCTCTTCATCACCCTCATCGCTCAGCGGAGGGGGTCCGAGGAAGATCGACGGCGAGCTTCGACCTGAGTATTGAAGAGCGGGCTCGGTGGCATCCATCTCTGGCACCTCACCATCTCTGAACGGCCACCCAATATTATCATCTTCCGTACTGGCCTCGAGATATGACGAGATTTCCTTGGCAGCAAACATATAGAAATGGCTCTTTTCAAGGTTGGCAACAAACTCGGTGATTAGTCTCTGCGTCTTGGGATACGCCAAGTCGCCCGGATACTCCGATACCCACTGAGCCAGGACAGTCAAAAGTCTTAGTTGGTCAGCGATGCGCGTGAGCTGATCCGAAATCTCTCGCTCGTTGCGTTCGAACCGATTGATCAGAGCGGTCAGCAAGGACGAAGGGGCGGCGAATTTGCGGTACAAGCACAGGAAGATCGACGCAAACTTAGAGTCGTGCTTCGACATTGGCTGCGCAACCAACCGATCCACGAGCTCATCGAAGGTGAAGCCATTCTCATGGGAAGAGCTCTCACTCGGCGTTTTATCTTTGCTTCCAGGACTTGAAGGGATACTTCGAGGCCCGTCCATCTCTTCCCCCATTTCAATGAAGCTACTGAAGGCGTCCGACCCGCCACTGTTGCGCCAGGCGGCATGAAGCCGATGCTGTCGATTGAAATCCTTTCCGGGGGATGACTCTCCCGCAATGGACGGCTTGCGCTGGTTCAGTCGTCCTGAGGGAGGCGTGTGTGGTCGAAGGGGGTGAGAATTGCTTCGGGCATAGCGCGGGCCCTGTCCATTAGAGGTGGGTGAGTCGGTCAGTTGGCGATCTATACCGTACCCATCGATCCCCGAGTCCAGAGCTCCTGCTATTGGGCCGCCTGCGGCTCCCGAGAACACGGTTGTGGGGTTTTCTGAGTTGGCCCGACTATGACGCCAGCCTGGTGTGACAGTCCTGCCAGAGGAGCGCTCCTCAGCTATAGCAAGCAGTTAGCATCCATACCGAAGGTCCTAGTCCGTCGCAAAAGCCAAGAAAAATCTGGGTGGCGTTGTTGCTGCTGCGCCTGCATTCTGGGGACGAGGCGGGTCTCCGAAGTCCGCCGGTGAACGCTTGCCGTCGGCCGAGCCGCGGACTAGCGCGACATACGGTGGAGTGCTCTGGACGGACCACAGCCGACACCGACATCACAGAGGCAATTGTGGATATTTCATGACTATGGCAAACATACTCCGAGACACTGACGGTGCACACAAGGCATTTCTTGTGCGCACCGTCCGTAACGTAGACTCGATCTGAATTCAAGGAAATGGGCAAGAGAAGTCCAGTAAACTTACCATTTCTGTCGCTAATGACCGATCGCAGAACCAGTGCGATGCACATCTTCTGCGACCGTGGCGAATCGGGTGAGGTCCGGAGAATCTCATAGCCATCCAGAACTGGCTCAATTGGGCTGTTGGGTGGTTGAATGTCGCATTTACTTGCGACCAGTCGAAAAGGTATGGAAGAGGCGTCCAAGGAGGCTACAGACGTCAGAATACCACTCTCCATCACGATCGATAGACCTGTCACTCGGAAAAAGGAAACAAACCTAGTAGTTCCTTAATGGTAGAAAGGCTCCCAGGCTGCGTCACGTCGTGGAGAACAAGCACACCGTCCACGGAAGGGGGTGTATCGCCGCCTAACCGTGGCCACTGGACCTCGCCATTACTTCCGATCGAGATCTCAAGGGTATCAATCTCCAGTAACCGAACGAGGTAGACTGTGCCATCAAGGGACATCTTCTTTGTAGTTGTGCGGGACGCGAGAGAATGTTTCATATCCAGTGCGCTTTCGATGAAGGTTGATTTCCCCACATGGTCTGGCCCAACCACAGCGATGCTCACATGGGGGAAGTTCGGTTTCGGTGCGGGCTGCGTCAAGAACCATGATCAGACAGGTACGCGTTATGTTGCAAGATAGAGCTCACCTCGTTGCTGACGTATGCTGATGGGGTGCCATTTTCTCCGCTTTGGTTGGACAGTTGCTGCTTCACCTGCCACAAGGCTAGCTGTCAATCTACCAAGCCAGATAATATATTCTGGGAAAAGACCATAAGGAAGGACTAGCTCACTTCGTCACCCGGAGCAGCGGACAAGCTCTTGTTCCTTCCCGCCGTTGGCGACAATTCATCTTCCTCCATCAGAGTCCGATCCGGTTTGACTGAACTGTAAGTCACTCTGGCCGGATCGAGCTTATACAGGCCCCCAGCGGGAGCGGAGATGGTGCGGTTCAGGAGCCCCGGTCTCTGCGGGACGGGCGCAGCCTCGGCTCTGTCGCTGGACACCGCTCGCTCTCTGTTCGGAAATTGGGAATTCATGAAGGATTGTTATAGGAGGGGCAAGGACGATGCGCGAACGGGTGGACAGTGGCCGCGGGGCAGATGAGGGTCCGATCGAGCAAACACACAAGGTGCGACAGCGTGAGGTTTCAACGGCTAGGTAAGTGAGGGAAGCGGACACAACAGCTCATCCATTGTCGCTTGCAGAAGGGTGACGGAGGATAGTGCAGCAATTGGAATTCGTGATGTACCGCAGTTAATTGATCAGACAGGGGCAATTAAAATGAGATAATAAAAAAAAAAAAAAAAAGCGTCAGATCAAAGACGAGGAGTAGTTAGGGCCGGTTCAGTTGAAGGGGGGTGAGGAATCTTTTGTTTGGTCGAATTTCCGCCGCCCGTTGTCTGGCCCGCGAGGTTGTTCTTTTTTTCTCTTCCGTTTCTGATTGGTCTCTCCCGCAGCCGTAACAAGAGACCTAGTAATCCAGCTGAACCCCTCGTAAGAATATGATGAGCGATTCCAGAGGGAGGTCGGACAGGCAGACGAGAGTTCTGTTGCAAGAATCGAATGGGACAAGGAGGAACGGGCTATGGAGGAGGAGGAGGAGACAGAGGGGAGAGCGGAACAGGTCGGTCAAGGGTGCAGTGCAATGAATCGGAGAAGAAAGGTGAGAGAGTCTGGAGAGACAAAGATCGCAGTGACAACTGGGGGCCGAGTAGGCAGAGGGCCTAGTCCTGGCTAACTCGGTCGGACTGTAGGAGTAGATTGTGACTGCGGAGGATTGCGATTAAAATTAGCAACACGAGGCAGTACATGAACTGACGCTCCGGACTCGGTCATCCACTACTCCTGACGGTCAGACAGGGGCCAGACAAGAGATAAGGGAGGAAAGAAATGAAGGGGGAGACAGAAGAAGGAAGAAAGAAAGAACGAGAGAGAAATTCAATAAGGAAGAGTAGAGATTAAAGAGTAGAGTAAGGTTGTCGTCAAAGATGTAATAGTAAAGTTGTGAGGTACGGGAAGTTTTCCCTCCCGTAAGTTAACGACAAAGCGATTGAATCATCCCATCCCATCCCATCCCATCCCATCCCATCCCATCCCACTATCACATCCCCCTCTCCTCTCCAACATATTCCCATCAAGGTACGCGGCATGAGCCAAGGATCAGCCACAATTTACATCACACCCCCCGTAAGATTCTCTATCTTGCTCTCTCTCTCTCTCTCGATTAACAGTGGGAAGAACAGCCGCGGCAGACAATCCCTGCAAATGACTCTTCGCAAATGCTCACTCAGTCACTGCCCCCGCTCCCACTCGAGAAAAGTCGACAGTCCAACTGATCTTCAAATCCCCAGAAATGCGAACCAGCAACGCGGGTGATTCTAATTATGCTATTGGTAGGCTGACCCCAGATTATCCGCGCAATACGGGCAGTGATTGGTCCCTCTGATTTCCCCAGAGTCTGGAATCACCTACTGGGTATGATCATTTGACCCAAAGTGCTCCATCCACGGCGATCCGCCTGCGTGGCGGCAAAACAGCTTATCTGGTCGACACCTTCGGCTGTTGTAGCTTCCCCCCGGCTCGGAGCTGAGCTACGCTACGCTATACTGTGTAGTGTGTACACGTGGTGTCTTCTCATCTTTCCATGCCGGCTGATAGCTTGCAAGTCTACTCCGTACTCACTTGCTGTTCATATTCATGCATCCTCTATGGGGGATCGTCGGCAACTATTCGGACATTACCGTCATTCCAACTAATGCTTCATACGTGGCCCCAGGGCTGTGAACGCAAGGCGGCGGGCTGTTGAGTGAAACAGCATCGAGCTGGTCGGCTGGTCAAGCTCCCACCTGCGCGGCGTGCAGCCTTGGCAACTCTCCGGTGAAAGGGGCGTAATTTGCCACATCCGCAAAACTCAGACCGCCTCAGGTAGTTCGCTCCCAGTAATCAGGGCCATGAATCGCATATAGCCTTCTGCTTTCTTGCCTACCTCATCGCCCTCTTCACATCGTTCTCGGAGCTTTCTGACCTTGCCCACTCCTCGGTTAAACCCTTTCTCCCGCGTCCACGGTCCTCGATGACGGTGGGTCGCCCTACCCCTACCAAACCCCCGTGACCGACCGGCGTACGGCAGGGTCTCCTGCCATTCCTCCTCCAATGTAGCCTGGTAGATATCGCGAAGCTGATCTCGGAGCGACGGGAAGCGCTCGAGGAGTTCTTTCAGCTGCGGTGAAGACCCGAGAGACTTGATATCGAGCCCGGTCTCGGACTGAGGCATTCCAGCCTCGAGTGCATGACCATTGACAGCATCGGTGGGAAGTGCTTGGTCTTCCGACGGTTTCGACGACGGTGCCTTCGGGGCACAATAGATCTTATGAGATTGAGTGCACGCGAGGGAGCAACTAAAGACAAAACCGCGATAAGTATGCGTCTCATCCAGAAGGCGTCTTAGTCGTGGCTACTCTGCCTCGCTCTAAGACAGCACAAGATAGAACGTGCTCACATACCTCATCAAGCCGCAGGTCGGGCATCGGTATTTGGACGGCTCTGACTCGCAGACTTCGCATGTGCCGGGCATTTTATCGCCAGTCTGATTCCCTGTCCCGAGGCGTGCTAGTAGCGCTGGTGATCAGATCGCGATGATCATCGTTCTGCAATAGCTGGTTACTGCGTAAAGTGAACTAGATCAGAGTGCCTCGCTGGATCGATAATCCGCGGGGAAAGATTCGACGATTGGCTCCGCTCCGGGTTGCATGTCAGAGGTTCGCATTGGGTTTAGCGTGGTTCTCGGCAAGGCGGTCACCCTCGCATCATTGAGTCTTCGAACTACAGTGAACCTCCGTTATGACAATTCCTGAATCAATGATTTTCCTGCTTTTGACGATAGTTCTACCATTGAAATTCCGGCCACCATACGGAGATGGTTATTTTCGTGATATAAATATCAACGTAAGATAAAGGCTTTCCCCTATAGAAATATTGCTATATTGAGGAGCGAGCACGTGTTTTCAACTAAGAGAAGATATTAGGCAAATTGATCAAAAGTGATAATCACGGCATTATGAATGAACTATCAGTTTGATCTTATAGAATTCAGTCCTTTAATTGGCTGAACTATAGATTATCACCTTTAGGTGACACTGATTTCTGGCTTTGTACGATTCCCCGGGCTGTCTGCTTTCACTCGTCGTAACGGAGATTCACTGTACATAGCTTAATGTTTGCCTAATATCAAGGGGTAGAGTCCATGCTGAGAGTTCCTCTACCCACCAAGAGCGATCACTTCTGGCCCCGGTATGCCACTACACCCTGCACAGCCTGATGGGAACACAAATCGACACACTCGTCGCCACCAGGATCCATGGCATGGATTGCACATGTGTAAGGGCCGTAATGCAAAATCTAATCGGTGTGTCGGGCACAGCGAAGTCATTGTGATCGGAGAGCCGTGCTACTGTCTTGACATGTCAGTTCTCTTGGACACCAGAGAATGACTGGCTGGCCGCCTGGCGTCGTGCAAGCTTCGAGCGGCTGATGTTGAACAAAGTGATGTGATTGCGTGACGACTCTGCAAATAGACCTGTCGTATGGAGTTGTGCGACCTGAGCCCGTGGAGAAAAGTTACCGACAGGTTGGCAGAATGTTCGACTAATAGTGATTAGGTGGCTAGCTACAAGCAGTACCATGAGCGACAGCCAGCTGGGGGCGTACAGTTGCTGTCCTTCTGCATGGCATTGAACCGGACTGTAAGTTCACTAAAAGTGGTCTGGAGATTTAAAAAGGGGCTCGGGGGTAAATGTACTCTCGACGCGCAGATCTTGATATGCATCTCGCAGCCGGGGTCATCTCTGGAGAATTTGTGAGTTCGTTTTCAAGGTCCGCAGTTTGCACCATCTGGACAGAATTGGCTAGATTTTCTCTGGGCTGTGTACTGGTTGTTCAGCTTGTTGAGATTGCCAGTCGTCTTACGGTTGAACAGATGTTAGCTCAACCTGATGGTCTCGGTTTGGCAGTCGGAAACCACGACGAATCGACCTATCTCAGTATGGCTGCCGACTTGACAGCGTTTGTATTCCACGATGACAACGAGGCTGCTGTTGAAGCGGATGTATACTGAATGCCCTTTTAACTATCAGAGTGGTGTGGCAACACCTGATTCTTCAAAACTGAGTGTGACATTTAGATGCTGCTATCGACACTAGACTTAGCAATATTTCCTGATTGGAGAACCTGATATGACCACAACGTCGCTTTTCGTCGTGGCAAATATCGTCACCGTATCGCCAGGGTTGTTTCTTTCCGTAATGGTCGGGCGTAGTCAGAATAATCTTTCACACTAGGAACAGCTTGAGTGATCTACTTTAGCATAAAATAGCACTTTGAGGTAGAATGATTTGAGCAAAGCTGTCGTGCGATGAGTGATTCGGGTATTTCTCTGCTATGGTGCCGACGATGATAGATACTTATAGCGTCTGTGTCTAGATGCAAGCAAACTCGCGCGAACATAATGCTCGTATCCATGTAGTTGTCCCAATCACTGCTCAACCACCTCCAGCCAATATCAACAAGCTCAAGTTACAAATAGTACAGTATCAATGCGGTGGGGGATCCCAGCCAATACGAAGTCACCTATTGAACCTATACTTGACTGGGTAATCATTGATGGATTCGAGGTTGGAATGGAACATCCGGCATCGGCAGAAGATGTCAAACAGTGCGAACATGATTGGCCACCGCGAATCCCGCATTTGTCATCTAGTCTCTGTCAAAGGTCACGTGCTGCTCATTGCGTCAGAGGCCGAGTGCCGACGGGAGAAAGTATTATCGATCACTACATTTCCTCTCTCAACTTCTTTCCTGCAGTTCGACAATCACCACCCCCATAATCATGTCTGTCAGCTCCACCTCCGGAAGAACCATGCTTCGGCGCACCGCCCTCTTCGGCAGCACATTGACCACGAGCGCTGGCGGCGGTCTCGAGGCCTCGCGCTTCGCCCGACCGGCCGTGTTTGGCTCCTACCGCAGCGTCCACCGTTCCGCACGATTGCCCGCCATTACCCCCTCGGAGACCCGTCGACGGCCGACGTTGCAGCCTCATCACCACTCGCTCGTGCAGGCGCGGGTGAACGGCCCGGCGCCGACGAGCAAGCGCACGATATTCATTCAGACGGAGAACACCCCGAACCCTGATGTAGGCAGCATTTGCCCCCTCTCCAGCCCATCCTCCAACAATTTCGCACGAACCATACAACTAACGGATGAATTAAAAAAAAAACAGGCCCTCAAATTCATCCCCAACCACCGCATCCTCCCCGAAAACTTCCCCACCACCTTCCTGGAATACCTCTCGCCGCGCTCAACGCTGGCACCCCCGCACCCCTCGCCGCTGGCCGCACAGCTCCTCAACGTTGAGGGCGTCACTTCGGTCTTCTACGGCCCCGACTTCATCACCGTCACCAAGGCGGTGGATTCGAACTGGGCGCACATCAAGCCCGAGGTCTTCAGCCTGATCACCCAGGCGGTCACGTCGGGCGAGTCGATCGTCAACACGGTCGCCAAGGCCGGCGGCGAGGGCCAGGAAGGCGGGGAGGAGGACTCGCTGCGCTTTAATGAGGAGGACGACGAGGTGGTCGGCATGATCAAGGAGCTGCTGGACACGCGCATCCGCCCGGCCATTCAGGAGGACGGGGGCGACATCGAGTTTCGCGGGTTCGAGAACGGGGTCGTGCTGCTGAAGCTGCGGGGCGCGTGCCGGACGTGCGACTCCAGCACGGTGACGTTGAAGAACGGGATTGAGTCGATGTTGATGCATTATGTCCGTTCCCTCCCATCTTTTCCCACGCGGATGTGTTATAATTATACCCCTGGCTAATATACACTCGAAACAGATCGAAGAAGTCCAGGGTGTCGAGCAGGTGATGGATCCCGAGGAGGAGATCTCCATGCACGAATTCGCCAAGTTCGAGGAGAAGTTGCGCCAGCAGAAGGGGCCGGAGGCGACGGCCTCGACGGGGGGTAAGGGGACGCTGGACTCGGCTGCTTAGGAGGTTTGGCTTCGTTGGGGAAAGTTAGGTGGTGTTTGTACGCTTAGTGGGTATTGGATATATTGTGGGTACGTTTTACTCTTTACATGACCTAGATAGATGGAATGCACTTTCGGACTGCCAGTCTAAGGGTCTAGTATGCAGATAGGGCAACTTGTGAATTCTGTACGCAGACAGAGTCACTCGGCTCTTGCTGTCTTGTTACCCGATAGGTAGCATAGTAACCTATGACTCTTAGCGAGATAGATCCGTCGTGATGCTATGCTACTAAGCCAATGCATCCAACTCAAGCCTCTTACCTGCACAAAGAGCTTCAACTGTCATCCCCAACAGCTGGTCAACGCTACAGACTGTAGCCAAACCCAAGACGTCATCCACTCCCCTCCCCCTCCACTTGTTGTGTAACCATCCCAACCAACCAATCTAATCCCCAATGCATGTCGCCAACTACCTAGTAGTGCAGCTCAACCCAGAGCCCCCTCTGCTATTCCCAGCAAACCTCCACCCATAATTTCACATGATGGAGGGGCAAAGGAGGGGAAGTAGTTCCGGCCACTGCTTTTACTAGGTATGGATCTACTGACGTATTTCGTGTCTACGGGTAGTTGCTATATAGCTAGTAGCTAAGCTTCGACTAACAGCCTTTTTGCCAACGTGTACCCTGGTAGCTTCTGAGACTAGCAAAGGTATATCTAATACTGGGACTGACATAGAAGCAGAAGTGTAAGCAGAAGTGTAAGCAGAAGTATAAGCAGAAGTGTAAGCAGAAGTGTGAGCAGAAGCATGTGCAGATGTGAAGTAGAATTAGAAGCGGAAGCATGTGCATGCATGCACTTCTGAGAAACAGCAGCAGCCATCTACGTCGACATGGGAAGGTGAGAACTTCTTCATGACATCATGCTCAAAGGGTGATCAAGGGGATATGGTTGGAGGGGTTGCGTGCTGCAGTAAGTAGGTGGTAAATTCTATAGGTTTTAATTGACGGCCTCAGCGCATCACTGAGATGCGATTGGATGAGGTCAGGATCACCCTTGCCATTGTTGCTCCTAGGAAGAGGAAGACAACCGAAAAATCGTACGGAGGACCATAGGATATAGCACCTGGGTTGCGAGAGTTTAGTCAAGCTGTTCGCCAATGAATCTCAGCTTGGTGGTCGGTGAGAGATTTGTGTCCTCATGCTTCCTCGGTCAGCAAAATTCCACGAAGTGTCAGCCAATGGGTCTAGATCCAGACAGCACTCCCCCCGGATGTTGCCTGAAGAGGGATGTTGCAACTTGCCACGCTTCGGAGCCGGAGGGGCATGAGGGGTGATGTTGCAATAACAACCTTAAGATCTTATTTTTTACCTCTTTCGTGCTGTACTCGAAGTGGTACCTGGCGGATTGAGTCACAGTATAGTTCTCTATTGCTACTGAGCCATGGAAAGGTAAGAAAGCCACACATGCGATGGGGGAGGGTGTGGCGAGTTTCCCTTCCTATTTGACTTGGGGCTGGGGATTGTAGGTGCGGATTGGCACGTAAACCCCCCCCTTAGAGGGCGAGAGAGGAGGGGCACGCTTTTCTGATACTCCGAACCTGTTGGATGAACAGGAAAGCAAGCTCAGATTGTTTGATTTCCATCTTGCCCGAGTGGGGTCAAGTTAGACTTGCTTTCTGGCGTGTAACCAGTTGGCTTGGACGGGGGGATGACCGGGGGTCTAACAAGCACATCGCGTCTGAGAGGCTGGGTCAAGAAATGCTAACAAGTCCGAGATCCTGAACCATGGACTGAGGCCAGTTCACTATCAGTTTCTCTTTCAACTTGCGTGAACTCTGTTCCACCACTGTCATCATCATCATCTATCATCATCATCATCATCATCATCATCATCACCACCACCAGCCATGACTACAGTCCATGAATCATTTTCTGTCTGTGATCCCGAGTTGGAATCAAGGGTGTGTGATAATTCGCGAAAGGTGACGCTGCTCACGCTGGGGCAAAAAGAAAAAAGGGCTGACTCCGCGGAAGGGAATCTCTCAAAGCGGGAAAGCTCTCTCCGCAATTTCGGGCGGAGGCGATCCTGCATGGGCCATGGAGAGACCAATGAATTGCCACTCCCCACCCCTCCTCTCCTCTCCCTCTCGCTGTCTCCCTTACTTGCGCTTCTCCATCTAGGGACGTCCGGGCACTTGTGCGGCACTGAGTACGCTTGAGAATGGACGACTTTTCCCCCGCAATCCGACGCATGGCGTCGGTAGGCTGGTTATTATGTAACGCAGGCACGGCTCATGTCTGTACATGAGGTACCTAGTACCTAGTACCAGCAGAGCAGCAGTCTTGACCCAGGGGCAGGGAGCTCCCTCAATGATCGCTGATTCTCCTGGTTCCATTACCCACCATTCTTCGTTTTTTTCTTCATCTATCCTCTCAGACTCCCTCTCTGTGAAACGCGACGACAGAATGACGTTGACGAGTTGTCCCCTGATGACACCCAACCGATCCTGAACCCCCTGGACAGACGGAGCGGAACATACAGTACACAGTACGTAGTACGGTATCTGGTGGAGTTGTTATTGCATGCATGAGGAGTCTGCACGCTGCACAATGTCATTTATTCTCATCTTCCTTACCGAAGTCAGATGCGGTTTGGGTTGGTGGTAACTTGTTGGTGGTGGCATAAGCACGGGACAGCTTCTTTGTCCGCATGAAACCCAGTTTGTGTATGACAGTTTGGTCCACCGTGTCATCTGTGTACTTTCATCCTTTCATCCTGCAGTCCAGACTCAATCATTTCGCAAGCTCACTCGTTCCGCTCAATAGTCCAAGGGCGATGGAAGAAGACCCATTGATGAATGCTTCAAGAACAATAGCCTGCTGGTGCTGTTTGGGTGGAACCAATTGAAGCCAAACAAATGCTCTGACAGTTCGCGATGAAGCCAGAGAATAGTAGGTAGCGAGAGAAGTTCCCGAAAGGCAACCGGGGGATACAAAGCAGAATTAATGGCCGGAGCATTTTGGCGATCGATGGGCATTGACTGGGGATTGTACCCGCCCGGCCCACTTTGCGGGCATCATTCCATCGATGCTCGACCGGTTCCTGCTCTGATTCTCCTCGGCCTGCCTGTCATGTTACCTTTGCCTTTGGCAGTATGTAATTGGCACTTCGTTTTTGGTCCTTTTTTCTTCCTTTCTTTTTTTCCTTCTTCTTGTTTTTCCTTTTTCTTTTTTTTTTTTACTCTGTCTTCTGTTGCCCTACTTTCTACCTTTCTACCTTTCTACTTTTCTTCGTATACTCCGTACTCACTCAAAGTGCATCGGTCATAACTTCAGCCCATTAATCTTTCCCCTCCCGTGCGGACCTTGGCTCCAGAAGGTATCTAGACTCCCGTCGATTTTTCTACCCCGCCTCAAAGCGAGCTCGTTACCCCTTAGCCGTGGTTAGTCTCAAAGAGCAGTAGGCAAACCGTACCAGGCCTTGAACGGACTGGGAGCTGGGTCCAACTAATTAAGATCGTGACCCGAGGCAGCAGTGATAAGAAAGGGTGTATCAAACGATGGAACCAGATCTTCGTTGCAGAATGACGACAGTGGGAGAACGAGATGTAGATGTAAAGAATAAGAAGAAGAGACAGATGGATAGAAAGATAATTAGCTAGCTAGATACCTAGAAGATAGATAGACAGAAATACAGAAATACAGACAAACATACATCCATGTCCCCCCATCATACATCCATCCATCCATCCATCCATCCATCAATTCAATCGACCTCTTGAACGAACGAACTAAACTCCCTCCAGTCATCATAACTACCTTACTAGCAACAACTTAGTAGTAACTAAACACTTTACGCCACTTTCGACTGGGCTGTTCCCCCCCGACCCGTGGCTCGTCCTCTTCTGCTGCTCCTCTTCCCTCGCTCTTCTTCCTCTCTCCGCTCGTCGCCTCCTCCTTTCGTGTTCCAGTCCCAGTGGCCTGAGGTTCATTTTACCCGATCGAAAGCTCGCTCCCTCTTTCTCTCTTCCCCTTTAGCTTGCATTAACTCATCTTCTCCTGCGCATCCACTCGCAATTAACTAACGTAACTTACGACTGACTGTACAACCTCTCTTCTCCTCTTTTTTTTTTTTCTACCCTGATCATTCCCAACTTTCCTTCTATTTCTTTTTCTTCTTACATCTTTCCTCCTCCTCCTCTGCTTCTTCCCCCCTTCTCCGTCTGAACTATTTTCTGAAACTCATTTCCCTTTTGCTTTCCTTACCCGCCCTGAACGATAAGGTACCTCCCGATCACACCACCCTCACTCCACATACTACTTTCCCCCCTCCGACAGATCGTCATCGATCAAGCAACGTTGCAGAAGCCCGCTTTCCCACTTTGTCCCCTCCAAACGTCTGTGCAATTTACCCCATTCCGCGCTTGGTACGTCGTTCACCATCGCCTTTCCCCCCCGTCACGTTACTCTCTGTCTCCGCGCATTATCCTTAGACACCGCAAAGATTCTTGCAAAAAGTGCTAATTCACAGCGAATTCAGAACGCAGTATCCTTGCGATATCTTTACACTTGCCTTTCCCATCGCTACCCGTGATTGCCACTTTTCTGTCCCAAAATGCGCTGCTCGTAAGGCAATCTGCCTATATTTATTGGAGACAGTCTGCTTTTCAACGTCATTCGTCTATGGTCATACTACCCGCCCCCGAATTCGCGCGCCTGGTGGTCTTTTTAGTCGCGAATCGAGGCTCACTCTCAACATAGACCAGATTCGCGCCACGGCCAGAGTTATAGCTCCACCTCAGATCGCGACTGCATCACCCACAGCAGATCAGAACATAATCAAACAACAACCACCGTCGAGCCGCCCCGTGCGACTTGCGCCATACACCCTCCCTGCGCCTAGAACCGGTCGCACAGCGCCGATTCACCCATTGTCCTCTTCGTCTAGACAGAAGCCTGGTCGCTTCCTACGAAAATCGATTATTACATCCTACATTGAAACAATATCTCAAACTGGAAATCGCTGCGCTATTTTCATTGAATAGACCATAAAAGAAAAAGTTTCGTTTCCTACATAGACTGGTAAGTCGGATATGGGTTCTTTCAAAGTTTCGGACACTTGCTCATCGTGCGGCATGCGCCAACAGACGCGATCACGAACCCTGCGCTTGACTCTGTCTGGGATAGTCAGCGATCCGGATTTCGGCCTTGAATCACATCTGGGCCAATCGAACTTCAAGGTATGTTGCCGACAGTGGGGGAACCTGCCAATTGCGTGCCATCTGCGCCCAAGACACTATTCACTTTCCATGCACCATTTTTGTCACGATTGCCTTGATGATGCTTGCGATGCTTTTCCTTCGAGAAAAAGAGGTTGTGGCGTTCGATGGACGATTCACTTTGCGCGTATTCAACACTAGAAGTATTTCGCTTCCAGTGTAGGCAGTTCTCGCCAACTGTGCATCATTTAGCTCGGTCTGAATATTTCGATGAAATATGTTCGCTCCGCAGTCGCTGGGCTTATGGTTTGGATCCATCTACAAGTGAGCTGGGAATTGCGCTTGCTTTCGAGGCTATTCGGCCGATCGTATGATGTGGGGACTTCCTCGAGGTGGTATCCCTATTCATGCGGGTTCTGGAGTCGTCACCGGCAGCTGCTCCCAGCTTACATGAGCCTCACCCTCATTTTACTTTCGACTCCCATTCATGTCGCTTTTGCCTTTCTAGATAATTTCTTTTTCTCAATACTCTGATTTCTTTATTCACCATGCGTCCCGCCAGACATCAACCTCCCACAGATCCATATCGAAACAGGCTTAACTAATTGATCGTCCGACAGAACAGGAGGTTATCCTTGCCGTGAATCCTACGCGAGGGCCATTATTTTCGGGCAAAATATTTGAGCTCCTAATAGACTTGACGAATTTGTATTTGATTTTCCTCGAGAAGTGCCGGCCGAAAAAGGTGACTATAATTCCATACCCTTTCAGTTCGCCTCTAACGCTTGCTTAGTGAAGTACCCCACAGTTTCTGATTGCGGGGACCAATATCCCTTGCTCTCTGACGTCAACCTCATTAACTTAGGTAAGTTGCGTTGATTTGGGTTTATTCACTTTTCGTGGCCGGTGGTTTTTTAGAGGATTTTAAATGATATTTATTCACTACTTTTATCGTCCCATCACTGACCCTGTCTACCTTATTCAACCCACACGTTGCGCTTCACAATCCTATAAGGTGTTGCTTCGATCACTAACAGTAGTATGATACACAGCACTCTTTCGATCCGCTCGCAACCATCGCTCAATAAACGGCTGGATCCTGCGCCCCAGCCCCAGCGGGTGAAGAGAAATCATGGCTGCACCGACCACCAAACCCACTCCCCAGACTCCTAAGTCGGTCGCCTCTCCTACACCGACACACAATGCCACCGCTAGACTGGAAAAGACTCATCCTGGTGTCCGTCGCTCGACTCCGGACTCCGAAGCTTTGGCTTCTTCAGATGACGATGGAGATCATTCTCAGCACATCATTGTGCCTACGACTGCACCAACAGCGAAACCTGCTCGTCGCACCTCTTGGCTCAATGAGGTCCCCGCTATCGCACCTCGCAAAGCTTCCCTGACCGGCCTTCCGCTGTCTTCGGGCGCCTCCAACCCTAGCAGCCCGGCTACCGACCATGCGGGATGGCCCAGCACGAGTCCTGGCATTGGCAGCTCCATGGGCTGGAACAATGTGGGAAACACCTCCTTCGCCTGGGGTACTGGTATCTGGAATACCGAGTCTCGCAAAGAGCCACCTCCTCGCCTTTCCGAGATAATTCCTTCTCCAACCATGTCTAATCCATCAACCGCCAGTAACTACTTCCCGGAGGAACTACTAAGTCCTACGACTCGTGCTACCGCCGGGGAGCCTGCAATCCCATTTTCGATCCCTCTCCACCCGACCCCCAAGACGTATCGCTCACAGTCATACTCCGTCGGCCAGCTAGATCCTGAATTTCTGAGTTTCATGGCGAACAAGTCTGCCTCGCCGTACGCTGCCGGTCGAGCCCGTAACGGTGGCCAATACACCTCTCTTCAGCATCGGTCGTCCCGCCCAAGCCTCCTTGGTGAGCTCGGTCACGACTCGGCTACACTTGGACGCGTGCGCGAAGACGAAGACGACGAGGCTGGAAGTCCGGATGGCTCCGACGGTAGCTTGAGCAACTACGCCGCCAACCAAGCTCGCACTATCGAACAGCTTGCGAGGGAGAATGCATATCTGCGTCAGCAAGCAGCTGGCCAAATTGACAACACGCTCAGAGACCGTGCCATGTCCACAACATCCGCAGCTGGCGGATATGCAATCGGAAGTGGCCTCCATAACTTGCATCGTATTCGCGGCAGTGTCCCGGAAGAGACTGACCTTGCAGTGGAGGACCTGGACGAAGTCGGGGATATTCCTGGCTACAATAGTCTTCTTGGTGGCCCTCGCCGGAGACTTTCCGAGCATTCCGTCAATCTAGAGAAACAGTACCCCAACTACGAAAACCGGGCTCTGGAGAATGTTCGCAAGGCTCATTGGCAGACTTCTCTCGGGTTTGGTGGTATTTCCGATATATCTCAGAGCCGACGCCATTCGTTTGCGGATATACCTATTCGGCATCCCTCCATCTCGGGCGAGCCACAGGCAGGCCCAAGCACAAGGCCAGGACTAGGAGATCGGGAGGAGGACTTTGATGGTCCTCTGTCGAATCTACAGGGTCAGAACCGTGAGTATTCACCCTTTCATGCGGCCCCTCGCCCCGAGGAGCATGAAATGGAGACAGAACATTTACGAGCTCGTCGACTTGCAGAATCCTATTTTGCTCGCGACCAGGCTTTCCGCAGTGCCGATGGTCCTTCCATGGCTACTTCTCTTCATCAGGCGTACAGCATGCCGAATACCTACGGTCGCCACCAGCCGGGTCTTGCGCACCAAAATCAGCTTCTGTATATTGTCACCTTCAAGTGTCATCGGGCGGACGTCTTCTATATTCAGGAAGACACCGGACTTCAGGTGAAGCCGGGCGATCTCGTCATTGTCGAGGCCGATCGCGGCACAGACCTTGGTACCATTCAACATGCCAATGTGTCGATGCAAAAGGCTCGTGAGCTGAAACAACAGTATGCGGAGGAGCACTATAAGTGGTTGATGATGTTCTCTCGGCAGGGCCAGAACGGAGCGGCGACCGTGGTCAATACCACTGGAAGCGTTCCAGGCTTGAACAATAGAAGCGCCATCGGTGGTATGGGACCTCATGGCCCGCATGGAATTCAAGACTCCACGGTCGATATCAAGCCTAAGCTGATCAAAAGGCTTGCTCAAAACCACGAGATTTTGACGTTGCGGGACAAGGAAGGGAATGAGGCCAAGGCTAAGCGGGTCTGCCAGCAGAAAGTTGCAGAGCACCGGCTCAACATGGAGATTCTGGATGCTGAATTCCAGATGTGAGTGGGTTCTTATTCACAATACTGTGTTCTGATGCTAATCAACATGGCCTATAGGGATTGGAAGAAACTCACCTTCTACTATTTCGCCGACTCTTACATCAACTTCAACTCGTTGGTAACCGATCTATTCAAGATTTACAAAACACGGATTTGGATGTCGGCCATTAATCCTGCGTCCTTTGTTACGCCTCCTAGTGCAGGCCTGCAGGCACCAAACCCTTTAGCTTACAATCACGACGCGCAGGTCGATCGCTCGCACCAGCACGACGGTCGATTGTATAGCCCTGCTCGAGATGGCCACGATGCCGGGCGAGATGGTCAGCTGGGCGTGTTGCGCAGTGCGTATGCAGAGCCCTATCAATCTTTCGGCCCGTCTTCCCGGGCAGCCGAGTCAGGTCTTGGGGGCCTCGCTTCTGCGGATCCTTTCTCGCCTTACTCTCCTAGCGGATATACCCCCTTGGATTCGGGGTATGTCGACTACGCGGCAGGCTCTGGCGCCAGCGCTGGGTCCGCCCGTATGCATCCCCAGAATGAGTGGACGAGTCGTTTCCAAGGCTTGTCGCTCAACTCTTGACAGTGCGATCCAACTTGCTCAAAATCAAATTGTTGAATTGTTGCAATACACTGCAGAACAATTTGCTCGGTCCTTATTTTGATTTTCACCGTGGTCGTTGAGGCCCGCTATGCGCAATTCTGCTTCGAGACTACCTATTCAGAGCTGTCATGTACTCAATTCGAAGCTCAGACTCTCGAACCGATCTACTTTTTCCTTTCGCCCGCACTATTCCCCTGGATTTTACATTCGTTTCCTGACGCGTTTTTACAAGAGATAGAAATTCATGCGCAACGGACCAAAAGAAAGAGTCATGACATATCGTTAGTGCGGATACCTAATAATAGACTGGGCTTAACCCGGCAGCAAGAGAGGTCGGACCCTGTTTTCCGACATCATGTCAAATAAGGCTGCTCGGGCGGTTTTTTCCTTGTTCCTTGTATTATCTGTTGTTTCTGCTTTTTCATCCTGTCCCTACCGCATTGGCCTTCGCCAGCAAAGAAACCAAGGGGAGCCAGTTGACTGTTTTTCTTTGTCAAGGAATTTCCTCTTTCATAATTTCCTGTCTTATGTGATTTATGCTTTGTGGAGACGTCTCTTTCCTCCGGATGGGATGCATTCAGCATGTTATGAGAGAGAAGAGAAGGGTGTTTATCGTTCCTCGATTGCTCGAGTTAGACTATGATTCTTCGAAGACTTAAATTGATTGATGTTGTGATTGCGTGATCAAATGTTTTGGCAGAGAGGTAGAGCCTGTAGTCAATTGCTCGGCGTGCACGCCGGAACGCTCAGAGACTCGGTAATCCAGTTCGCCCTTCAGCATGGATGAGGGGCTGCGAGCTCAGTTGAATTGAACAGAGCAGCTAAGTTGCGTGCTTCTAGATTCCGATAAAGTCCTTAGCATGCATGTACTTGTATATCATGTATGGCTTGTCTTGGTATCATCACTATGCATTTTAACCCGAAGTACCGGTACTTTGTGGATTTTTCCATTGATACAGGATACTATATACACCAGTTCGAAAAGTAGTACAGTACACGAGACAGACAGTCATTCGCATGCGAAATCCTAACATGCTGTCAATGCAAGATGGCGGGCACGCAAGGTTGATGCATCAAACCAGTGCTCAATTGCGGAGTCGGGGCTGGATGTAATTATGGATGTTGCTTCATTTTGTTGATGTACACTTCATTGATTTGAGCCACGGTTACTATTCAATGCTGGCTGCCTTGTTGCCTGAGAGTGGAAAATCTCGATGGAGTCCCGTGACTTATCTGCCTCAGGTGTCCGCAGCCCCGACCAATCCAGGTGACCGGGTGGGGCTCGCCTAATCTCCTAGCGTCCCACACACAAGCTCGTTGAAGAGATCTTGCTTCTCGAACTTCTCACTCGTGACAACAGACGACAATCGACGACCTGCCACGCCGACAAGGTACGTTACGCCTCAATCCCGTCCGAATTTCGTTGCGACCGACAGAATCGATATTCAGATCGCAAACAAAAAAAAAAGAAAAACAATTCGAATTCGAAACTAACGATCCGTCCAGATGGGTGCCCTCAAGTACGTGGAAGAGATCCAGAAGAAGAAGCAGTCCGACGTGATCCGCTTCCTGCTGCGTGTCCGTTGCTGGGAGGTGAGAATTCCCCCCCAAATGTCGATGATTTGAAACATCTTCCACCGCCGGAGGGTGGTCTTTTGCTATGCCATAGGAACATCACCTCAAGGTGTTTGCCGGGCGGCTCGAAAAACGACCCTCGAGAGATGAAAATTTTTTTTTTCTTCGTTCGCCGGCGGGCGATGGATGTGGCACAAACCAGAAGCCTGGAAAAGAGCCTCTGTGTGTCTTGCTATACACTCGTTGAACTTTGCTGAGAGTGCATCAATATAGCTCCGTCAACTGAACGCCATCCACCGTGCTTCCCGTCCTTCTCGCCCCGACAAGGCTCGTCGTCTCGGCTACAAGGCCAAGCAGGGCTATGTTGTCTACCGTATCCGCGTGAGACGCGGTGGCCGCAAGCGCCCCGTCCCCAAGGGTGCCACCTACGGTATGCTATTTCGATAATAATAGACTTGAACGTTTTGAGGGACAGGACTAATTGAGTGGTATACAGGCAAGCCCACCAACCAGGGTGTCAACCAGCTCAAGTACCAGCGCGCTCTCCGTGCCACCGCTGAAGAGCGTGTCGGCCGCCGCTGCGCTAACCTGCGCGTCCTGAACTCCTACTGGATCAACCAGGACTCCACCTACAAGTACTTCGAGGTCATCCTTGTTGACCCCCAGCACAAGGCTATCCGCCGCGATGCCCGCATCAACTGGATCTGCAACCCCGTCCACAAGGTATGTTCTCTCCGATCCGGTCCGGTCCTCGCATGTGCTAACCCGAGTCCTCTAGCACCGCGAGTCCCGTGGTCTCACCGCCACCGGCAAGAAGTCCCGTGGTATCAACAAGGGCCACCGCTACAACAACACCAAGGCTGGCCGTCGCCACACCTGGAAGCTCCAGAACACCCAGAGCTACTGGCGTTACCGCTAGATGTAGCCCCGGGGCTGCTGAGTGGGAGTGTTGGAGTTGTGGGCAATGGAAAACGCATGCTGGAATGCTTGTGGATGTGTTTACTCCAATCAAAACTCGTTTCTGCGTGCCGGTCTATCAACTGTCGTGGTGCGAGAACAATGCAACAGATCTTCATGGTCGGATGTTAGCAAAAATTTTTCTTTTCTTCTGGTTCATCTTGATTCCCCCAACGAAGTACGGCTTTTTGTTTTTGACTTCTCTGTGTGCTTCTGGCGGCTCGTAGTGTAGATTGTAGATCACAGTACGGGACTAGTGGGGGATTGGGACTTGCAACTCGTGTTTGATTGCATGATTAAAGCTATGAAAGGATTGAATAGCACTACTACTAGCGTGTACTATGCTGGAGATCGCCTGCAGTCGCTGCTTGGTCTGGAGTGCAGTGCTTGTTCCTCTATCACGCAGGAGCCGTCTCAGCAGCTCTAGTTGGAAATATCACAGCCACAGAGATTTATTGAGCATCATCATCATCATCATCATCATCATCATCATCATCATCATCATCATCATCATCATCATCATCATCATCATCATCATCATCATCATCATCCAAGGCTTGAATCGAAACAGGCGTCATCTCAGTGAGAATCAAGTGAGACGCCGTCGATCTCAATGCTGGCTGTGCGCACCGCCCCGGCAACGCCCCCACTCAGGGTCAAACTTGCGGCCACCAGGATGACTTCATTACGATGCACTCTTTTGCGGATTTTACTGCATAGTCGTGCATACATCATCGCGCCGGCTTGCAACGGTAAGAAGTGGACAAGGTCCCTGAACCGTCGTGATTGTGGTTTGTGCCTGGAAATATATCTCAATGCAGGTACCGCAACAGCTTTGAGAAGGGTAAACAAGGCCAGGCAATCAATCCTTCGTCCGTTGTACTCTTTCTTTGTTTCTTTTTTATCTACCCAGACGTTCACAGGCATCATGGTTCATAACATACTGAATTTTACTATCAGCACCGTGAGGCAGCGTCTATCCCGTGTTGCCATTGACAGGTCTAAGACAAGAGCTCGGACAGTTGGAACAATCAGTAATAGTAGTAGTAAAAATAGTATCACCCCGTGTCGAAACCCCATCCGGTGCCTAGTATTGGGTAGACGGTGGATTGACTTCGATCATGTCATGGACGTCACAGATGTGGGAGGTGGCATTGAGGTGAGGGATGTCAATGAGACAATACTACGCAGTCCACCATACACAGGAAATGAGAATAGAAAAGTTGGTTCCTGGATGATGGAATCTGTTGGTGCCAAGTTCCCAAGTTGTAGGTGGTTGTAGCCTGAGGCAGGCGGTGACTTTTGATTATGGGGTGTTGCCGCATCCTCTTTGCGACTTTCCCCCCTCCCTCCCTCCCTCCTATTCTCCCCCTCTTCCTTTCCCTCTCTCTCTCTCTCTCTCCTTTTTTATTTCTACACATTCAAGATCCTCATCCAGACTTGCAAACAGCGCACTCCTTTCTGTTTTCTCTCTTTTGACCCTGCTGTCTATTTACACACCGGTTGTGTTTGTTCCCCTTTCCTGGTACCCTTAGTAAACTTGCAGTGTCCATCCAGTACATACCCACCCCACGTTACCCCCTCACGTTACATATTCAACCTCATCTACTACTCCAACTCACCCTACCTCATCCCCCGCCAGTTTAGGCGATTCCCTTCACCTTGGTTGCACCTAACCTGATTTCACTTGCTTCCTCGGATCCTTACATTCCTATTCTAAGGGGAACTCTGTCTCTCTTCCTCTCGCTTCGTACCCGTCGGCAAAATCCCCCCCCCCGGTTGATCCTGGCTTAGAAGAAGGGCCTTGCGGCAGGATCGTCCCTCGTTGTCGCCGCTTGGTGCACGAGTCACTCACTCCGCCGTTCATCCCCCTAAAATACCCCATTGCTCGTCAATCCTCCGAAAGATCAGATCCTCGAAATCTCACTTTTCAGAGACATCAAAGCCGTGTGATTCCCCGCCATCTCCACGATCGCTCGGGATCAACCCAAACCGATGCGCCCATATGCCGTCGCGGTTCCTACGTAACCCCTCCCTCACTCCAGCCGCGGGCCATCCCTATCCTTCTCTGGTGCCCTTCCATGCGAATGACGAGCGAAGCGCACCTGCTGAGATTGTCCACAATGCACCCGACCTGTCCGCCATGACTGGACTCACAGCTACTTCGCCCCCAACCCGGCGCGGCCATTCCCGGTCCATCAGCCACCCATTCCCCTCGCCCTTCACGGCCGCCGGGGGCAAACGGCGACCCTCGATTTCGAAGAAGAAGCCCAGTCGGCCGGCGCTGGACTCAGATGATGACGACTTCTTAGGCTACATGCCGGACCCAGCCTCATCCTCCCCGCGCAATCGACCCCCGCAGCACGGCGCGATGGCCGCCGGCAAGTGCATGGCCTGCAACTGCACTGTGCGCTGGCCCCGCGATCTCAAGGTGTTTCGGTGCACGGAATGCTTGACGGTCAATGATTTGGAGCCGTACTTGGCAACCGCCAAAGCGGGCGGCCATGGCAATGCGGGTGTCGATGGGAAGTCGCGCACACCCATGGTTCCACGGAAAGGTATGTGTTGGCGGAGGGTTGGCCGGGTGTGATGTGTACGGCAAACTGACGGGTGTTCCATATAGCGTTACCACTGTCTCTAGAGCGAACGAAGGGGCTCCTCGACGACTGCATCACGGAATACCTTCGGCAAGTTTTACACGGAACCGGACCGCGAGCCACACTCTCAGGTGGCCAACCCGATAAGCCCCAGCATATCGCGCAGGATGAGAATTTGGTTCACACTCCTGGCCCGACCGGTGATTACTTGTGTGATCCTAGGGCGACCGTCGACTCGCGCGGCCGTGGCTACTCGGCCTCGAGATCCGGGAAGTTGGATGGTCCGCCAAACTTCTCCAAGCCTAATCTCAGCCCGTACTCCTCCCAGGGAGAAGGGAAGAGCTCTCCAATGAAGAGTCGAGATGCTCAAAGCAGAGATACTCAAACCATGCCCCGGCAGGATCGCTCGCCTCGAGATGCTGGTCAAGGGAATCTGTCAGACACTAAAGAACTGTCGCGCCGCCCGCATATTTTTTGGCTGGTGGAAGACTACATAATAAATTCATTCAAGGGCTGTGATTGCTTAAATAGCTCGTTCACCACCGTACAGGCCGCGCCACGAAGTACCGAGAATAGCACTCCTCCCGAGCAGAAAGAGGACAAGAGTACTAGCGCGGTGGCAGCATCCGCGGAACATGTATTTGAACCTGATGCCAAGCTTCTCCTCCTGGGCGACATAGCAGAGAACTCGTCCTGGTGGATGAACGAGGTGGACCCTACCGTGCAATCCCATTCCAGGGACCATCGGGAGAAATCCCCAGGGTCTCGAGCCGTCTCCTCTCGCAGCCCACGTATTGACTGGGCAGTGCTCGCCCGATGGTACCACTTGATCATGACGGCCGGCACCTCCTGGGTTGAGTTGTGGTCAACAATGAAGCCAGCAGAGCTACGGACCGACGAGGACATTATGACTGCTCAGCGGTGGGATTCCACGGATTTGGCCATGGTCGAAAAGGAGGTGGTCGAGTCGCGCTTGCATCTGCAACGAACATTGCTCAAAGCGACGGAAAACCTCCTTAAACGGCCGCGACGGCCACTCAAGAAGCCGGAAGACATCAGGTTTCTCCTGATGCTCCTGGCCAACCCATTGCTCAACCCCTCGAACACATCACTGGCGTCTTATACCCTGGCTCCGTCCGCTCCCCGTGGTGATAGACGACCCTCTCATCCCATTCTTGGCAACTCAAGACCAGCGCCTCGAGATATTAAACCACTCAGTCGAATACGAAGCGGAGGACCCGGTCACCACGCGGGTATTGTCAAACGGATCATGGGTCTGCTCGCCAATTTGCCGAATGACTGTCACCATTACTTGGTTTCTTGGTTCTCACGCTATTCCACCGGACAGTTTGAGAAGATTGTTGAGATTGTGGGCAGCTTCGTGACGTATCGTCTGATGCGGCAGCATGGGCGGAAACGCAGTGAGACGGCGCAACCCGAGGATAGTCTGATACCTAGCTTCTCTAGCGCGGCTGGGAATACACCCGCCGAGTTGCATGCTGCCATCAATGGCCGGAGCCCGAACAAGTCGGCCAAGGACGATGGGGAGCAGCCTGTGGTCTACACCGACGACTGGCAGATTCGAGCTGCTGCCCGGGTGATGTCGCTGCTCTTTACGGCCAACAACGCCACTGTTTCCCGCAAGCCTGATGGACTTGGGAGTACGAGCCGGCCGCAGAGTGATCGACGAGGCCATATGGTACCGATTAGCTCCTTTTACAACACCTTGCTCGACTATTCCGATCTTGTGGCGGACTTTGAGGCCTGGGAGTCCAAGTCGAGCAAGTTTTCGTTTTGTCAATATCCGTTCTTTCTGAGTATCTGGGCCAAGATCCATATTCTGGAGCATGACGCTCGTCGACAGATGGAGGTCAAGGCGCGGGAGGCGTTCTTCAACAGCATCTTGAGCCGGAAGGCGATCAGCCAGTATCTTGTCTTCAAGGTTCGGCGCGACTGTTTGGTGGAGGACAGCCTTCGCAGAGTCAGTGAGGTGGTTGGGTCCAGCCACGAGGAAATCAAGAAGGGGCTGCGGATCGAGTTTGTGGGCGAAGAGGGAGTGGACGCGGGTGGACTGCGGAAGGAGTGGTTCTTGCTGCTTGTCCGAGAAGTCTTCGATCCCCATCATGGTATTGTCTGCATTCTCAGAGCGGTTGATACACGGCTGACTTTGTATGCTTAGGATTGTTTGTCTACGACGAAGACTCGCGCTATTGCTACTTCAACCCATACTGCTTCGAGTCGTCGGAGCAGTTCTTCTTGGTTGGGGTTTTGTTAGGCCTCGCCATCTATAACTCGACGATTCTAGATATTGCGCTGCCCCCTTTCGCCTTTAAGAAGCTTTTAGCTGCAGCCCCGCAGTGGTCCACCAGTCGATCCGTGTACAAGGCCACGCTGGAGGATTTGGCGGAGTTCCGACCCGCCCTTGCGAAAGGCCTGCGGGCATTGCTTGAGTTCGAGGGGGATGTTACCGAGACCTTCTGCTATGACTTCGTCGCGCAGGTGGATCGGTATGGCGAGGCGGTATCCGTACCTCTGTGCGCTGGAGGTGAGGATCGGCCCGTGACGAACGCCAACCGGCGGGAGTTTGTGGATCTGTACGTGCAGTACCTGCTGGACACGGCAGTCACGCGACAGTTTGAGCCCTTCAAGCGGGGATTTTTCACCGTGTGCGGCGGCAACGCCCTGTCTCTGTTCCGGCCGGAGGAGATTGAGCTGCTGGTGCGCGGCTCGGATGAAGCGTTGGATGTGGCATCACTACGGGCCGTGGCTACGTATGAAAACTGGTCCGTACCGCGGCCGGAAGCGGTGCCGGTGGTGCGCTGGTTTTGGGAGATCTTTGGGCAGGCAGCTCCGCAATCCCAGCGCAAGATCCTGTCGTTCATCACGGGCAGCGATCGGATTCCGGCGATGGGGGCGACGAGTCTGTCGATCCGGCTGGCGTGTCTGGGAGACGACACGTCACGATTCCCGACGGCGCGAACGTGTTTCAACCAGTTGGGTCTGTATCGGTATGAGACCCGGGACAAGCTGGAGCGGGTGCTTTGGGATGCGGTATTGAACAGTGAGGGATTTGGATTGAAGTAGTGGTAACTATGGTGGGTGGTTGGGGGCCGGTCTCCCTGATGTGTGGTATTCTTACAGGAAAATATAAGACATTTTCAACTACGGAGTACTATGGTGTGGTAGTGGTGTCCTCCAGGAAATATGAAAAATATCCTTAACTAGTATCTATGCCCTTGCAGAGCTGCCTCCCTCGGAGTCGAACCTAGTATGGAGTACTCATTGCAGCCTGAGGCCCCATATCACCGCTTTGGGTTAGTTGCTGATAACAGATAAGGCTAACCGGATTCGGCGACAGGGCGACATCCATCAAATTTTCAGAAGCTGCAACACCAACCACTGGTGGTTGTATTTACCTCTACAGCACCACTTCTTCTGCCCCTGATTCATACTGTTTACTGTGCGTCAACATTCAGCACCACCGGACAGACATACGGGGTAGCAACACAACCCTAGAAATGGCGCCTCACGCCAACCATCCCAACCCCACCCCCGCCTCGGCGTCGGCCTCCAAGAAACGCCGCCGCGAACCCTTCAACGTCGACATCAAGCAAGTGGAAATCTACGAAGACCTGGCGTCCGAGAAGGACGAGATCCGTTTGAAGGCCGCCTCGGCGCTGGTCTCGCAGTTCACGCCGGACAAGAACCCCAGTGAGGAGCAGATCACCAAGGTTTTGGGACGATTGTTTCGGGGTCTGTGTAGTAGTCGCAAGGCGGCGCGCGTGGGGTTTTCGATTGCGTTGACGGAGGTGCTTGCTCAGGTGTTTGGGAATGGTACTGCAGCAGCAGCCGGTGGGGTGGCTGGGGTTTTGGATGTTTGGGAGAGGTTGAGTAATGCTGTTGGAGGGGAGAGTGGACAGGTATGTTTTCTGTGTCTTTTGGGGGGAGCGCTGCGTATGACTGTACCTATGCTAATTTCAATTTCTATTCCAGGAACAACGCGACCACCACTTCGGCCGCCTCTTCGGCGCCGAAGCGATCATCAAATCCGGGGTGTTGTTTCAGTCCGCTCCACCCATGCATAAAGAATGGACCCGGCTGTTGGATCTGGTGTTCGAGCTGGCCAAGAAGAAGCCCTGGCTGCGCGAGGAGTGCGGCTGGGTCGTCTCCTCGGCTGTGCAGCAGTTGCAGAAACTCCAGGCTAACAACTCCGCGGCCGCCAAATGTGTGGAGGTCGCGCTCGAGCGGCTCTGCGCGCACGAGCTGGCCAAAACCCCCGAGGGCGTGGCCGTCTGGGTGCTGGCCAAGGAGGCGTTCCCCCACGCTAGGTTTCCGGGGAAGGTGTGGAAGCATGACGATCCGTTGGATGCGCGCGAGAGGAATTCGTTGGCAAAGGTGATGAAGGATTCGTCGGATGGGAAGGTTGAGGAGGCGGGTGAGGCGCTGCCGGAAAAGAAGAAGGGGGCTGCTTCTTCTGGGGTGTGGAATTCCAAGTTGCATTTCGCCTGGGAGCTGGTTTTGAGTCGGTTGCCGGTGGGTCAGGAGTCTAAGTCCAAGGGGGCTTCGAGGCTGGGCTTTTCGGAGTTTTGGGGGGATGTTGTTGATAGTATGTTTCTTCCTGTTCTCTTAATGTGTCCGGGGTGGGAATGGGAGAAGGCTGATGGCTCATGGCTGATGGCTAACTTGCTCTAGATGGCTTGTTTGCGGCCGCCTCGTCCGAGGAACGCAAGTACTGGGGCTTCTCCCTCTTCATCAAGGTCGTCACCGAGACTCCCCTGCCCGGCGCCGCCCAGGTCTTCACCCGCAACCTGATCCGGTGCCTCATGAACCAGCTGGCCGTTGAGGACCGCTACCTGCACCGCATGGCCGTCAAGGCGGCCAAGTCGCTGCAGACGCGCGTGGCCCGGGAGCCCGCCTTCGCCGCCGCCGCGGTGCGCGGCCTGCTCAGCCCGTCCACCGGCTCCGTCACCTTCGACCAGGCCACCAAGACCAAAACCGTCGAGAAGATCGTCGTCGAGGCCGACGTGACCGCGCTGACCGAGATCGTCCCGCTCTTCGAGAAGCTGATCGCCTCGCCCTGCGCCGCGGACGACACCAAGGCCGCGGCCTCCAGCCGCCAATACCTGGCGGGCTTGCTTCTCGCCATTGTGCGCGCTCGCGCCCCCGCCGAAGACGACGCGCAGGCCGTGCTCGAGCAGATCCTGTTCGTCTTGGTCCGGTTCGCCTACTTCAAGGGCGATGCAGGTTCCACCTCGGTCAGCCCGCCGCTCAGCGAGCAGACGCAGGAGCTGTTCCGGAACCGCATTGGCTCGTGCATCAACAGTCTGATCGCCAATGCGAGGTATGCGTCGGTGCCGTCTGCGGTTGTGCGCAAGATCCGCGACTCGGCCCAATCGGAGGCGCACGGCAAGTTCATTGTCAATATGGATGCGATGATTGATGAGGCGGTCAAAAATGCGTTCAAGTCGTTGAAGAAGTTAGCCAGCATGGTGAGTTTAGTCAATTTTTTTTTTCTCACTTGTTCCCTGTTTGTGAAAACAAAACACTGGTCATGTGCAACCGCTCACATTTGTTGTCTAGGAAAAGCAAGACAACGCTGCCAGCGTCGACGCGTTCCGTCTCCTCTACTCCCTGACTATTCTGCAGGTGTACAACGGGGACGCGGACGCGGCGTCTATGCTGGAGGAGCTGGATTTCTGCTACACGAAGATTTTCGGTGCGGCGGAGAAGAAGACGAAGAAGGACAAGAAGAAGGACAAGAAAACGACCGCCGAGGACCACGAGGATGAGGAGACCTCCGCTGCGGACGCGTTGGTCGAGATCCTGCTCAGTTTCGCCTCCAAGCAGTCCCCGCTGTTCCGCCGCATGAGCGAGCAGGTCTTTGGGGCCTTTGCCGACAGCATCACCGAGAATGGGCTGGAGTCGCTGACGGCCATCCTGGAGGCCAAGGAGAGTCTGGCGGGGCAGCAGGAGATGTTTGATCAGCAGGACGAGGAGGGTGATGCGGAGATGATGGATGTGGATGTGGATGTAGATGAGGAGGACAGTGATGTGGAGGTTGTTGAGGCGGGGGATGATGACGAGGAAGATGAGGAGGAGGAAGAGGAATCCGACGAGGAAGATGACGAAGAATCATCTGGTGATGACGACGAAGAGGCCATCTTCGAAGCCAAGCTGGCCGCCGCGCTAGGCACGCACCGCGCCGACGCGGACGTCGGCGAAGCCGACACCTCCGACGACGACGCGGACATGAACGACGACGAGATGGAGGAGCTGGACGAGCAGCTGGTCAAGGTGTTCCGGGCGCGGCGCGACGCGCTGGGCCAGAAGAAGGACAAGAAGGACGCGCGCGAGAACATGGTGCACTTCAAGAACCGCGTGCTCGATCTGCTGGAGATTTACGTCAAGAAATGCCACGCCAAGCTGCTGGCGCTGGATCTGCTGCTGCCCCTGCTGCGGCTCACGCGTCGTTCCACCAACAAGCAGATCTCCACCAAGGCTGGCCATGTGCTGCGCGAGTTCACCAAGCAGTGCAAGGGCTCCACGGGGCTGCCGACGATCCGTGAGGATGAGGATGAGGAGTCGCGGGAGGCCGTGTGGGCGCTGCTGCAGTCGATCCATGCGGAGGCGGCGCACAGTGGGCCCCCGGCGCACGCGGCGGCGTGTAGCCAGGCGAGTCTGTTGGTGGTCAAGGTGCTGGTCGCGCAGAACAGGGAGCATGTGGCCCGCGTGGTGGATGTGTATAGCGAGACGCGCAAGATGCAGTTGCTGAGTCGCAAGTGTCATGTGCCGCCCTCGTTCTTCACGGATTGGAATAACTGGTGTGTGTCGTTTGGGAAGCAGAAGAATTAGTAGCTGGGGTTGTGTTGTTCTGGTTTGGGGAAAAGTTACATACAGTACATAGATCGGGCTGCTGCTGTGTGCGATTTTGATTAAAGATATCCATTGTGTTTTCTGTTGGCTTGTTGAGATGCCGTCGATGCTTGGTAGATCGATCATTGTGGGTGGGGTACGTAGGCGTAAAAGCAGTTCAGTAGGGCTACCACTGCCCTCTCCACGACTCCCATTCCTACCTTGAAGACAAGTTCTACTGCAGACATCGAATGTGCCTCTGCTCCGTCACAGCCACATACACCAGACAAGACAGAGGGAATCGGTTATAGTACTTTGGGGGAATGTATGGAGAGGGTGGATGGGGTGGTGTACAGGAGGGCTTCGTAGCTTGACCGGCACTGAATGGAGCGAGATCTTCCGGAGTCTGATGGGTTCCTACTGAAAAGTGCCTGCGCTGTACGGGGTGCAGCGCTAGGCTTGGTGGAGCGGAGTAGAGCGATAGAAATAACGAAATAAACCAGTAAACAGAGATACGATCTCCTGGTCATGGCTCCATCTGGTCTCAATCTTCTCGACAAGCTCCGATCCAAACAAGGGGATTCTCCAGTAATCCTCAAGCATCAGATGAGGAAGAAAATGACCCAGAAACTCCCCCCGCTGGGCGTCATGTACTTATAAATAAGCTGGACACTGACCCCGGGGACTACTAAGCTGCGTTAAGAGCAATGACATCGTGTCTCGCAACGCTTGTGTCTTGTGCTCTTCATCCACTGGCAGTGATCTCAAGCGTTCTCCGCCATGTCTCCCAGTAACTCCCTCCCGGAGTCGATCATGCAGGCTATGAACAATAGTCTGGGGGAGACCCAGCAAGGTATGATGGACCGTGCTGAGGATGTTGACAGACCTCCGAAGATTGACACTCCCCAGAACTTGGACCACCACCAGCAAGACCCTGACAATCCGTCAGTCGGTGGTGGCTACCAAGACTTTGGCTGGCAGCAGCAGCAGCAGCAAGATGACCACGACGAAGACTATGTCAATGTGGACGAGGAGGAGGGTGGAGAAGACTCCGACGATCAGCCCAATCTGGGCCAGCGATTCTTTCCCCATTTATATGCTGACGATCAGCAAGTCGCTAACGATCCGAGTCCCTTCACGTCGGCCGGCGACCGATACTGGGACGACCAACGAGAAGATGACGAGGATGACGACAACCGAGTCGTTGACGACCATCAAGCCATTAGCCAATTTATTGGCGATCTTGATAGCCTGAGGGCGCGCAATCCTGCTGCACGTCAAGCTGACGAGGACCAGAAGGTTGCTGACAATCTTCGCAGTAATCGACTGATTGACGATCTCGATGACCAAATGGATGGATGTTATGTCGCTCGTCTTCGAGCAGACTGTCCTGATGACGACCTGAGCGATCTTGATGATTACCTGCTGAGTGATGCAGTGTTTAACGAGGTGATTGACTTTATTAATGAACAGGTGGATGATCACACCTCGGTTTCGGATGTGGTTGCTCGATATCTCGGGCCGCTTGCGGACTATGAACGCGGGTTTGTGCTTGATGCTGATGCTGTTGATGATGACGATGATTATGCTGATGCTGCTGATGCTGCTGATGCTGCTGATGCTGCTGGTGATGATTATGCTGATGCTGATGATGATGATGATGATGATGATGATGATGATGATGATTATGCTGATGCTGCTGATGCTGCTGATGAAGACAGTAACCACCAAGCACTTGTGCTTCATGATCATGACAACCACCACCACCACGCCCGTACGGAGTGTAAACTTGAAATCAAGTGGGAGTTTCAACCCCCGCAACTGGAACCCCGAATGCGACGAGCATTGGACACGATGGTTAACTGGATCAACACCGGGGGGTGGATCGCCTACATGCGAGCCGCGATTCACTTATCCTGGGCGCTGAAGCTCACCCCCGATGATAACTGCCCCGCCACCTCCCGCGACGGCTGGGCGCTGCGACTGCGCTACACCGATCTGCTGACCGGGTGGGGCTGGCATCTCGCCCTCGCCTGCGTGGTGGGGGTCTGGAGTAACTATCTGCTCTTCCTGATCGTGGCGCCGGAGGGCGTGACGAGGGAAGCGGTCTCGCGGCACGTCCACGTCTGGGACGTGCTGACTGGATTCACGACGATGATCAATGCCGGGATCATCGGTGCGATCGTCGATCTGTATGACGGGGTGGGCGACCGGGTGCGAAGCTTGGAGGTGGGCCAGGTCTGCGGCGTGGTATGCTGGGTAATGTATTCGTCGTCGCTCGCTGTGTTGACGCTGTATGATCTCGCCCGCTGGATCCTGCCGGGAGTCGTTGATGTGTTATTAGGGTCTGGGGTTACGATTTCATTCCGTCGGCGGACTTTTTGACGGTCCTGTGGCAGGTGGATGGGTGGGGGTGCGTATTCTGTGTGTCGGATGGAAAACTGGATTAAAGGTATAATGAGTATCATGTTTGAGATCTGTCGTGGTTGTGCGTCTCTCAGGCAACGTTGATGATATCGCGAATACCATAGTGAAAGTTGAAGGATTTTGTTTTTTTGTCTCTACTTTTAGTGCATTCATCGTAAGGTTCAAGCACAGCTTGAGAATTGTAGATTAACAGGCCCTCCTTGTAAACTTATATCCCCTCCCTCGACAGAAAAGATGAGAGTATCTTTGCGGAAATGTATGAGAGCATCGCCTGGAGGAATGGCTCTCCATATGAACGATGTTGCTAGCCGGGAAAAGGGACCATAAAATATGGACTCCTGCGAGGTGCTCGTGGTGCGCATGGTCTGTCCAGACAGGAATCATTCAGCCGCTGCTTGCTGTGATAGAATCTCCGGGGAGTCGTGTAGAATCCACGTTGATCAGTTCTAACCTTCAGAATGGTTCAAGCTGAAGTAGGCCCCTTGACTAGAACTTTTCCATGCTATTGCATGTTCACACATTCTTACGTGGTCAATGCTAGCGATGCCATCCAATTATCAGATAATAATCGTTATGCTTGGTGTCATACTTTTTCACATCAACAGACAGTTTGGTGTATGATTAAGGATAGTATTAATAACCATAACTAGGCCACACATATCTCAGGCCACACCACATGAACTCAGGAAACCGCTTCGAATGTCAAGAACCCGACTACTTTGATTAGAACAAAAAGAGAGATCAATGATAGCAACCCGGCATTGAATAACCCCAACACCGCTCCCACCTTGGTCCGCAGACGTCCTTCTTCATTCCACCACCACCGCCTCGATTTCCGTCTAAGCAGCAGTGCAAGCTCCATTCACCTGAGTCTGGGGCGGACCGACATCAACCGTCTGGACCCCCGAGACGGTCGTGACGCTGTGGTCAATGCCGTTGAACGTGCAGCGGACGTTGCCAGTGCTGGAGACGATGTGCGAGATGCTGAGGGGGTTGGCTGGAGAGACAATGGTTAGTTTCTGAGTAAACACCTCAAGGCAAAGAATGTGTGACATACTAATGACCGTCGAGGTGCCGTCGAGCGGGAACGACTGGGTGAATTGGGCGTTGGCAGCTCCTTGGAAGGTGATGGCAACGGATCCCTGGCCTCCGGAGGAGGGGGTGCTCGGGGTCGAGGGCGGCGGCGCCGGGGAGCCCGCCGCCGTGCAGGATCCCTGAATCTGGGTCTGAGGGGGACCGACATCCACGGTCACGGCGCCGGAGACGGTCGTGGTGGAGTGGTCGATGCCCGCGAAGGTGCAGGTGACGCCGGCTGTGCTGGAGGCGATGTGGGAGATGCTGAGGGGATTGGCTGGAGACGGGGCTGTTAGCCATCGAGGAGGCCATCTTGACTGGGACGAAGACTTACTGATAGCGACAGTGGAGCCATCGGTAGGGAAGCTCTGAGTGAATTGAGCATTGGCTGCGCCGATGAAGGTGATTGAGACTTCGTTGTCGGTGCGAACCGCCAGAGGAGCACCGGAGACGGCGGAGGCGAGGACAAAGAGAAGAGCGGACTGGGAGATGAGATGCATTGTGAAGACGGTCTAGTCTGGCAACTGCAACTGGATCTTTAAGGATGTCTTGGAATGCAAGTATAGCTAGTGAGAGTAAGAATGCTGGCTGATTTGGAAGTGTGTTGGATGCTGCTGATGATTTCGACCCCAGGATGAGGGGACACTTGGGAGGGTTTTATAGACATCTGGGGAAGCTATACAGGCCCCATCTGCAGTGTGATCCGCGTTGAGATATTACCAGAAATAGAACTATACCGGACAGCCCAGGGAAGGATAACTACTCCGCTTCTCGTACCCGGCTGCGCTCGGGAGACCAAGAAATCCCATGTATCTCCCCGGTTTAAGCTCAGCTTACGGTACTAAAATTATCACACGACTCCCTGCCCCGGTGGCCGGACCATGTCTCGCTCCCCAGCAGACCTGAGTCAATTACGAGCAGAGCCTCGTGTTGTTGGATGCATAGCTTATTAAGGGAGGGGTTTGTCCAGGGAATTGACAGCCATCCGTCCGTATATGCACCGCCTGAACCTAATCCACCTTTCTGAACGCGGACCACGTCGACAATTCTCATGCGCAATCATTCAGTTGTGCTGAAAAGCTTTACATAATGGTGAGACAGTTGTTAGCTGCTCTGGCAGCTGGAAACAGCGCAACTGTTTTTAGAAGGAAAGTCGTTCCGCCGGCCAAGTTAGGGCAAAAGTCATGACATCATACTTGAGAACAAAGGGTTGTTGTATCATCCGGACTCCGAGATTGAGATCGATCTGGTAAACTGTTGTCTCTACTCTTGCCTATTGGGAATCGTCGCATGACTGCATTTCTCCCTATAGCACAGTCCAACTTCACGTCGGTCTCTGGTGACGGTTCGAGCCGCCCTCGCCATCGTCCATGATAGCGGCTCATGGATTGCGTAACCCATGATGAGAATCTCCCTCAAGTCTGATGCACCAGTTCTTGTATGATATGGGGTTGTCGGGAACAGACCACCACTGGTTGGTGGATTCCACAGCCGGCCCCGGAAGATCATGTTGTTGAACGAGATGATGGAGATTTGCTGCCACTTAGCCATGGTGAATTGTGTGGCGGGCCTACCCTTACCAGGGCGATACAGAGTCAAAGTCGTCCGAATCCGTCACAGGACGATGCTCAACTTGTTGGATCCCACGAACCTCATCCGTTCGAGATAGCTGGCCTAAGTCTTGGATTTGATCGGACGGACTTACTTCTAGTATTTGCGCGTAAGACCATTAGATGTAAGGCGTAAAAGAAGATACCTATCTAAAGAATTGTTCAATTCCGAGAGGGCTGGTTCCTGGGCTCTTAAGTCATCTCAGAACCCTAGTCTAGTAGTCAGTGAACGTAGTGGCAATCGTTCATTTGCCGTTGTACTGCCTCTAGGTGACTCGCACAGCCGGCTAGTTTGGATTGCAGACCAGACCCATAAGCCAGCAGCTGTCTCGCAGTTACCATGGTCAATGGGCTTCGAAAGTTCCCCCTTCCAGTGCAAATGATTATAGCCGACGCTTCCGAGAATCAGATTCTATCCATCTCGCCAGAAGAACGATGGATAGTTCCCAAACCCCGGTACAGCAGGCCCGGCGTGCCCGAGAACTTGTTCCCCAAGCCAGAAGTCTTGAGATGAAATACGATGCATTCCGTCATGAAGGAACAGTCGACAGAATATCGCTCAACGGTGGCTATGTGGTGTATGATCGAGCAAACCCACCGTGCTATTCAGAAGGGCTATATGCAGAATCCCATGGCCAGGCTGTATAATGCAAATGGACACGCGATTTGTCCTCAGTGGATCGGGAGCTTCCAAGCAATTGAGAGTTGAGCTAGATGTTAGCTCACTGTTCGCTCAAGACTGAGCTTGCGCTACCTGTGGAAGGTCTATCAAATCAGTTCGCAAAGCTTAGGGAAGATCTGAGGAGAGTACAAATTGTCATGATCGCCATAGCATGAAGTGTAGATCTGCGGTGATGCGTATCCGAAGTCCGTGGCTGGTGAACCAAGTCCTGTCCACTCCCTTCGAAGCCACGCTGCTCGATATCATGAACTGCATTACCCCGCACAAGGCTGGCTCCAGGATCTGCGCGCCAGATGAGGGGTTGTTGCAGATGCTGCAGGAAGCGTTGCTGGTCGAGCCCCTGGCTGTGGCGGTGCATGCGGTTTGCGGCTGGCGGATGTTGTGCGGCCAGGCCAGACGGTTCTAGTGCAGGGGGCGGGGAGTATGAGACTGTTGGTTGCGGCTGTTGCGAGGGGGTTTAATGCGAGGAAGACCGCGGTGGGATCGTGGATGTCAGCGAGGCGAAGTTGGGGTTTGCGAGCGGGGTAAGCTGTAAGTGTCTGATTGCCCAACTAATTCAGAAGACAATGATCTGCGAGCACAGACTGATCCAAGGTTAAGCTTAGTGTTGCTGGACACAGTGGGTTCTACATATCGAGGTAGGGCTAAACCAAAGAGATGACCCATTGTGAAGCTATACCAAGTTAGGGCACGAGGGGAAATCACCTGACACCAACAGGATCATCAATCGCCATACACCAAAGGTTTCTAACTTTCCATGGAGGTATGATCCATTACAGAGAAGAACATGATACAAGACGGTATGAGCAGTTTTGACAGGAACTAATGCGACGCTGAAGAGGTTTGTCGAAGATGGCAATTTCTCAAATACCAGAACTCGTCGTCAGACTCGCTCGCCTCATCACCACAGGCCAACACGCGGATCCAAAGAGTTGGATACCCGAGTCATCAGTCAAGTCATATTCAGGGCCCCCCAAGACAATGCGCCAATTGTATGCCAGGTCATTGGACAAATCATTCAATGGATCAGCCAGGACAACGTGTTTCTTTTTTTACCGCGAAGTATCAACAGCAGTGCTACTCAACAAGCCTCAAGCACGATGGTAGCAACCAGTAGCATGCGCTTTGAAGACATGATTATGGATGGGAAACGCCCTTGTATAATGCGGTTTCTCGGACCAGGCGACATCCTGAATCAGTTTCGTTCCACAACACCAAGCAACGCATGTTGTTGAAGCAGACGCCTCGTGCAGGGCCAGAACTTAGCGGTCAGAGACGATTTGATGTCACCACGGAGCCGAAAATGACGCCTTGGAATTCTCTTCCCTCGGAGAATTCAGTAGCATTTACCCCGGATTACGTACTACATACTCGAAATAACGTTATTTCCAAGGCCAAAGCCGCGTAGAGGACATCCGTTCGTCAGATGAAAGAGCCAGTGAGCGATATATGCGTGGTTGGGGGAAGATCTCCACGCACGCAGCAACGCAAGGGGGGAAGGGTTATTTGAGGTCGCTTTGTTGAGAACATACGGAGGACCCCTACCAACATTCTTCCAGGACATGCCAATTTCCGATCCGGAAGAAACCCCCTCTTCCCCTTACTGACTCGATCAATCAATTACCAGGTTTCACCCACGCATCCCTTGCCGATCAAGGCGAGGAGCAGATCATGCTTTGGTTCTGGGTCTGCAAAGACCGTTGCGCTCTGCTGGGGCCGTTGGTCCCGCCAACAAGAGGGCTAAAGACACCATCCTGCCCTCATTCCATCGGCCGGGGCATATGACAGCCAGCGTTGCGACACTTTGCGGTCTTCTCGCTGAGCGATGAGGCATTGCGCATAGGATGGGTTGACTCAAGCCCTCCCAACTTCTTTTTAAACCACGGAGTGTGCCTTCCATGAGCCTGCGTTGAATCTTCCTCGAGTGCAGTGCATCCACCAGTTCTCCTCTCGCCCCGGCAACACTCTCAAGCATGTTTTGTCTCGACCACCGACAGCAGGACCCGACGGTGCAGGGGCTACGGAGCCACATCGAGAGCGATGTCGAGTTGCTGGAGCTGTTTGCGCAGGCCTTCAGTGAGATCCCCGAGGAGTTCCTGGGAGCGTCCAGCCACGCGGGGCCGGCCCATATCCGGGATTACAAGACCTTGATCGATGCGATCGACCAGGTGATCCGGACGGTGCCCGCATGGACGTCGGTTGTTGAGAAGCAGTGCGTAATTGCCTGTCCCATGAACGAAGTCCTGGTAAGCAACTCCCTACCCCTGTTTCTGGATGCCCGACAAGCGATCAATCCCACCAGACAACAACAACAACATCATGGCTAACCCCGACAGATATGGTTCATGAACACGCGAACCGGGTCCGAGATCCTCGCGCGGCAGGACATTAACGCGCACTTCCACGCCATCCTCGAGACATGGGGGCAGTACCTCACCTCCCCGGCGTCCGCGCAGGCAATCCACCCCGGGAAGGGGGGGTGGGTGTCCGCCGGTGCCCTCTCGGAGCTCCTCGAGGTCGTGGCCAACGCGCACAACACGACCTTCCGGCCCACCCGCTTCGAGCAAGCCTTCCTCTGCGACCCCGCCCTCCCCAACTACGGCTTCCGCTCCTGGGACGACTTCTTCACGCGACGCTTCCGGCCCGGAGTGCGCCCCGTCGCCAGCCCGGCCGACGACCGCGTCCTCACCAACCCCTGCGAATCGCAGCCCCACGCCCTCGTGCACCAGGTCCCGGCCACCGCCCCCTTCTCGCTCAAGGGCACCGTCTACGCGCTGCAGGAGATGCTCGGCGACACCCCGGAGACCCAGCGCCAGACGGCGCGCCTCTTCGCCGGCGGCACCGTCTTTCAGGCCTGGCTCTCTGCCTTCAGCTACCACCGCTGGCACGCCCCCTGCACCGGCACCGTCGTCAGCGTCCGCCAGCTCCGCGGCACGTACTTCGCCGCCGATCCAGCCCGGGGGTTCGAGCACCGCGATCCCGCCACGGGGCGGTCTTGTCCCGACCGCCAGGCGCCCGACCTCTCGTTGACGATGATCTCCTCGATGGCGACCCGGACGGCGGTGCTGCTGCAGGCGGACAACCCCGCGCTGGGGACGGTGGGGTTCTTGGCGATTGGGATGGCGGATGTGTCGAGCTGCGTGGCGACGGTGCGGGAAGGGGAGCGGGTGGTCAAGGGTCAGGAGATTGGCAGTTTTCATTACGGGGGGAGCTCGTTTTGCTTGCTGTTTGAGCCAGGGGTGAAGTTGCGGTTCGAGGCGTTTGTGGGGGAGGCGCTGGATCAGGCCCCGGGGTATGAGGGGAGGTGTGTGGCGGTCAATAGTCGGTTGGCTGAGGTATGATGGATGTGTATAGGTGCATGCTGTTGCGGTACGGTGACCAGAGAAGCTGATTGACTTTGGTGGACTGGAGTCATTGGATACTCTTGTAGATACATCTGTGTCGGAATGCAATCGGTCGTGCTGCTTCTCTCAACTATACGTCGTCACACAGACCAAAGTAGGTGTTTGATTCTGGCTCAACCACCTTTTTAGGGTAGCATGAGTCACATGCGAGAGGAGTCTGCGTGCGAGACTGGGTATGCATGGGTTCTTGAGAAATGGGATGCGAAGGGAGCCCGGATTTATACACGCATAAATGATCGAACAAATGATTCCATTTACTCAGATTACTGCTTGCTGCTTCCCCCAGATCTCCTCTCCTTCCGCACCGCTAGGCATCACTATCTATAGTTCCGGATAAGGACCATGAAAGAGCGCCTGAACGGGGGGAAACTCCCGATCCTGAAGTGCCCACGCTGCCTCAATCAGCGCCCCATCGGGGATGGTGAGAATGGCGTTGAGAACCACGTTTCCCACCAGTAACAGGGTTCGAAAGTCGCCCAGCCAGTCATGCATCGGCTTGCCAAACTGTAGCACCCATATCGCTCCTTTCTAACAACCCACCAACGGTCAGTAAGAACGGATCAGTCAAGTAAGGTCGCCTACCTGTTCCGCAATGACCTTCAGTAGATGGGTGTACGTCGGTTTCAGGATGACAGTATTACTTGTCACACGCTTGCTCTGCACCGGGTCGAGATAGTCGAGAGCGAGCGCTTGAGCGTTCATGTCCTCGATGGAGCGGTTGATGGCCTCCATTTGGGCCTGCATAAGCGAGACGCTGTCTTCGTGGAGTTGAAGCGTGGAAATGGTCTTATCGAGAGCAATGACATTGGCGCCGATTCGAAGAAGGGAAACAATCAACGCATCGACCTCCGGTTCGGGTGCCGCAAAGTTTGGGCCGGAGACGGCGAGATGGCTATTCGTGGTTGACGGTGAGTTGAGTTCCGTAATAGGTTGTCCGAAAAGACCCAGAGCAAGGGCAAGCACGGCGAGGAATTGAAGATTGAGGGTTGTACGCATGCTGAGAGGCTGAAGAGGTTATGAGCGGATGAGCAGATGATGAAGCAAGGGAGCAGGACCTGGCGGGTTGAGGTCAGTTGTTGTTTGTTTTTGACTTACTGGGTGGCATTTGAAGATTATATAGGTTAGCATTGATTCATGTGCCCTACCGAGACAAGATATGAACCCAAGGCCCGTGATGGTATCACTTGCGGTACTTGCAACCTCTTCGTTTGTTACACCAATCTCCAACTAAGAAGTACGTGGATGTCTGTTCTTACTGTCTCCCAGGCTGGTCTGCAGAAATGTGAAAAAAAAAATGACAATAGAATGTGATCTGCCAAATACTCCGAAGATGCTACACTTATTACTGGCAAATAAGACCTTTGCACACACTTATGCCTTGCTATGCAGAGAAGCCTAGCGAGGCAGAATGTCGATAGCACTTACTCATGCCGAGCTTATCTACGATTCTGCCCAACAATGTACCAAGCACGAATAACAGACGATGGTCGCCACCGTTGGCCACCGCCATCACCGCGTGCGACGCAGCGCGATGAACAAGTACTTCTCGCGTGCGCAGATTGCCCGTCTTGAGCCCGAGATCAAGCGACTGGCTACTCAACTCTCTGAGAGCTCGAATTTGAAAGCTGGCTCCCCCGGGGCCCGCGTTGTAATTTGCAGAGGATCTTCACCCAAACCAAGTTCGAAGGAAGTGAGGGTTGTGGTTGTTTGAAGGAAGCTCGAGCAGATGGCTAGGTGGGCTTTGTCCGGCTCTCTAGAGTATCTGTGTGTGTAACGGCAGAGCAAGTTTGCTTGAAGAGGGCGGGAAATATGACTCCTTTCGTGGTTATGGATTCAATTCGATGACCAGCTCAAATGATCTTTTGATGTTCTCAACTTACGGTGGGGGGGGCGGGGCGGGGCGGGACGGAACGATCCGTTCGCGATCCTTTAGCCTGCGAGGGGGACATGTAGATCCACTCTCGACACTCTTGTATACAGGATAACTATCCCGGCGGAGTGTCGAACACAATCTTCCAATTGGAGTCAGGGGACACCTTCCTTTATTCATGATTTGTACCTTATACCATCAAGTACCTCTCCGGGTAGCCTAGCCTAGCTCACCACCAATGCGTGCCGAAAATCCCATGTAGATAATCCTCAGACATATCTCACGTGCGACAGGCCATCTTCTCCTATTACTACTTATCAGCCTAGTTACTAAGGTTCTCTAAACCGTGTAGTACTTCCACTCACTGCTGCCGTGCGGGCCCCATTGACCCCCAGACACCTCAGGCCAACCAACCACAGCCCCGTCCCGTGCTATGAATGCCCTCTCATCACCTCATCCCGGAACTTCATTCCAGATGACATCTGCATGACGCCTACCCAGTGAGAAACGAGCAAAAAAAGAAAAAAAGATTGCCGCGACTGGGACTCGAACCCAGAATCTGCACTCCACCCGCTCTCGAAGTCGGGGGCTCTGCAATGTTAATACCACTACACCACCGCGGCGATTGTTGGTGGTGTGTAACAGGAACTTGGAGATAGACCCGCTTTTTTTCTGCCTGAGGCTGCGGAACTCCAGGTGTCTGGATGCCTGGGGTTGGCCTTCGATCGAGACAGCGAACGAGTGTAGCCTCAACAGGTACCTCCCGGTCCGGAAGAGCCCTCCAAGCGGCATTCCAGGGCGGGGTTGAACCGCAACTGGACATATGCGCATATGTGCACTGTTGATGTTTCGGGATATGATTGGATATACCCGCATTAGGCTACAGTGCTTGCTCTATCGCGAACATGTACGCCCAGATTCATGCGGAAGAGGCTATCCTCTGTTGGACATTCGTAAAGGGCGGCGAGACCCAGTTGGTCCCCGACCCCGCCTGGTACAATAGAGCCTGTAGGGCTTGGAATGCAGAGTGCATCTACAGTATGCTGCATCAATTCCTGCCACATCGACTTCAGTTTCCCTCTTTGCAAGACATTCCACCCATCTCGCCTCTGCACTTCCCTCGATCCCCTCCACTGCCGAGCTGGGTCGAAATCTCATTTCCCAGCCTAGCACCACCAGATGTCTACAGTCCCGTGTTCAATACACCGTCTACCGTCTCAAACGATTCAATGGGATCCCAACCGCAGATTACTCAGTTCATCAAGCAATGTCACCATCTCCTGCCTTGCATACACCGCGAGACCTTCTCGGCCTATCCGTCGACAGTGGGACCCCCTCGATAGGTCTCTCGTTGCCAGATCGGCAACAGTGACCAGGACGAACGAATATCTTAAGTTCTTAGTCACGGGTGTTTCTGCGAATGGTAGTTGCTGCGCTTACTCAAAGCCCCCTGCCAAGGTATGTGAAGAGTCTAGTCCGACCTCAACCACGAAGACGAACATTCCCACGACAGGAGAACGTACTCAGAAACATGCAGGCGGCAGTCTGATGTGTCTTCTCACTCGACCATCGTCGTACAGGCACAATGTCAACGACGCCCTTTCCGAGTGCAGAACCCACGACATCTGGGCCATGACCCTCTTCCACACCTGCGCCACCGTCCTCTTCTTCTACCGGACTGAGCCCGAGTGTGCCGCGGCCCCCTCAATCGGACATCCACTACCCGCCTTGGAGCAGAGTACAAATCTGTTGATAACAATTTGACCGGTCTGCGTTAGCTTCCTGGTCTCTCGCGGTGGATGCTATCACCAACCCGATGCTGGTATCGGCGTGGTTCATCTGCACTCAAGGCTGGATTATTATCGTTTGGACTAGGATCTGATGTGTTGGTGTTGAAGCGCATGGGAAGGGAACCGGGGGGGGGGGGGGGGTGCGGTGAGCGGAGGTTTACAAGGGGGTTGTACATTGTTTGTAATCATAACTTGAATTCTGCATTTGTACACTATTGTGCAGTCCGGGGCAGGCTCAATGACGTTGCTGAGATGCGGAGTCAGACATGGTATAATGGCCTCTTGAATTCACCACCCTGACCATCGTACTATTTGTCCGCCCTGTCCTGCGTTCCCATGAGGGTTACAGTTCCCTGTAAACTACTGCTTGGAGAACGAACAGATAGACGTTATTATCACGTATCTTAAAATATGGATGATGAAGATATCAGAAGTGCGATTTAGAAGGTAGACAGCATTTGCGACACAGGCTTCCCCAGATGAAGGGCGTTGCTCTCACCTGACTTGGCATTATGCCTAACTATCTACTCATTACTAGTGTCATTGATTGTCAGGATCTGAGCAGACAAAGGAAATTGAGGGAGACTTATTCTGAATCACGGCAGCATCTGATGGTCGAAATCTACATGACCTACAGTATCTCCGTCGGGACTTGCCTGTACCACGTAGCCGGATGACAACCACGCCGACACTGAATGCATTTGCGGGCTATATCTTGCCAGATAGAACGTTTTCCTAAATTCCCGATCGCTTGGGCAGGAAAAAATCCCACCAAGTCGAGACAGGACGGTAGGGTAGATCCTCGAAAGCATTGTTCCTCTGTTGATCGGTGTGCCCCAACTGGAAAGCGATTGCATCTTTCGTATTAGGTACATGATTTCGCTCTCTCTTTCGACCAATCATGCCGCCAAGAGAATTGCTTTCTTCGTCATTCTAAAATCATATTAGCAGAGGCAATAAGCACTTGTGGGGTCTCATGTTCCGGGCATTTGCATTTCTGCCTGACGGCTACGTTATCTGTGGGTTCTTCACAACCCCTCGTGTTAACGGAGTCGGAGACTGAATGGCCCCCGACACGGTACCAAGTGCATCTAAAAAGATAAGCAGATAAACGTACAGTAGTCATCGACGAAACGATTAAACTGGGGCCGTCGGGGGGCCGGCGGCAATAAGTTAAGGCTTACTTGCGGCTCCACCAGCCTGCAGTAGACGGCCAAGAATGCCGGGCAAACCAGCGAATGCTTGGTCAAATCTTGATTCTGGACTTGAGGAGATGTGCAGTACGGTCCTGCTGACTGCGGGGTCAAGTAGAATCTGACACCGTGCTTGGGCCTTCGCCTCCTGCAAGACTCCTGCTGCTCCCCCATTAGGGTTAGTGCTCGCAGTGTCGATCTCTCAACGGTCAAGTGAATGGATGAGGGGCTAGAGAATAGACAGGGAATACTGTGAAAACTACAAAGTCGATCTCGCATTCTTCAAACTTCCTAGTGGCAAATCTCGGTGCTGCCGCGGAGAAACAAGCCAGCTGAGGTTATCCTCAACGATCCACCCCATTTACTTCCTTGAGAAATCCCTGCAACGCCCGCAATGCCCGCACAAGAGTCGCGCTGGGCTGATGCCCCTCACCAGCGTCCTGCAGACTCCACGGCAACTCGAGGTCGAAAACGTGATCCGCTCCCTGAACGGGAAAATACTGTACTTCCAGCCCCCGCCTCCGTAGCTTGGCCACGAGCCGTTCACTCTCGCCACAAGGGACCTCACGGTCCGCCGTGCCATGCACGAGGCACGTTGCTGGAAAGGCAGAAGTAAACGAGCCCCACGATAGCGGGAAAAGGGCCCTCAGACGACTATCCCCGTCGACTGCACGGTCCAGCCCCACCTGCACCACCCGCTCACTGAAACCCGACACTCCCGTCAGATAATCCAGAAACGCCCCTCCTTCCAGCATCGCGTAGAGCAAGGGGAGGCGTTTTCTCGTTCGAAGCTCTGCCTCCGATGCGGGAAAGTCCTCGCCCACGCTCGTCTCGCCTCGTGCGATCTGACGAGGGATCGCAGCCAGCAGGGATTGCCTTGTGGCTGGGTCCACCGGCGCTGCACTCGGCAGCGTGACGCTCTGCGCCCACTTCGAGCTACCGAGGTCAATCCATGGGTAGAGAAGCCAGAGCGCCCGGGGACGCGGCGGGAGGGTTCTCTCGTCTGTCTGCTGGTCGTGGTCGGAGGGTCGAGTGGAAAAGTGCAGCGCAGTGACCAACGCACACCATCCCCCGGCGCTGGCCCCGCCGAGAATTATCTGGTCCAAGTCTGCATTGCATCCCGGGTGGAGGCGGCTGAGGGATCCCCCAGCGACCCATTCATAGGCTGCGATCACGTCTTCGCGAGTGGCGAGTGCGGTGGATTCAGGCAGGACCCTGTAGTCCGCGGAGACCACAGTCCAGCTGTGCGACAGAGCGTAGTGGAGCAGCCAGCCGGGAATGGCGTTTCGACTTCCTGTTACCTTTTGGGGGGATGGTTAGTGGTTGAAGTGCCTTGTTTTTTTCTTTTTATTTGACGGACGTTGCGGCTGGAAAGCAATTAGGGCTTTTCTACCCGAAAGGTTGACTTACGAGGTAACCACCATGAAACCAGAGTAAAACAGGCTTAGCAGTGCGTGACAACTCCTTGTTTCCTGAAGAGACGATTACGTCGAGATGAATGTCTGTGGCATGATGGGTCTTGTAGACGTGGGTATGCTTGGTGTATGTTTCAGCAGCAGCCATAGTCACCGTGCGTTGCCTGCATGCAGGGTATTCTTGAATGATTATCTTCGAATTACACCTGAAAACTCGATCCAAGAGTCGCAGGCTCTACTTATGCATAGCGCCAATTCCAAAAAGCAGTTTAAGGTGTGGGGCAGGCATGAGACTAATTCGGTCAGGGGCCAGTTACAACACATGCCAGTCCCAAATCTAGTGTATTGGGCCTATGTCTCCGTACATGATTCCCCACTACATCCACTGTCTAATCACATCTTGCTCGACCCCTCGTCCCTTTTGTCGTTGTCGTGGCCATCAATTCCAGCGGAACTCAGTGCTGTTCACTGCTTTAGGCTTCGTAAACATCGATTTTGACTTTTAATGGTCGTGGGGAGTGATGGTGTGGTAAGCATCGTCAGCGTCGTCGCCACGCTTGTGAGGCGTGATGGTGTGATAAGCATCGTCAGCATCATCGCCGCGCTTGTGGGGGGTAATAGTATGGTAGGCATCGTCAGCGTCGTCGCCGCGTTTGTGGGGGGTAATAGTATGGTAGGCATCGTCAGCGTCGTCGCCGCGTTTGTGGGGGGTAATAGTATGATAGGCATCATCGGCGTCGTCTCCGCGCTTATGGGGAGTAATGGTGTGGTAGGCATCATCTGCATCATCACCTCGCTTGTGAGGCGTGATGGTGTGGTAGGCATCATCCGCATCATCGCCGCGCTTGTGAGGTGTGATGGTATGATAAGCATCGTCAGCGTCGTCGCCACGCTTATGGGGAGTAATGGTGTGATAAGCGTCGTCGGCATCGTCGCCGCGCTTGTGAGGCGTGATAGTATGATAGGCATCATCCGCATCATCACCACGTTTGTGAGGAGTGATGGTATGATAAGCATCATCCGCATCATCGCCACGCTTGTGAGGCGTGATGGTGTGGTAGGCATCATCCGCATCATCACCTCGCTTGTGAGGCGTGATGGTGTGGTAGGCATCATCCGCATCATCACCTCGCGCTGCGATACCCATCATCTCAGCAGCTTCTGACCGGGCTGCATGAACGGTGAGACCATCTAACAACCGTGAGCACTGCAATCTGAACTGGGACAGATCACATACCCTTTGACGGAACTGGAGCCGCAGCAACGTTTCCGGCCAGCAAGGCCAGGGTGACAAGGTAAAGCTTCATTTTCAATCTCTGACAGGATGAAGGAGTCTATGAAATGGAGGAACGTACGATTTACTTGTCGAGAGCACACACACGAGCGTTTTTATACACTCGCCCACGCCCGCAGTAAAGTATTCGGTGCTTCCAATCTGGCCGGCACGCACAGTGACTGGAGGCTCGCATTAGCGTATAGTCAACCTCAACTAATCTCACTTCTGCAACTAAGCAATTACAACCCACCAAGCCTGATCTAATCATTGGCGCTTGTCTATTGCAGACACTAGCCGTTGCAGAATCTGTTCTTCAGACCCTTTGAACTGATTCTCGGCCGGGCTGTTGTGCATGCACGGCAGCTGGACAAGGCCAATGGCAAATATGCCTCATCTATCTACCTTGTTTATGCATAGAGATAGATGCGTCTTCATGAAGATTGGGGTCATCCAGATGACTTAGTAGGCAATCTGACAGCTTCACAGCTACGCGAGTCCACGAATCACAGGATTCTTCAGGTGGGATCGCAGACACTGGGTTGAGCATTGGCTTTCTGAAGCAATATTTCGCAATCTTTCTATACGAATCTATGAATTGAGAGACCGATGGCAAATATGCCTCAAGTGATCCTGCATGTTGATCATGGTGAGATGATATCTTGTGAGTCTCTTAACTCCGGGCAACGGCTGAAGAAGTGGGATGCGTGAGCTCGGACAGCGGAGCCGCGGGGAGGGGTCGGGCTTTGATTGCGCAGAAGCGGCTTAAGCTTTCGGGGTTAGGGCCTGTGCTTTTCTGCACGGCCTGGCCTTCGGACATCCCCGCCTTTGCATCGGATTACAGGTTTATATCATATCATACCTTGCATGTACCCATCCAATCATCCGCGGTTGAGGACGATCTGTCCAATAAATACCACATGGGGCCCCAAGATGAGCTAGAATGTACTTCATCCCGCCCTCCCTCATTTACTCACCCTTGACAGAGTCACAATCCAGCCATCATGGAGACCAAGTTCGAGAAGTTGCCCCAATACGACGAGAGCCACTCGGACTCGACCAGTCTCTACTCGGAATCCGGAGGCCTCTTGGAGAAAGATGCCCCGATCCCGAAGAGAAAGTCTGCTTGGAGAAGATGGATCATGCCTGCCGGACACCTTGCCCTTTTATCACTATACAGCCTGATCTTCTTTGTTTTGATGCGACATGCACGCAGAATCGAGAAGCGCAATGAGCACGTCGTCTACTGTATAGTCCTGCCCCGGATACACGCCCCTCCCCCGACTTCTGTCCGCTGACTCTCTTCTAGCACCTGCCCAGGAGGCTGTCAAGTTGGAGGCAATGGAGTTCCGTTCGTGCGCCCTGCCCCCTCATCCCGTGAGTCATACGGACTAACAGGCCTCAAGAGGGACAGCTTCGAATCATCAGCCCCTACCAGGGTGACCCGAGTCCTGAATTGGATCAGGCCTGGAAGGAACTTCTGCAATGTACGTCCGGGTTGTGCGCCAACCTTCCCACACTTTTCGCATACCTCGAGCTAAACACCGTGACTAGACTCAAACATCTGGGTGACGGGGGAAGAGTTATCCAAGATCAACAAGACCTCGATCCCCGTCCCCGGGGAGGAGGACAAGTATTGGGTAGAGCTCAGTGTGGTGCACGAGCTACATTGCATTGTAAGATTCCCTGTTTCCAACCAGAAAAGAAGCGCGGCGGTCTTCCTCCTCTTTCCTTAGACTCAGACTCATCCGAACTCTCCTGATCGCAGAAACGTCTTCGTCAATACATCCACTCCGATTACTATTTCGCCAACATCTCCGCCGAGGACCGTCGCCTGAATGACCTTCATACAGGTACGCTACCCCTCTGACGCTTTCCCCCTCTCCCCGAAAAGAAATCTAGACACTAATAGACGACCATCATCCAGACCACTGCCTGGAGATCCTCCGACAGAGCGTCATGTGCCATGCCGACATCTCGATGATCACCATGACCTGGGAACCCACCAGCAAATACCCCGCGGCGGACTTCCAGAACGTCCACGAATGCAAGAACTGGGACGTGCTGTACGAATGGCAGAAGCAACGGTCGGTCGATATGATGAAGCCGGGCTTCTTGGTCCATCCTTACCTTGGTATGTGTTGAGTCTGCCCAAGACTCTTTGGTGGGTTGGGGCTAACGATGCAACGATGATAGGCGTGCCCTTCCCCGATGGATATTACCACGGCATCGGTGCTGCGGATCCAGAGAACGCGATTGGAAAAGGTGGGGAGGATATGGATTGATTGCGATTGCTCTTCTAGAGGGGTTGTCTGCGGGGAACTATGATAGAGGGGCTGGATGGTTCATACTGGTGGGAAGCTGCTGTGCTCCGGTTAAAGGGTGTAAAAAGACTTGCATGTTGGAAGGGTCTCGACAGGAATGTTTGTGGTGTGTAATGGACATAGGGCCCACCACGAATAAAAGAACCACAAAACGACCGCTTCAATAGACACATGAAGCAAATTCAAGGCGACTAGCTGAGCTGCACACTATCCACAGTCACTGCTCCCCTCATTTTGCACGGAAACACAACCTATTGGAAAGAATGACATTCTCGTTTAGCCCTAAAGGCTCGGGTGTGAAGGCCATTGATGATGAGCACTACATTGGTTTCTTCACCACCAGACAACGTGTCGAGCATACTGATTAGTTCGCTGAGTACAGCAATGAAACCAAGTCGTCTGCGGGATAGTATGCTAGATCAATGATTGCTACTTATGACTCGATCACTACAGCCAGCATACCACCCGGAGTATAGTACAATCCACTCCTCCGCTAAGCGACAGCAGCAATCGCCCGCATGAAGGCCGGACTCTCATGGCCCTGCACGACCTTCGAGATCGGGATGAGATGCGCCGCAGAGCCCTCCGGACTCTCCTGCAACCACCGAACATAGCGCTGTGTGACGCGCAACCACAGCGCCCTCTCCGTCGCACTCGCCTCCAAGCCCTGCCACACCCACAAGCGATCTCCTGCATCGAACAGAAAGACATCCTTGCCATCGAGATCCGACTTGCCAATGCGATCGCCCTCCTTGACCAGATCAAACGACAACGAGCCATGCGCATCACTGAGCCTGAACAACTTGCGCTGCCGGGGACTCTCTCCCTCCCCCTCCCCGTCCTCCTCCTCCTCCTCAGCCACCGCGCGCTTCCGCGACGACAAGGGCCGGGGACAGGTGAACGACAATTGCTCGACCTCCTTCCCCCCCAACATATCCACAACGACCTTCGACCGGGCCTCAAGCTGCGACAGCACCTCGACCTCGACATGCTTCGCCTGGGTCAGATCATGCACCACCTGCGCCGCCTTCCCCTTCTCCATCGGACTGCAGCGCCTCCCCTGCCAGACCCAGATCTTCTGGGTGGCATCCAGCACAAAGACATCCCGATCATCCAAACTGCGCCAGTCGGGCTCCACCTCATGCACAATCACCGACCCGGACCGTCCAGAGCCAGGATGCTTGAAGACGCGCAACAGCGTCTTCCTCTGCTCCTCTTTCTCCCCGTCCGTCGCGACCACATGCCGGAACCCGGACCGCACCCCGCCCGCCCGCACCGTCAGCCGCGGAAACAGACCCACAAACTCCGGCGAGGGATGCGCCTGCACCTCGCGGTGCTGCGTCGCCGCCCCGTGGAGATACTCATCCAGCTCGACCGTCTTGTACGCGGCGGTGCCGGCTTCGTCTTGGGTGGTTTTGCTGCCGAGCCAGAAGTAGATGTCGTGGTGGAGTTGCTGCTCGTGCCCCGCTTCTTTTTCTTGTTCGTCAGAAGAATCCGCATGGTCGACTTTGGTGCTATGCAGCACGATATAACTATCCCCATCGTAGAACTCCCCGTAGCGCTCCTTCGGCCACGCCACCACCTCGAATTGCTCGATGCGCCACACGTGTAGGCCCGGGGCGCGGCCGAGGGTGTCCGGCTCGCGCCAGGCGGGCTCGGTGGTGGCGGAGTTGTATTTGACTTGGTGGTCGAGGGCGCTGTTGATGAGTTCGACGTTGCTGTCTTTGAGGTTGTATTCGGGGGGGTGGACGAGGCCTTCGTGAGGGGGCATTTTGATGTGTATGATGTTTGATGAGACTCTGTGTGTTTGTGTGGTTGATTTCAGTAATTGTGAGTGGCTGGGATGTTTTATGGAGGAAAGAATTAAGTTGTTTGTTTCTTCCGTCAGGAACTGAACTTTAACTCTCCGTACAATTGATCGACAGCCGATGATAACATAAGGCGGATAAACACGTGATGTGGCGGGGGTGTGTGGGGTTTGACTGTGTGTTTTTTATAGTAAAGGTGGGGCTGTGTGGCTGGAAAGGGCAGATTAGATTGGCTGTGCCGCGGAAAAAGTGATGCGATGTGCCCTGCGGGATGCTGGATGGCCGGCTCAGGGCTAGAACTCTTTCCAATGCAGGGATCCTGCTTGACTAATTGGGGTTTTATGTGCATAATTCAGTCGTCTTGTTCAAGTTGATGTGGTTCTCTTGACTCTAAGAAGGTTGTAAAAGCCATCGTAAATGGTTTTACGCAGTAGGAAAAAACCCCATCCTCTCTCGCCGTCTACGCGATGACGGAGATGGAGCCGGACTGTTAGGCTGGGTGATTGTGCAGGGTTTCATTTGATGCTCATACCAGTAACATAACTGAGGAATCGTCTCGCTGATGCGGCCGCAAGGATACTTGTCCAGTGATATTATCCACCTGCCTTGAGCACTCGTGTCAATCTCTTTATTCAGTCAAGAGGCCACGCGTAAAGCAACGAAAGCCCCACCACCTGTCTCATGCTGGCAAGTTTCCCATCGTGATGAAGATGCTGGAAAAGGCAATCCACGCCGCCAGATACCCGTAGATTAGGGCAACAGGGCCTTCACTGGATAATGAGTCGGTTGGTGATATTAGGTCAACTCTTAAAGACTGACTGACTTTCTCCAGTCGACGGGCTAGATGATATATCTAAAAACCCACAGTAATGGGCTCAGAAGTCTATTGGTGGATCCAAGAGCTATAGTCAACCAGGTTTTGATATCCGATTGCTCAGTGGAGGTACTGTTGGCACTGCCTGGCACGGTCTCGATTGGCTTCGATTAATAGACGCATGACATGAGCTGCGTCACTTTGACCCTATCATCCCGAGCTGCAGAGCTCCAGCAAGGGAGCTGATATCAGGTCAATCCTTGCAGGAGGGATAGAGAGGTCACAATGAAACACTTCGCGAGAGTCGATTCTGTCATCAAGAGAAATCTTCAAGTACTGCACCACTATACCAGACTCTGGGTGCTCTCGAGCACAAATATCACTCATACTTCCATTTCGTCGCTTCCTATCACCCAAAACATTTAATCACAACGCAACCAGCGTCTTCTCTGGCTTACCCCAAATTCGAGGAGCTGAACAAGATCACACGCCGACATGCTCGACAAAGCGCCCTTTACCACTGACGCCGTCCGTGATTATGCTCTCAGCCTCGACGTGCTCCTGCGAATGCGCATGAGTAACGGTAAAAAAAGCCGTATCGCTCTTCTGCGAACTGTCTTCATACTCCCGCCACGGCTTACTGTTGTCCTCCTGAGACTCTGTCTGTCTCAGCCGCAAGGCAGTAAGCAAAGTACTAGCCGGCGAGTGATATACTGCTTGGCCGTAAAGGTGCTGGTTCTGCGAGTTAACGAAGAGTTGGCGGAAGGAGGCGACGCAGGAGATCATTATCGCTAGTGCCTGTAAGTACAGTACGCTAAAGAGGGGTAGGGATGCAACTTAAAGATCTAGGGCTAGCGAGACCTACCCGTCCCCATCTCAATAAAACTCCACATCCACAGCCAGGTCATATCCATATTGTGATTGAGTGCGTGATTGGTGACCACGCGGATAATCGCCACGGCTACGACGATGATCGTCGCGGCAAAGATGCCGAGGAGAATGATCTTTTTGGTCAAGGAGATGCGGACATTCCAGAGAATGAGAATGGGAATAGAAAGGACTGCGTCCGCAGATTAGCTGCAGCCAAACAAATAATCCTGGACAGTGGAGCTCACTGAGAAGATCGGTGACGACGTCCCCCGCGCAGTTGGCCCAGAAAGTCCCATTCTGCCACCGAATGTGGTACGGCTTGTTACATTGTTCTAGCACCCAAAGTTAGCGAGTCTCTCTCGTCTGCGAGCTGCTGAGTATTACCGAAAATAAATTCCACGCCGCCCAAACTACACTGGTAATCGATATCCCCCACCGAGACTACCCAAACCGCCAGGGTAGTCGCCGAGACGACCCACCACCAAACACGATGGTTGTGGATCTTCGATCCCAGCTTGTAGAAGAACACCAGAAAAGAAAACTTGACACACCAAAGGGTGGTGTAAAAGAGAAACATGAAGGGGGCTTCATATCGCATCACCGTATTCAACCGTGGTATAACGTCCGGCATAAAGGCCGCTGTGCCGGCGCCGAGTGCATACAGCTCGTAGAGTGTTGGTGATTCTACTCGCCAAACAATGCCTGTGATGACGGAAAGCACCCATGCAAGCAGCACGAGGAAGTCGTCGACGAAGAGCCGTCGAAAGGTCTTCAACCGGACGATGACGCGGGCTGCGACGAAAACCGTCGACGTCGCAGTAAAAGTCCATAGAACTCCCTGTGATATTACTTAGAGGCTGTACAGTATGAGAAGATGGGAGGAACGGACCATAAAAACAGGCTTGGAAACTTTAGCATCATGTAGACCTGTGAGCACTAACTTAGTGGACATCGTGAGATAAGTAAAGCTTTCTGCTTGCAAAGAGACAAGCGTTCAGTCGAACTCAATCAGATACACGTCAGTTCATATAAGTGGGCGAGATCTTATCCAGAGTCAAGCCATTGACCCTGTCGATCTTATTTGGGGGCGATGCGGCCGGTGCGACATTTATCACACCCGAGGGCTGTGCTCGAAGTGCGCTTCATAACTGTCGACCCTGTTCGATCATGTTTCAGAGATTGACAGTCTGGGGCCAAAGCCAAGGCCTAGAGTCCCCTCTTTCGGCAGTTGTGAGATGCGCATCCCTGATAACTGTTTGATGAGTGTGTGTGTTGGCTGCAAGACCAGATGAGTTTCCCATCGGAACAGCATCTGCCCCAGGCAGTCAGGCACTAAGACACTAAGGCATTACGGCATTAAGGCATCAAGGCTCAAGCCTCCCCAGATTCAGCCTTGTATGTACAATTCCGCATTCCAGCATCATCATGATGGAAATCACCGCCAAACCCATAATGACAACCATTGTGCCGCAAACAAAAGGCCCAAGTCGACACCATGGCAAAGCACAAATCAGACAAAGAGATCTGCGATTGTCCAAGACGCTCTCTCCTACCACAACTCAGTCGCAAGCCATCTAGCAGCCATGAAGTTGCCAGGTATAAATCTCAGCTCTTTGTCCACCAGTCTCCCTATGTTTCTCAAATATGTTTGTGACTCCATCGTCCCTCAGATGTATGCGCAATACCACATGGATTCAACCAGCCGCACAGCCAGCGAGCAAAGGGAGTCCATTGCGGGATCCGGGGAAGCACACGGCACAGAAGCATCCGCCAACGCTGCATCCTCGCCCACATCGCAGTCAGCGACAACGACAGTTCCAGGATCGTTTCCTCGATCGCCAGACCCATATCCCTCCAGATCGGCGTCTCCAGCTGCTGGTATATCCACCGTCACAAACTTCAACCCGGAAGAGTGGAGCGCCCCTATAGATTTCACCCCGGCTGACACCACCGTCATCAGCTTCCCTGACGACATGCACACCCAAGCCACCGCAACAGCCCGCTTCATCACCCACATCTACCACTGCCACGTCGGCGATTTAGACTGGGATAAAGTGACTGCCAATCTGTTGCAATGGTGCAGCATCGAGCAGAAGAAGCAGCGGCGGCGGCAGCAAAGTCATTCGATCCCATGGAGTTCGCGCTCCCCATGCCCCAAGAAGCGCAAGAACACTCCCATGGAGCAACTCAAGAAGCCACCAGAGTCGTTTACCACCACGACGACACCCCTCCACGCTCTCATCAAATGCCCCCCCTTCGTTCAACTCTTCACCGAACTCCACCCCACCACCTTCCCCGACCTCAGCAGCACCCACGCTGCGGATTGGGGGAGATTCATCCGCTACCAGCCCGGAGGAAGCCACCTCTTCCACGTCACGCAAGACATTGCCGAGATCCCTCCGCTTTTTCACGCCGCCATGAACTACGTGGAGCCAGAGTACGAGTCTAGCTTCGATTCTGGGAATGCAGGGGCAGTCGCAGCGGCAGCCACGCCAACAGCCAGGCCTGCGCCTGCGAAGAACTTATCGCAGTTCTATGCAGAGCACTATCCCCGTCGGCAGTGGAAGTGGTATTTGAATCGGCGGGCGGTTTGGGAGGTGACGGTGCCGGGGGTGCAGATTGGTTAGTGCAGTAGTTTAGCTGTCAGGATGCTGGCTGGGTGTGGTGGGATAGGTAGGTAGTAGCTTGGGTTCTTGAGTTACCTGGGTGTCGTTAGTCTTTGGGTCGTGCTAACTGGTTCTTCTGTAAGGGTTTTGCCATTGGCCTTGGTCGTGTCTCTTCCGGTGAGGTTGGATGAGAATTATTGTTGAAGTTTTGGCTTTTTTTTTTTTCTAGACTCTTTATGAGATAATCATGAATCTGGTAGTTATCATGTTCCTACCTATCCTCTGTATGAGATAATGGATACTGTAATTCTAGGACCTGGGAATCTTCTATTGTAGTTAGTATTACTGTTAGTCACCCGATATACTGTACTATCATCATTACCCATTACCTCCTCCCAGTGTATAAGAACCTCCTACCCTCTAATTTATTCCCTCAATTCTCTTCTTCTATAATCTGTACTCACCCGTTCGCAATAAAAAAGATCTTACTATCTTCTATCTTCTCTACTATGCTACTTCTCTTCTTTTTTTCTTATTATAAATTACAGCTATATCTTTATCTCTTATTATTCCTACTTCTAGAGCACAGACAACCATGACAGGTGAGTCCTCGAGTCAAATATCCTCATTATGAACGTCCAGAACCAATCTAGTCCAGACCAAAGTATATGTACATGCATTTGGAATCTCATCCGCCAATCAAATCGCTATGCAACACCTAACCCCCCGCCCAAAAGAGAAAACCCCGCCTATGTCATACGGGGCTGGAACTTCGGATTCGTCCGGATTCTCTCCCCATACTTCAGCAAGAATAGCGAGGTTGGCGCAAACGCGACCGCGATGAACGCCAGCAGACTATTGCCCCAGCCCAAGCCCAGCTTGTCATACAACGGACCCCCGCCCAGCGGGATCGTCGCCCCGAAGATCGACCGCAGCGCGAGCTCGGCCGACACCGCGCTGGCGGCGTACAGCGTGTATGAATCAATCAAGTAGACCTGCGTCACCAGGTGAACATAGTAGATGCCCGCGCCCACGAAGAATGTCCCGACGATCGGGATCATGTAGTGAAAGCGGTACTCGGCGGTCCAGCCATACCAAAACAGGCCGACCGGGACCAGACAGCATCCCAGCACGAGTGGCGGGAGGCGATCCTCGGGCTTCATTTGGCCGTGGATCCTCTCCTGCCTTTTCAGATAGCGGTCGGAGTAGTATCCGACCGTCACCTGTCCAAAGCAGAAGCCAAGGCCAAGCCCGAGGTAGGCGAGTCCCGCCTCGCCGGGGCCAAAGCCGTACACGTTCTCGAACACCTCGGTGAATGTGGTGAAGAGAATGTACATGTAGCTATACGTGACGGAGCTGTACAGCGTCACAATCAAGACAACGGGTGACAGCACGAGGAATTTGATCGGTCGCGACAGGGAAATCCAGAGAAGCTGGCCAGCAGTTTTATCGGTGTCGTATTTCGTCCGGTAGGGACGGCCGGTCTCTTTGTGCAGCTTCATGGCTTTGCGCTGTAGGATGGTAGGGGCGTATGTCTCACGGAGCAAGAGCAATGAGGCGACGGCAATCGCCGCACCCTATGTCTGTTAGGGGCATGGTCAGAGAATGCATAGAGCCGACTCACCAAAATGACCTCTAGCCAGATTGTCCATCTCCACCCAATGTTCTGCACCATGTATCCTCCATAGATCGGTCCAGTTACCATCCCCTGTATGTCGATTAGCTTCTAAAATATAACTTTTCGAATCGTTGCATACCATAAGTGGCCCCACTGTCCAGATGGTCATGGCTGTTCCGCGTTTTTCCATAGGCATCATATCTGCAACGAACCCTCCCCCAACAGTCACAGGCACCGAACTAGCGACCCCCATGATCATACGCGACACAATTAGCATCGGCATATTGACACTGGCCGCGCAGACCGCCGCTGCTGCTGTGAACAGTATATTTGCCGTGTGCGTCATGGGCAGCCGCCCAGTCATCTCAGTAATCGGTGTGAGGATGATGGGACCGATGGCAGCTCCCATCACATAAATCGTGGTCATGAGGGACTGAATCGACGAGCTGGTGACGTGAAACTCTTTCATGACGTCCGGCACGCCCGGCGAAAATACTGTGGAGACCATTGAGCTGAATACTGTTAGTCCAGTTTCCCGATATGTGCACAGAGAGACAGGAACCTACACATTAAAACTGCTCGCGGAGATCAGTCCTATAATAACCCATTTCCGCCAACTCGCCCAGTTCATTGGGTTTTGAGGATCGTAGGGCCCGTCCCAATGCACCAAGTTTCCACCTTCATTGTGAGAGAAATCACTGCTGTCGGCCGAGTAGATCGCTTGAGCTTCGACGTGGATAGCTTGCTTTTCAGCAAAGATGGTGTCTGCACTCTCAAGGCTGGATTCCAATTTCAAAGTATGGGAATACTCGAGGCTAGTTTGAAGATCTTCCGGCATGCTGACCCCGGCGATGTGGAGGGGGATAGGGAAGACGGATGGGATACACAAAGGAAAGCAGCCATGGCTTGATGAAGGTGATCAAGGGAATAAATAATCTGATAGCCAACTGAGAAGGCACAATGGAAGAAACTCGGTCAAGCAGATCTGTGGATAATCTCCGCGGTCTGAGAAGCAACGCGCGTCCACAAGGCGGATCTCCCTGGTATGTGGCCCTTGCTGTGCAATTGACTGGTTTTCCGGGAAGCTCCTCGGTGGTCTCTGGCCTCCCTAGTCGCCGAACCTACCTCATGTGCTCCGATGGGTCCTGACAGTGTGGTAGATACACGCTGTATGTATGACGACGGTGGTAGACCCCTTGCATGATCACTCGTTCCATGCGTGTTATCGGGCAGTTGGCTCACTCATTGGTTTCGGGTTCCGCTCCACTCGGGTGAACCCCTGGGCGGCCATTGAAACTTCTCCACCGATCTACAGGGCCTGGGTGAGCTGAGGACCCTTTTTTCCGTTAAGGCGAACTCAAAGATGGGAGTCGATAATTACAATGAAGCTAAAGGCGATTCAATAGTGTTCCTAGTCTCTGCTTGAATGTTGACGTGGTCACCCGCCATGTCCGACCTCGGGAATGCAAGTCTAACCCGAGTGAAACGACAGAGGGGATTATCGTTAGAAACCCGGGAACTCATATGTAGATTGAGATAAAGGCGTGACACATTTGATGCTTCGACCCGGCGAACTCATGACCAGGACCTTCAGCTTTAGCAGATGGATACATGTGATTTATCCACGGCCTATTGCAAGCAACGATCTTAGCTGTCAAAATATGTTAGTGTGAACCCTGTCGAAGCCTGCTTATGTTATGAACACCACGATAGCCCTCTGAAGATTTGTACGCCTGGTGCAGCAGTTGACGCCATCATTCCATGGCAGAAAGAGCACATGGTGGGATGAGTGGTGTGCAGGCGTGAATGCAGATCGGAGCAATCTGGAGTGGCAATAAGACATGCTTGATTGTACCGCACGGGTTAGCATCCAACCCTACACTATTGGGCGGCGCCCGGGAGATCTTCCCGGAGCAAAGAACCAACTGACACTTTGGGTTGCGCATACTAAGAAATTCGATCCCGTGGATTTGATCAAACATGCGGTAGATGTATCTTCTTGGTTGAAAGAATAATAGGGAGCATTGCTCTAGCGCGTGAAGCTGCACTCCATTGCAATTGGCTCATAATCATGGCAGGTAGAGCGGCTGATGGTGATCTTCGCGACCCACCAGTCCGCCAATATAATGGGACCCGATCTGCAGCCGGATCCGCAACTACAAGGAGCTTCAGCCCCGAGAGTTTGAGCTTAACGGACAATGTCGGGTAGCCGGAGCCAGGGACGTTGTTCTGGACCGGGGAAACAGGCAAGGGTCTTGGGGGTGTGTCCACCGGTCTCGGCGAGCTCAGTGCGGACGCGTGGCGTACAACGGGCTGGCGGAGGTTAGAAGCTTATTTCAAAGCTCCGAGTCTCATTTTTGAGTCGCCCTGTTGTTGCCAACTTGGTTGTTTGATGACTTGAGAGGATGCGAAAATGGCTCATGCAATGAGTGAGGTGGTAGTGGAGGTAGTGGTGGTCGCGAGAGCACCTCGAAGGACCACGATCTCCACACATATGGTCGAGACCGGTGTTATGTAGTCCTTCTCGTAGTCGGAATTCATGACATATCCAAGCGAGAGAGAAGACAGGTATCATCTGGAGGCTCAGAGGCACAATCACTGGACATTTTTTTTTCCAGCAGTGGGGAAGTTGTTGCACTGACGGCGGAAGTGGCGTCGCAGCTAAAGACGCCGGCGAGGCCCCGTGACTTTCTCCTATCAGGCCAGCTTATCCATCGCAGTGAGCTTCCTAAGAAATGCAGTGTTTTCTCGCGTTGGAAGCAGGAGAATGCAAGGTGCTCTGTCCTACTACACCCAGCATCTCACCAGATGATATAGCCAAGAGAGTCGACCATATTGACCTTATTGGAGGTAACGTGACAAGTATTTGGCTCAATTTCCCGGCGGTTTTGGTCTATGCCTCGCCAATCAAGCTTCGTCATATTCGAGATCTTTGTACGCTCCAAGGGACCACATAGTTATGACTATTTTTGCTGCGAGCGGCTCTGACAGAACGAGGCACTCCTTTTGTATTATGTTGAAAACCTTCTTTCTGCCGTTCTATTTTCAAGTTAGCATCAAAGAAGCTGCGTCTTCCACATAAGCCTAATCATGTCATCGAACTGCAGCCAGCCTCTCTGTGCCAATAGAATAACCATGGTCAAACCCACTCTCCACCCGTACCTGCATGGATTTTGGACATCTCTTGCATGCAGTGAATAACCAGCAAACTGCTTGTTTACAATTAAATTCACAACTGTCTTTTAACTTCGACAATAATATTATCACAGGGCAAACCTGCAACTCATCCGGCATCTTAGACAGATTTGGACAAAGAATTAAAATCTCTTCACAAGGTCAGTGAAAAAGATATTCATTCACCACCCTTTGATCACTTTTGCCACTACGAGCTCTGAAAGACATTCCGCATTGTCGAGAAAACAATCCTAATAAAACATCAAATCCACAGCTCACTACGAATAAAAACCTTTATTTACAATCTGGTTGGCCCTTCAAGGAGAAAAAGCACTACTAATCCCAAAGACACCATATCAACAGCTAGCCACTAATAGCAAGGGTTGTTCGAAACTACCTACCTAGTACTCACATACAGTATCATATATAACATTTCGGTTCTTTGGGCTTCTTAAGGTCAAGGAGAAAACCCAATCAGCAACGTCAATGTTCCTGCCTCGACCTCCTTCAAGGAGTAAGATCCCGTAACTTCGCCATATGCGAGACTCTCCATTCAGCAGCTGCCTAGTCCAAAGCCGCAGCACAAGGAGACTAAAGAGACTCGAGAATCAGATGCAGCCATCTTTTTACGGTCATGCACCACCATCACGCCAAGGTTCTTTAGAGAGCTGGTCCCCAACCTGCGTCCTCGAGACCACCCTCTGTAGCCAGCATCATGGACTACTTAACCTGGAGTTCCCCCAGGGCATGTCTAATCCTCCTTAACCATCCACAACCATCCTACCACTCCAATTACATGCCACCATTGCCAAAACCTCCCAAGTACAGAACAACTCCCCAAGCGCAACCATGTCAGGCCCATGGCCTGGTGGACTTCCGACTCCACCACCAACACCAACACCAACAGGACTACTCACCCCTCCTCCCACCCCTCCTTTCACTCCTCTTCCCACTCCCCCTCCTACTCCTCCTCCCACTCCCCCTCCCACGCCTCCCCCCACGCCTCCTCCCTCTCAGCCATCTAAGTCATCTCCTCCACCTCCACCCAACTCCCCAACACTTCTTCCAAACTAATTGGTGCGGTGGCGTGTGAGACCGGGCATGGAGTGGGCAGAGGCCCCTCTCGCACTGGTCTCGCATACGTCTATCGCGACTGACGAGAACCGGGGCCTAAAAGAAGACTAAAAGACAGCCCATCTTGCATCTCAGACGAGAAAGCTTCTGACATTATGCCATTGGTGCTGGACACCAGAATCTCGATAGAACATCTGGAGTTTGAGGCGGATATCCGACTGGATCTGAGCTAGTGGAGCGATAAAAAAAGATTCCCTTCTTGCTTGCTTGCTGGCCTTGCCAGGAGTTGAGCGAGTTAACGGTACCATTGCTTGAAAGTAATTTGTTTGTCTGGCTACGTCTCGCTCGAGGTGTGGTCGGTTTACACTGCATCTATTGACCCTCTTTCCGTTTGTAGACGGTACGTAACAAGCTACGCCCGCTGTGTGGGATGGCTTGTAGGCTCTTATGTTTGACTTGGCTTTCCTCTCAAATCTGCGTCTGTCTCGCAATGAGATTTGACTGTGAACAAGACAGTAGTAGCCGAAAGACTCACTTCATCATGACATGCATGTAGTAGCGGAGTCTGACTCATTACTATCCTGTCATGAACCGGATGTAGAAACCCAGTCCCTCGCTACGGACTCCTCTTATGAATCAGTACCATCCAAGCCCTTTAGAATCCAGCAATATACCGATGCTTCGTCGTCTCCTCCAACACCTCCAACCGCATCCCCACCGCAATCTCCCCCTCCTGCCGCGGGGCACTCAACATTCCAAAACACGGCTTATACTTCATCCCCTCATCGACGCGCCGATACGCCATGAGCGTATCCCACGGCTGCTTTTTGTGTTTGACTGCCGTCGCCGGCTCCACATTCGGCACCTGGCACCGAGCGCAGCGCGCCACGACATCCAACTCCAGCTTCGTCCCACCCTCCCTTGCCCCTTCCGCTTTTCCGCTCTCGGACACCCCCACGATCCGGACCGTCTTCCACGTATCCTCCTCCCACGCCACCTCCCCGCGCACCACCACATTGGGCCGGAACCGCTCCACGGTGATCTTCTCCTCGCCCTGCGCGACCAACCGCCCGTTCAACTCCGCCAGCGACGCCTCCGACGCGAGCAGCACGGGATGCACGTCCGGGAAGTTGGTCGCTTGCTCGCGGCCCAGCCGCCGGGGCGCGCCGTTCCCCTGCAGGATGCGCGGGGTGGGGCCCTTGTAGACCAGCGCGACGTCGCGGCCGAGGAAGTTGCTTAGGGGCGCGTTGATCGCCGCATCGTAGATATGCCCGTCGGTCGTGGTGTCCCAGATGCGGATGTCCGTGGCTAAGGTTGTGTGCGCAGCGAGCCAGGCGGGGGTGGGGTGCGCGGGGATGGTGATGGTGGTTGTGCGGGAGGATGAGGAGGAGGCGGCGGGGACGGTGATGCTGAGGTGGAGGGTCTCGGTGGCCTCGGTGGTGTCTGGGGTTAAGGCGGTTGTGATGAGTGTCATGCGCGGGTTTTGGCGGATGGTGAGGAAGGTGTGCGTCGTGGCGTCGACGATCATCCACCGGCGGTCGAGGTCGAGGCCATGCTGCAGGAGCTTGGTGCGCGGGAGGGTGAGGCCCCGGCAGGATTTGATGGGGTAGACTCGTAAGGAGACAATTTCGTGGGATTGTTTGGGCTGGTTGCGCCGGTGCGTCAGGAGGGTGAGGGCGTGGGAGAGGTGGGTTGCGAGCCAGGTTTGGAGGTGGGGGATTGGAGCGAGGAGGAGGAGGGGGAGAAGAATTATTGCAACGAGAATCAGGCTGGGCATTTTAGCAAGAGTTAAAACAATTGTTTCGAAATCTAGGGAGTCATGATTGTGGAGTATTGAGAGGGATAGGATCAGAGAAAGGTGCGCAGGAGGTGTAGATGTAGTTGCGATAAGCAAATCCCGAGGATCCTGCGGAGAATCATTCTTATCGCGATTAAGTGAGATATGACTCATGCAGAAGAGGTGTAGATGTAGTTGCGTTAAGCAAATCCCGAGGGTCCTGCGGAGAATCATACTTATCGCGATTAAGTGAGATATGACTCATGCAGTCATTATGCGCAATGATGTTCCGTGCAAGCAAGTCTGCTTGAGTTTTTACAAACACTTTCAATGATTTAGGTGCTGGTTACTATATGACTTGGGTCGCGGAGAATATTTGCCGCCCTCTGCACAATGCAGAGTCCTGATTGAACCAGTTGATCGCAGCTCAAGCAACAATGAATGTATTTCCTTTAACGACGCCATCTGTGACTATCATACATGACTCAATGCTTCTCACTTCATGATAAAGCAAAGATCAAGCTATGCTAAGTGCCACAGAGCCTCCTCTTTACACCTGCGAGCATGCAAGCACCTCCCCTAGGCAGCGCTGCCACTGACCACCCAGCTCGTTACCAAAGCCTTGATCAGCGCAATGGCGGCCTCCTTCCCGGCCGCGATGTCCTCATCAGTACAGGACCTTGGCACGTGGAAGAAAACCACATTGCGATCCTGGCCCGCCTGATATGCCAGCGATAGACTCGAATAGAAGATGAACTCGCAGAGGTACCGTCCCGCATCGTTCGAGATCCGCAAGTCCATGCCAGGCCGGGCAAATGATTGCCACGCGTTCAGAAACTGGGTGTCCGGCGGATGAGGGTTGAGGTATCTCTTCGCTGATAGCTCCGACGAGCCTGGCGGCGATGCGTTTGCGCGGCCGGCGGTGAGAACAGCCGGCAAGTTCAGCTCCCTCCAGATACGCTCTCCGTCCTCGTAGCCTAATCGACCCTTGATATCTGACCCGAGATATGCGTCGCGGTGAGCCTGGGTCTCCACAGAGTAGTAGTTTCTGGTTGCAGCTATGCCCATATGGATAACGATGTCCGGGCGTCGGCCACCGTGGGCTTTCGCGAAATCGTCGAGAATCACAGGTAATGTGGTTCGCACCGTGGAATAAGCAACCGGAATTGGAGAGGGATGGACATGAATGGAGACGCGACAGGGTGCTGAGCCGGGGGTGGGGGAGGAGAAGATGAAGGAGGGAGGGAGGGATGAGGCAATAAGATAAGAGGCGTTGACCAGGTTCGTTTTGAATGGCTACATAAAGAGCATCACATCAGACCGGATCGCGACAACAGATTCCGAACCTACCCCAAAACCTGTCACTAACACTGACATCTCATCGGGTTCAGTCGTGGTCAATGAAGGGATTGCCAGTGCTTGCGTCTCGAGCGATGTCGCTCTTCGTCCGTAGTCGCCCATAATGATGATGGGATATGTGCCCCGCTGATGCGTAAAAGAAGAGAGAGACCAATCTAGGAACGATAGAGGACGACCAGTCTGACAGTCTGTCTATTGAGATACATGTAGCCAAGTCAAGCAGAGCCAGCTGCAAGCATCGAAAAGGAAGAAAAGGACAAGGTGGAATGAATTGGATTTCCAGAATCCTGGCGTGCTTTCCCCGCATTCCTGTCCGGTTTTGGCCAGCCAGTTCTTGGCATCACACGATAAGCGATGCCTACACTGTCCGTATGCATAGATGAGGATCAGACATGGGCAGCTGGCTTCTCAGGCGGGATTTGATCGACAGGGTTGGTTCGGGGGATTGGCCCCGGGATATAAAGCTTAGATCCCGATCTCATCGTTGGATATCATTTTGCAACGTCACACTCATGGCTGGATCTACCGGCTGCTGCTCTCGGCGCATTGCGGGCTTTGCACCGGACCATAAAAATCGATCTGTGTCCGGGTGACTGTGTTTTGCTTGCCAAATCTTCTAAAACAAACATTTGAACGCGATGGACTAAGTTCGTATCTCGAATTGACCTCAGATGGCTAAGCCCACCTGATCTTTTTCCCAGGCGCCTGGTACCCCTCAACAGCCTTCGACCCTGTCATCAACAAACTGCCAGGCTACCACTGTCAGACTCTGGCCTACCCTTCCATACAACAGGCAACTACGGTCCAAGATTTTCAGGCAGACATTGACACCGTTTGGAGTCTCGTGCAGCAAGAGGCTGATAAGGGCCACGATGTCCCCGACGGCGACAGATGGGCGCAGGCTCTAGGCTCTCACGCCTATGTGACGATGACGCTTCCCGCAACCAGCTCAGCCTATTTGCATATTCCTAGCAGCGATCTCCTCTGCGAGGAAGATTGAGACATTCCCTTGTTTGTGCAAGAGATGTTTGTGGAGCGGGCCCGGGCCAAGGGGGCTCGATTTGAGACTGAGAAGGTCAAGACGGGGCCACACGCCGTGGTTGGCGGACCCAGATTGTGTTGCTGCGTACTTGCGGCGCCAAGCAGAAGAGATAGCGTGAGCGAGCGAAGCTGGGTTGCATAGTAGTTATTTGCAGGGTGTTATCTACTACGATATCCTTAGAATAAATTCTTTCAGGGCTGACTAGCATGGACGGCACTAATGCGCAATTGAGTCATGTGTCTATCATTGCAACTACGTCATTGCTGTCAGGTACAGTTCATGCTCGTGCCAGAATCATGGCACATTCAGCTGCCCAGGCATTGATCTGTGCGTAAGCTTCCGTTCGTCGAACCCAAGACTTGAATTGCGATACATGCCAGCTACTACCAACCCTTTCCTGCAATCTCAGGAACAAAGAGCCCGGAGTCGGAAATTGGATGAGACTCCAAGGCAGCCGGGAGGGGCGAGTGACCATACCGGAACCCCATTAAATACCAGTTGGGTGGTTTTCATTGATCCACCGACTGCAAAGCGGAGAATCTCTGGGGGAGATTTGGAGCCAGTACTTCCCGCCTAGTAATCTACTGTATAGCTCGGGTTTTTTGTCGCAATTTCCATCTCACCGGAATTATCAGTTAGTGTATCTATGAAGGGCGAGGAAGGGTGATGAGACTCGTGGGAAGAAACCATTTGGATAGAATAGAAGTGCAGTTATAGAGTAATAGCTAGCTTTCATTTTTTAGACCGAGTTTCCAGTGGTTACTGTCCTTGTTTCCTCCACTTTGACCACTGCTTGCAACCGGTTGTTACATGTGGTGGCCATTTCTTCCGTTATCGGTTTCTCCGCCCGCACACACAAACTCTGCAGCGACTCTCAATCTCTCTCTTTCTTCCCTTTGTGCTCCTCCCTGCAAATCCTCATGTTGGTGTAGCTTCGCAATCACCCGACCAGTTGGTTATACCTGTTCCCCCAAGTCCGCCCCTTCGGACCGTATATCGAAGTAAGCAGTTCTCCAGGCGCATTCCTCCAGCATCATAAGGTTCACCTCCGGATCGAGCTTCTGGAAATCGTCCGTCCGAGGCTTATCGTCCGCATTGAGCTAAAACTGATCCCCACTCTTTCTTTCTCTAGGCCTTTCCCGCGTCTTTCCTACCCCTCGAATCTCATCCCGACTTTCACCAACTTAGCTCTGCCTTGCTCAGCCCCAGTCCCAACCCTTGGCCTGTCTGCATCCTCCATCACCCTGTTGCTGGTCGATCGCGTCTTTCTCACAGCGCCAATTCTCCACTCAAGTGTCACCCCCTCATTGCCTCGCGCGCCTGCCCCCCCGGCTCGCAACCATGTCCGACCAGTCCAACCACTATGAAGAGCCAGTCAACGGGCTCCGGCCCTTGTCCAACGCAGACTCGTTTTCGCTGCCCGCCACCGCGCGCGAGTTTTCCAACCATTCGGAGCGGGTAGAGGCTGCTCGGGCCAATGGCCTTCCTCTGGAAGATGCCGACATCGATGAGGATGACGAGGAAGAGGGGGAAGAGGAGGTCGATGGAGAGTATGTCGCAGTGGATCACGACGATATCAACGAATATCCCTACTGGTTTCGCCGCCCGCCGATGCACCAGCGGACCAAGTTGGACGAACTGCACCCCTTTGTGCAGGTTCTGACTGAATCCAATGTCGAGGACTGTGTCCAGGTCGAAGCGGCCTTTCCTCAGCACGAGCGCTGTACGAGCGAGAAGGTACACCCATTCTATTGCGGGGGATCATGTCTTTTGATTTCTTCTCGCTCCGGTCACTAACGCGAAGGACAGTTCCGCTACCGTTTAAGCCGGTGTCCCGAACTCTGTCTCGGTCTCTTCACTCTCCCCATCCTTCGCGAGGGTGAACCCAAGCCTCGCCCCACCCTGGTCGGACATGTCATCGCCACGAGAACCTCGAACCAGGTGGTGACGGACAAGTCGATGCAACTCCCGCCCAACTGGCAGACCGAGCGCACGACCGTGGAGAACGGCGAGACCGTGGGTCACGATGAGTACGGCAGCACAATCGCTATCCACTCGCTGGCCGTGTTGCCCGAGCACCAGGGCAAGACGGTGGGCAGCACTCTGATGAAGTCGTATATCCAGCGCATCAAGGACGCGCAGATCGCCGATCGCCTTGCCATCATTGCACACGGCCATCTGATCCCCTTCTATGAATCGTTCGGCTTTGAGAACCGCGGCCCTAGCAAGTGCCAATTTGGTGGTGGTGGCTGGGTGGATTTGGTAAGTGTTTGGTCTGGGTTGTTGTTGCTGTGTTTCTCGACTAATAGATGTGGTGCAGGTGTTTGATTTGACCAGGGAGTGAACCCGTGTTCAGGCGGGTTTCTCGTCGATGATGATGATCTAGTGGTGGACGGCCGTGCAATCATCTTTTTATGAATTCTTTGACTCGGATATTAGTACCCATTCTCTCGATGACGGTTTTTTGATGCATCTTTATGGCTTGATTACACGGGATTTCAGTCTTCCTGGTGGGGTTTCTGATAAAAGCAAGGCGTTCTGTCGGGCTACGATGGGGTTTCAGGGACGGGATGATGATGATACAATGGCCGAATTGAAACACCACGGTTGGTTTTATCAGGACACACATGTTGATGTATCATATTCTTTTTCCCGATAGTCAATGTAAATGAAGAACCCATAACCAACAGTACTGGCCAGCTTCAATAAGAAAAATCATCAATCAAACTTGCACTGTTGGGGTCTAACGGCCGCCGGAGACCCTCTCCTCTTTTCCCCACATAAATTCCAACCCAAAACGCAAAACACATGAAAAATCACCACCCAATCAGCGGCTCACCGCCCGCCAGAATTTGCCCTCCGACCGCCCGCAATATTTTTTTTTCGTTTGGTCTTGATTCCGGAGGCTACCAACTCTTGCAATTTCATCCCCGGGTTCCTTGGACGAGTCGCTTGCTGTTTCGACTCTATATCACAGGTGCCCATCATGAAGACGACGTGGAAAGATGTAAGCTTTAAGATCACCCTCGAAATCCGGCGTCGATCGCTCAAGAACCCGCCCCAACTGACACCTCATTTTCACCGCTTGATTAGATTGCTCCGGTGCCTACGCACCAGGAATTCTTGGACATCGTCCTCAGTCGCACTCAGAGACAGCTGCCCACTCAGATTCGTGCAGGCTTCAACATCAGCCGTATTCGAGGTTCGTATACCTTTTCCTTGTTGCTGCGGTGTGGATATTGGAGCCGCTGTTTTGGCGGGCTGCAGCCGTTGGGAAAGATGGAATTTTAGCTGACGGAATTTTCTTCCTACCACTAGGCTTCTACACTCGAAAGGTCAAATACACACAGGAGACTTTCTGCGAAAAGTTCCAGGCTATTCTTGATGGCTTCCCCAGACTGCAGGACATTCACCCTTTCCGTAAGTTTAGCTACCCAACACTGCTAGAAAATTTGCCCCTCGGCAATGGAGAGACTCGGCCAGGCAGTTCTAACTCTCTCCAGACAAGGATTTGATGAATACCCTCTACGATGCCGATCACTTCAGAATCGCCCTGGGTCAGATCTCGACCGCCAAGCATCTTATCGAAACTGTGTCCCGCGACTATGTCCGTTTGATCAAGTATGCGCAGTCGCTCTTCCAGTGCAAGCAGCTCAAGCGCGCTGCTCTCGGTCGCATGGCCACCATCTGCAAGCGTCTCAAGGACCCCCTCGTCTACCTTGAGCAGGTGCGTCAGCACTTGGGTCGTCTGCCTGCCATCGACCCCAACACCCGCACCCTCCTGATCTGCGGTTACCCCAACGTCGGCAAGTCCAGCTTCTTGCGCAGCATCACCCGCGCGGATGTCGATGTCCAGCCCTACGCTTTCACCACGAAGAGTTTGTTCGTCGGCCACTTCGACTACAAGTACCTTCGTTTCCAGGCCATCGACACTCCTGGTATTCTGGATCACCCCCTCGAGGAGATGAACACCATTGAAATGCAGTCCATCACGGCCATTGCCCACTTGCGCTCCGCCGTGCTCTACTTTATGGATCTGTCCGAGCAGTGCGGTTACTCCGTCGGAGACCAGATCAAGCTCTTCCACAGCATCAAGCCCCTTTTCGCGAATAAGATTGTCTTCCTGGTGGTCAACAAGATCGATGTGCGCCGCCCCGAGGACTTGGAGCCCGAGTACCAGCAGCAGCTCGAGGCCATCCTCAAGTCCGGGGATGTCGAGCTCCTGCAGCTGTCCTGCACCACCACCGAGGGTGTTACCAATGTGAAGAACGCCGCTTGCGACAAACTCCTCGCCGAGCGTGTGGCTCAGAAGCTCAAGTCCGGCTCCAACAACGCCGGGACCCCCGGCGGTCGCTTGGGCGATGTCCTCGCCCGTATTCACGTTGCACAGCCCATGGGTGGTGTGACGCGCGAGACCTTCATTCCCGAGGCGGTCAAGTCGCTTAAGAAGTACGACAAGAACGACCCCAACCGGAAGAAGCTGGAGAGAGACCTCGAGGAGGAGAACGGCGGTGCTGGTGTCTACAACATCGACCTCAAGAAGACGTACGACCTGGCCAACGACGAGTGGAAGCACGACAAGATCCCCGAGGTGTGGAACGGCAAGAACATCTACGATTACGTGGACCCGGATATCGAGGCCAAGCTGGCTGCGCTGGAGGAGGAGGAGGAGAAGCTCGAGGCGGACGGCTACTACGAGTCGGACGAGAGTGTGGAAGACGCCGAGGACGCCGACACCCGCATGAAGGCGGACCTGATCCGCGAGAAGCGGGCGCTCATGAAGAACGACGCCAAGCTGCGCAAGTCGCTGAAGAACCGGGCGGCCATCCCGCGCAGCGCCAAGGCCAAGAAGCTGTCGCAGATGGAGGAGGCGCTGGACTCGGCCGGCTACGACGTGGATGCCGCTGCCAGCCGTGCCCGGTCGCAGAGCCAGGTACGTGGCCGCCCGCTGACGCGCGACACGGGCATGGACGATGCCATGGACATCGACCCGTCGGACCCGCGCCAGGCGATCGCGCGGGCCAAGAGCCGCGCCCGCAGCCAGGCGGCCACGGATCGTCTGCACGACGGTGTGACGGACGAGAAGGCGCGCACCAAGGCGGAGCGGTTGGCCAAGCTGGGCCAGAAGAAGATGAACCGCATGGCCCGCCAGGGAGAGGCCGATCGACACACGACCGCCTCCTTGCCCAAGCACTTGGTAAGTGTTGTTGATGTCTCATATAGACTACTTGTACTAACAGGATGTGCAGTTCACCGGCAAGCGTACCATCGGCAAGACCCAGCGTCGTTAGATGGACCATGCGCTGCTGCGGCAGATGGCTGGTCGATGACGAGACGAAGTTCCTCCTCTTCCTTAATACACCTACCCATTGCGTACAACGTCCGACGCTTCAATCCTCGTTACAACAACATCAGTGGTCATGATTTGAACAGGGTGATTAAAAAATTTCTCGGGGCGTTTGGGGTGTTGTTGTCTTTGTCTTTGTGTGATCTGAGTAGAAGAGCTGTTGATATTGGATGTTCTGCTAGATACCTGGGTTGTGCCCAGTTTGAATTGAATTGTGATGCCTTGCCTGACTATGGTTGTAGATTTGGGTCGATTCCTTCTGTATGGAGACTAGGCATTATTTACAGCTTGCATTCGTACGTGATCTTGGCCCTCGTTTATCTCTGGATGTCTCTATTCTCCAGAACCGACTTTGATACAAGACCATGTGTAGATATGTATCAAATACGAGCAGCGCACAGGGAATAGTGAATCAACCTCTCCTGCTTACTGTTGCCAGTCCTGCCACACAGTCATCCCTCTGACCAACATCCACCTTCTATTATACCCGGCATGAAGCGCATGGCTCGCCACAGCGTCGAACACAAACCCGACAACACCATTCGGGGTCATGCGTGGTGTCTATCCCTGACATTGTGCTTCTGCTTCGCCCACACCCCTCATAAGAATCCCACAAGATGTTCATCTAGATTTGGGATGAAGTCTCCAGCTGATATGGGGAGAGTCAGCCTCGCGAACCGCTCTTCACCTCTGTTTCCTTTCTTTTTCCTATCTTTGACTATTCGTTAGTCTGCCGACCCTAGCGCATTGACCTTCGTCTCTCTCTCTCTTCGTGTAAATCTGCGCAGCTGAGACCTCAGAACGAGTAAGACCCGTTGATCGCCCGAGTCAATTGTACATACATACATACAACATACAAACCTGCTCATAACAACCACAACCATACTCCCACCTCGACGTACTGTGTTAGATCTGTGCATATCTCCAGCTAAGTGTGCATATCTCACTGCTATACTACTTTACCACGCACGGGCTCTGTGATTCAACTCCCTCTGCCCGGTTCTACCGATCACAATCCGCCAGGCAGTGTCTGTCCGGTCCGTGTGCAGGAACGTTCCAACTACCATCGGATCGTCTAAAGTACAGGCAGCTGTTACGCTGGTGTTGGTGTTGGTGCTCGGTGCTGGGTTTAGGTTTCTGCTGTGTGATTGTCTACCACATTCATTACTTAGATTGGGTTGTTCACCGACGGTTGCAGTGGAGGTGGAATCTAACTGGGATAGATATTTGAGGCGAAGTGTACTGCAAAACCACTACGGGATATGGGTATGCGAGTGGGGAAAGGTGGTAACCTAACCCGTATCACGCCGGGATATCAATCCTACTAGCTAGTAACCTGGAGTCGAAGCAACGGTATGTGAATCGGATGACCGAGCCATAGATATACACTTTCCACTTTCATTCTCTCGATCCCAGTTCTGTTGGCTGGCTGGCTGGCTGGCTGGCTGGCTGATCTTGGCTTCTACAGTACTGTACCGTCTACACTGAGCACAGTGGCTGTCGCAACCCCTGGCTCTTCTGATCACTTCGTGCCATTTCGCATATGATTTGGTTGTAGGTGGAGTAAAGCGACGTGGTAATGTGAGGTAGGATGGAAGATTTAGATGTGGGACGAGAGATCAATGACCACACATACAAACAAACAAGCACATCTTCACTCATCTTTGCCAAGCATCTTATCTGTAGATCAACTGGAGTATATACACCGTCTGAATCTGCAGCTCAAGGTTATCTGTACACTAATTTGAGCATACAAACCATCTACTATGCGACTTAAGCAACCCTCCCGAACACAACCCTTAATCTACACACCCTTGCACCTCCACCCCGAGCTAACTTGAGTATAAGAGTATCAACGTACTCAAGATAGACAGGCAGGGGGAAGCAGGGAAGCAGGGAAGCAGCCCAGCAGGGAGCCCAAAGTCACAACCCTTAACCCAGCCAGTCCCTGACCCGGCAAGAGGCCCGTCACCTGCGCGAGTATCAACACCGTCCAAGATCTTACTAACTTAGATAAGTAGGACGAGAAATTGACTTGAGCCAATTGGCGGATGCACCCCTCCGATTCTGATCAGATGCAATGCTGCAATGCTAGTGCAATCTATATAGGTGTAGTAGATATTATATGTTATATGCTGTGTCGGTGTTGCACATCATATCAGAGAGTCGTTAAATGAAATAAAGATAGGGAGTCAAGGTGTGTGTGTGTGTGTGTGTGTGTGTGCGAGGTTGGGATGCAGCGTATTGTGCATAGCATGATCAGGTGTGCAGCTCATCTCACGGAGCCATTTCCATTCAGATTCATTTAAATGGGCCGGGGATGAAGAAACAGGCGGGCGGCAAAATGAGGTTGACGCTCTATTCTGTCAAAACAATGAGAAGTTGACCCTTACACATCTGCGGTAAGACATGAATTGACACTCTATCCAGTAAAACACATGATAAAAGTTCACACTGCATCCCTCGTTGGAAAAAAAGAATAAGCATCAGTCAATCACCCCATAAATCAGCAACCGTAGCATTGCAGACTACCAGACAAGAATGGTGCCCAACCAGCGCGCGGCAGACAGTCACCAGACAAGCAAATAATCCGGACAAGGATGTTGTGGTGGTGGTTTGTATACAAATAACCGCATCGGATCAAATATGCGTGACAGGGGCGGGTTGCAAAGCTTAATCCCAGACATGCAGAAGCAAGAAATATGGAGCCACAAGAAGGGCCAGCCATCCCTGCCTCCCCATTCTTTTGACGGTGTGTACGGTGTTTACGATGTTTACGGGGTCAGTCTTACACTGCAATGCAATGACACCGGACATGGTGGCCACCACTACCAATCCTTACACTGTACTGAGTTTAAAAGTGGAAGTGGAAATTGGATTCCTTATTGATTTCATTCATATGCTTCTTTAAATTAATAAAATCAAATCGTGCTGAGAGGTATCACCAAACGCCGAACATCAGATCCCAGTCCAGGTCAGGTCATAACAACCATACCGTATGCATTCGTACCAGCAACAGAATTAAAAAAAAATGCGAGCCATTAAAAGCGATGTAGAGGAGATAGTCAATATACAGAGCGCAGAATCAGAAGCGGATCAGCCAGGAGCCCCCGTTTACTCGCGGAGCTCGGTGGGCTCGCTGTGCTCCGCCTGGCCCTCGGCCTTGGGGGAGGAGGGAGGGTGGTGCATGTCATCGACAATGCCCTCGGGAGGAACCCAGCTCTCGCTCTTCCAGGGCAGGACGTGGAGCACGTACATGCTGTCGACCTCCTCGAGACTGCGGCCCTTGCTCTCGATGACGAAGAAGAACACGACGAAGATGGCGGCGAAACAGCAGCCCGCGAACACATAACCATAAGCAAAGTGGATGGCGGAGTTGATGAAGGGGGTGAAGAAGGAGATGAGGAAGTTCCAGGTCCAGTTGGCCGCGGTGGCCATACCGATACAGGCCGCACGGTAGCGGGCGGGGTACATCTCACCACAGATGGCCCAGACGATGGGACCCCAGGTGGTAGCGAAACCGACGATGAAGAAGCAGGTGAAGACAATCATGGCCTTGCCGGCAGCGGGAGTGTTCTCGGGGTTGTCCAGGTCCAGCGCGAAGTTACCCACGGAGGCCCAGATCATGAAGCAGATAAACATCCAGGCGGCACCGTACATCAGGGACTTGCGACGACCGTAGTGCTCGACAATGTACAGACCCGGCAGGGTCATGCCGAAGTTGACGGCACCGAGAATGATCTGGGTGATGTATTCGTTGGAGATACCGGTGGACTTGAAGATGGTGTTTCCGTAGTAGAAGATGAAGTTGGCACCGGTGAGCTGCTGCAGAGACTGGAGAGCGATACCCAGCATGGTACGGTAGAACATGCGGGGACCGGTGAAGAGCTCGTGCCACTTGGCAGTGCCGGCATTCTTCTCCTCGTCGAGCTTGTCCTTCATCTCCTTCATCTCGCGGAGGATGATGGCGTGGTTGGGGCCAACACCGTAAAGCTTGCACATGACATCCCGGGCTTCCTCAACGCGGCCCTGGCGGTAGGCGTAACGGGGGGACTCGGGCAGGAAGAGGGTACCGATACCCAGGATCAAGGGCCAGGCAAAACCAATGCCCATGGTGATACGCCAGGAGGCAGTGGAGTGGATTCTCTCGGTACCGAAGTTGACGATGTAGGAGATGAAGATACCGAAGGCGACGAACAGCTGGAAGGCACTGACCATGGCGCCACGAACCTGCACGGGGGCAGACTCACTCTGGTACATGGGGACGACGCTGGAGAGAGCGCCGACACCCAGACCGGCGACCCAACGGCCCATAGCAACCTGGACCCAGCTGGTGGAGGTAGCAATCTGAATGATGATACCGACAATGTGGATGAGAGACCAGAAGGAGATGGACAGCTTGCGGCCGAAACGGTCGGCAATGGGAGCAGCAGTGAGGGCACCAATCATCGTACCGATCGAGAGCTGACAGACAGTTAGTGGAGGGCGATCTCATACCCGAGCCGGGGATGACCACATACCAGACCGACGATCAGACCGGAACGGACGTTGCTGAAAGCATAGGTTCCGTCTGACTGCTTCTGACCGAAGCGCATCAGGAAATCTTCCATGGTCTCAAAACCGGAAATTTGACCTGTGAGCGTTAGTGGGCCGTTCGGGATAGGATAGAGGTCATGTCCAGCATACCGGTCGAGTAACCGAAGATGAAACCACCCATGGAGACACAGAGACCGAGGATGAAGGTGCGCCACGTGAGGTACTTGACGGGAGTGTCATCGACGATGGTGTGGTCCTTCTCCGCATAGGAATCGGAGCGAGCAGGAGTGGAAGCCTCCGAGTGCTCAGTCGAAGGCTTGAAGCGAGACATGATGTTGTGGACACCCATGTTGCCGGTTGGGTTCACAGACACTATAGCAGTTGACCCTGATGACAGATGAGAGATGAGGTTTTGATTGGAAGTGAGGTTGATGGGAAGAGGAAGATATCAAGAGACCGAAGCTGGGGGAGGTGGAGGAGTTATATATGGAGAGATGGGAGAAGACACAGCCGAACGGACTCGGTAAGGATGACGGCGGCGTCATCAACAAGAGAAATCGAAAAAGGCAAGGGAAAAGAATTTTTGAACCGACTCGATGCGTCGGCAATTCGCCTCCATCCCAGGGATTGGAGGAGCACCCCACGGCCCATTCTTGTCGGGGTAGGACCACGGGCATGGGCAAGGAAAAAACGGGGGCCCAGATCTCAGCGTCTCAGTTTGGTATTTTGTGTTAATTAATCCAGTTGGGAAAAGGGCCGGGATTTCCCCCGAAAACAGAGTCGGGAGGAACGAGGGGAGGGAGAATTCGGGAAGATTGCAAAGCTAGGGGTGGGTGGGTGGGCAGAGATGGGAAGAGAATCCGGGCAGATAATTGGAGGTGGACAGTGGAGAAAAGCGACAGAAAGCGGCACTAAGCCGGAGAAAGGTGCCTGACTAGCGTGAGTAGGCTGAAAAGCACCTGCAGACGGGGCGGAGTGAATGGGGGAGAAGAATTTGGGGGAGAGAAGGAAAAAGTGGGAGAGAGAGAGTGAGGAGAGATTGAGGGGGAGACCGAAGAGAAACTGGCCCGGAATGTAAAAAATGATGGGGTCAGGTGGAAAAAATCGAACCCTTCTGGAAAAAGGCTGAGTCACGAGTTCGTGGGCTGTTCCTCCCTTCCCAATGCGGTTTATTTGCATCTTATGCATTGATTGCATTCCATATGCTCTGTCTGTCAATTAATTGAACTACTACGTATAGCCGTCGTTGACAGCATCTACACAGTAACTACATCTAAGTAACAGTGATCTATTTGATTTCTCGGCAGTGACTCCCGTTTCGGCCTCGTGGTCCTCGTCATCATGATGATGCTTAAGTTGCAATATACAGAGGATTCCTCTTGTACACATACTCAACAACAACAACAACAACAACACCACCACCATCTCATCTCTCACCACTATCACCACCAATCGGCCTGTATGTTGATTCTGGGTTTGCCACTACATCGTGCCGTGCTGCCGTGACAGCTTCAGCGGTGTTACAGATGGGCTGTTGTGGAAGTCTGGTCCTCAAGAGGGCCGAGCAGAGGGCGGCGCATGATCCATCGGCCACTTGCTGGCTGAGTCTGAGACTACTGGAACAATGGAACAGACACAGGCCACTGAACTGTCCACTGCATCATACTCTTTCTTTTCTCTGTGTCAGAAGAATTGGCAGAGCATCGACGAAAATCGACGAGCGAGCGAGTCGTAGTAAAGTTGCCGTTTGCGGCACCAAAGCAGGGAGATCCTCGGGCGCCAAGTGGGGCCCACAAACAGAATTTTTCTGTTTGCAAAGGAATTCCCGTGCCGATCCCGAACCAAGGCCGTGAAGCCAGGAACAACACCACCACCACACCTGATGTTGACTAATACTGACTGATACTGACTGTCTACCAGGTAGACAAGAAAGTGAATGTGATTTTGTCTGAGTGCAGACTACACATCAAAAGTCAAGTCATCAAAGATAATTTCACACAACAACAACTTAACACCGCCGCACCACTAACATCACCTCCTCCCACACAACCCACCCGAACAAACCCATCTCCCCTCGGCCACCCGAAGCGACCCAAAAATCCCTCGGCATCGGCATCTGATCTCATCAGAAAGCCCTTTCGGTGTGCCGAAGCAGCAAGAAACCAGCCCCTAAGCCCACTAGACGAGGCGGCTAGCCCAGCACTAACCAGCACTAGCCAAGGCAGATGGGTCCCACCCCGCCACCGGTGAGATTTTTTCATCGCCGGAAGTTGGCCGATCTGGACCGCGCGACTGATTTCGGTGGTCCGGTGAACAGCACAGCACATGCAATCAGCAAACAGTCGCTGCGGTTGAACTCGGCATGCCGGAGGGAAATGAGTGGCCCAACCAAGTTGGTTTCGGCTCTTGCCCGTGCTGCTACGGAGGAGGGAGGAGGGAAATTTCTGCTGGGTTCGGTTCGGCCGACACAGTCACGGTTGATGCCGTGAGGTACGTGTACTCATACACACTGCTTTCCGATCCTCACTCATCTTCAAGGTGTTCTACCTGCGAGTAGTGCTCAAGTAATCTGTCTAGGCAGTTATCTGCAACTATCCCATCCAACATCTCACCACGATACCACCACCACCACCACCACCACCACTAACAACAACAACATCACTGAATAAATCAACCCACCACCGGCAACCACCCGGCTCGGCTTGGCTTTGCCTTCACTACGGAGTACCATGTTCTCCGTAAGCAGCAAGGCACCGGAAGCGGAAGTGGAGTGGGTCGGCCACATCAAGGAATGCTCGGGCCCCACTTCCTTCAGCCGTTCCGCATGCGGTCTAGCCTTGTATTCTGCGTAGGTCTTTTGTGATGGTAGGTAGCCTGATGTTTCACCCGATCGCAGCGCCAAAACAAACATCACACAATGCATGCGTCTACCTACGGAGTACTTCGGCTGAAGGAATGTACTGATGTTTATAGAGTGTAGCTGAGGTTGGGCTGCGTAGCTTATACAAACTACCCCAGTATACTGTCATTATAGAGACACTCTGTAAGTGGGAGCACAACAATACCTCCCCCTCACAGTTGAAAGGCAAGTGAACAGACACCTCAGGCATCCAGGGACACCGCCCACCGGCCAAGCAACCAGTTCCAGGCACAAGGCACAAGCGGCAACCCGAACCCACCCAAGGGGTTTTTTTTTTTTTTCATTTTTCCTTCGGGTAAAACCCTACTGAGCAGAGTGTTTCCATGTCTCAGAATCCACGATCTAAAACTCAAATTAACCTGACCGTGCTTGGAAACTTTCCTTGTGGTGTTTGTCAGTGGATTTCTTTTTTTTATTGCGCTTTGAGTAAGAAAGAATTTTCTTGACTGCGTAACTCATAGTTAGTAGTTTGTGGTTAGTGGTTTGTGGTGCTGCGTAAGCGAAAGCGTAGTTAATGTCTGACCCATCATTTTCGAGTGGGTAGAAACTTGCCCAACAGGCCATTTACCTACTATGGAGAATTCTACGTACTCCATAAGACAGCATGGCGGGGTGGATGAGTTGTTTGCCCTGTCTGGCATTTGCCGGTCCTTGCAGTGGAGTGTCACAGGTGAAGTTTCCATCTGTTTCGGCAACAACTACATTACAACACAGTACCTAGCTGAATCTGTTGCATAATGTCCAGTCTCTCACACAATAACTAGCGACTGCGAAACTCGGAACAAGCCAGAGTGCTCGGCCGATCAGAAAAGGAAGCAATTCCGGTTTAGTGATAGCATAGCAATGATGAAGAGACTCGCTGTCTAGACCATTCAGGGCTAGACCGCCAACCAGATGAGATCATAGCCAGTAAGGCAGTTCGCCAGCCAACGGCCCCTCGGCTGTCAGGACCAGTGGGAGGAGCCGAAGGGCTTTATTGACTGTGTATACGTGCAGTGGTCAGGGATGCCAATCTGAACGTCGGGAATAGAGCGTCATCTTGCACCACCAAACCATTCAAACCAAGGTTTGAGGGGCAGGGTTTGACTTCGTCACTTCCGAATGATGAAGTGGCGTCCCACTGCCAACAAAAAGCATCAAGAGAATCGAAAAGAACAACGATGTTGCGGGATTTACCGTCCTGGAGTAGGATATACCGTATACACCTCTTCCTGACGACATCAAATATCCTCATCTCTTGTCGAGCATCCTGAAAGACAAGGAGATCCCTGCAGTCCCGCAGACCCTGCGTCTTATTTAGCAACCAGCCCCTGCATCAACGCTCCCAGAATCTTGCCAGCATGGCCCTCCTCCGGTCTTTGCATTGTGCTTCATCTGACGTGCATACAGCCGGTCAACTTCAATGGGTGTTGACAGCGGACGCTAAGGGCCTGGGAATACGCAGCCACCTGCCCCCAAATTTTAAGAAATACTCCGTATGCTACCTGCAAACAGTAAGTGCAAAGAGGTGATCATAATCAGATTCCCTATCTGGCGATCTGCAAATACCCTCCGGCACCCTGATTGGCTCAACTTCACCACGTGTAGGTTTCGGAAGGCGAGGTCCAGCCGGTTTCGTCCCCTGCTGGTGATAGATAAAGCTAAAAAAAGGACCCTTCGGCAAACCGAAGCCGACGGAGCACCCTCTCGGCCTCCCCAGCTCCGTTCGGCTCTCGGCTTGCCGACTGACAGATTCCCACACCGAGCCATCCCCCTCCCACCACTGCGGCATTCCATCCGAACTCCACCTCCCCTGCTCATCCCCCGCGTAGAAACTCTCCCCGGCCGTGAACCGTTGCTCCCTGCCATCCCTGAGTCACCACGCACGTGGTCGTGCGGATCGGCTCTAATAATAGAAAAAGGCCCCCCGGTCGCCCGGCTTAGGTGCTCTTCTTCCCCTTCTCCCGCTCAGCCTTGCGCAACGCGCGCTTGCGAATAGCCTCATGCATCCCCTTGTTCTGGCCAACCACGAATTTGCCCATGGTGCCAGTCACGCAGGTCAGGAAATAGGCCATCAAGCCGTGGCTCCAGTACGGGGAGGAGCTGTACGCGTAGGTCGGGGAGCCGCCGTTGCGGCCGATCTTGGACAGAACCGCCTTGACGAACGAGCGCGGGTCGGGAATCGTGGCGCTGGTGCGGCGGATCTTCGACATGGCAGAAGTAATCAAGTAGGCCTGGACCAGCTCGACCGTAATCCCGTGCGGCTCGAGCTCGGCGCCCAGCGAGGTCGACCATTGCTGCAGGAACGCCTTGCTGCCGGAGTAAGTCGCCAATAGCGGGGTCGGGAGGAGTCCGCCGAAGGAGCCCATGGTCAGGATCAGACCGCTCTTGCGCTGGATCATGCCGGGGACGATCAGCTGGGTCGCCCGCAGGGTGCCCAAGCAGTTAATGGTCACGATGTCCGCCAGCTCGTCCTCCGGGGTCTGCGCGAACGGCGTCGGGATGTTGTGGCTCTTGCCCACGTTGTTGATCAGCACCGCCACATCCAGCTCAGACACAATCTGCATCAGCTTCTCGTAGTCGCTGTCCTGATTGCGGGCAAAGTCCATCGCCAGGGTCCGGGTCTGCACGGCGGGGTACTTGGCCTTGAGTTCATCGCGAAGAGCGTCGAGCTTGGAAGCGGTCCGCGAGACGAGAACGATGTTGAAGTCTGCTTTGGCGAGCTGGAGGGCGAATTCCTTGCCCAGACCATCCGAGGCACCGGTCACCACGGCCCAACTACCCTTGGGGCCGAAAGAGCGAAGCTGACAAGGAAACTGTCAGTGTGCTTCGCGCAGGGGTAGCCACAGCTTGTAACAGTAGAAATCCAGGAGCAACATACCGGCTTGCCAGGGAGCACAAACAAGCTCAAGAGGACCCTCACGAAGAGCAGGGCGCGAGAGACGACGAACAAGCTTCCCGCAGCCAGCAGAACGGAGGCGCCGACAGTCTGCCATCCCGGCTGCAGGTGGAGGTGCCAGTTTGAGAGGCAGTCGAGATGCTTGGTAAAGAACTCCATGATTGCAATTGCAGTGCAGTGCGTGCAGTGCAGCTTTGGGCTTAGCTCAGCCTGGTCCCTGAAACAATCGAACTGCGGAGGAGGTGAGATCCAAAAAAGAGGACGCGGGTGGATTGACGCGGATGGGAATTATTTGTTGGGGTTTGCCAAGCCGGCAACTTCCTTTTCGCAGCTCACCACCAACAAACACCAACCACCGTTGTCTTTCAGCTGCAAAGCTGCATCTCTCCTAAATATCAGCTCCGCATCCCCTCCATATTTCCTTTTCTGGGCTATCTGACCCTCGGAAACAGCCAGCCTCGCCTCCAGAGATGCTCTCCCTACCTCCTTTCGAGGGTTTCCTCCCTCAATGGCTTGTCCTGGTCCGTCTTCACTCCTACACCGCTCTTTTGGCCTCGCACTTCACTCCTTCAGCACCTGCAGAACTGACCTCTAGAACCACACAAACAGGTCTCAGTGGTCTCCGCTGCCAACAGCATCCAAGCCTACCGCTCTGAAACCTACGCTGCCGAGCTCTACAATGGCAGATTTCCGGACGGCTGCACCTTCACCAACGCGCTCTCCTCGCGCACCTTCGGCACCTGGACTTTTCTGTCGGCCGTCATCCGCTTCTACGCCGCCTACAACATCAACAATCCCGCCGTGTATGATTTGGCCCTGTGGACGTTCGGAATCGCTCTGACGCACTTTGTCGGAGAGCTGATCAAGGGGAGCGCCCGGCTGCGGGGGCGGTTCGTCAGCCCGCTGCTGGTCGCTTTGTCGACCTTGACCTGGATGTTCTGGCAGAGACAGTATTACCTGTCCGTTTAAGGGCGCTTGATCCTATACGGTTGTTGTGGTGGGTTATTTGGCCCGGGGGAGGGGTGCTTATCTTGTTCGGTTCGGTTGGGTCTCGTTCAAGCGTTGTTCGGCGGGTCGGGGTGAGGAGTCTTGATGGATTCGGGCACATTTTCAGTGATGTTCATATATATAACACCAATGATAATAAGTTCCAAGTCGAGTTTGGCTGGCGGTCAGTAGGGTTGGTGCTATTACATACTCCGTACTAAACCTTGCTGGAGAAATGTGGGGTCGATAACAGCCTGCTTTATGACTGCGTCGGTCGATCATCGGCTCCACTCGAAAATATATATAGGTATATCCGCAGCACAAACCCCGCGCTCAACACCACTCGTCAGGCTATCATCATAGGGTGTTGATATTACTGTCCAAGAAACGTTGGATCAATAATTTACCCATAGATCTCATCAAACATGGAGCTGTGCCTTGAGGCAAGCCATATCCAAAACAGACCACTGCGGAGTGAGTTCTCCATAGCAGTCGACAGACGCTGGCCTTGCGATAAGAATCCATCTTTGGTGTTCCTCGTCTCACAGTCCAAGCTCTCCTCAAGATTGCTATCGAGATGTTCGCACTCAACGTGGTGGTCTACTGGGCCGAGTCTCTGAGATATGTACTCAACGACTCTCCTTCGATGAAGGATATAACAATATACGGCCCAACCGCGCATGTGCCATAGCCCACGACCTTGGGGACAGGAATCGCTGTATGCTGACCAAGGTAGCTCATTATAGAGACCTCATCCTCCACCTTTTCATTGCGTGCAACTTCCCGACCGAGGGTCGTAAAGCAAACCGCAACACGACGGCTATCTTGGTAGGTGACTCGATAGCACACATTAAAGGCGCCTACTGGGAGGCGCTCGGCCGTGACAGGCGTGCCGGGACATTGCTGAGAAGCAAGCTTGCCTGCCAACTCCTCTGGAGAGTTTCTGAGCAGACTTTGTACCAATACTTGGGAGATTCCATCCGATTGTTCTTTCGCAAGGCTATCAAAATCTGTTTTTGAGATTCGAGGCAAAAGAGAGCGAGGGCGACAATATTTACATGAGAAAGATGAACTTGGAACTCGAGCCGCTCCCCGCACACCCAGGCGGCTACTCACAGACCGACCAGGCCACTCGCACATCCAGTTCCGCCACCGCCCTCCTAAAGGTCTAGTTGGTCACTGCAGACTTACTATTAATGCTATTTACAAAACAAGAACAGAACGGTACTGATCTAGCTACTGCGATTGTGAATGAAATGACCCGCGTGCTTCGGCTATTACCAATCTGTCGGCAAAGAGCCTATATCAAGAACTTGCATCCATCTTCTTGCGGTACAATTCTCCGCCGCAGCCACGGAGTCTAGCCGCCGCCTGCTCCGGAGTGATGTCACGTTGAGGCTCGCCGAGCATCTCATATCTAGAAACGAAAAAAAAACATGGTCAGCCCGCTACCAGCAACGATGGCATAATGACAAACTTACCCGACCAAGAACTTGCGCACGGTAGCACTGCGCAACAGCGGAGGATAAAAGTGCAGGTGCAGGTACGAGGCCTCGACCTCCTCTGCGGTGCCCTCCAGCGGCGCCTGATGGATACCCATGCTGTAGGGGAAGTGCGTCTCGAACAGGTTATCGTACCGACGAGTGACCTCGGCGATGGCCTCAGCCAGGTGGGCCTTTTCGGTGTCGTTGAGGTCCACTAGCGCGCGCTTGTGCTTCTTGCTGACGACCATGGTCTCAAAGGGCCAGACGGCCCACCAGGGACACACGACGAGAAAGCTGTCGTTCTCAAAGACGACGCGCTCCTGCTTGCGGGACTCCAGCGCGGCATAGTCCTCTAGCATGTGCTTGCCGCCGTGTTCGCGACGGTACTTCTGCAGCTGCTCCAGCTCCATGGCGGGCTCTTCGGGCAGCGAGCTGGTGGTCCACACCTGGCCGTGCGGGTGCGGGTTCGAGCATCCCATGGCGGCGCCCTTGTTCTCGAAGATCTGCATGTAGCGGTACTGCTGCTTGGGTGCCGTCTGGCTGGCCGTCGGCGCATCGGGGGGCAGCGTGGTCGCGGGGGCGATCGCTGCCAGCGGAGACTTGGGCGACAGATGCGCCGTGTACAGCTGGGTCCAAGCGTCAATGACGGGGATGATCTCGGCGGGGGACAGGTCCGCAAGGGTCAGGTTGTGGGCCGCCGAGAAAGTGAGCACGTAGCATTTTCCGGTGACAGGCTCTGCCTTGAGGAAGAAGGACTCGGCTTCTGAACGAGACAGTTGTGAGTGGGATGATTCTGCTGTGTGAGAGCGTTGCCAACTATACCTTCAGTGCTCTCCGGCGTATACGGGGCTTGCTCCTCCTTGACTGCGCTGTAATCGTTCACGAAGACGAAAGTCTTGTCATACTTGGGGTTGGAGTCGCCCTGAGCGCGCTTGTTGCCCGGGCAGAGATAGCAGGCAGGATCATACGAGGGCAACGTGGTCTTAGACGGACTCTCCTGCTGACCTCTAGGAGCGAATCAATATTAGCTGAGATGTTCATGTATCCTGAGCAAGTTTGACGTGATAGCGTCCGGTTCGAGACTCAAAATATCCAGCCACGCAGCCATCACACTTACTGCCAGGGACGCTTGGTCCGGTGAGGGGAGACCAAGATGGACGACCCGCGCAGAGGGTTATATCTGCGGTGGGAGATGTCGTCGAGAACCTTTTCAACCATTGTTGCGGGAGAATGCGCTGAATTGGATACAAAAGAGAGGAAGCCAGGAGTGTAAGAAAGAAAAAGGAAGAGAGAGAAAGAGAGAGAGAAACAATAGAGAAGACCAAAGACAGCGAGAGAAGAAAAACCTGGGCTGGCGGGGCCGTCCGTCGCGGGGCTCCGGAAATTATGCCCACCACGGGGTAGATTAAAAGCCACTCGGTTAATAGGCGATGGTCCCTGACCCTGCCATGCGAGATCAGGGGGCCTTTTCACATTGAACTCTAACCATTGACCGGCTTCGCAATAATTTTCCGGAGTTAATCCAGGTGTTTTGGAACCCGGGAATAAGGATTCTTGCCATAGAAAGGGAGGAAGTATACAGGTTGAACCCCTTCTCGGCCTCAGCTTCCCCGCGGTTAGCCGATTGAAAGTGGAGTGGAGTGGCAGGTCGGCCCGACTGGCTGACGTCATCCACATCAACTGTCCCCCCCTCAATCAGCATCACATGGTCTGTTATCAACCAAACAGCAACTACAGATATGCTACAGCCAAACGGACACTGCATCCTTACACAGCCTCCGACCCCTGCACGAGCAATGTCATTAGCATGGCCAGTGACAACGATACCTTCAACACATGCCACCTCTTCTCTCTCCCAAACGAAGTACGTTCAACCCCTACTAACCTAATCTACGTCTATCCCGCCTCATCCCCACTTGGCCTTGCTAATCACCATCCATCTGTTCATCGAGCACCCCTAGGTCCTAGCCCAGATCCTCTCCAGTTTTTCGACCCGCTCCCTCCTCCCCTGGACAGCCGTTTCCCACCGCTTCCATGCCTTGATCCTACGCATCCTGCACTACCGGCTCCGCATCGCCGCCTCCCTGCCGGAATACAAGCTCATCCTCAAATGCTTCCCTCCCAGCAACAAATACTATGAGTCCTACGTCTTCTGCACTTATATTGGCACGGATGATCTGAGCAGTCAATTCGACGGGAAGGGCTCGTTATATGAGAATGTCGACCCAGCGGAGCGCCTAGGCCGACTCAGCTCGGTATACTCGCGGTTTCGCCCGGAGCGGATCCCCGAGAATGCGACACCGCCCGCAACGCGATGGGATTCCTTTGGCACGGGTAGGCAGTTTGACCCCGGAATATCAATATTCATGCGGTGCATGCATTTTGGGGCTGACTCTGCGGATAGACGAAGAGCTGGAGCCCGACCAAGATGAGCGGACCGTGACGCGACTCATCAGCTTCGAGAACTTTGAGGACTTCTATCAGCTCTGTGCGGTGGTCAAGGTGGTCAAAGTCCGGCTGGGTAGCAATCTCTTGCTTAGTAACCAGACGGTCGAGGATCGAGTGGTTCGAGTGTTTCGGGACTGGCTGCAGGAACGCGAAAGATGGACCCGTGCTCAGGACCACGGCGATGATTCCCCCGATGATACTTCGGATAGAAAGGAACGGGACAATGCCAGCATACTGTGGATTGATCCCGCCCGCAAGGTCGGCATCAAGGTCCGGGTTCGAGGCAGGCATTATCTCAACCAGCAGATGCCGTTATTTGTCCTTCACGACGAGGAGCCGTCGGTGACGTATGAGCTCGACATCGAGGGTAGGTCAATTGCCGCTTGGATCGGGTTCTGACATACTTGCTGATGGAGCTAGAACTACACATCCGCACGACGAGTCTTTTGATGACGTTGGAGAAATCCCAGGAGGAACAGGAGAACCACCCGAAAGCGATGATCTTCCCGCGTAGTGTATGATCCATGAGGATGGAGGGTGATAGACCAAGATGCGCTGATGGTCGGTACATAGTATGAGTTCCATGGGATGCAGTATAACACCACTCCATAGCGTACGTCTGGCTGTAGACTGTCAACACATTGCAGATTATCGGGCAAAAGAGGCAACAAAGCCGAAGGGCAAAACGAAACCGCCTGGAGATAAGCGATGCGCACTAGTCCACATACGGTAATCGAACCTCGGCACATTTTCAGCTCCCGCGTCGCTGATTGGTCGGTGCCTGTCTGCAATCGGATAGGAGGTGCCGAACAACATGAATTTCCACCCTGAAATATTTCGACGTGCATGGTTCATTCACGCAGGTTTTTACCATCTCCAAGGCTTCATCGATTCTACTCGACTTGATAGTTGGCCAGCGTGGTGGAAGATGCTGCCGGAATCTCACAAGACTATCTTCATACATGCTTAGAGAAGACCCCGAGCATTCAAACCACCGCTTTCCCGCCCTTTCGCCACATCTGACCATGGGCACACCCTCGAAAATCCCGTACTGGCGCCTCGTTTTCGACCAGAAGGTCGTCACGCCGGAGATTGTCGATTATCCCTATGATGGCGCCGGCACGGAAGAATCACCCTACGTGGTCACCTGGATCCCCAATGATCCGCGCAATCCCATGAACTTCAAGGATCTGACCAAATGGCTCTACACGGTGCAAGTGTCCTTTGTCACGCTGACGGTAGCTCTGGTGTCGTCGGTCTACTCGGGAGGCATGGGCCAGGTGGTGCTGGAGTTTCAGTGCGAGGAGGAGATTGCGATTCTGGGCATCTCGCTGTTCGTGCTGGGATTCGCCTTTGGGCCCCTGCTGTGGGCGCCCATGAGCGAGGTGTTTGGTCGTCGGAACGTCTTCACCATCACCTTTGCCATCCTGACAGCCTTTAACGCGGGCGCGGCCGGCGCCCAGAACATTCAGACGCTGGTCATTCTTCGGTTTTTTGCCGGCTTCTTTGGGTCGTCGCCCTTTGGCAACTCGGGCGGCACGATCGCCGACATGTTCCCAGCGTCCAAGCGCGGCATCGCCATCAGCCTGTTCGCGGCGGCGCCCCTCTGCGGACCGACCATTGGGCCCGTGATCGGCGGCTTCTTGGGGGCCAGCGCCGGCTGGCGCTGGGTGGAAGGCTTCATGGCCATCTTCTCGGGAGTGGTGTGGCTGTCGCTGGTGTTCCTGCTGCCGGAGACCTACGCGCCCGTGCTCCTGCGCCAGCGCGCGGCGCATTTGTCGCAGCTGAGCGGCCATGTGTATCGCAGCAAGCTCGACATCGAGCGCGGCCGGGTCTCGCTCGGGCAAACGCTCCAGACGGCGCTCTCACGGCCCTGGATCCTCCTCTTCAAGGAACCCATCGTCCTCCTCTTCTGCATCTACATGGCCATCATCTACGGCACCCTGTACATGCTCTTCGCCGCCTACCCGATCGTCTTCCAGCAGACTCGCGGCTGGAGCGAAGGCATCGGCGGCCTGGCCTTTCTGGGGATCCTGGTCGGGATGGTGCTGGGCGTCGCCTACACCTTCCCGGACAACATGACGTACGCCCGGCGCTGCCGCGAAGCCCCCGCCGGCACGCGACTGGCGCCCGAGGTGCGCCTCCCGCCCAGCATCATCGGCGGCATCGCCTTGCCCATCGGTCTGTTCTGGTTTGCTTGGACCAACTACCCCTCGATCCACTGGATGGCCTCGGTGGCCGCGGGCGCGCCTTTTGGGTTTGGCCTGGTGCTTGTCTTCCTCAGCGTGTTCAATTACCTCATCGACGCATACACCATCTTCGCCGCCTCCGTGCTCGCCGCCAACTCCGCCCTGCGCTCGCTCTTCGGCTTTGCGTTCCCGCTGTTCACCACCTATATGTACGACAATCTCGGGATCCACTGGGCTTCGTCCATCCCGGCCTTCCTGGCGGTCGCTTGCATTCCCTTCCCCGTGATTTTCTATTTGTATGGCGCCCGCATCCGCAAGCACTGTCCGTACGCGGCGCAGGCGGAGGCTTTTATGCAGAAATTGGCGGCTGCGCAGCAGCAGACGCCACCTGCCGCTGGTCCGCAGGAGACGGAGAAGCAGGATCTGGAGAAAGTGGCCGCTGTTGTCGGTGGAGGGGAAAGTGACGGCGACAGCGACAACGAGAGTCTGTCGAGCATCCCGTCGCGGACGGCGATTGAGCGGCGGGCGTCGCGGGCGTCGCGGACCTCGCGCAAGTCGACGCGGTCGTTGGCGCGGACGGTGACGTACGAGGAGAACCCGTATGATATTGATCGGGTGAATACCTGCAACTCGACGAGCGGGCGACCGAGGAGGGCTTAGAGAGGGTGTGGTGGTTGTACCGTTCTTCTCCCTTTGTGGGGTTGAGAAGAAAGGGCAAATTCACCTCCACATCATCCAGACATGAAGCGATCTCGATGATTCCCCATTGCGGGCCATTGCAACCACGTATCGTGAGGTGCCGTGAAGGTGCAGCCACATGCCCAGGCAGAGCGCGCGCTGCGTCAGTCATACTTGCATCAAGCGTTGCATACCTCTTGACTTCGGGCTCTCAACATGAATACTGGTTTTTGTTTTCTTACCTGTGATACCAGACAAAAGCATAGATAGATATAGACTTAATGATAATTGTTGGACTCACTCTACCTATTGCCTGGACTGGATGTGCTCGCACTTTGCATGATGCAGTTCTCTTCTCTGTCTGGTGGTGGTGTCCAAGCTGGTTGTCTTCAGCTAATATCTGCGCGACTTACCGTACTCCGCAGTGGCGCTCTGTAAGCGGTACGTGAATGGTCTAATCCATCTTGACGCACCTCACACCACACATCCGGTGTTCGTAGACTGACAATCATAGACTGACAATGATTGCAGCGCGAATTCCAGCCCCGAGTTCTGCCTAAAACCGAGCCGGAGAACCCGGCTAAGAAATTAGTGGGCGTTCGGGTGGGCAGAAACCGGGACACCCACAAGTGGGCATCCGAGGCTCTACCCAGATCTTCCCCGCATTTAATGTCCGCTGCATCCCACTTCTTTGCATTCGAATTCAGACACATCCTCAGAGAGAGCTGCATCTTGCGTATCGATATCAAATTCAACACATACAAACACAATGGCTGACGAACGCATCACCTGGATCGGTCTGGGCAATATCGGCCGCGTGAGTTCCAGCTAAACAATCCCCCCTCCCTCTCCTGCCCCTCACCCATCACTCTCCCCTCCCCCCTCTCCTAACACCATAACCACACCACAAACTAACCACCCCCCCTGGAATCCAACAGGGCATGTCCCGTAACATTGCCAGCAAAGGCCCCCAAAACCACCCTCTCACCCTCTACAACCGCACCGCCAGCCGCGCCGAGAGCTTCGCCGCAACCCTCCCCGCGAACAAAGCCACCGTCTCGACCTCCCTCACCACCGCCGCCGCCGCCGCCTCCATCATCTTCATCTGCGTGGGCGACGACCCGGCCATCGACGCCATCATCAACACCCTCACCTCCTCCCCTGAAGTCGATCTCAGCGCGAAGATCATCGTCGACTGCAGCACCGTCCACCCAGACACCTCGCGCCGCACCGCCGCCGCCCTAACCGCCCAGGGGGCCTCCTTCATCGCCTGCCCGGTCTTCGGCGCCCCCGCCGCCGCCGACGCCGGACAGCTCGTCGTGGTGCCGGCGGGACCCGCGGAGGCGATCCGCCGCATCACCCCTTTCCTGGAGGGGGTGGTAGCGAAAGCGGTGGTGGCGATGCCCGGGGAGGATGTCGGACGGGCGTCGACGCTGAAGGTGCTGGGCAACACGTTTATTCTGAACATGGTGGAGAGTCTGGCGGAGGCGCTGGTGGCGGCGGAGAAGTCGGGGCTCGGGGCAGAGGTCTATCGGGAGTTCATCCATCGGATGTTCCCCGGCCCCGTGGCGGCGTATGCGGACCGCATGTGCTCGGGGGATTATTGGCAGCGCGCGGAGCCGTTGTTTGCGGTGGATCTCGCGCGCAAGGACCTGCGGCATGCGGCCAGTCTGGCGCGGAGTGCGGAGATGCGGTTGCGCAGTGCGGAGGTTACGGATGGGTATTTGGAGGTGGTGAAGAAGGAGAAAGGCGAGCAGGGGGATATTGCGGCCGTGTATGGGGCGGTGAGGAAGGAGAGTGGGTTGGAGTTTGATAATTGATGATTTCCCTCTATCTTTTCGGTGGGGTGTATATATTTCTATCTGGTTTGGGGGGAAGATTGATTATGGAAATTAGATTTCTGGGTGGATGGAACATCTGACATTAATTAATTGAGGGAACTGCTGCAGCTACTACAACCACACATCCTGCCTCTCCCCCTCCACCTCTGCGATCAACCAACTCTCCCGGAAATACTTCTCCAGCACCTTCTGCGCATACGTCTGGTCGTTGACGCAGTATGCGCCCCCCGTGGGCCCGATATGCGGACAATGCATCGTCGGATCATACTGCACCATATGCTCGTGCACCTCGCGACACAGCAGGGTATCGCGGCCGAGCTCGTAGTCCTTTCCCAGCGGGATATCCTGGGTCAGGAACGCGTAGCACGTCTCCGAGTCCGTGTACTGCTGGTTGCTCCCCGTGCAGTACTGCGCATGTGTCTCGCAGATCTGCTTCGCCAGAAGGTCGGTGAGGTAGGTGGTTGCCGTCGTGGTGGTGGCGTTGAGCTGCGTCGCGAGCGCCCCGACCAGGGTGTCGATGAGAAAGCCGAACCAGCGGAAGGTGGCGTCGTACTGCACGATCTTGCCCTCGGCGTTCCACATGATCCACGTGTCGATGGTGACGGGCAGCAGCAGGTTGTTGAAGGAGGTGGCGTTGAAGGTCACGACGGTGGTGGCAGAGGCGATGTTGGTGTCGGGGGCGGCGGTGAACTGCGTGATGCTGTAGGAGACGGGGACGCCGACGAGACTGAGGTGGGCTGGGTCGGAGAAGAGACCGAAGAGGTATTCCGTGTTGAGCGTGCTGCCGTTGAAGACGCGCGTGATGTCGACGCGGCCTTGGATCTGGATGAGGTTGGTTAAACGGGGTGCTGGGCTTTATGCCATAAAAGGGAAGAGAGAGAGAGAGAGCGTACATCGTCCGCAAACAGCGTCGAGTTAATCGACTGGGTTTGCGCCAGGTTGGCCGGGTACAGGAAGTTATCCCAGAAGGTCTTCTCCAGGTTCCAGAGCTCTTTGACCGAGTACTTGGGCGAGTTTTTCGCGAGGACGCTGGGGGTCGGCGTGAGCAGCGTCGCTGCTACGACGCCAGACCATGGGATATGCATGGTGGGGGAGGGTGGGGAGGGTATGAGGGTGAAGCTAGCAGAGGAGCAAAGTGGCCAAGTACAACTGCGAGAAGGCGAGGATTTATATCTGTTTTTCTCTGCTAGTGGGGATGGATTGCTTTTTTTGCGGTTTGTCGATCCCAATCGCTTGGCCACTCCCGCTTGACAGGTCAGGCAGCCACAGTCACGATGCTACCTCATATTGCTTCTGTTCGGCATGTCAATACGAGGGGCACTCGACCTTCTGGCTGGCTTTGCTCGTCCAGCTGACTTTTACTCCCGCGAGACACCGAGGACACCGAGTCAGTGGCGCTGATGGACTGACGGCTGGGTAGAATGCTCGAAGGGCTCAGGAATGTATGTGCTGCACCTGGAATGCGTCGAGTGAGCTACGATCGGATGGGAATTAGAGACCCCTGACAATCTATTGGTGATTATTGATTTTCCTGCACTTCTCGGTGCTGTAGTTCGTATTCTGTGGAGTGCTGCGAATGAGTCGGAAAGAATTGCCGGATGCGCCTCAGCCAGCCTCGTATCCGACGAGTCGTGGCGCCGAGAAGGATCTAGCCCTAAGTGATGGGTGATGGGACGGGGGATTCGTGGCTGGATAACGGCAGAGGCGGGAATGAGCTTGCTGTTGCTTCGGCTTCACCCGAAGTGCTCTACAAGGTGACTAAGTCTGCTTGCTTGTCCCTTGCAGACAGAGCTAAGTTCTAACAAGGGTCGTGGGTAGGCAGTGGCTGCGTCAACTAAAGATACATAGGGCTCAGACTCGGTGTTTGTGGCGGGGATCACCGAGGGTCAACTGTGCCAAGCCACCCTCAACAAACAATTATTGAATGCCCAATACAGCTACAGCAAACAAAGCAGGAAAAGCAAACATCATCAGACACACTCCTATCCCTTTCAATCAATTCTAGACAGAAATATAAAGAACAAACAATAATCCAACACAAAGCCACCAAACAATCAACACACACACTGCCTGAAAGCAATGCACCACCACAAAGCAACCCATCCCCGTCTCCCATCACATAACACCATCAAAGAAACCTCATCTTCATCCCTTTATACAGGTAGACTATAAGAATACCACTCATTCCTTTTCCCTCTAAAGCCCGTCAGGCACACCAAAGGTAAGCTAGAGTAGACCCAGGTCGTAGTCTCGACCCCCCTCCCGCACTACCACCTATCACCTACCTACCCATTACCTACCCCGGTAAAACTCCTCCCCTATCGTAAGCCTAGCAAAATGCCCTCTTCCCCAGAAGTCTGCACCCAAGAGCAAACCCGCTACTCTTGTGGCCACTCGCTGAGCAATAACTTCATCCCGTGCGCCGCCCACGCCCGCACCGATGACCTGCGGTGTCCCGGCCATCGGATCCGGTATGTTGAGACCATCAGTACGCCGCATAAGTGTCGGAATTGTCGGCAGAGTGCTTATTAGCAAATAATACTAGGTATGTTACTAGATGTGGTAAAATCCCGGCTACTACTGCTCCGCAGACTCCTGCGCCTCTCGCCAAGTTACCGGCGACCTGCGGCAGGTAGTGGTGATGAAGTCCTAAAAGGTTTGTTAATCCGGAGAAGGGGACTGCGACTGGCTTGGTGTCTCTCTAACTTACCGGCTAGGTGTGCTAATAGAAAAAGAAAAAAAGTGCTTTGATGATTTCCTAAAGAGGTGTTTCTTTAGTAGATTCAATGTGTACATTTTCCTGGCAGGGTGTGGCTGGTCTCTTTGTATACTGTAGATCATAAGTCAAAAGCAAGAGGTGCAGAATATACGCTGATTCACCAAGTCTGTCGAGTTAGAAAACAGTGGAGTGTTGATGTCCGGCTAGAGGAAGTAGAGCAAGATCCATATTTCTGTATGGTCAACACCCGGTAGGGACGGAATAATTGGTCCATCTTTAAACTGAATATTCCATATGCTCACTGGAAACATAGCCAAGGATTCAGCTCTTTCTGGTATAGTTATTCCCATTGTCATATGAAGAAGATGGTAGGGCCTTCATGCAGGAGCCATTAGCTGTTATCACCACTGGTGGAACTGCAGTTGGCAGGGCTGCTTTATCTGTATGATTTACTATGAGAAGAAAGAGCTTACGTTAGTTTATAAGGTACTGTATGCTCCGCGGACGAGAACCTCTCTCGGTCCCGCAAACGATGTGAAAGCTTGATATGACGACAGTGGTGCTTAGATGCTCCACTAAGCCCAACCACCCAGGATGTGATGCTGGAGATGATAGACCCAGAGACAGCTGTTCTGTAAGGTAAAGCTTGTCTCTGGATCTGTCTGGAGTAGTGCTGTATCTGCGGTACTTCGTAGAGGCCTGAGCAGGGTCCAGAGCCTTAGTAGAAATGTCGCAGTTTGACACACGTTATCTCTGGTATTCCAACACTTGCTGACAGCTGTTCTAGCGCTGGCTCTTTCGTGTTCATCAGATAATTTTGGGAAGCTATCTCCTCTGACTGTTTCTGGGCGCGAGTTCCCATAAGACATCCGGTCTGTGGCTTCACTCGAGTCTAGCAAGGAACGACTGGAGATGGAGGAGGGAGGGGTGCCTTAAGGCGCATCAGTGGTGGGCGACGATGTGCTGACCACGGGGAACACACTTTGTTCGGTGCTGAGTCTTCTGGGACGAGCTGAGGATATTAAGGTCATCGTGGTAGCGGAATCTCCTGTGCACCGTGGCCGGCAACTGTTGCACCAAGGAGAGTTTGGCAGAGTTAGTATCCAAAGTCTTTTGGGATCTGATGGTGGTTAAGGGCGGATTTGGCTTAGCTTATTGATGTGTCTTGTTGGGGTGGGTTGATTGTGGGTGTACGGGTGGCTGATGGGGAGGTGGAGAAGTTGCGGGGGCCGCCGCGGATCGACCGAGCAGCCGATGTCATCTCCTCCTCGAGGAAAAGAAACCTCAGTTTCAAGGCCCCCCATTGTATATGTAAGACTGACATATACGTTCGAAATCCCCAAGAACACGAGATTACCTTGAAGAAGCCATTCAAAACCATCAAAAAGACATGTTCAACAATAAATCCCATCTTCGATCCTCAGATCCTTAGAAAGAGGCGAACCACCGCTATCAAACAGTATACCACAACCCCCCACCACCACCACGAACAACAACCCATACTTAAAGCAAACCCAGCTTCATCAAGCAGCAAGAAAAAAGAGCGCACTGCGCACGCCCCAAGAATCGAACCGCCAACCCGCAATGCGCAAAAAGATTAGCATAACTCAACGGCGTCCGGCAGAGTTTTGTCCCCACCGCACCCCGTTGAGTTATGCCGTCTGCTCTTCCTTTCGAACGGCCCATAAACTACAGCCAGTATCCCCAGTCGAGCAAGTGAAATAAAAAAAAGGGAGACCGAGCGCGCAGTCACCAACTCGAACCGCTCACCTCTCGATGAAAAAAAAAACATTATCGTGGTTGGAGCAGATGGGTAGAAGGGGGTTCCCACCCATCCACTCCATCCACTGATTGAGAATCCCTTCGTTTGGACTATAAGCTCGACAGGGGACGGGCAACGCTTCTGCGAACGGATTTATTCACCACGATGGCTGGTCTATGGTGATTTGAGGAGGACGGGTTCGTGATTCTGAGGCTTTTGATATGCGATTTGATGGGGTTTTCAGAGAAGACAGATGGAGAGTGGTGGTGAGGCTGGGTTGAATCCTTTGCAGCCTGGGAAATGTGGCGAGGGCTCCAGGCTCCAAGGGTAGGAACGGCCATCGAGTACCTGATTTACAAGGCAGGCAGGCGGGCACACGCATGTAGCTCTTGCTCTGACTTTCATACTTCCCCAAGTTGACAGCAGCAATCACGGAGCTAAGAACTACCTGTACACATCACAAGTCCTGATTGGAAAAAGCATCAGCATTTGAACCCTCCACAGCCCAGAGGTCAATACATACACTAAGGTACCCCAATCACCCTCTACCTTAGATACTATACGAACCGAACGCCCCCACTGCATTAGTTGTTCAAAGAAATTTATTTCTCGAAAACTATACCTCTTCTAAAATAGAAGTGTATCTATATCTAACCTGATCTCCAATGACTGTATAGATTCTCGATCCCATGTAATAGAGATTATGATATTATCAAATCAGCATCAGAATATCTATAAGGTAGATAGATATACTAGATTATAGAAATTATTTTAGATGTTCCTGAACGTTGAACTGCCATCTGACTCTATACACACGTAGCTTACCCGAACTAAGCAGCATGATCAGACACATGATTGCTCGGTGGCTAGGGTAAGATGGGGGGACGCAGGTAACAGTTCCCACCAAGAGGAGACCTTGTAGTAACCCATACCAAATAGCAGACATCGGCACGGTACCCACATACAAAACAACCATGTCGGACAGAAGCAGGGTCATGGAATAATCTGATATCAGACAGGCAGGCAAGCGTCACACCGTGGGGATTATACTACCTACTCAACGGCTGCCTATCCAGCAAGCCGGCATGCTCGAGGAAGACATCCCACAGTACCCCATAGAAAACAGCCCAGAACAGTGCCCATAGCAATCCGGACAGTAGCCCAGATAATACCACAGTTGCTCCTAATAAGGCCAGGTCCCCCATCATCCTCAGGTCCACGGGATAGAGAGAAAAACCACCACGGTCCTTCTGTCAGAAAAGTGACCAGTGCGGCAAGGGACTTTTTTCCTTATGAATGTTTAACACGCAAGCTAAACCAACAAACCCGTCAGCTACCCGTGCAAGTATGTTTGTTCTTTTTGTTCTTCTTTTAAAGCACCAGGATGATACTGTGACCCACACTTACTTGTGCATGTACAGGCTGGTGAACGAGGCGGTCATTGAGCTCTTGTGCTTAATAATCCAAGCAACGAGGCATAGTTACAATTAGACGGTTTTGGACGGATTCGAGGCGAGCCCTTTCCCCCCACACAGGTTCCAGCGGACATACTGTAGTTCAGGATGGATTCGTAAAGTTACTTGTCGGTACACCCCGGGAAATGCTATTATGCATTGCTGGCTTAAAGAGCACATGTCTGTATGAGACTGGGCGGGTGGAGATTTCTAGGGTCCACTGATCTCAAATGCTACCGTCTTCTACCTTTCATCGACCGCTTTTTGGTCGCTATCATTTTTGGATAGGTTGGAGCAGGAGACGTAAGTAGTATGCCCTTGCTCCAACAGCTGGCAGGACGTAATCCCTAAAACTGAAAATAAATCTAAGTGGTCAGATACTGCATATATCAAAGTGGTTAGAGGAATTTTCATGTATACAGTAGTCATTTGAGCAGCATTTATGTGTGTCCGGTATTTTTTCAGCTTCTCAGCTGAAATACTCCAGATGAATAGTAACATTGGAGTTTGTCAAATGTGTCATGGATATGGATGGACACATACAATATTGACTTGAGGTTGGTTAACTATAGCAAAATGATACTACCGAGTAGGCGGGAACAGCCAGCGCCCCGGGTGGTCCCGGTACTGTACTATAACAGTTCGAATCGAGAGGCCATGGGTCCACCTGGGGTTCCCAGAAACTGGCTGGCTAATCACGTCCATTCTTTACTTTAACGGCCCAGTTACTGCACCGACAGTGATCTGACCCGAGTGAAGTACATAGTTACTTAGTGTTTCGAGGGACTAAGAAACTGAAAGTGGAATGGCGAAGCCCGCTCAAGCTAGGTATACTAGACGGATAATCACGGGAAAAAGTGCTGTCGATTCAAATATTTTCTCTAAATCTTGAAGTATGGACCTTCTTTCCCTCCCTTCTCTCTCTCTCTCTCTCTCTCTCTCTCTCTCTCTCTCTCTCTCTCTCGGTCATCATTGCTGGGTAGGTAGCATTCAAAACTGGAATGGAATCAGGAATCTTAGACCGAGAGCGCCATACTTCCGTAACCACACAGCTGTCACGAGCTGTCAGCATGCCTTGTATGTTCCTGTAATGGTTTAAGTACTGCTCGCTTCTACCCCGCATTTCCACTAGATGACATACATACATTAGTTACCGAGTCTTTGGGAGCGGCCCGTTTCGCCCGGAGAGTAAAGTAAATGCGACCTACGCCCAAACCCAAACCTTTGAATGTAACATCAACAGTTGGAAGTTAGTTAGGTACGCATACTGTATCTCCGCGGAATCGACAACAACAATTTTCTTGATTCGTCTGTATCAATCACTTTAACATAATTCCACCATCTTAATGTTCTCAAGCTTCTGCCCACCACCTGGTCCAACGCCTGAGAAACCCCGATACAGCATTGGAATTAATGTCATCGAATTAATCCATCCATATCACACTCCTTGCCCCTTCCATCCCCCGATTGACCAAATGTAGCCCATAAATTCTGGCGAGACTCGATTGATTCGTGCGTGTGTAAGTGACTAAGTACCTTAGTATGAGTTGGGAAAAAGTCAGCCTGCAAGGATCCGTGCTATGGCCCAATGATGATGCATGAATCTGCTCTCGGGGGTACTTCTTTTCTTTATTCTATTTATAAGATAAAGGCAACGAGAAAACGAACCGGTTCCAATGGCCCTAGATGAAGCAGATCACATCCAGGACCTGGGAGACCTTCTCATAGATACCGCCGCGGCTGTGAGTGTTACCATAGTTCTGCAGGTAGCGAAACATGTTGCAGGAAGCCTTGTTTCCAGTATTCCCTCGGTCGTAGCCGTCCATCAAATTCACGCTGCACTGGAACAGGTCCTTGACCTCCTGCGGATTCCAGTTGTCCCCCGCGTGGAGAACACAGAACGCATCCCGACGCTGAGCTTTGTGTCCTAAACGACGAGCCACGCTGTCCCGACGGCGAAATCTTCGTCGGAGGTCGTTGCGCGCTCCGCTCGCGCAGCTGCGTGGATTATGAGTTCTGTCCGAACCAACAGAGTACCCAAGGCCAGCAAGACTCAACGGGTAGTGTCGATACCAACCGCGGCACAGACCAAGGCGATCAAGGTGACCAGGGTGATATCCATGTTGGCTCCGGTGGCCAAGGTGGTCAAGGCAAGGATGATAGAACCATGAGTGGTATCAGTGTTGATCCAAGTCAGGATCAAGATGATATCAAGCTCTTCTGAAACTGATGCAATCGGTCCTAGTTCAATGTTTTACGCATAGGTCAGGCTGTTGGTTATGATCGAGACAGGAGTTAAGATGGAGAAAAATCAGCTCAAAAGTATTTAGAGCCAAGAATGAAATATCTACGTGTTGAGAGAATGACGGCCTCATACCTTAAATAATCTTTGACTCAGCAGAATTTCAGGGAATTGACGACCTCATACCCTTCCTGGTGCACATTTCCTGAAGGGTTTAATGTCTGAGAAACTCTGCTTGCTGCCTCAAGCGACTGTTCGGTCTATCTACGGTATTCATCTATCAAACATCGAATCAGGATTTGGATGCGACATCAGACACTACAGACGATTACCTCATCCAGGTCTGAATACGAGTATCGGAAAGTGCACATGGTGAGTGTCCGATGATTTGATTTTCGATAATGCCAGCTCTGCTATTTGCCATGAGACATATATTGGGGTGGATATACTGTACTGTCTGAACAGATAAAGAGCTTGTCAAGTTAGTTGCATTTTATCCCACATAATTAATCGCGAAACCAAGATTCTAGGCAGGAGACTGCGCAATTACATGTTACATGTTCGCTGTAGATGGTTGACTACTTGGTAAAAGAATATAAAAGAATCATAGATATATTAATATTTCATACTCATAAATATATGTCTATCCTATTATCTCTAGAATATTATTGAGTAAATATTTAGATAATGATAATTACAGCTAATTTAAAAAATAATCATAATATTTATGTGCGCTGTCAGTCTCTTGAGTTGCCTTGTCTCCCGCTGAGGCCTTAATCTCCCCGAGACGTGACCGGGTTTTCTTCTGGATCCCCAATAGTTATACCGGCAGATTGTAGCTGCAAAGATGAACAGCGGGACCGCCTAATCTTCCAAGTCCTGCATGGTGCTTATGCAAGGCCAGGTGTCGGGTTAGCCTCGCTCCCTGCGCAATAGCCCAGATTCTTAATGTAGGGAAGTCGAAATGCCGTGCTTGATTATAGGCGTTTCGATCTTGTGCAGAATGAATTCTGTGTGATGCTCAATAGGTTTAAATCCCTTTACTATTGGCAAGTCTGGTATACTGGTGAAGAACCAGGACCAAGGCGGAATCCAAGTTGCGATCAAAACTGCTAAGGGGCTGGAAGAGGAGATATTCAGACTGTTCCTTTGCGTGTACAGTATTGATACGTGGATTGCTCTCGAACGCCATCTTAACCAAGGATTTAAGCAGTGGAAGTCTTGTCCACTAACTGTTTGATCTTAGTGGTGTAAAGCCGTGTGTAATTGTTCGTAGCCTGGAAGCAAAATCAGCGCTCGATCTAGTATACAGTGTCGCAAGGTTGCTTACCATTATTCTTAGTACCACTACAGCACAAGCATTTGACGCATGGCCCGTGAATCAAACACTACAGCCGCAGAGATAACATCTTGGAAGAACAATGCAGCAGAAAGCACCTTTTCGCGCCGGCTCCTTGAGTATAAATCATTTTGAATCAGTCTCGTCGTGCTTCTTTAAAGTGCTCACCAAGCCATTCAAAACTCTAAGGCTTTCAAGCACACTAGTCTTGACTTGATCGTCAACGAGATTTTTGACAGAAAACACAGTAATTAGAATCGACTGAATGAGCTCTTGTTCATCCAGGTCCAGTAATTCGTACACTTGGTGCCACAGATCAATACTTTTTTCCGGGGATAATCTTCTAGCTCGTGTGATTAAGACTTTCTCACTGCTTGTGCGGATGGAAAAGAAATATTAGCAACGAGTTGCAGTTGCCTGTCAACATAAGAGTAGATCACAGCTACTCTGAATATTTAACATTGAACAAACATCTGGATGGTCAGCACATTAGCAATTGGCATACAGATCTCCAGCTGGCAGAATAAGACTCTCTACTGGCTAAGCGAGGCTTACGTACTTACGACCGGGATGGAACCTGCAGCAGCAAAGCACAGAGCTACAATCATACACTCTACTCTGTATGTACACAGTCTACTCCGCAATCTGCACTGCATTGCCGTCCACCCATGCATGAACCCAGTCACAGCTCCAGCAAGCCACTTGGGCATTTCCATGCCCCATCGCGAACCCGGCATTCCAACCGGTCTGTCGCATCATCTGCCACTCATCCCAGCATCATCGCATAGAACCGCAACAACAACCACAACCACACCCAAAGAAACTAGCACAATGATTCTACAGAAACACCCACACACGATTATCCCTTCTTTGGAAGTATATTCCTCTCAATTCATACGAAACAGAATATCCACCTCAAAACAACGCCCAAGACCCAAGAATGTAAGACATCTCTCTCCCCATCCCTTCCAAGCCACCCCCTTGACTTCAACACGAACCTCACCATTGAAGTGAAAGATCAACCATCCAAAACATACCAACCCAGCAGCATAGCATACACGAACCCCCATCCTCCCTTCCCCCGGCCTCGAATCCCTCAAATCCCTCGCCCTCGCCCTGTGCTGTGCGTTCGTGCTCTTCTTTTTTTCTTCCCTCTCGTGTAGGATCTCTCCTCCATCCAGACGACGACATCACCACTACGACTTACCAGCATCACCAGCCCCTACGAAACACAACCACTCACCCCTCCGCAAAAAGAGTAGGATTTCCATCCCCACACAACCACACTCATTACAACGAACCCATCACTAAACACGACCCCCCCCCTCGCCCCAACAGAAACAGATTCAACATGAAGTTCTCCCTCGCAGTCATGGCCACCTCCCTCTTCATCGCCACAGGCATGGCGATGCCGATTCCTGTACGTTTCTCTACTCTTTCCCTTCCCAACTTGACCATACGCAATGGACTTCGCCCCCAGCACATCACATCCACAAGGAACCCCAGTCCCTACAAGCCTAGGCCTAAGCCTAAGCCCAGCTACAAGTTAGTGGACGACGAAGACTAACAATCCCCCCAAAAAAAAGTCCACCAGCAAGGCACCCCGCATGGACGGGGCGGATCTCTTCAGCGCGATTGCCAGCATGGGCGGGCTGGACGGGGTGCTCAAGAGTATCCAAATTAGTAGCCCCGTGGGCAATCCATTGGCTGATCCTCTGGCTGAGTAAAAGCGTTTTCTATTTCTCTTCGTTCCGAGGGAACTAGAAGGGGGGTGAGAGAGCAGGAGTTGGACGGATCCAGAAGAACAACAACAACCCAAGGAATCAAATGAATCAGATGAATCGATCATGAAGTTTACGGAAGTGACTGATCAGGAGTCTCCAAGGAGGTATGTCATTTTAAGTGGACTAGGGTAAACTGCTAGGCTAGTAGGACTGGCAAACGCTCAATATTGGAATGGAATAAGGATAAGGATAAGCTGGAATCGTTCTCGTAACAGTAGGCCGTGACACAGAACCAAAATCTGTGGAGTGGGTTGTTGTCCAATAGAATGCCGTGTAATCATGGTACTCATCGCTGTCGTGTCGATCGTAATGAGCGTGTCGAGGGTCGTAAAGCATGTGTCGCCTCGTAAACACACGTGAAAGAAGGGTATCAGTTTGCACAATCATCCATGACCAGGTCGCTGACCTCCACCTGGGTGCCCAGCGCTTGCCTGCCCTCGCGAATCAATGCCTGAAGCTTGATGCCCATTTTGCCCATCCTGCGCATACTTTCGTCGCCCTCGCGCTCGATGCGGCACACATCCGCCATGTGACGCTGCGTGTCGACCGAGACGGGGCTCTCGCGCGGCAGGGCCGGGGAGGAGAAGAAAGGCTGACGCGGGAGAGACCCCGCATGCGACATCAACCCCCGCTGATGGTGAGATCGACCGCGGCGCGAGGCGTGATAGGCAGTGGTTGTGCGTCGGGGGACCCGCCGGGTAGAGCTGCGGTGGGTGGAGTGAGACGACGCAGGGGACGGGTTGACGGATGGGACCATCACCCAGCTGCGCTGCAGATCGTCTTCCGCAGGGAAGCCGCCAGGCAGAGGGGTGGACGGTCCACGCTGAAGGGCCGGCGCGGTGGGAGTGACGGCCATAGTCTCCTTCTCACTGGCCGGGGCAGAGAACGTCAGCGCGGCATCCTCCTCGCCGCTCAGGTTGTAACCGCGACCGCCGCCGGCATAGAATCCGCGGAAGGCTCCTGACCAGCAGAAATCCCAGACCTTGCCGACAACGCCCAGGACAGCCTTGCTCCAGCGGACGGGTGCGGCGGAGGGGTGTGATGGGACGTTCGGAGAGATCGTCTTCTCGTCGGAGCCAGTGGGGGACACAGCAATCAGAGAGGGGTCCCGACGGCTGCGTTTGCGACAACCGCCGGCCTCGCTGAGAGAGTCCACGCTGGTATCGAGAGGAAAGGGTTGAGGTGGCGGATACCGACTGGGCCGATAGTCGAAGTCAACGATCCCATCGACTCCATGCGGGAGGTCATCGGGGCCGGTCAGCGAGGGAACGAGAGGACTGGAGGTGCCATCGACCTGCAGCCAGGAGGAGCGTTGATCGAGCTGAAGACGAGCCCTTTTGCGAGGAACTGCGATGGAGCGATACAAGGCCGACGAGGCAGAGGGAGATGGAGGGACTTGGAAAAGCTGCGAAGGCGCCCCAGCCAGATCGAGATGAGGAGGAATGGGCGAGTCAAGAGTGATCGGACTGGTGGGCATCCTTCTGGAGCAGCAATCACTGTTGGAGGATCAAGCGATCGGGATGAACCATAGAAGAATGAGGCCAGATGATACAACACGACAGGAGGGGGTATGGTTGAAAAGTTGGATGTGGGTTGAGTTGAGTTGAGAAGATGGAGAGATGAAAGAATGAAAGAATGAAGAGAAGGAAAGGCGGAGAGGCGGAGAGGCGGAGAGGGAAAGAGGAAAAAAAAGGCGAATCCGAGGTGAATGAGAAACATCCTCCTCAACCCAGCCTCTCTTATTTACTGATTTTCATTTCTTTGTTTTTATGATCTGTTGTTTGATTTAACCCTTGGATTAGGTGGATTTGAGACATTACTGATCTTCCTCATAAGGATGGAACGAATGCACTAACTACAGCTGACTCTTCCACTCTCTCCCCGCAGCCCTCAACCCATCCTCTCCATCCACCAGAACACACCATCCCTCCGAACCTCGGCCCCCACCGCCCACTACTGCTGCCGCAAAATGCTTCTCCGCATAGTCCAGCACCGCTTGATCGTAGGTGCCCGGTTGCAGGAACACAGCTGGGATGCCCACCGCATGGGCTTCGCGGAGAAGGCCGAGGGTCACCGCAGGCGGCGTCACCACTGAGAGCGAGGTTTCCGTAGGCGCAGGCAAGTCGCCCACCGAGGCGACCGCCGGCAGACTCGTCGATTGTAGTTGGATGGAGGAAGCGCGCGGATTGAGGGGTGTGACAGGTAGGGAATGGTGATGATACCAGGCCAGGACTAGGTTGCAACGTCAGATATGACTTCATTCTTATCGAGCAGAGAGGGATCGGATCGATCAGAACTTACTCCGATGGCCGAACTTGGCCGGGTCATTGCTGGCGCCTGCGACAGCGAATCGCGGCGAGCTGAAGAAGAGTTTGACGGCTTCCATCGTAGCAGACATTGCGCTGAGCTTCTTTATTGGGGTTTTGATTAACTATAGCTCGCAGTAGACAGAGTGACTGATACTGTTGAAGGGATGGATGTTTGAGGAGAAAAGGTGATAAGGAAAAGGTCTGGGGAAGTGGAGAATCGATAATGAGAGTCAGTGAGGGGAAATCATTTTCTCTTTTGTTCCGCCTTGATTGCAACACAACTCACCCTCAATCAACTTCAACACACCCACACACCCTTCGACTTCAATTCACTGCCTACCTCTGTTTCAATATACCAATCCACATCCCCTCCAAGTATCCCCATCAATTGCGTGCATGCCCCCCTTCGTCTCGCGCAAGCGCGTCTCCGACGAGGATCCGCCCGCGCCCAAACGTCATAATGCGACGCCCACCGTCGCCGCCACCGTTCACCACCACGACGACGGCTTCGATTCCTCCTCCACCGATTCATCTCTAAGCGACGTCCCCGAAGACCTACAAGACACGCTCAAACCAGACAACACCAATGACTCCGACTCAGACAGCAGCAGCAGCAGCAGCGAGTCCGAGGAGGTTGATTGGGAGGATGCCTTCGAGTCGGAGCCGGCCAGCGCCAGCGCCACCACCCCGATGACGCCCTCAATCCTCGCCTCGGACCACCAACACCAAGACCTGGAATTGACTCTCGACAAGAACGAAGTCCACCTGGCCGACATCGTCGAGGGCAAAAAGGCCCCCTCCAAGATCGAGCGCCAGATCCGCCTGAACACGCATTGTCTACACGTGCGCTTCCTGCTCTACCACAACGCCCTGCGCAACGCCTGGGCCAACGACGAGAAACTCCACGAGATCCTGCGGCGCAAGCTCCCGCCCGCCCTGCACAAGGAAGTCAAGAAATGGCGCATCTCGTCCGGACTCGAGCTTCCGGAGAAGCCGCCACCGCCGCCGCCGTCGAAGAAATCAGCCAGGAAGGGCAAGGGAAAGCAGCAGTCGCGCCACCGTCCGACGGAGCGGGACTGGACTGAGGGCTCGGAGCGTCTGGAACCGGGCCAGCCGGACATGAGTCGCGGGGACCCAATCATCCCGCTGCTCAAGGTTCTGGCCGCCTACTGGAAGAAGCAGTTCACGATCACCGCCCCGGGGCTGCGCAAGCAGGGGTATCGGCCGATGGTGCAGCTGGAGGCGCAGATCGCCTCCTTCCACAAGGACGAGCACGATCCCGCCGTGCACGGCGAGCGAGTCGCGGACATCAACGAGTTCCGGCAGGCGGCCGAGCGCATGCAGGGTTCTCGCGATCTGGGCGCGCAGCTGTTCACTGCGCTGCTGCGCGCCCTGGGCATCGAGGCCCGACTCGTGGCCAGTCTGCAGCCTTTAGGGTTTGGCTGGACCAAAGCCGAGACGTACACGCCTAAGCCCACCACAGCAGTCGAGACCGACCCGGTTGTCGGCCTGGACTCCTTCAGCAGTAGCAGCAGTAGCAACAGCAGCGACGCGGAAACCGCACCGTCGCGCGGCCGCAACAACAACCCCAAGGGCTACGACAAAGACCTCCCATTCCCGATCTACTGGACCGAAGCCGCGTCGCCGATCACGCACGAGATCATCCCCGTGGACGCGCTCGTCCTCCCCAACGCGGTCGCCACGACGCCGGAGCTACAAGCCGCCTTCGAGCCGCGGGGCGCCAAAGCCGAAAAGGCCAAACAAGTGATCAGCTACGTGATCGCCTACTCCGCCGACAAGACCGCCAAAGACGTGACGACGCGGTACCTCCGCCGACGGACCTGGCCCGGCAAAACCAAAGGCTACCGGATCCCCGTCGAGAAGATCGCCATCCCCAACCGCCACGGAAAGGGCAAAGCCGCCGCCGCCGCCAAAACCACCATCACCTACGACTGGGCGCGCGTCGTACTCCGCATCTACACCCGGTCTCCGCACACCCAAACCCCAATCGACGCCCTCGAAGACACCAAAGACCTAGTCCCTAAACAACCGGACCGCAAACCAGCCCCGGACAACCCACCCGACACCCTCCAAAGCCTGCGCACTTCCACCGAGTTCGTGCTGGAACGCTTCCTCCGCCGCGAAGAAGCTCTCCTGCCCTCCGCCCAACCCGCTCGCACCTTTGTCTCCGGCAAGGGCCTCAAGACCAAAACCGAAAACGTATACCGCCGCGCGGACGTCGTGAAGTGCCAATCGGCGGAGAGCTGGCACAAAGAGGGCCGACAGATACAACCCGCCCAGCTCCCCCTCAAACACGTCCCCATCCGCGCCGTCACCCTGCAGCGCAAACGTGAAGTCGACGAGTACGAGCGCGACCACGGCGAGAAGCCCAAGCAGGGGCTCTACGCCAAGTATCAGACCGAATACATCATCCCGCCGCCCATCGTCGACGGAGTCATTCCGAAAAATGACTACGGGAACATCGACTGCTTCGTGCCGAGTATGGTGCCCGCGGGCGCCGCGCATATCCCGTGGTCCGGCACGGTGCGCATCTGCAAGAAGCTGGGGATCGATTACGCGGAGGCGGTGACCGGGTTTGAGTTTGGGTCGAAGATGGCGGTCCCGGTGATTCAGGGGGTGGTGGTTGCGGCGGAGAATGAGGAGCTCGTTAAGGATGCATGGCGTGTGGAGGATGAGGAGAAACGGCGCAAGGAGGCGAGGAAGGCCGAGGCAAGGATTCTGCAGACGTGGCGCAAGTTTCTGTTTGGGTTGCGGATTCAGCAGAGGGTCAGGGAGGAGTATGGGGGTGGGGAGGCGGAGGGGGACGAGGTCAGGGAGGAGGTGAATCCTTTTACGAGGAGGGTTGGGGGTGAGGATGGGGGTGCTGCTGGAGATGGGAATGGGCATGGGGGTGGTGGTGGCGGTGGCTTCCTCCTCCCTGGCGAGGACGGTGATGAGGCCTCTGATCGCGGCGGCGGCTTCCTCCTCCCTGGCGACGACAACGACGAACCATCCGGTGGCGGTGGCGGTGGCTTCTTACTTCCCGAGGACGAGATCAACGACGAACCCTCAGACCGAGGCGGCGGTTTCCTCCTCCCGGGCCAAGAGGACGACGACGACGACGATGAAGAGAAGCTAATCATCGTCCACCAACGACGCAAACGCGCGACTTCGCCTCCTGCCATGGTAGACAGTGATGCTGATACTGAATCCGATACTGATGCTCACGCCAGTGCTACCGGTGCTACCAATGATGCCGCCGATACCGCCGATGCACCCAGCCACAAAAGGGCGAGCATTCGCAGAGGCAGATACCAAGAGGACGCCATCTCGCTCAGCTCCTCATCCGATTCGGACTCGTTGTCTTCTCCGCCGGAGGAGATTCCCGATACAGAAGACGAGGAATTTGTGGCGGAGTATAAACCGCCGGCTACACGGAGGCGGACACGCGGGGAGGGAGGTGGAGGAGAGGGATCAGGCAGAGGGAGAGGGAGAAGTAAAGGGAGAGGCAGAGGATGAGCTGCCCACCCCCCTTCAACTTGCCGGTTCATTGCTTATTCATTAGAGGCGTTTGGTTGGATCATGTAGAGAGTACAAGGCAAAGGATGTATGGTGTAAAGGCTGAACAGAATTTAATTAATGGTGTATGCTTTGGGCTTTACTATAATGGGTATAAGGTGCATATTATCGACATAAGCATGGCGTCGTACATCTATCACGCATGATCATCATCTTCGTCTCGAGAACAACGGCGGCCGATCGGGGTATCCTCCGCCCATCTCATCCACATCAACATCTCCATCACCGGGTCCGTCCAGGTCGAAATCTCCGATAGGACTGATATGTACCGCCGGCGACGCGATAGGGCTGTGCGCGACGCGCGGCCGGGACTTGAACACGCTGGCATAGTCGGCTTCCTCGTCAAACAGCTTGTCGCGTGGGGTGGAGGCCCGGCTCGGCGAGGGTTGTTTGCGCGGCGTCTCGAACTGATTAACAGGAAACGAAGGTCTGGGTCGATGTGAGCGGACCCTGTCCCGAGGATTGGGCTGCGGAGGGGGTGGGACGAGCGACATGGACTTGCGGGTTCGTTCAACGAGGGTGGACCTGTTGCTTCTAGCTGTTTCGAGCTCGGGGTCTTTTTCTAGAGTCGCGCTTTTTTCGTCTTCAAGCTGCTGGAGTGGGATGTTCTCCTTCTTCGCCGGGGCCGGTTGGGCCGATTGGGCCGGCTCTACGACGGGCGACGGTATGCTGCTTTCTGGCGCAGAGGGCACGATGACAGGCAAGTCGCGGGGTGGTCTCGATTCGCTAACCTGGCGACGGTGCGTGGCAGGCCGCCCATTGATGCGCGCAATGGCCTCTGTCATGGAGAACAGCAGGGCCCGGTCCTCGGCTTTCAGGGAAGCCCGTTCGACAGGCTGTCGCACGGCTCGGGAGATGCTCGCGACAGTAAGGGTTTGATGATCGTTAAACATCAGCGGCGTCTGCGTCGTTTCAGAGGCCGTCGAGTCGATGCGATTATGCTTTTGCATACCAGCGCTGTATTGACGCCAGTGCTGCACGCGGGCGCGCTGACGAACGACCCGCGACTCCAAGTCTACTAGTAGATCCGGGGTAGTGTCCGCGGTAAGATCGTCGACGCTCGACTCCTTTGCTTTCGCCCAGGCTGACTCAAAGGACTGATCCAGGAATGCATCCTTAGAGCTCTGTGCACCCGAATGTAGCAGTGTGTCGATCCATTGCTCACGGCCACGCCAGCTGGCTCGGAGCTCGCTAGCCAACGCATCAATGTCAACATCATCGTCAGGTATTGATGGCGGCTGTTCCGTAGATCGCTCAGCCAGCTGTCGCCGCTTGAGGTCCAGCAGCTCCGAAAACTTCGCCTGAGTCTCTCTTGCTCGGTCGTAGTCGGTTTCGATCTGGTTGAGGGAGACCCGATGTGCGATGATCAGCGGAAGCAACAGTTGATACTCCTCGACGGTAAGACCCTGGGCCAGTGACAGATTGATCGAAACATTCTGAAGCCGGGGATCTGATGAGGCAGCCAGCGATTTGCGCAGGACGGCCGTGGAGAAGACCGCAAGGAGCTCGTCGCATTTCTCGCCTCTGCAGTCATCGAGCATTGACTTTCGAAGGATAATCTCCCTGCCCAGATCGCCTTGCTTTTTCAACTCGGACAGTACGCGAAACAATGCGGCGCGTAGATTGACGGACTGCAGCGGTTCGAGCGGAGGGAAGAAGGGACGGAGTTTCTAGACCTCGATCAGCGGGCCATCAGCGGCCATGTTGGCGCTGTTACAACATACTTCGCGTGCAGTGTCCGGGTCCCAAATGGTGACGAGGTGGTAGAGAGCCCATTCGACCGCCTTGAGGCGTTGGCGCTGATTCTGCGAGGTATCGGCTAGCGATTGGAGGGTGATGTTGGGCCAGTCACGGTGAGCATCCAGTTGAAGCAGCCGGAGGTTGCGGACAAACACGAGGAGGGGAGGCGGCGGCGTCCAATTCGGGGGCTTTGGACGGGGGGTTCGGGCTTGCATGTTGTTCCTTCCTCTAGACCGTGAGTACTCAGTGCGAGCATTAGAAGACAGCAACGTACCAAACAGCCGGTAGAGCAGGTGAAGCGGAGAGATGGTCGGAGCACAGCCGGGAGAAATATGAGGCGTCAACCAAGCGCCCAAAGAAGCAATGGGGTGTCTTGGCAGGTGACCTCGCGGTCAGACCTGTCCAGCTGTCGAGATGGCCTGCAGGTGCTGTGAGGACAAACACAGCTGGTCCAAGGAGAGAAACATTCTCACTGAAGTGGAATACAGGAGAGTTCACTTGAATGAATCCGTCTCCAGCCTCTCCTCCCCGATGGGCCAACAACCACCCGGCGGGGGGCCAGATCCAATCAGGCAAATCAGGCAAACACCGCTTTTTCTCCCCCGCGTTTGATCTTTCTTCAAGATCCGATTCTTCTCTCTTCTTCCCCACTTCCATCCTGCATCTTCTCTTCTCCTGTGTGTCTTAGACAAGCGACACTCCGAGCTGCCCCCCTCCCTCCCTGTACATCCTTCATCCAGCTCACATATCCCCTTGTGTCAAAATGGGCTCCGAAACCCCCTCCAACGCCCTCTGGACCACCCAGTCCGGTACGTAACCTACTTCCAAAAGACCCGCTTCACCACGTTCACAATTGACCCAACAACAGTTCTATCCACCCTCCCCCACCCGCCTGAAGAAAACGCCGCCACCCCGATCCCCTTCTTCCACCTCCTCGAACGCCTCAAGACCACCAAGCGCGAGGGCTGGCGGCGCTTCGGGATCAACGCGGGCGAGTCAATTTCGGACCACATGTATCGGATGTCGATCATGACGATGCTGGCGCCGCCGGCGCTGGCGGCGCAGCTGAACCTGGCACACTGCATGAAGATGGCGCTGGTGCACGACATGGCGGAGTCGCTGGTGGGCGACATCACGCCGGTGGACAAGGTGGACAAGACGGAGAAGGCGCGGCGCGAGGCGGAGGTGATGGACTACATCGCGAAGACGCTGCTGGGGGCGGCGCCGGGCGGGCTGATGGCTGGTGAGGGGATCCTGGAGGTGTTCCACGAGTACGAGGCCAACGAGACGCTGGAGGCGCGGTTCGTGCACGACGTCGACAAGATGGAGCTGCTGCTGCAGATGGTCGAGTACGAGCGGGCCAACGGGGTGGATCTGACCGAGTTCTGCCATGTGGCGGGGCGGATTCAGTTGCCGGAGGTGAAGGAGTGGGCGGCGACGGTGATGCAAGAGCGGGAGGCATTTTGGAAGAAGCAGCAGCAGCAGCAGCAGTAGCAGCAGCAGACCGAGGCTGTTTGAAGTCGGCGTGGTTCACTCAATGACATATCCGGCGTTGTTTCGAGGCGTTTCACTTATGGGGACATTAACGGATAGAGGTTCGATTCGATTCGATTATTATAGAATTTTTAGCATGAATGAGAAATCCGCATGACAGTTACTTTCAAACACTGCAGCTCTTAATACAACCTCTCTATCTCTACCACACATATACTTAGTACAATCCACTAATTACACAATCCTATTCAATCAATAGGCTCCTTCTCCATCTCCGTCATCAAAACCCTCGCCTCCTCCTCCATCTCCTCCAACCCCCTCGGTTTCCTCTCCGCATCATCCACCCGCGGGAACTTCCTCCTCCCCCTCCCCCTCTTCTCAGCATCCTCCGACAGAATCCTCCCCATATCCCCCTCCTCCCCTTCCAACAGCCCATAAACCGCATCCGTGCCCCCCTTCTCCTCCAGATCCTGGTGTCTCCGCGGAATCACATGCGCGTGCACATGCGGCACACTCTGGCCGGCATCCACCCCATCCTGCACGGCGATGTTCAGACTGGAGGCGCCGTACACGCGCTCCACCATGCGGGCGACCCGGCGCACCGTCAGGAACAGATCTGAGGTCTCGGTCGGCGTCAGGTCGGCGATGCGGGGCACGACGCGCCGCGGCGAGACCAGCACGTGGCCCGGCAGGATCGGTTTCAGGTTCACCAGCGCGAAGCTGTGCGGCGTGAGGTGGAAGACTTGCGTGGTCACCGTGAAGGGGCCGAAGTGGATGGGGGCGGATTTCAGGATGAGGGATTGCATGGACATTTTCGTGGTGGATTCGGACTCTGTGGGAAGCGGGGTGGAGGAGGTGGTGGAGGAGGGGGAGTGCGGTTTCGTGAGGGTTGGGGGGTGCGTTGGCATCGGTGGTGGTGACTGTTATTGTGTGTTGATTTGATTTGTGGGTTGTGCTTTTCTGCAGAGATGTGGATTGAGGATGAATGAATGGTACACAGTATGGAAGGTTTGTTGTTGGTGGAGACACTGATCGTCATAGTTGGCTGAACGTCTACGAACATTCTCCGCCTCGGACTTAGACGGAGTTAGTGCGTTTGTTGACTACAGTACTAGTTTCCTCTCACTACAAGTAACCACCGGTATTTAACACATTCATTAATTAGTTAAAGTGACTTGTCTTTCTCTCTGAATGACAGCTAGCTCAGCACTTTCGCAAACTATTCCGGGGGAGAACCCCCGGACCCCCCTTTTCTTTCAGCTTCCCAGCTACACTCAACCCTATAACTAAATGAATATCCGGCTGAGATCTCCAAACCCGGACCCCCTCCCTTCACCTCCCAAGCCAATTCCACCCTATATAGATACCCCCAGAGACAACCCCCTGACCCTTCGGACCCTCTCCTCCCTCCTCCGACTATACACCGCGCAATAAGGCTCGTCCGCCGACCCCACCACCGCCCGCACCGCCTCCTGCCCCGGCCGATACGCCGGGCTCGACGCCGCCGGCGGCAGCTGCACCGCCTTGAACTGCTCCGCGCTGATGACCCGCAGCCCGTACAGGTACTGCATCAACCCGAAGTCCGGCCGGCTCCCCGCCAGCGTCTGGCCTTGTTGGTAGTGCGCGGCCTCGACGTGGGAGAGCATTGCGTCCCAGGCTGAGGGAGTTGCTGCTGATTCTGTTGCTGGGGCTGTTGCTGCTGCTGCTGCTGCGTCGTCCTGCCCAAATCTCACACCAGGACACAATGGACACCGTGCCGTCTTAGGCGGCGGGTGCGTCCGGAAGTGGCTTGCGATGTGGGTGCGCCAGTCGGCTGCATTGTCGAATGCGAGGTGGCAGTCTAGGATGTGGAAGAGGCAGAGGTAGGGGTAGCGCCGACTGTTCCTATAAGGGGATTCCTGATCGTAGGCGGGCGGATTCCCATAAGGGTCGTCCTGGTGATCCCTGTAAGGGTAAGGATCGTCCTGATCATACCCAGCAGGAAGGACAAGGGCCCCCGTGCCGTCATCTTCAAGCAGCAGCGGCGCAGTCTGACTTTCTGCCCACCGCGTGTCGAGCGAGGTGTTGTCGGACGAGGATGAGGAGGGGGTGTCGTCGAGGAGGGATGGGGCGACGATCGACATATTTGCTTTTCTTTTTCGTGGTTCTTAACTCGATCAAAGTGGGTTCGGGATGCTTGGTTGTGGACTTCGCCTGATGCTCATTCACTGCACTGTACAGCCCGTCGGGAATCACGATCACCATCGAACCGAACCGACTTGCGCAGGCTTAAAGCACTCGAGAACAGAACAGATTCAACTGCTGCGAGCCTATGCTATTAGACCAAAGGTAGAAAAGCAATCCTGTTCATACATGGTCACCTTATGTTCAAGGAACCACAAGTCAAATCCTACAGAATCTGGGGAAACGATCATAGATGCCAGGCCATATAATATCATACTTAGTGTCCTGGCCGTCCCGCCGCCTAAGCGGGGTCGGGGTCGGAGTCGCGACCAAATCTCCAGACCAAAAAGGAGCGTAGACTGCCAGGTAAGGGAAGCAAGAAACCAAAACTCGAAAGCATTTACCTTCATCAGACTCAGAGATCTCCGCTATCCACACCGATCTGAGTGAGTTGAATGTCGCCGCATGGCTATGCTATGGCTCAAGATATTCAACAAGTTTGGGCATTGCTCTCTGCTCTGCTCTGTTCGGCAGGAAAAGCGGGGGTCCAGTCAGCGTCCGGGATTCTAGAAGGACCACACCACGACACTGAGTTGAGTCCATGTCAGGTGCAGGACAATTTGTATACTGTACAGGGCAGTACTGGAGACAAGCCACCACGGGGGGCAGGAGTGCCACAACTGAATCAACAGCACCATAAGGTTGGCTTCTTTCTGTCTGGGTCCTGGGGCAGTGTGCTCCGGGGCATGCATGTATGAGGGTTCCCGGTGAAGAATCGACTGACTGAGGGGTGGACTAGATTGCATCATCAGCATCTTGTCAATAGTAACCTACCCCTTCTCCTAGTAGGTACTAGGTACGAGGGACGAGCTATGAGATACTAGGTATGAGGTACTGGGTAGCTCAACTGCTAATCATCTACTTCCCTGATTCACTATCGGACGATGCCGGCCCATACATACCTTGGTGAGTCTGGCAGGGGCCAATCCCAGCTCGAGCGCATATCTCTAGCAGCTGAACTGATGTGGACCTCTCTCACCACCACTGCCAACCTTCAGGTACATCTCCTATTGAAGTCGCCAATCAGCCTTCCCCCCCCCCCTCCCCAGCTCGCCCCCGTCGGCATCCTCTACCCACTGACACGGGCCAGCCCTTTCATTCCTCATCTTCTAGGTTCTATGTTCTCTGCCGGATGGAATCACAAGTCTACAGAAAAAGATAGAATCCTACCAAGTAGGCCCAGTTTGTGTAGTTCCAATTAAGGTAATGTATAATATTGTAATCCTCTCGTCCTGCTCGAGGTCTATAGTAACAATCGAAAGGAAAATGGATCAAGCCATGTCTAGACACACCAGATGTAAAACCCATGAGAATCGAAAATAAAAAAAAGCGGGATTCGCCGGTTATGTTTGATGATAACAGATAGGAGAGGTTCCGAAAGGCAGAGGAAACCCAGACTTCAGGACAACAATTCACAAGATCCCATCCATCTATTGGTAGTGACGCCTCGCAAAAAGAGTACAACGAAATGTAGAAAAAAAAAATAAAAAAAAAAAAACCAAACAGTCAAAAAAAGAAAATCACCCAACCGACACCGATGATGCCCATGAACCTTTGTAAATGCACAAGTCTATTCGGTCGTAGCACGCATGAAGATATAATGCTTTTGGGAAATCAATCTTACAAACCACGCCCTAGAAGGCACGATCCAGAAGATCCCCGCCCGCAACAGAATTCGCGGTGGACGAGGTGACCGAGGAGAACCCGCTGCCCGGATTCAACATGTCCTGGACGGCCACTTTCGGTACCTGTGGAACGGGAAGCTTGCGCTGCGTTCCATCCGGTTTGGACATGATGTCCGTGATGCTCGGCCCATGACTTTGGCTGGGGCTGTAGTAGGCGGGACCTTCCGGTTGTGGCTCCATTGGAGCGAGTGCAGGCGTGTGGTGAAGCGACAAGTGACGAATCGACGGGAGGTGCAAGTCGCTCGAGCCCAATGGTCGCAGCCGCGGCGAGTGAGCCGGAGTGGCCAAGGGAGTGTGGTCAGGGGTAGGCGAGAGGGAGTCGTGCGAAAAGGTGGGCGAAGAGGGGGCAGTGGAGTTGGGTGAGTTGGGCCTGGACCGCTTGACACGATGCGAATAGCTATCGTCCTCTTCATGCGAGTGCGACCGGCTCATGTTGTGCGAGATCGCGTAAGCCGAAAGGGAGGGCAAACGACCGCTGCCGTGGTGGCGCGAGCTGCTGAACAGGTGGTGGTTGCGAGGTCCGGCATGGAAGCTGAAGTGGTCGTCCCGCTCCACCTGCGAGGCAGCCGTGGCAAGGAGGTTGATGTCCATGCCAGAGGAGGCGCGCTCAGTGTTGCGGGCGTAGGGCCCCAAATTGGAGCGCATGTGGTTGGCATAGTTGGAGAAGGAGTGAGGCGGGGAGACGTCGGGAGAGCCAACTTGCGAGACAGGCGCAGAACGAGTCATAGGCTTGCTGGGAGGGGGCATCAGGGCCCCTGCATTGTTGGGCATCGCATTGTCCTGACCGGCCGCGGCCGCCGCAGCCGCAGCGAGGTGCTGAGCCTTGTTACTGCGCCTCGAGTTTGGGTTGTTGTGGATTCGCGAGTGGCGCGTCAGTTCATCGGAGCGACTGAAACGCTTGGTGCAGCCCGGAAACTGGCACGCATGGGGCTTTTCGCCCGTGTGGGTGCGGATATGTCTCGTCTGGTGCTCCAGACGGTGGAAGGCACGGTCACAAAGAGGGCACTTGTACGGCCGCGGCAGATCTTGGCGCACCTCTTCGGTCGCAGGACGGCTACCCTTCATCAACGGAGGCAGAAGACTCACAGACGAAGCCATCGTGGATGTTGACTGAGTGCTGGAGGGGGTAGAAGGTCCCTTGGAGCTATCTACCGGAGTGGCAGGCGAAGATGGAGTAGAATCAGTCGCGGTGCTCTGAGGATTGAGCAGATTGGAGAAATCCACGGAAGACGCTGATGGCGGCATGTGAAGCTTGTCTTAAGACAGAGAGAAAGTAGTAAGCTGTAGGACAGGGCCGGAATTTGGAGACCCGTGCGGAAGGGATGAGGAGCCGAGACGATATGCCGTGTGTCGCAACCAGGGGGGCGGGGGGGAACAAGGAGCTTATATCGGCGAGTCGATCACCTCCCAGGCCTAGTGTTGCCAAGAAACAGCTGAGTAGTGAAAAGTCGCAAGGAATGATCCAGTCCTTGTGACGCGACAGGGCGACAAGTAGGTACAATCTTTGATAAGCGTGTACTAATCCTACTCAGGACGCTTCTAGATGGAGTGATCGTACTGCAATGGCAGGGGTACGGAATGTGGTGGTGGTGGTGGTGGTGGTGGTGGGTGAAGATGTGGAGAGTGATGAGTGGTGACAATGATGGTGTGGTGGTAGACCGGGTTCGGAAATGCACCCCGGTGATGTATAGCGAGCCGAAAGAGGCGAGAGCTGAATGATGAGTCTCAAAGAAGGGGGGAAAGAGGCAGAAATCTGGAGAAAGGGATCTGGGGAGAAGGTGATATAAGAAAGGAGAATCGGGAAGAGTGAGAAGGAGGAATGGAGGGGAAGAAGAAAGAAACGGAGCTCGGGGGAGGGGAGGAGGGAAGGGAGAGAGTGTGTCGTAGAGGGGTGGGTTTATCGGAATCGGAGGACAAGAAGGGGAAGAATGGGTAAGAGTGAAAAAAAAGGGCAAAGAAAAAAAAATGTAAAAAAAATAATCAAAAAGGAAAAGAAAAAAAGAAAGAAAAAAAAAAAAAGGAAAAGATTGTGTGGGGATAAATATCGGGGGGGCAAAAAAAAAAAAAGCAGGCTCTGGAGACTAGTAGTTGAATGAAAAGGGAAATAAGAACGTGCTCGCCGGCCAAACCTGATCGGCTTCTGTCCTTTAGAGCATTCAACCGGTCACTCTACCACCCTGATGGGACACCTGTTTCAGTTTGGATCTTTGCATATCGAACGAATAGTAACTCGGTGTGATGGTCTTTGATCTGTCTTCCTGCCTGTTTCAGTGCCATGAATAGGTGTTTCTTTTCCTATTGTCTATCAACCACTACATAGTTCCTCGAGCAGTCTACCATATGTTGCCTATCGCGGGCGTTCTTCCGTTGTCTAGTTTCCGGACCACGCACGGTGTGTTAGAGAAAAAAAAATATCCACTATGACCAACCGGGAAAGGGGACGCTCAGAACAGCTGGGGAGACGAAAAGAGTAAGTAAGAAAAGGTGAGTAAGAAACGAAGAGAAAAGTAGAAAAAGAATGTGGGACACAGCCTAGAGTCGATAGAGATTACGGAGTAGAAACTGGAACTGCAGAAGTGGCTGTGTGGCCTGGAGAAGTGCGTGTCCGGTATTGTCGGGTGTTGTCGACTGTCTGTATGGTAAATGTAAAGGTAACCCTCACTCAGCTCTGCACCCACACCACACACTGCTCAAGATACAGTCATAAACCGGCTATCGCGGATGACCTCTGGGGAAGTAAACGAGACTATGATAAGATATTCTTGTTGTACAAGGGGGGGCGGAGAGAGAGAGAGAGAGAGAAAGAAAGAGAGAGTACGGCCCCTCTCTCCATCTCAGATACCCTCATCCTCGCCCTCTTAACCTCTCTTTCAGTCTTCCTCTCCATCATCCGGGGCAATGAGTCCAGGTGGTGATCAAAGGAGAGGTCAATTGCGTGATTGTGTCCCCGCAAAGTCGAATAATGCACACAATGATGGGTAGCTATTCAGCCAACATTTTTCCCTTCCATGTGATAGCTACCTACTATTGAGATACTTAGAAAGGTGGGTGCTTCCCACCCCCTTATCGCCCACCATGATATAGACTTCTAGAAGGGTGTGATGCTGTGTTGGAACTCAAGCAGCTGTGCGTGATACGGTCAGAAGAACGTACTCGAGTAGATGATCCCCAATCAGTTTCCCAAACTCGCCGCCCTGCCCCAGACGACTATCCCCCCCCCCCCCCCCCGGGGTCCTCCGCCCCCCAGATGATGCCATCCTACGGTGACGAAGAGTTCCAAGTTGTTAGATGATGAAAAGATGAGGTGATTGGCGCTGCGAAGGGGGATCATCCAGTAAATACTCCGTTCTTTGCCTGTCTTGATGGGCGTGGATGTTATTTGTTGACTACAGGAGTTTCTTTTTTTGGGATTTTGCTTTGTATTTTGGGTTTTGGGCCAAACCCTTCTTTTCCCCAAACTAGTCCCGGGGCATAGCCGGGGAGAGAAGGAGAAAGCAGAAAGGAAAAAAATCAAAAAGAACAGGGAAAATAGAAATAGAAAAAAAGATTGTTCGACAGATCTTCAGGACGGCCCAGCCTAGACCAGCTGATCGACCGTCTTTCAGGCGAGGGTTGGATACAGGGAATCTAAGATAAGTTCTATAGCCAAGCAGAGGGAACGGTCTGGGGTCGAATGAAAGTTTCCCAATGACATCTCTCTGTGACGGAAGCGGTGATCATGTCGAAAAGGGCTGGGGTAAGGCAGAGCGGTACCCCGAGTCAAAAAGTCATACGATGGGCGAGTTTCAATACATCATCATCATCATCCTCCTCCTCATCATCATCATCACTGACGACAACATCATCACCGGTGAGGGGGGCGAGGGTGGAAAGGAAGTTCTTGATGAGGCTGTTGGATTGTTGGCGACGGCAGCCACAGGGCGAACTGGCGGACACGAAAAAGAGCCGGGATGACACGCCATGCGGGTAAAATGGCGGCGGCGACGACGACGAAGAGGAAGAAAACAGCCATCCGTCGGCATTCATTGTGGGGGAAAATCAAAAATGAATAGCATTGCATCAGACATCAACCATGGCTCTGCCTCAGCCTTTTCCCTCCCATCTGAGTCAGAACAGACACGGGATGAGGCGAAATACATCCCCCAGCTCAGCTGTCCCCGGATTTAAACTGACAGTGTAGATTGGATTAACTATAGAATACGGGGTAAACTCAGCCTGCGTTCTTTCTCTGATGTTCGCTTGAGTCGCTTGGTGCTCAAGGCGTCCAGACTAGGCTGGCAGGCTGGCATGATGGCTACGTGAGTGGTGCACCGCCAGGTATGCGCTAAATCATGTGGTCGGCGCCCACTCGCAATAGCACATCATACTCTGCTATTCATGTATTCCCCCAGATAAGGACGACCATCAATGGGATCTCTTCCTAATTAACCGACTGTCAAGCTTCCCATGTGCGATTCACCAGTTTGTGACGCACGCATTCCCCCAGGTAGCCGGAATTTATTCCTCTCACCACCAACCCCCTGGCCTAGCGCTTACTATTCCCACCGCATCGGAGGGGACCCTGCATCGTTTCATCAGGGCCAGGCGTCTTTCCAGCGGTGATATTGACAGGGGGAAGGTGACTTAGGGAGCCAAAAGGCGACCGAACTAATGGTTGATCCGACGCGCAGACTACTGCGAATAGAATAAAGTCCGGAAATTGAAATCCGCATTTGATTATCCCCCGGTCTCAGGCCACTGCTAATCTCTAAAGCTCTGTCCGCCGTGGACGGAGTGAATTTCCCCGGGGGGACGAACGAAGGGGGTTGGGAGGAGAAGGCCGGGGAGAGGGGCTTTTCTCAGAAGGGAAATCCCCGTGCGGGAACACTGCTTGCTGAGAGGAGCGAGTAAATAGGCGTCTAAGAAGCCCACCACCATCGAGAGCTTGACTAATGATATTGCCTGATTGTCGCATGATGCTACTAGACGATTGGAATGGATAATGAGACCTGGAAGGGATAAAGTAAGATACGGATTTCGGCAACTCCAGCCAGCCATGACTAAACCAACCACGAACCACTCGGCGCATTGTATCATGCTTTTACTCCGTATATGAAGCTGGAAAGTAATCAAATCATAGACGATCACATGTCACTGGACAGCGGTTGATCTTATCATCATGCTTGTTGACGCAATTACCGGCGGACTGATTGCATTCATATCCGTGTGTATTCATTCGGACGCAAGGGCCCCTGGGAGTGTGCGCATTGCTGGGCAAGGAATGCACTGGACTAAGGTCATGGATACAAGTTACGATAAGAAAGCGGGCAAACGCAACCACAAGGTCAAAACGGAATACTTATGCTCACGGCGACTGAAAAAACTCAAACAGCACGATATGTAATTAGCATGAATATCCGGGAAATCGGAACACATCCATGCATCGAGCCGTCTGGGCAATTCTGTAGATCGCAGATAGCCCCAACCCCGAGGGGTCCGGGGAGAGACATGGGGGCTGTTCGACCCCAATCAGGTCCACTGAAAAAAAAATATCACAGTCACACTGCTGAATAGATAAAATGGGTCCTGATAACACCTTTCAAAGCTCCGTTGTCACCTCAATGATAATAACAACTGAATACAGAGTGCATTGCACGTAAACTCAGATCTTCGAACAGGCTCCAACGACCTCCCGAGTCACATGTATAGCTTGCCTCGAAGCAGAATGGCTTTATTGCAAGTATGGCAAGACAGAGATAGGGCAAGGGCAAGGGCAGGGGGGTGGCCGGTAGAGCCGACGGAGAAAACCACCCCGCGGTTGATATCGTGGCGGTTCCCCCAGCTCTGATAGGATAAACTCGGCTGGTCTGTGATCTGGAACCCACCCCCACGACCTGAAGGTTTATCCGCCTAGAGAGGAAGGAATGGCGACCCGGAAGAATTTTGCTCAGACCAGGGCAGTAATGTAAGGGTAAATCACGAGTGAAATCCGTGCGATAAGACAGCAAAAGTACAGTCCGATATATACACTATACACCCTCTACAAGATCGCTGGAGTTTCGAACACGGGGTCACAGGGCTATAGTTTGGAGAGTCTAGATCAATGCTCTAGCAATGTGTCGGTCATCTGCTCGGCCTCGTTTGGCATGAGGAAATTTCCTTGCTTTGTCCTTGCTCATCATACAGTTGGAGGGGGTGAGATGAGATCAGCTGCAAATTCTCAGCTGAACGTCTTTCATGGCTGAAATGGCTTGATGCCGGGCCGATTGCCGGCGCTTTGCCGGCCACAAGGACGGCACCAAATAGGGCGAAGTATGCAACCTGAGGCCCCCGGTGAGTCTCTGACAATCAGCAAAAAAAACCCCACCCCACCCCCAGTGATTATTCTCCAGGCTCCAACATGGGTTGGTGGAACAAATGGGGGAGCAGAACCGGAGGGTGGTACGCAGGTACAGCGCCAGGACTACGTAACTCGCCCCCAACTGGTCGCAGAACTGCTTATCGTTCATACTACCTAGTCAATCACACAATCAATAGTTGCTAGTCACCTCCTCATATGGTCAATCATCATCTCATTGTGATAATGAATTTCCGTATTTCGCCGACTAGACATTGGTGAGACAGAACAGGATTACTGGCCCCAAAAGATAGGGCTGTCCTGTACACCGGAGTATGCTCTAGCAAAGCTCACTGACCTTCCATGACTAATCATACTTTTCCATCAACATAAACCTTCTGAAGATGGTGGACGGTGCAGTAAGGTTTTCACATAGATCCAAGTCCACTCCTCAGCATGAAATCATTTTCAAGATACTCGATCAGGAAAACCAAAAAGCAAGATCAGACCCCATGATCTTGTCGCGCCCGGCACCAGCCCTCCACTTGCACATCCTCGAATGACGGAAGATCTTCCCCGCGATCATCGCGGGATATGATCTACACTCGCATTCGGTAGGTTCTCTATCCGGAAAAGGTCATCCCTCGGATAAGAAACCAGCTGCTCGAAGGACCCGATGTCGCATTAATGCGATGGAGTTAATAGCGGAAGCATTCTTCTAGCGCAGAACAATAATCATTTAGTTGCAGGTCAATCCTGGCCCGCTCCCAGGCCAAAAAGCATGCAGAAGCACGCCTCGTTTCTGTCGCGGGCGTAGAAAGGCTCAGATTGGCGTCTCGCGAAACTACAGTTTGTGCTGTGGTCATGCAATCGCTGCGGTAACTATCGGCGGCAAGCGCTGTTGCAAAGCCAGACAGGGAAGGGACGGAGTAGGTACAGTACTATAGGCAATGTGGTGGACGATCATTGCCATGCTTAGTTCAGAGGACTGGCTGTTTATGCTCTGTTGTCAGTGCCACGGCCCCATTTGGCTATCGGCGCCTCCGCTTTCGACTTTTGCATGCTCGATTTGGAAGACGTCGACTGTGGCTCCATCGTTCCTAATCACAACAGACAGATGTCGCGCACTGGGCAACTTAGACCAAGTTCAACACATTTTAGTAGACTCGAAAGGGCAACACTTCAAAACAACTGAAACAGCGGCAAGGTCATCTATCACGCACCGATCACACAGTTGAAATTGAGGTAATCCTGAGTCAAGCATAGGGTGTACTTGTTGCACAAGGGCGTCCATTTCAGGCCAATCAACGCGCATTGTATACATGGCGCCTGCAGCCATGGACTCCTTGACTAACTTAGCCGCGCTGTCGCTTTTCGTGTTGCCTAATCTTTTTAATGTGGGGTTCATACTCATATTGTCTGGAGTAAGACGAGTAAGACAATCCGCCAACGCACACGCATATCCTTATCGTTGGTTCATTCACAGAGATGATTATCCTCCTTCTTGGATTGGGGTATAGCCCAAGTGGACAATTACATTGATTCGCCTCGCTTCCCAATCTTATGGTGTTGGATTCTGCTCAGTACCGACGCGCGGCAAGATCCGCCCATTGCCCTTCTATCACATGGGTCGAGGAGCAGAAAGATCACGATTGGAGGTGGGGAATAATATTCTGCATTGGCTGCAGAAAGACATCTCTGCAGGATGCACTGACTACAACTAGTAGACAGACAGGCGGACGGACAGTTCGAGACTCCGTCTCTGCCTTGCGGGAGGCGTTTCACATGTGAAACCCTGCGCTACCTTCAACAACCATTAAGAACCAACCACAGCGCGCTCTCAGTCATAGTAAATCAACTTCATTATCAATTCGAATGATTGATATCGGGTGATGTACATTACACTGCTCTTTCGCTTCAGCATTCCAGCGAATAAAAAGGCTATGACACAAGCTACGTGAGTAGAGTTTTTCGATTCGCCACCAATGACAGAAAAGCTCTCCTTATCTGGTTCCCATCCAATACCATTCTATCACCTCTGGTCAAACTGGCGGTGATGAGATATGACGTGCCAGAGGCAAATATGTTAAAAATATGACTGAAATAGCCTGAATCTGGCAATCCGGGGAAGTGCGCATGATACATCCGAATGCTCTGCCCATTGTGTGTCCTGTTCGGTACTTACTGCCAAGCGGCCGATTACTCAGCCTTTCGAGCAGGGTTAACTTACTCAGTGCTATCTTGGAATTGCCATGATCCCTGATTTTCTCCAAAACGGCCAATAAGTCAGTCGATTGTCGGAGTGCGCTCGTACCGCTCGTGAGAAGTCCAATCTTTTACGCAAGAGGATTCTGTCGGATTACTCTCCAGGGTGCTGCTATCTTTTGGCCGATCCTGGCCGGTGGCGACCCCCGTTGCTTGGCAGCAATATGCGGGGATGAAACCTGGGGAATCTCCAGAGAACTTCGTCTAGAGTTACATAGCATCACGGAGATACTCTGTCCTATCAGACTCGCCATAGAAGACACAATTCTGGGCGATGTTGAAGAAGCGAGCACTGCTCATCCCCGGTCTACCAGTAATGCGCAAGCGGTGCTTATCAGTCGAACTCAACAGAAGACTCATCCGGTGCAACAAGATTCCATGCCCAGACACACCCACCCACCCGCATCGCCTGGTATGTGTATTGTACAACGGCAGTGGTATGGTTTGTAACCGACTGCGGTCGGGCACAAACGCCACGTCCCTGTGGGTAGTTAAAGCCACGCACATTGCAAGCGCCCCTCCGCAAGGCGCGATCCGAAGATCCACATGCTTCTGGAACGGAAGCATCTTGGCCAATCAGGGTGAAGGAATCGTCTCACGGTGATGTCGTCGATTCACAGGCGTCACAGCCCGCTGCCCCCAGGTTATGCGGGGCCGCGCTTCCGGAACCCGGACGCATTCATATTTAGTACGGAGTACGTATGTACGTACAGTACCTGCTGTACTGCCGGGGAAGGCAGACACGCAGGCAGACACGCAGGCAAGCAGGTACTGCGTGGCTGTCTCAGAGTCTCTGTCAGCGTGCGTGGATATGTGGAATGATCATTTGGTCTCACCGTCTCACTCATTATCAGGCACCAGATAGCATCAGCCAGACATCTCCCACAGACCTCTGCCAGCCTTGCCAGTGAAGGGAGTGTAAAGGGAAAAGCGCCGCGCTTGCGCAGCCCCAAAGCGATCTGAAGAAGCATTTTACAGCATCACCAAATGCCAGTCCCCTTCCTTGTCTTCGTCGCATCACTCTTCTGGCCTACGTGTATCACGGATCCCCATTTCTTCGAGTGGAAGCGATATCCCCGAGGTTTGTCCTCTGGCCACCCCGCAATGCCTCACTCTCTGCCCCTCTAGTCAGATCATTGACCTCTTTCTAGAGGCTCGGTGTGGCGGTCAATAGGGGCAAATCCCCACAACGTGTAATTCTCCATAGCATTTGCCCGGTTAACTAGTGCTCCTAACTCTCATAAGTACCTGCGGGGAGAGGACTTATGGAAGAAGGCGCAGGGCAAAAACGGCCACCATGACACGTCGCCCGAAAGAATTGGGGGGGGGCCGGAAGGTCCGGCTGAAGTCAGGGGCACCATTTTCAAAAGTTCAACTCTTGCAAATCGCAACTAACTATCTGACTGGAATCACTATAGGTCAAGGTCGGGTCGGTGCCCGATGGGGGAATCTTCCCATCCCCGTATCTATAATTATACGGGAGTTTGGTAAGACATGGTAAACATCTGGTGGTGGACCCTGGAGGTCGCTTTGATACTCGTAGTCTCGTACTATGGCTCTTAGTTCAGGAGGATCGACTCGGCGAAGGGGGACGTGGTCCTGTCCATGTCCTCACTACGGGCCAGACTAAGGGTTGCCTATCTGCCTTAGTGAGGTACTAGTGCACTGTGAGCGAAGCTTGGAGGGACAGGAGAAAGCAGAGATGAGGGCCTTGCTTGAGCCGTGGGTGCCTTGTCATGCCATCTTCTTCAGTTCTGTTCCCCTCCGCCGGTGCCTAAAGAATTGAACCAAGTTCAGGTGCTAAGGCAATCTGCCCACCGATCCTCATGTCTATACCGGTTGGTCAATATGAGCAGTATAATTAAGTTACTGCGTAGTAGTTATAGGCATCAGGCACATGCTAATTGCCCCCTCTTTCATTTTAACTATTTACAGTACAAAACCCCTCTAGTCCGTATCCCGCCCCGTCTTTCATCCTCATTCATCCCCTATCTTTCCCCCTCCCCCTCCTACTTCCTCCGCCCCCCGTCCCAGTCATAGCTCCCTTGGAGTTGAAGCTATGAGGTTTTTGGGGGTTTTCCCCTCCGGAGTTCCCGGTGCCTGGCTTGTCTAGTCTGCAATGAGTATATGATGGCCTCGCTCTAGCCCCGACCCCTCTATCACGCAATGTCGGCTGGATTATGTACATTACCACAAAGACATTGCGATTGAGAATCAGACGAACAAACATCCCACCCCGCGGCCGGCCCCCCCCCTGTCCTCCCTCAGTTCTGGCCCTGGGGGGAGGGCCTCCTGTTTGAGGATCAGTGTATACTGTATAGGACATTTACTCTCGTAGTAGTGTACGGAGTACATAGTGTAGCATAACAGAAAAATTCAGGAGCTAGCAGGGGAATGTTGAGGAGGGACATGGGAACGGAGAATGGGGGTGGGTGCGCGCTGCTCATCTGCCGCATGTACTCCGTGCTGTTGCTGCTGCTCCTGTACCTACTTCAAATAAACCACCCCATCCAACCCACCTTTAGAAGTTGAGCTGCGGGTGTAAATTGAGTCCGATCTATGGTTGTTCCGGATATCCTGCTAACTAATCGGATTATCCCCGATCTGCCTTAGTATTCTAAACAAATAACATGATGAGTATACGAATACGCAATCACTGGCATGTGTGTGTGTGTGTGTGGTGGTGGTAGTACAATGGATCTGGTTTACATATAGACGAAGATGTAGTAGTAGAAAACAACAAACCCAGAGGCTTTACTTGCTGACATTGTACTTCACAACACTAATTGAGCGAATAATACTCGTGCAACCGAAACAGCTGGTGTAGAAGAAGGCTCCCAAAAGGGGAAATTTACCCCCAAGGCAACGAGGATTCACCGAACCTTTTCCCTCTCAATCGAGTTTTTTTTATTCTTGGCCCCAGTTTGTCCTTGCCCTCCTCTCACGTCTTTCCTACTGTAAGGGCTGGCTGGGGCAGACTTGGGGGAGGCTGGGGCAGAGAGTACGAGTCTCTCGTCCGAAAGAGGGAAGAAAACCTAGAAAAGAAAATACTGTGTGCGTGTAAAAAAAAGAAAAAAGGAAAAAAAGAAAAAAAGGGAAGAAAAGAGAAAAAAAAAAAAAAAAAAAAAAAAACAAAAGAAGGGACCAACGCCGAGCCGACTGAGAATGGACGAGGCAGGGAGAGGGGGAAAGGGGGTGAAGGAGTGGGGAACCCGGGAGAAGGAGAGGGCGAGCCATTTGAACGGAAGATAGTCGGCATTGCGTCATGAAAAGCAAAATGATTTGCAGCTACTGTTAAGTTCTGCTAGAGTCTGATGCCTTAGGGCAAAGATTCGATGAAGGATTCCCTTCATTGGGCAATCGCCTTCTAGTGCGCGGCCTTCTACGGAGTAGATGACAATCTCCCGTGTCTGGAGGCATTGTGACTCGTGGGTCGGTAGATAGTTCTCTCGCCGATGGTTTGGACTTGAGGATTGAGGGGAAGGTTCCTGGATTGAGATTTTTCGATCGTCTCCTCGATGAAATAGAGTGTGCACTATAGAGGTAAGATACCCTCTCTGTAGAGTAGATGCAACGTAGTATTTCAGGCTGAATAGCTCAGCTCAGCTCTGATTGCCGGCCACGTCAATGGTTGATAAGCTGCTACAAACCCGTGCTTCCGGCCGTGACTACTAGGAGGTAATGCTGTCGACCTCATGATTTGATCATTGTCGCCATCATTACCTCCTTGGTCACATCGGGCTGTATGTGGGAGGGAATGTGGGAGGGCAATGTGGGTTTCAACTGTCTGCGTGAGGCAGACATCCATCTGATTACTAGTAGTTTGAGGTAGTACCGGGCCGAGGCCGGGGTACTGTCTTCCACATGCTGTGATTCGGCAGGAAACAATAATCAGCACAGAGCAAAATTAAAAATGAATTTAGAGCCTGGCGGATCAAAACCTAAGATCTGTTCAACGTTGTCATCATCCAAGTCCCGAAAACTCATCCACTGAGTACAATGATCCAGGCTAGACAACTCCACGACAAACATCCCCAAAACGGGATGAGCAGGGAAGATGGGAGGAAGAACGAAAAAAAAATTTTCAGACCCCAGAGTAAAACTCTGCAACCACAAGATTGAGACGGTGTGCAGGGTGACCGAAAACTTTGGTGTACGGAGGATGTATGTATGTGTGTGTGTGAGAGGTATCGGGTGATGTCGGGAGAATCCCGGGCTTTCTACTACCCTTGAACCAATTGTTCCTTTCCTGGGGGAGGGCTTGCGAGTCCCAATTCTCCAAACAGGGCGGGCAATTGATGCGGAGAAAGAGAGAAAATTTTCTTACCTAACCCGACTTTTCCCTTCCTCTCCAGTCTCTGGCCAGCACACGGGCTCGCATCCCCAAGGGGTGTTCCGGTGAAGCAGACATCGTCGTTGGAGCCTGTTCTGGCCTTGGTTGGGTCTTTTCTCCCCCCGGGACTTTCCCCCTTCCCCCTCCACCCCCTCCCCTCCTCTTTGCTCGCTCGCTGACTTTGCTCCCGGTTAGTGGCCATGGTTTGACTTTTTCCCCTCTCCCCGCCGTCTTCTCTAGGCTAGCCTAGCCTCTCGGTCTGAGGCAATTTTTCTTCCGGCTAGTTATCGGGATGTCCGTCCCGAGTCCTGCTCTACTCTGTCTCTACGCCGAATCTATCCCGATCCCGTGGTGGTCTGAGCCGTCCTCACTGGGCGGTTGCCTCCAGCTCTCAGTCTTCGGCAGAAGGTATCCCGGTTGGTTGAACCTGCTGTGTCTGCCGTGCAAGTGCCCAGGTTCGGTGGTGGCTTGACTGGCTTACCCTTCCGGGAAATTATAGAACTATTCTTATCATGTCGTGATGTGTTGGTGGCCAGGTCAGGGTTCAGGAACGAGCTGAGCTCCCTCTCTCGGCAATTTCCACCTCGGCCAATTTCCATGCGAGTGCAGGAGCTCTATTGGTCAGGCTCATTTGACACTTCTGGCAGTGGTCGGGTTTAGGGGTGTACCTAGTTTACCATCTTCAAAACTGGGGATCGCCAAGGGGACATTGGTGGGAAGTTGTACGGAGTACTGTACGCTTGAAACGGCGAGTATGGAATACGGAGGGGGAAGGAAAAATTCTGCTCTGCCCACCCGATTTTCCTGCTCTTCATTACCGATCATCTGCCACACACACCATATGTTGCATTTTTGAGTTGTCATCTTGACTGTAGCGGTGAGCCGCTACAGAAAAATCTTCAGGTTCTGCTTGCCTGCTTGCCGAGGATCCATTTCCATTCTCCAGCCAGGCACAGAACCCACCTCCGCCTCATCTTCACTTTTGCTTTTCCTTTTCCTAGTTCGATAAGCGAGTTTACGTGTAGTTACCCGATCTCCAGGCTCGGTTCTCACTCGAAGCAGTATTTGCCTTAGGTTACGGAGTACGGAGTACGGATTACTGTATCACCAGTTATCTACTACAGACCACATAGTAAGGTACAACAAGGTAATATTCCTTTCTCCTCACTATCAATATAGATTCACCCTCCAGACCATACGATTAAGGTATGCGACCGCGTCTCAATTGGTGGAAATAACCCCTCTCCCTTCTCCGTACCACCAATGATAACCAGTAATCCCCAGTAGATAAGACAAACAGGGGATGACAGCTGAGATAAGCCTTTTTTTCTCTGAAACCCCACGTGACCGGGGTTGCACCATACGGAGTGGTAAATATTTCTCCATGCGGAGGGATTCCACGGCTGATTTTTCTTCCGCCAGTGAATGAGGGGGAGGCCCGGCCAGAGGAAAGGAGGAGGGGCTGCTTTTCCGTGTGGGGATTTGTCATGGAGATAATTTGCCGAACTCCCTCCTTCCTCTCCCCCGCCTTCGGATGCAGTCTTTACTGCTCACATGATATTTCCCAAAGGTCTTCTTCTCTTGTGGGATCGTTGACTAGTGGAGTTGCTTATCAAGTTCCTACAATATCCGGTACTGCTTAGGTACTTACTAGTAGCATAAGACAGTTGTGTATATATTGATGCTTCTTTGTGGGGGAAATGCTTTCCCCCCCCCTCCGCCCCTGGTCCTTCCCCGGTATTGGAGGGGAAATCCTTCAAAGGACATAGCTTCAGTCCGGCCCCAATCGTCTGTGAGCACTCGCTTTAGTCCGATCGGATGGTCTCTGGGCTAACCATTGGCCGAATGGTCTGTGGATTTTGTCCATTTGGACCTGGGGATTCGCGGGACGGTTTAATAAGGGCCGAGGTACTCGCGAGGGCGGTATGTGGGTGTAATGGCTTCGTGATGGTGGTTTCATGTGCACAAATGAAATAGACCATATGTTGAGTACAAATCTTCTGGTGGCATTGGGATGATGCCAATTCCAAGCTCTTTATGGAAAATTTATAGGTCAGCTGAGGTTTAATAATTATGTACTCCGTAGTTCATGCCAATATCAGTAGAGTTCGCGATCACCCGAGCTCCCGAGTATATAATTCGGAGGCTACTAGATCAAAACAACACATGGATGCATCCGATGACAACACCAAATATGCAGGAACAACGAGAAGCCTGACAAGGTAAGTCGATATGATAGTGCCCAAGTGAATTAGGTGATGTGATGCCTGTGTCGCACTATGTATCCGTGAAAGGCGGCCCTTGAGCAGCATGGCTCTCGCTCTGTCATCCATGTGGTGTATTCAACAGTCGAAGGGTTGCATAGCTGAATAAGGTCTTAGACCCTTGAGCCACTCTTATTAGAACTAGTGGTGCTGTGTTCTTTTATTCCGTCAAAAGCTAATCCAAAGCTGTTTACTTCAGAAACTTGAACTCAGCGCTGCTGTCGATCAACCACAACATTGTCTGCAGCTGGAACGAAAAAAAGAGCTCACTGAAACCAGAGCCACTGTGATCTAATTCCAAGACAATCTTACAGCAGTCCGCAGTCTTCGAGTCTTGCCCGCCGAACAGACCAAGGGGTCGTACTCGACATTCCAAGCTCTGATCTCCTCACGTCAGGATATTCGGCAATATTACCCAATGCGGGCGCGATGATGTCGCGCCTTCAGTATTCTGCCGCGTCTGGCCGCTCTAGGCCGGCCGAAGCAAAAGTTCAATCAGACATGTTCTTTGACAAAGCAGCCTGCCTTTCGTTCACAGTCCGTTCAAACCAACGTTAGCGTCTGGAGGAGAGATTATCGCTCGCTTACTACCAGGGATTCTATACATTTTTGTCTTTGACACCCCACATCAGATCCTGCGCAAATTTCTGTCCTCAAAACCTCAATGGCTCCCCCGCGGCAACGGACGGCAGCCGTTCAGGATGACTCTCGATCGGAGGGCTCTAGTACTACCAGAGAACACAAAACTACGAGCGTGAAGTCCCGGAAAGGTGCCAATGGATCTCTAGTGACATCAGTCACTAGTCGAGAGGTCAAGGTATCTGGGAATCTCGCTAATGTGACCAGTGCCCCCGCTGGGGGAAACGCTCTGGATGTGCCGAAGGTAGGCCTGCGATCTCGTCTCAAGTCCTCGCCGACAATACGATCTGGGACCTCCTGCTTGAGATTTACTTTTCAAGGCCAGGAAAGCTGATTCTATCGTCCAAACTGCAGATTCCCTGGAACGAGATGCCCCTTGACCTCCTCCACTCCTACCGACACGCCTACAAACTCTCCTCCCCCAGTGCCTTCACCAGCGAATACTCCCACCTCCTCCTCTCCAGGGGCATTGGCTTGCGATCCCCGACAGCAATTGCCGCCCAGCGCGCTCACCTTCACCGACAGAATCAGATGACAAACGGCACTTCACAACAATCGAGCACCGCTACGAATACACCTACCGTCGCTGCCGTGGCCGCGAGAAAAGCTCTGCCCAGCAATTCCACCCCGGTCCCGAATGGCATTAGCTCGAAACACAGAGACCGCCAAACTCAGAAGAAGGGTTTGAATACCGTGAACGGGAAGAACGCTCTGCAGCACATTATCGGTCAGGATCGCGTGAGCAAGAATCAACTGGCGATGTCGGTCCGCAAGCACTTCAACAGCGCCGGCCTGGCGGAACAGGAGGCCATCGCTCGTTTCCTGTACAAAGTTCGGGAAGAAGGAAGAGGGCGACATTTCCGATTGAGGTTTCAACCTTAGACAGCTGCTGGTGGTTATGTTTTAATGGTTCGCGCGTCCTGAACCCTTCTCCTATTTCCGCGGATCTTGCGATGCGTTGCGGAACATCTACCTTGCTATATACAACCTTTAGGAGTACGGTATCCGGTCGACTTTGCCGTGCTTTGTCCTTGTTTATACTCGGCGTTCTGGGATCATTATTTGGGACGCATTGAGTGGTTGGTCACAGGAGCTTTTCTGTGCTCAACCGTCAATTCACCTCCCTTCTTCCACTCCTCCGCCCCCCCGACCCGATGCACACACCACATACAGATTCTTCTCTTCTTGTCGAAACCGGGCAACCAGAAGCTCAGTTGTTCCTCTTGTTCTCTCATGATACCCATCAGTGCGACATTTGCCCACTGCGCTCTTCGTTTCTCCTCCCCTCCCTCACCTATCTTCTAATCCCCTCACACTACCCAATCAAATAGAGTGTCCTATATGCGAGTTCGAGCTCTACCAGAGGACCGTCACCAACACCGTCACCCCATCCTCGCCGGTACTGCCTACATTGCTATTCATATCACCTCCATTTCGCTTCGCTTTTGCTTCTTTGGCTCATCCGCTTCCACTCCCCACACATCATCTGGCGCAATCACGATAGACCGGTTCGACTTGCTACTAATTTTCTCTTTGTTTCATTCTCGGTGTCTTGCCTTGCTGGAATTCTTCCTCATAACCTAGCTAGCCTACATTTTCTGTATATTAAGTATTAATCAAAATATGGAGTACAAACCTGATATAGATGTACATGCAAGAACGTAGACGGCGGTGTATAGAATCTGCCATATATCGAAACCGAACGGAGTGTTGTTTAATGCAAGCTGGGATTCATGAGTCTCATCGAGCTTTGGGGGTCAAGTCCTGTCCTGTCCCTACCCAGGAGACTTACCGTAGCATAGACAATTGGTCATGGCGAGGAGAGTACGAGCCTCATCTAACCATTAATTGAATCCCACCCCGGTAAAAGAATGCATTGACTACAACGCGAGCAAGTTAAAGCCCGAACACCCTCTCAATGTCCGGTGATTCTAGAGGATGTTTTGGAGCGAGTGAGCAGGTAAGTGAGCAAGCAAGCAAGCAGCAAGCAGCAAGATCTCAATTCCCTATACAGATAACTAAACTAGCCTACCAACCTGAGAGGAGAAACAAACCCCTCAACAGAGGACCAAACAGTCCAATCAAGGCCTCCCACAACCAGGAATCCTAGAGAAAGAGAACCACTTGGAGAGTAAGGGAGGTCGGTCATTCCCCAGAGCCAGCCGGAGCACGGTAAGCAGTTCATGATCATCCGAAAGGGAAGAAGAGACGAGTTTAGCCAGGAAGGGTAAGTAACACAAGCAAAGCAAAGCAAAGCAAAAGCACAAATCACACAGCAAGAAAAGAAAAATCCTGGAAAGGAAAAAGCAGCGGGAGTAGGAGAGACCCCGGCCCTCCCCGCCATTGATTCCTATCAGGCTTGTCAATGGTTGCTCATCCATCATCCTCGAACCACAGCTAGATAGCTTCCCTTATTGGATCAATATTAGCAAGGAAGGTTCTCTGAAGGGTGTGGGGAATAATCATACTGTAACACACATGCCAAGCACCCTTCACCACCCCCTTCGCAAGAGGCTTCCACCAGCATGATGGCAAGGAAGGTCACACAACAAGGTAGGAATCGGAGGGGTTTGTTGGACAAGACAGCCGAAAAAAACCTGCTTAAGGCCCCTTTTGCGGACCCAGACACACATGGGCGAAGCAGATGTCGGTGTGGCAGCAGTCGCTGGTCTGACGGCAGCGACGGTGACACTTGCGGTCTCTGGTGGTCAGGTCGTTGGGGTTGTTTTCGGCAGCGGTGGTGTCCGAGGCGGCGGTGTCGTTCTCGGAGATGTCCTCGTCGTTGTCGAGGTAGTCGTCGATGAAGGTTGCGTCGGCGTTGGCATCAGCACCAGCATCACCATCAGCACCCGCAGAAGAAATGCTCGGGTCGGTGACGTTGTCTGGACATGAGGGTGAGGGTTTAGATTGGTTCATGGTGGATGATAACGAGCACAAGTACATACCGTGAGAGTACAGATCGATGTAATCGGCTAGCAAGTCCTTCACAGGGGGATGATGATTACAGCCGTGCATGCACTTGAGATAAGCCAGGACAGTTTCGCGGGAGAGCTGATCGTTGTCAGGAGGCTTACACTTGCAGCCGTCCGGGATGGTGATCGAGGCCACCAGGGTGACCATCACGGTCAGGAGCCAAAGAGGATGGAACTTCATCTTGTCAAAGACAGAGTAGAAGTGGTTGACTGATGATAAAGAGTGTGGAAGCTGTTGAAGTTGGATCAATGAGCATGGAAAGAGGTAGAGATGGAAAGGTAAATGAGGGTGAGAGATGGAAAGAAGAGAGGGGAAGAGAGAGGAAGGAAAGATGAGAAGGATTTTATAGCCAGGAGCTGGGAGGCAAATAAGTGATCACCGTGAAGTTATCACCACAAAAAAACCATTCCAGTGAATGATTCACCTGCATGGGAGATGAGATGGGAAATAAGCAGTGATGTCGTCGAGGAACCGAAGCTGTTTTCAACAGGCAGCGTACGTCATACATAAAAATAAGTATAGCACAGGCGATAGCCTCTATTATCCAAGTTATACAGGCATAGTCTTCGTATATACATACATGCAAGGACTGACCGCAGGCTGTTGCTCCGGCTGCCACCAAAACTAAAGTGCTGCCACCGCTCTAAGTCCCGCTCGTCTGCAAACCTCCAAACACACGTCTAGTGCCAGTCGAATGGACCGATGTCCATCCTGTTTTCCGAGAGCGGAGTGGTGTTGTACGATGAGCTTGAGTATCGCCGCTTGCTTCCATAAGGTTCCAAATCGAAATCGGAGTCCCTAAAAGACCGACGACACTAGCCCTGGTTGTGGTCTCAACCACAACTCAATGTCAATTGCTAAATCCAGAGAAAAGTTCGTCAAGTAAGTAGAAGAGAGAAGCCGACTCCAATCCCATGCTGTCCCCAATGAAACGCCCTATACCTGACCCAATACAGTGAGTCTCATTCTGAAGTACATGCCACATTATGGCACGAGTATTCAGTTCGTTCACTCATCCTCTTCGCTTGCCGCTTCGGACTTGTTCTTGGGCTGGGCCGTAAGCTCCTTCTGCCAGATATGGTTGGCCGCAGTCTTGTCGAGATCAGCGAACAAGATGTCGAAGACTTCTGAGTACCATCCAACTGCGTGACCTTCGATACCCTTCTTGATGTTCTGCAAGAGCAAGTGAATTAGTATAGTTGATATAGTTGAGTGACGCGTGTGAACTTACCTCGGGTAGCTCCAGCCAGTCGGACATGTTGTCCGCAGGGAAGATGATCTTCTTCGCTCCAGCACGGCGAGCGGCCACAGTCTTCTCCCGCAAACCTCCAATGCGCAAGACCTTGCCAGTAACTGTGAGTTCACCGGTCATGGCGATGGTCGGGTCGAGAGGGTGGTTCAAAGCGAGGGACAACAAAGACGTCGCCATCGTGATACCAGCGGACGGCCCGTCCTTGGGCACCGCGCCCTCAGGGCAGTGCATGTGCAACTTCGCCTTCTCGAAGAAACGGTTCTCCGGGAACTGCTTGGCCATCACCGACTTGGCGAACGAGTACGCAATGTGGCTTGATTCCTTCATAACGTTTTGTAGGTTTCCGGTGATGTCGATACCAGGTCGAGACTCGGGTGTCAGAGCGTTTTCGAGGATAGATTCGACATACAGGGCAGCGCCGCCCATGCTCGTCCAGGCAAGACCCATGGTGACACCGGCCGGGAAAGTCTCGTACAGACGGTCGGCCCTGAAAACGGGGGGTCCAACGTAGTCAGTCAAGCTGTCCTTGTCGATGCTGACACGCACGCTCTCGGGGACCTTCAATGCCACCCGGGGAGTTTCTGTAGTGGCTTTCTCTGGGTCCACAGGAGTCTCTGCGGGGTCTGTCGACTCGCCCTCCTTCTGCATCTCCGCTTGCACGGCCTTACCCTCGTCGGTGATCGCCTTTTCTTCAGCAAGAACCTCCTCTCCAAGATCACGGACGATGTTGAAGGCGGCCTTCCGATACACCTTCTCGATCTGCTTCTTCAAGTTACGTACTCCACTTTCGCGGCAGTACGACTTGATGAGCTCCTCGACTGCATCCTCCGTCAGGGTAACGTCCACCTCTTTGAGACCAGTCAACTCTTTCGCCGCAGGTGCGAGATACCGTTGAGCGATCGCCATCTTTTCATCCGCAACATAGCCGGATAGCTCAATTAGTTCCATGCGATCCAGAAGAGGTCGAGGGATAGTATCGGTGACGTTTGCGGTGCAGACAAACAGGACCTTCGATAGATCAACTGGAACGTCCATGTAGTGGTCCAAGAATGAGGAGTTCTGTTCAGGGTCGAGAAGTTCAAGCAGAGCAGAAGAGGGATCTCCTTGGTGACCATGGCCAATTTTGTCGATCTCATCAATCAGGATCAGAGGGTTTTCTGTCTGGCATTTCTTGAGGGCCTGGATGATACGACCAGGAAGAGCACCAACATACGTCCGACGGTGACCCTTGACCTCAGCAACATCTGTCAGTCCACCGACAGAGAAGCGGTAGTACTGCCTGTTCAGGGCACGCGCGATGGACTTTCCAATGCTGGTCTTACCCACACCAGGGGGGCCTACCAGACACAGGATTTTGCCCTCGACAGTTCCGCGAAGCTTTCCAACGGCAATGAACTCGAGAATGCGGTCCTTGACGTCCTTAAGTCCGTGGTGATCTTCATCCAGGACTGCCATCGCGTTCTTGATACTGAAGTTCTCCACGCTCTTCTGACCCCAGGGAATCTGAGTCAACCAGTCCAAATAATTCCGGGTCACGTTGAACTCGGATGCAGCAGGCTCAAGGTGGGCCAGCTTGTTGAGCTCCTCATCAAACACTTTCTTGATGGCTTCCGGCATGGCAAGCTTCTCTGCCTTGTCCTTGAACTTCTCGACCAGCTTGTCCTTACCGTCAGATTCAATGCCCAACTCCCTCTTAATGCCCTTCATCTGTTCCATGAGCCAGTACTCGCGCTGACGCTTCTGAATCTTGGCTTCCACATCCTTGGAGATCTTGGACTGGAGTTGAGCATTCATGAGTTCCTTCTTCAGAACAACGAGAGCTTTGGGAAGTCGTTCTTCGATATTCATCAGCTCCAAAACCTCTTGCATTTCATTGAGCTCGCCGGCGGAGACAGCAGCGGCGAAGTCAGCCAGTTTGGCAGGATCATCGCTAAGGTTGCCGGGAAATTGGTCGGTATAGAAGGCAGAGATTTGATCACGGAAAAGAGGGTTCAAGCTAGCGATTTCCTTGCAGACGTTGACAATCTCGCTGGTTACGGCACGAATGATGGCGCTTTTCTTATCATAGGCTTGCTCAGCCATGTTCTCCACATTGACAAGGCTGACAAGGTACTTTCGTAAGAACGAGGTTGGTTCGTAATGGTCCTTGGGGGCAACTTCGGCGCCACCCTCTTCAAAACTGGCCACGACATCTCCGCGCTTTTCCTGGACCTTTTCCTCCTGTCCCTCGGCTGTGCCTGACCTGGCTGGGTCGTTCGGTGGAATCAAGGACGAGATCTTGATGCGACGGTGGGGGTAAAGGACGGCTGTCACGCCGCCCGTGTCGCCACGAAGAGGATAGGCGGCGGTGATCTGAGCGAACACCCCGACATCATAGACATCATCGAGGTTTTCAATCACGTCACCATCCGCATTCTCATCCTTGAACAGGAAGGCACCTACGTAAGGTTGACCTCGCTTCATCATATCTTGGATAGCGCTCGCCACGTTGGGGTCCTTGATAGTAATAGCTTTGTAGAAGCCCGGATAGAGTGGTCGCTTGGCGATAGGGATGGCCATGACCTGAGGATAGATATCCGGGACAGTTGGCTTCTGTAAAGCCTTCTCGCTACTACTCTTCTTGCCCTTCTTACCGCCATCGTCGTTGTCCCCGTTGCTCGCGCCGCTAGGCCTGGAATCCGAGGGCCCACCACTGACCGGTATAGGGGAGGGTTCATCGGCAGAGGCCTCTTTGCTCTCTACCACTTTGCCGCTCTTCTTCGAATCATCTTCCAAGCTACGTTGCTCCTTGTCCACCGCAGTCTTCTCTTTCCGTCGCGACGGCCCCGATGTCGGAGCTCCGGGTTCTAGTGACGATCCCTGCCTGTTGGAGGAATCAGTCGCCTTTCGTCGAGCATCGGCGCGTCGTCCAGAGTCCTTCTCCTCCTTGACTTCCTTCTGCTCTTTCTGCGACGTGTCCTCCGTGTCATTGTTCTGTGGGGGCTTCTCTTTCAGGCGGAGCGGGCTCGATGAGAAAGGACGAGTGGCGGACGGGAGGGTGCGACCGGAGCGGGCGGCATTCAGGACCAAACGAGCACTGGCATTGTGTCTAGGGGAGGCGAGCAGAGGGCGAAGGAGTATAGGACGCGGCGTTTGGTGGAGCGCGGCTCTCCAGGGGAGTGTCTGGCCGCGGAGCATGCTACTGTGTCGACGCGGACGACGAAGACGGGATGGAGTGGGAAAGGAAAGATGAGAATGGAAGCTCAAGTACGGTAGCCTTGAGGCTGACCAAATGAGAGATTAGTCGAAGGTGGAGCTAGAGGCAGGGAAAAGTGAAAGGAAAGAATCAGTTGAGCAAGGTGGTAAAAGTAGCAAGATGTAGTAGCAAGCATGAGGGGGGGGGGAGAAGCTGAGGCGGCGGCGATGATCGAGTGATTGATTACCGAAGCAAGCTTTCATCATCGATGCTCAATCGGATCTTAGTTATTCCGGTCGGGAAACTTTTTCGAGCCGAAGGACTCGAAGCTTCCAAACGTCTTCCCCATCAGGAGGCGGTCGATGCTTCAAGTCAAGAAAGGTCTCCCCCGGTGGTTCTTCTTCTCTCTCAAATCAGCTTCCGTGATTTCAAATTTCTCCTTCTCATACCTTCATTTCACCATCCTTATATTTATTTGATGCCCACTTATCTCCCACGATGAACGCTACATCTGCCGCCATGCCTAAAGCCGCGGCTTTCCCCGCTCGTTTACTGCGGACTTCGCGGCAATACTCCAAGCAGAACCCGTCCACCAGCATTCGGTCCTCAACCCCCGCCCGGACCTATCATGTCTCGACTGCTTCTTCCAGCAGCAAGCGTCTGCGCGATGGTGTTTCTAGCAAGAAGCAGCCTGCATTTCTTTCTTCTAGGGTAGGTCGTCCCTTCATTGACCAGCGAAGTCTTCTCGTGAAGCGGACTGTGAACTGACCGGGAACTCTTCCCATGGCAGGTTTTCCATACCACTGCTCCGCTCGCCATTTCCGATCCTTACAAAGTCCTAGGAGTTGACAAAGGCGCTTCGGCTTCCGAAATCAAGAAAGCCTACTATGGAATGGCGAAGAAATATCACCCGGATACGAACAAGGAAGCCGACGCAAAGGAGAAGTTCGCCGAGGCGCAATCGGCATACGAACTATTGTCTGATCCGAAGAAGCGCGAAAACTACGATCGGTTCGGCTCCGCTGCCTTTGATCAGAATGGCGGTTTCGACCCCAGCGGCGGAAACCCATTCGGTGGCGGCAACCCCTTCGCCGGCGCTGGAGGCTTCCATGGCTTCGGCGGCGGCTTTGGTGGAGGGTTCTCTGCCGACATCAACTTTGAAGATCTCTTTGGCGCATTCACTGGCGGTGCTCGCAGATCTGGTCGGGGTCGTAGGGGTCCTTTCCAGGAGGTTCTTGTCGGTGAAGACATTGAGGTTCAAACCAGCATCTCCTTCATGGAGGCTGCGAAGGGCACTTCTAAGGACATCGTGATTACACCCCTGAAGGAGTGCGACACCTGCAGTGGTGAAGGGTTGAAGAAGGGCGCCAAACGAAGCCAGTGCCGTCAATGCAATGGATCTGGTACACGAGTCCACATGATGCAGGGTGGTTTCCAGGTGGCAGCCACATGTGACGCTTGCGGTGGCCAGGGCATGACCGTGCCCCGAGGATCCGAGTGCGGAACCTGCAAGGGCAACGGTGTGGTCAGGGACAAGAAGACTGTTCAGGTAGACATTCCGGGAGGTGTCGAGGATGGTATGCGTTTGAGGATCTCTGGGGAAGGCGATGCCCCACCCACCGGTACTGCAGCTCCCGCAGGCTCCCGTACGCAGCGCGGTGACCTCTACGTTTCAATCCGGGTCTCTCCTGATCATCGGTTCAGCCGCGCTGGATCCGATATCCTCTACACCGCTTCTATCCCCCTCACCACTGCTCTTCTGGGTGGTGAAGTGAAGGTGCCCACCCTGGATGGTGAGGTCAAGGTCAAGGTCGGAACTGGCACTGGCACTGGCGATCGCATTACTCTGTCTGGTATGGGCATGAAGAAACTGGGTGCTCGCAGCCGCAACTATAGTCCCACTGGTGACTTGAAAGTCGAGTTCAAGGTTCTCATGCCTAAGTACTTGACCAGTAATCAGCGGACGATCCTTGAGGTGCTCGCGGACGAAATGGGGGATACCACCGCCAAGCGCATCATGGATATCCCGAAGGATAAAGATGGGTAAGTGCATATCAGCCGGACTTGATTGTCTTTAGTTTCGTATCATCTGACCGATTCTCAGTGCCCCATCCAACCCGACCGGCTCGGCCGACGACTCCAAGCACCCGGGCTTCCTCAAGTCCGCTTGGCAGAAGCTTATGAACCACTCCAAATCAGAGGAGTCCTCAACCCACAACAAAGACGGCAACAAGACCGATGGCGATAAGAAGTCGGGCTCGAGCTGAAATCGCAATGCGAATTGAACGCTTGCACAATTGGTGAAGGTCGTGCTCCCGCGGACGACCTCTTTCGTTTCTTATTTGTATTTATTTCGGACGACATCATAGCGCCGGCGACATTTGGGGTTTTATGAGCAATGCTGCATGTTTGGGATGATTCTTTGTTATTTCATCTTTTATGGATGGTGGCGCTGCAGTTGCGGACGTGGATAGAGCACGTTTCGCACTGATCTGTAATTATATATTTGTACTGTACGACTAGAAAAATCATATCAGACCCTCTCTCCTTCTCCATGATTGACTGATCAACGGGGCGGGGCTGGCAGTTGAAAAGGTCGAATTTGAAGTCAGTTATATGACCCGTGGCCTGTCATCAAAGCACTCTTACGGGAAGCTCGAGGAAGACTCGGACAGCCGAAGAGTAATATTATGTCGCCAGGCAAATAAAACAGCATGGCGTGAAATGAGCTTCTGATAAAATATATTGATGCATTCTGCTGGCAAATGATTCACCCTCATTGATCCTTTCTAGAGTCGCTCATTGCGATTGATACTATCTCTGACGGATCACAGCACCGATAGGTAAACGCTGATTTATTTTCAGAGCAATCCGTCGATGCTTTTCGTAGGATCCAGTATTGTATTCTTTGTTAGCCATGCAAGCATGTGGTCTGTGACAATCCAAGTATATGGGTTGTGCTGTCTAACGCAAATGACTAGACAAGGCAAGATCCAAACAAGACATACGATGCAGGTGTCATACCGTGGTAGTTAGACTTATACCAAACTACTCTCCAGTGAACCAGCGTGCTCAAGAAGGACATCCCGGAATACCCGTAGAAAACAGCCCAGAACAGCACCCATAGTAATCCTGAGAGGAGTCCGGGTAGTCTCACTGCGGATGCACCCCACGACGAGGTCCCTCATCTTAGATCACAGTATATAGGCCCTTTCAAGAGGTGAACAGTTGCGGCAGATTGTCCTGCACGCTCGATGGTAAGCTATAATACACACAATAAATCAGCCTCCTACTAGACATATCGTTTGCGAGGTTGCGAACTGAGAACAGCAGAGTCTATGGATGAAGAGCACATCTCTTATAGGAAAAGGTCACTGCGCAAGCCCTGACACAGTATCTCTGAAGGCTTGGCTACAAGGATACAGGACGAGGGATCTCCCAGTGCAAAAGCTCCTTCCAGTCAGCAACTCTTCGAATATTCTCAGATCTGAAGCACGCGTGCAACTCTATCCGCCCTACAGTCAGTTTCTATCTTGCTGTGCAACCCCTATGAGGCTGTTTCCCTCTTTCGACTGACAGACCGTGCTTCAGACACGTCGTGCAGCAAAAATGAAGCCTACTCTTGTTCTCACCACCTTTCTTACGGCTTCCACCGTCTACCATGAGGCGTTGTTCCAGTTACCGAACATACGGTAATAAGGTATATGTGGGTCCATACTTGCGTACAGTTCACCAATGACAGCCAGACGGAAGTCCGGCCCCGAATGCGGATCTTCAGGAAAAGAATGTATTGGGGGCTGAATCGGCTAAGCTGCGGTTACTAACCAGTACTAATAGCTCTACTACAGTAAGCTGTAAGCTGAGGGCTACGTCCCGGGAGGGTGGATGTTCCCGGGGAAGATTCACTTTTGACACCCTTCAAATCTTCAATCGACTTCAGTTTCTTCCATGTCCTTAGATCTGTTGGAAATCTTTCCAAGTGCTGAGTAGGACAGGCCTGCATTCGAATGCTGATACGAGAAGGAAGCTTACAACTGAATATTCTCCCCTAAGATCAAGAAGAATTAGACCATTTAGGTTACGTAGTCTGGAAGTGGGACGAACCCGAGGCAAGTAAGAATGCCAGCGGCGTCGGTCAGCGTCGAGTCGTGCATTTTGGGTAGGCTCCGAATCACACACACATCCCTAACATGCTGGTGAACCAAGACGGTAAGTTAGGTAGCATTTGAGGAGATCCTCTCCCCATCTGTTCTCTACCTGATTTCATCGGAAATGGAAGCCCCAGACTCTGTGTGCATGACATCGGCGACCCAAGCAACCCAAGTATGACAGAGCCCTCGCAGACTCTACTGCTGCTCGGTGTCATTTGTGCGGCCGACCAGGAGGTCCTCGCTCCCTCCTGTCGCGGCCGTAACAGCCTTACTCTCGACCACATTCTCTCCTTCACGGACGAGAAGACTGGACAGACCCGATGCTGCCACGAAGGCACCCAGTACGACGGGGAAGAATGCGTCTTTGCGGCATCCAAGTGCCCGGACGGGTTCGTACGGCACGGGGATCGGTACACCTCGAATCGACCCCGGACTATAATCACGGGTACAACTATAAAGACGGCTTCTGTGTAAGCCGGGAGCCCCCAAGCTGCCCGGATGGGACTGTCGTCCGCGGCGATCACTGCGGGACCGAGGATGAAGCCAAGTGCGGCGAGGGCTACGAGCTGCAAGGCAACATCTGCATCTTCAAGAAACTCTATCAGTGTGAGAGCGGGGGGCATTTCAACGGATGGGCCTGCGCTAGTGATCGTACCCCAAAATGCCCGGATGATTGCACATTGAACAACGGGTCGTGCATCCAAAACGCGCCGCCTAAGTGTCAGCCGGGAACCCAATACGACAACCGCCGTGGTCCCTGCGTGGCGACGCAGGGTTCGAGCTGCGAGCAAGGTACTTCAACCCCACCACTCGAACCTGTGACTGGACATTCAAGCCCGGGGAGTGTCCTAAGGGGACTCATCTGGAAGGCAACCGGTGCGTACTCGACCAAGGCCCCGTGTGTCCGAGCAAAAATACCGAAGTCTCGCGGTCCCCCAGCAATGGCACCGTCCGCTACTGTCCGCAACGCATGGTCTTCGACGGCGAGTTGTGCACCTCGACGCCGGACAAGGATGGCAAGTGTCCCGACGGACAGCGTGCTCTTCGCGGCCCTTGCACCAAGCAGACCAACCCCCCGTCCGACTGCCCCCCAAATTACAAGCTGGATAAAGCTCAATGTGTCCTGCAGGAGGTACCGCAACGTCCTGACCCAACGCATCATGAAGATGGCCAGTGCGTGAAGAAGATCAGCCGGAAGTGCCCGGATAACGGCATCGTGGTGGGTGACGATTGCGTCTACCGGGAGAAGCCGGTGTGTCCGGTTCACACGCGATTGGAGGGCGACCTTTGCATCGGAGTCACAACCCCTGTCTGCAAAGACCATGCTAAGTGGGATGGATAGCGCTGCGTGCTAAGAACTTCCGGGCAGTGCGATTCGGGCGTGCTCAAGGGGTAAGACTGTATCACGACGACGCCGCCGAGCTGCCTGTCCAACACGACCTTCGATGGCGGCAAATGTCTCTCGCCCAAGGGCCCTAATTGCCACGATAACGCGGTCCCCAGTAAGGAGGGCTGGTGCATCATCAGCCGAGCCCCAGTGCAAGAACAGATTCAAACTCGACGGTGCTCACTTCGTGGCCGATCGCCCGCCGCGCTGTCCATATGGGACCAAGCTGGATGAGTCGGGGCATGAATGTGTCTTGATCAAGGAGCAAATGCCTGGATGGGGAGGTCTTCAATGGAAAGCACTGCGCTTTGGCGAGCAGTCAATGCATCGACTACCAGTTCTGATCCCCAGTGGAAGAGTGGACAGAGTTCGACTCTATAGAAGCATCGGTGATCGAAAAGTGATTGAAACGAGCAACGCAGGAATTGAGAATCAAGGCAGTGGTTGAGCAAGCCCCTAAGGTATTGTATTTGTGCTCGGAAAAATCACTAGTAAGAGACAGGTAGTGGTGAAGGAAGAGGAGGATATCTAGTATCAATATAAGTATGACTACGGAGTACACCAACTTCAATCATTTCCGCTGGCATCATCTCTTTGAAGCGCTCTATCAGTATCTGAGTCATAACAAACAGGGCCCTGGAAAGAGAGGAGTAGTAGTGCGTATTTTCATTATCGTTTTTAGTCTTATATGAAGTATTCTCGATATCGAGCAGATTATTCTCATACTTATAGCTGAGTATCTGTGCATATTTGTTGTCAGGTCAATTGACAGGTGGGCGTAAACGCTGCGGCTTCACCGCCGTCGTCATCGGGCGGTGTTACTGCCCGGCCGTGTGCTGCCTGGCATCCAATCCATCCATCCATTCCACCATCTCGACAATCCCGACCAGCCACCACAGGAACATCCTGAATTCTACGTACCCCACAGTCCCGTCCTTTTTCGCCTCTCATTCCAACTCCTCCACTCCTCCATACCCCTTCCTCTCCATCGCAATCATTGATAGACACCTCCTTTAACTCTTCTTGTGCTGCCTTCCCTTACCTTTCGCTCCCCGTTTCGTCTCCGCCTTTGGATGGGAGCTCCCCGCTCCTCCCTACATGCAAGATGGTTCAGTCGCCCATGATCTCGTGTCCGCTGAAGCAGACCAATGAAATTGATTGGATTCGGCCCCTGAAGGACTACATTCGCCAAAGTTATGGTGAAGATCCCGATCGCTACAGTCAAGAATGTGCCACCCTCAACCGGTTGCGCCAGGATATGAGGGGCGCGGGGAAGGATAGTGCGACGGGTCGCGACTTGCTGTATCGCTACTACGGTCAACTCGAGCTCCTGGACCTGCGGTTCCCAGTCGATGAAAACCATATAAAGATCTCTTTCACCTGGTACGCATCGCGACCCTCCGCCATACGTTCCCCCCCTAAATCCCTTGTGAACGACTATTGAAGATGTTAACTCCGCATTGCTTATTAGGTATGACGCTTTCACCCACAAACCCACTTCTCAATACTCCCTCGCCTACGAGAAGGCCTCCATTATCTTCAACATCTCCGCCGTACTCTCTTGTCATGCAGCCAATCAGAACCGCGCCGAAGATACCGGCCTCAAGACTGCCTACCACTCCTTCCAGGCCTCTGCTGGCATGTTTACCTATATCAACGAGAACTTCCTCCATGCACCCTCAACCGACTTGAACCGAGAAACTGTCAAGGCTTTGATCCATATTACCCTCGCGCAGGGGCAGGAGGTTTTCTTGGAGAAACAGATCGCCGATGACAAGAAGGCCGGGCTGCTGGCGAAGCTCGCCAGTCAATCAGCCTACCTCTACGCCCAGGCAGCGGAAGCGATCCAAGAGTTTTGCAAAGGGGTCTTTGACAAAGTCTGGTCCATCGTTGTCCAGACCAAAGCCGCTCATATGGCCTCCGTCGCGTCGTATTACCAGGCTCTGGCGGACAGTGAAAGCGGTTCCCACGGCGTGGCCATTGCTCGTCTGCAATTCGCGGAGAAGAACTCGACAGCAGCTCTGGGGTGGGCCAAGTCCTTCCCCTCATCGGTCTCGCCAAACACAAATTTAAGTTCGGAGTCCGGGACCAACCTGCTTGAGGTGGTCAAGTTTCATCTAGCCAATGTACAGGCGAAGCTTGCGGTCTTCAAGAAAGATAATGATTTCATTTACCACCAGCCCGTTCCTAATGAGGCAGGCTTATCCGCGGTCGCGAAACTACCAGCGGCAAAGGCCATCCCAGTCAGCGAACTCTATCAGGGTCAAGACATTCAACGGATTATCGGTCCGGATATCTTCCAAAAGCTGGTGCCTATGTCCGTTACCGAGACAGCCAGCCTTTATGATGAAGAAAAAGCCAAATTGATTCGGGCCGAAACCGAGAAGGTCGAAATGGCGAACGGAGAAATGGCTGCCAGTTTGGATTATCTAAAACTCCCCGGGAGCTTGAACATTCTCAAAGGGGGAATGGATCAGGAGATGGAGGTTGATGAGGATTTCAGGCGATGGTGCCAAGAGCTTGCTGGTCATCAGCCTTTCATCAAAGCACTTGACGAGCTACAGGACCGCAAGACGGAGATTCTTGGGCAGTTGGACCAGTGCTCGAAAAAACTCGACCTGGAAGAAAGTGTCTGCGAGAAGATGCGCTCCAAATATGGCGCCGATTGGAGTCAGCAGCCGAGTGCAAGGCTCAACACTACCCTGCGTGGAGACATTCGATCATATCGGGACACCATCAACGAGGCCAGTGCAAGCGACGCTCAACTACTGTCTACCCTGCGGCGGTATGAGGCTGATTTCGATGAAATGCGATCTGCCGGAGAAACCGACGAAGCTGACGTGCTCTTTCAGCGAGCGATGATCAAAGCGGGGTCAAAGCATAGCAAGGGAAAGAATGGAATGGGAAGCCCATACGCCTCCACGCAGGAGGGAAGCCTGCTGGATGATGTCTACGATGAAAGCAGCCCCTCCGTATCGGAACAGATCGCGCGGGTGGAGGCCATCCTGAAGAAGCTGAATCTGGTCAAGAGAGAGCGATCTCAAGTTCTGAAGGATTTGAAAGAGAAGGTAAGTCATCATCAATATAAAAGCAAAGCGCTGGGGCTGAGATTGTTATGCAGGTTCACAACGATGACATCTCCAACGTTTTGATCCTTAACAAGAAATCGATCACTGGGCAGGAAACCCAGCTTTTCGAAGCTGAGTTGGAGAAATTCCGCCCGCATCAGAATCGACTGCTCCAGGCCAACCATAAACAAGCTTCACTTATGAAAGAGCTGACCAAGATCTACGGGGATTTGCTCCAAGACAAGAGAGTGAGGTCTGAACAAACGAAGTACGAAGCCATCACACGTCAACGCAACACAGTCATGACTCGGTACAAGAAAGTCTATGATGCTTTCAATGGTCTACTCTCGGGAACAACACAAGCTCGGACATTCTACACTGAGATGGCCGACACGGTGGAAAACCTGAAGAAGAATGTGGAAACCTTCATCAACAACCGTCGATCCGAAGGTGCCCAGCTTCTAGGCCAGATTGAACGCGAGCGCGCTAGCAGTGCCACCGAGCAGGAGGACCGCGAGCGGGAGAAATTACGGCAGTTGATGGAACGCCTGTCGACCGAGCCCAAGGCATCCACACCTGCACCGCCTTCAGCAGGGGCAATGGCTCCCCCGCCCCCATCCAAAGCCAAGTCGCCGCCTCCAGCGGTGCAGACTCCCGCCTACAACCCATCTCTTGCCTCTCCGAAGAACTCACCGGCTTTCCCACCCGGACAGCAGCATGGCGTCCCTCTGTCCCATTCGCCAGCACCCTATGGGCAATATATGACTCATGGTGCCGCTGGCATGCCCTATCACCCCGGACAGCCATATCAGCAGGGGGCAGCAGCACCCTTGTCGGACGGTTACAACCCTATGGCGTACCCTGTGCCCCCGGCTGTTTCGCCGCCTCCGGCCCAGTTTTACTCATCTACCCCTACCCCGTTCAGCAGCTACAGCGGGTCTACACCCTCTGCCACTCCATCCGCCTTCCTACCACAGGGCTACGTCCCGCCTCCTCCGCCTCCTCGACCCCAGCAGACCAACTACCCTGCGGCTTCAGGGCCCTTCCCTTCCGGCCCTGGCGGCTACGCTCAAGGGCGACCATACGGCACGAGTCAGCATCATAAGGCTCAGTCTCAGTCGTCGCAGTCACAGGGCCAGTCGAGCGCATCGACCGACCCCTGGGCCGGACTCAACGCCTGGAAATAAGACGCCCTGCCCAGTGTCCTAGTTGATATCTCGATGGACGGGTCATCATGAAGTATGATAGACGCATGGAACGAATCACTGAATATCTTGCATTAGGGCGTTTTCTTCAGTCTAGTTGTTTGTTAGTGCAACATGAATCTTGATTGTATGCTCCGATTTGTTCAATTCATTCTTCGTTGTCACTCTTCCTGGTAAAACGAGTCGTGTCGTGTCGTGTTGCTTATGTGGGGTCTTCGGTCGGCTATCTCATTCTGCTAGTATCCAGTTTTCTATCCCTGTGATATGTAGGCCATGTTATGTAACGATCTGGAGCGCAGGATGCTATTACCCCACGGGTCATAACATAGATTTGCATAAATCAACAGTGGTTGTAGATGTGACAATGGCGAGAAGACAAAATCGCATGCAGGGTCTACAACACTCCACCGCATTCCCCCCCGCCCCCCAGGTTATTCGTGAGTGGCCTTCCAAAGCATTAAGTAGCCCCTGGCTGGGTTGAGTTCATATTATTGTTGAACACGGCCAGAAAGGGTGATTGAACACCTACAGATATGATACGTTTTCTTCTCAGACGCCAACACGAAAGGACTCGTCCGACCAGAGATCCGTCCGTGCAAGGCGGACCCGACCTTAGGGTTCCACTGCTCAATATCACCGACGGTGATGCCGTGACTGTTTGTGGTCACGGGAACGGTTAGTAGTAAAGGCTGGGGACGGTCACCTACACAGTAGTAGTAGTAGTCTTCTCCTGCCAGGATGTTGGAGGTCAGCTACAGGCATCAGTCGGGCGGTGTCTTTGATTTGTTTCCCTGTTTATGCTTCATGCTCCACAGACACAGATCAGACACCATGGAAAGGAGAACCTACCAGAGTTGACCGGTGTATTCCACTCAAGAAACTGGGTCGTGCTGATACCGAACTGGGCCTTGAATTTTTCTGCACGAGTCCCCGATTCCCAAAAAAAAAAGGGCAGAATTGGCGGCAATTGGCGGCGGTACTCGTTTGCTGCGGTTGATATGAAGCAGATGATGACGATGATATTAGATCTCCTGATCTGGCAGTACTGCTACAAATGACTTGCTGCCGAGGGGACCAAGGCCATATATGCTCCATGCAAGGTGTAGCTGTGGGCGCAGAAGGAGGCCTGCTTTGAGTGAAGTCGGTGCCATCATGGTCGGTGCCTGAGGCCGAGTTGTTCTAGAGGCGCTCGCCCCCCTAACACTAGTATCAGCCTCTATGGTGGACGTAGAAAATACTCTGGAATTCTGGGATTACTCAGTGAGTTCTCTAAGTTAGTGTATTTCGGAGGTGGTCAGAGCACTTGGTGCGTGTTGAGTGAGTGACTAGTGAGTACCCAGGAGTACAGAAGCTCTCACGTGCTGCTCTGACAAAAAGTGGTGATATCTGCCTGTGAAGTGCATTAGCCGCCACGAGGGCCTTGTCTGTGGGTGTCTGTCTTCCTCAGCTAGAGGTGTTCCAAAGTGTACTAACCCCTTTGGGCGGCTATATGGGGGTGGGTTCGTTTAACTACAAGTCACGTTACTGTCACTCGCAGTAGCTAATCAGAACTCAGAAACAGGTATCTTCCAAAGCGCTAACCAATCATCGTTCGTCGCCCGCGATCAGGCCCTCATAGACGTTGCAAAGCACTAACAAGGCAAGCAAACGGGACTAAGTTGCAGCAAAACATCTCAGTAATGGTACGTACTCCTAGATGGGTGCTTTACTTGCCGTACTATAGTTACCCAGTTAGTCCACAGGCAACTATTGAACAAGATTCCATGTATAACTACGGAGACTACGGAGTAGGTTATGGAACTGCCGGGACCCTAATGTAAAGATCATGATTGGCTGCATCATCAGCCCCGTCGATTCAAACAGGAGGGTTCGATTCGGGTTTCTCCTCGTCTGAGTGGAAGCTTCACTTTCCAACATCAAGATGGAAAAGTCGAAAGTCTCGTTGCTTGTCTGAGAGTAACAAGAACAAGGCAGTATAGTTCGTGCGTGGGGGACTGAACACACTGAGGCTGATGTTGTTGATCACTGCGCTTCTTTGTTTGCTGTAGATGACGACAATGGTGGTGATGAAGACTCAAGTTGGGAAACCGGCCGCTTGAACTATACAGACGAACCACCGTCACTTATCTGGGCCAGGCGATTGGATCCAGGTGTACACCCCATACACACCATCCAGCAGGCGCAAGGTGAGATAGATGGAAATGTTCGCTCTTCTTCGGCCTGCACCCCGGGGCGGTTGGTTGTTTGTACAGCGTGGCTGGTTCCCAGAGCTGGTGCCTGCGCGATACGCTCGGGTACGCTGCAAATCTAAGGACATCCGCGTTGTTCCGTCATTGCGATTAGTCCCGATGGTGTCTACCCAAGCCTGGCATTGTAGTTGCGAATGAAATTGTTGAGTCCGGAGGGGGAAAGAAGAGGGGGAGGGAAGATGAGTCCTTCCGGGATTAGAGACGGGAGGAGGGGGAGGCATATACGGAGTACTCCGTACTTAAACAGTCTGGTGTGGGAAATTTCGGAGAAATCGCGGGCGATGGACGAGCGAACGGGGACGGGCTTCGAGAAGGAAGTTGGGCTGTGCGTCTGCAGTAGTTTGTGGGATGCCGTGCGATGGAATGAAGATTTGAGGCTATCATCGGTTGAGGCTACCGTGGAGATTGACTTCCTGTGTACTCCGTACAGGTTCATTCTAATCTTTATCAGTCAGGCAGGCACCGTCAAGTCAGGCCGCCATGCGTTTTCCCTCAGGTTGTTCATTGGATCTTGGAATGGTTGCATTTGTTCTGTTAGTACGGGAGTAGATTAACTAAATTAAGAATTAGTAGTTAGTATGTAAGTTACCTAGTTTGATGACTAGTACTAACAGGTCCTGGTAAGGAGTGCTCCGTAGTAGTCGAGTGACTTCATAGTAAGTAGAGAAAGTTACCGAGTGATAAGTTGTTCGATGTGATGTTCCATCAACCTTCTTCTTCTACTTGCCTGCTCCGTACTTGCCGAGTCCTCCTCCTCCTCCACCAGTCTTCATACTTAACTTAGCATTTTCCCCAGTCCTAAGTAGTTATAGGCGGCGAATTTGTTTAATGCATCTGCAGGTGATGATTTTGCTCTGTATAATGCTATCACTTGCTATTCATCTGTTTATCAACTGATTCATGAGCTCTCTACGCGTTTCCATAGTTCCTATAGTTCAATCACTCAACCAATCCTTCTGTCTTCCTTTCATCTCTTTTCCTTTGCTCTTAATTCCCAGCCCGATCAGCCTTAGACAGCCGAGCTACGACGGACTAGTCTCTCATGCTGTGTCTGTTCTGCTCTTCCTCCTCGTTGTTCTTCCTTCCCCTCCCCCTCCTCTCCCTTTCATCTTCGATTTATTTCTCGCCTCCCTATGCTTGGTGTTTCTGATTGCCTTGTCGCTCCTTGTGCAGTTGATCTTCGCTGATCAATCCACCGCGACAGGGACCAGCAACCACTTTTAACATCACTAGGTAGTTACGATCGCCAGCGACGACATTGTGTGACCACTCAGTGGGACTGGGCAAAGGCAGCGCCTACCTTGGCCAGCAACCCAAAATTCACACCGACTTCTCCAGGGTGATCGATTTTCTCACTTATTTACATATCTATCATCTCTACTGCCGGCACTTTATTTGATTCATCCGAGTCTTCTCCTCTCTCGTCCATCTCGTTTCATATCGTCATCCCCTGCAGTCCGTGGGTGTTTTGTCCCCCTTCAAACGCCCTGGTTTTGCTTTTTGGCCCCTGGTTTCCTATTCTTAAATCCCTTGCGGCCTTGACACCCACAGATTGACCGTTGGAATTATTTTTTTTCTCCATCTATCTCGTTCGCTCTCTCCCCGTATCTGCTCTGATTTGTTGACTCATTGCCCGTGCATAACTACTTATTCTGTGAGTGTGGTCGAGAACCGTCACCGCTGGTCGCTAAAGATCCTGTCGGCAAATCTTATGGACAGCTTCGTCCCAACCACCTCTCGGGAGCCTCAGTTGTTCTCTACCGTTTCGGATGGCTATTTCGATTGCAGACAGTTCCTGTAATCCAATGATGAGTTCATTGGGACTCTTGTTGGAGGAAAAAGCCGACCCCCCACGTCTTAAGCAGAGCATGTGGCATCGTCTGGGCCTTCGTCGATGGCTGGGCCGCGAAGATCGAGATTCCCCCACAGGCAACCATCATGGGGGACTACGACCCCCCACTACTAGTACCACACAACCCAATTCACCCACCGCCCACAATAATAGTCACCACAACAACAACAATCACCATGACGCATCGTCATCTTCTTCTCCCCTTCATCCAAGCAGGCCTCATGATAATCTCACCCGTCGACTGTCTCGCAAAGTCGGAGTGGGACTGCCGCGGGCAACAACATTCAAACGACAAAATTCCGAACGACGCGACCGACTCTCCCCCACCGAGGAACTTGAACCCCGTCGGACAGTATCCGCCGTATCTGCCGACCGACGTCGCCCCCTGAGTTCTCAGTCCCAACGAACTACTCGATCTCCACCGCCCACCCTCAACCCCAGAGTGTCCGCTCCCGAGGTTCAGTGGCGCGTCGACCCGGACGAGCCCACGGTTGACCTTCTTCCCGAGACGAATGAGGGTAACGCGATCCGCTCCGAATGGAACCCCTTTCCTCCTGACGTGCCAGATGTCCCCGAGGAGCCACCCGCCGACTCGCTCGAGATGGAGCTAGAAAAGCGCTGGATTTTAAATTTGAGCATGCACTTTCGGGACCGCTCCGAACGAGAAAAGTTCTTCGTCACATATGCAGAGACGCCCAACCATTGGCGGAGAGTCACCATATCATGCGATTATCGCGGGGCGCCGCCCGATTCTCTGGAGCACGACCTTAGAGAATTACGCTATCAACGCGACAAGTGTGCCCGCATTTACGAATCTCTCCGCGAATCATTGCCCGAGATCCAGTTCTACGACACGGTCACCAACTTGAAACTGGAAACTCGAGACGGTCGGCTGCATGTGCATGTCACGGAGGATGTCAACGAGATAATTCCCTATCCGCCGGTGTCATGTATTGGGCACCTCCCAGAGGCACGACTCGTGCCCGAGAATCAACTCCATTTTGAGGCTCATCTATCTGGATTTGTGTATAATGTGCAGCTAGATGGCAAAGCGTACATCAAGAAAGAGATTCCTGGACCCGACACGGTCGATGAATTCCTGTACGAGATCAACGCACTTCATGCATTGCAGGGATTCCCTGATGTGGTTCAGGTGGAAGGGGTGGTGGTGGATGATGATGAAGAAATTGTAAAAGGGTTGCTGATCGGGTTCGCCGAGAAGGGAGCATTGGTTGATCTTTTATATGAGAATCGGGGGACAATAACATGGGAACGCCGAGAGCGCTGGGCAAGGCAAATCGTCCGTGGACTATGCGAGATTCACGAAGCTGGCTACGTGCAGGGAGACTTCACGCTGTCCAACATTGTGGTGGATGCGGACGACAATGCCAAGATCATTGATATCAATCGCCGAGGCTGCCCCGTGGGCTGGGAGCCTCCAGAGATCGCAGCCAAGATCGAGAGTAATCAGCGGATATCCATGTATATTGGCGTGAAGACTGATATCTATCAGCTGGGAATGACTCTCTGGGCCTTGGCCACGGAGGAAGATGAGCCGGAGCGTCAGCCACGACCTCTAATGCTAGGGGAGGATGTGGAAGTGCCTGACTACTACCGCAGGCTAGTTTCGATCTGTCTGAGTCCGGTTCCTCGACATCGACTATCAGCAAAGGAGCTGCTGGGACTTTTCCCTCGCGAGCGAGGAGCAGTGTCTTCGACGGTGTCTCGTAAACCTCCGACTCACACCGGTTTCGGGGTAGCATTCCCAAATAGTGCTCTTCCGATGTACGACGCTCGAGCGGCCTTTCTCTCCCGACAAGGTCTGCCGATGGATAGTGGCAGAGACAACTCTGATAGCCAACAATTATCAGGGCGCACTTACTCGCAAGATGAGAATAGAATTCTTGGCTCTCCTTCTCGCAGCGAGCCATACGCCGAGATGAGAGATTGGGAGCAGTCTTCAATGCACGAGGGCGTGGCTGCTGATGGCAGGTCAGTGCCGTTAGAGTACCGGAGGCTAAGTGGATATGCATACTCGGGTTCGACTGCAGCAGGTGTTCTCTACCCAACGACCTTGGAGAATGGTCGAGAATCTTATGGTACCACTCTTCGGAGTCTTGATGAGAACGACGTTGGCTTCGATGCAGGGATTGACGAAGGCTATGCCAAATATGCTACAGACCACGCGGATGATGTGCCCTCGAAAACGACCCGCTTGTTTCGCGAACTCGAAGAGGTAGATGGAGATGGTCATTCGGCATACTCGCTAAAGCCTCCTTCAGTCAACACCTGTTCTGAGAACGGGAGGCTGCAGGAGTCTCCAATCTCCTCGGCGGCAACGCAAGCAAGTGATCTGTATCCGGCTCCATTGGCAGATCTTGGTCGTGCTTTCATGGATGACACAGACTGGTCCGTGCAAGACTCCTCGCGTTCCGTCTCTTCGCTCATGCATTCCATTCTACCGATTAATCCTGCGGCCACCTCTCGCGAGAAAAAGCAGCTAGACGCCGAGGCTGACCAATTCTCACACATCAGCATTCGGTCCGCTTTAGGTTATGCTCCCCGCCAGAGCCTTCACGAAGCAACGAATTATTTATGTGACTCCCATCTACCAATCAACCCAGCACTCGAAGAAAAGACTCCGGCGTGTGTTTGACACGTGGTAAAATGCATCTAGATAAGCCCTTCACAGAAAAGACGCAACTTGCTTCTACTCATGTTTGTGGGTCAGGCATGGGACTCACCAACGCGCGATACCCTTAGTAGTTTTGCACAGTACATTCACCTCCCTCCAAGCGACGGTTTGATCTTTTATCCTTTCTTCTTGAGCGGGCACGTGGCGAGCTGGCGTTGCGCTGTGATTTTTGTTACTACCGAAGTTTTTTTTCGATTCCTCTTCATGCTGCTTGTGTGATGAGCGCTCGCTGGCTTGGCCCCTCTTGGCCTGGTTTCTCATTTGATCATAAGAGGCTCTCAATCAGATACGACAGGAACTTACGACAGCTCCAGGTTTTGGGTGGCGTTTGGCATTGCGTGCATTTTTTTTTATTCCTTTTTCTTTGATTTTCATATCTATGTGTTCCAAATTTTCTCATGACTAACGATCAGGGGGTAAGGGCGATGGATCACTTTTTCTTTCTGTGCGGATTGGAAGCCGATTCATGTACATTGGCTGTTCATACTCTCTTCGGTTACAACTGTATTATTCTGAAAATGAAATTCGTTGGTGTTGTTTCTGGTTTGGTTCCGTAGTATCATTGCTCATCTGTTTTAGACATTATAAGCCTTAGGCTCTTCACCCTCGAGTGTATCCAGTACATGGTTGCCGCCACTTGCTCTCTCTGCACAAACAGTCTCTCGACTGGGGCTGAAGTATCGCCGCCGTCACACCGATAGCATCTTATCCATCTTACACCTTGTCCCCGTGTCTAGTCTCACTGGAGATGTACGCCTCGAAGTTACGCTGCCAGGGAAGCGCATCTTCTCCCAGTCCGCGCCCGATTAGCACAATCTTACACTGGGTCTTGGAGTCCTCGGCGGGCTCGGGGTCCCGGATCTCGAACACATCCCGCACCGCCTGGATGATGCGCGATGTACCGTCTTCAATGGCGAGGATGCCTTTCAGCCGATGGATCTCAAATTCCTTTGCGGAGGGTGAGTCTTCTTGCGTTGTCTTCTGGGCCACGATGGGGAGTTTGGAGTCCCATAAAAGCGAGCGGAGCCATTCGTCCACGAGGGGGACTTGCGCCGGGGTGATGCGGGGGGTGGTGAGGGCAATGGTTGAGATTGCCTGTGGGTTTGGTTAGTGGGTTCTTGCATCCACCAAACGGTACAAAACTGACCGGATCAATATGACTATGCCCCTTCTGCGCAAAGTCAACCGCCTCGTCCAGGTGATCGTACGCATGCAGATCCAACACCACGCCCTCGATCTTCGGGGTCTTGCTGTGGTCCGTCACATGGATCTTGGCGGCGCCATTGATGGAGACGATGCGATCCCGGACGCGCTCCAGCTCCCCGGGCGTGACCAGATCGACTTTGTTGAGGATGATCACGTCGGCATGGGATATTTGCATGTGGGCCATGGAGAGGACCGGACCTGCATGGGTGTGATCGTGGTCGTGGTCGTGCTGGTTGGCTTCGCTGTGGCTAGAGACAGTCTCTTCGGGCGTGGGCTCGTCCAGCAGGTGCAGGATGTTCTTGGCGTCAACGAGGGTGACGATCCCGTCGAGGTAGATGCTGCTGCCCAGGTTATCGTCAACCCAGAAGATGGGGGCGATGTTGCCCGGGTCGGCCAGCCCGGTGGTTTCGAGCAGGATGTAGTCGAAGGTGCCGCGGCGTTCCATGAGGGATTCGATGGCCATGACGCCGGAGTCTCTGGTCCGAATGGGTCAGCCAACCCATCCGTCAGGCAGTTGCCTGTGGAATACTGGAAGAGTCGAATGAATGTTTTACTTTACTGAGCAACAAATGCAGCCATTGCCGACTTCCATCCATTCGGTCACCTCCTGGCCATCCTGATTCACTGTGAGAGGTTTCTCGATATCGGTGGCTTTGGAATCCATCAATGTTAGCGAGGTGGGGGGATCTCACGCCCTCAAAGCAAAACAGGGGGTGGTAAACAGATGTGATGCAGCATATGGGGCACACAAGACACATCATCTGTCAAGATTAGATCTTACAATCTCCGAATTCTACTCGAGCTTTTTTAGTATATGATGCGCGCTAGCTAAAACTAGAAGGCAACTTCAACTGACCATTCATGATCACGGCAATCTTCTTCCCATGCTTCTCGGTAAGAATGTAGTTCAGTAGGGTCGTTTTGCCCGCTCCGAGGTAGCCTTGGAACAATCAGAATCTACGGGTTCTAGTTCTGGTTCGCATCTCCTCCTTTACAAGAGTGAGCGCGCGCATCATACCAGTCACAAGCGTTATGGGCACGCGGGCTTGACCCGGAGTGTCCTCTGACGTCGACGGCGCAGAATCCGGCAGTTGGGATACATCCACCAGCTGGGGAGGGGCGTCTTCCTCATCCATGGTCGTCAAGATCGTCTGTTTGTTTATTTGTTGAGGAGGTATAATAAAGGTACGGAGTACTTCAGAGATGGATGTAGTTCAAAGATGTTAGGCAGGCATAACTACTTCGTTGAAGAAGCCCGCCGGGAATGACGGGTTTCCTCCTTTGAGGCTGGGCCTTAGGGCTTAGGGCAAGGGGTGGTCATGGGCGGCGGCGGCGGCGGCGGCTGGCTGGGCCTCTCTTTTTCCCGCCCCGGCATCTTATCTAAAACGTACTCTAGCGGCTTGTTTATCGACGTCTACCTAACCTCTAACCTCCTCCTCCTCCTCCTCCTCCTCCTCCTCCTCCCTCCCAGCTGGCTGGAATACTCCCTCATTCGCTTTTCTTCTAACTCCGTCCATTCCTTCTCTTCTTCAAAAGACCCCATATCTTCATTTCGCTCCTTTTGGCCCTTCCTCGACATGGCTGCTGCGGGAGTTTCCCAAGCTAGCTCTCCGCGTTTGCCCAGTCCTCCCCCGTTCACTGAGGTTCAAATTGGGCCCAAGTCACCCTCGGTCGGTGAGTCCTTCGACTCGGAAACTGAGCAACTGCTGGGCGCTTCGCAAGCCGCCGAAGATGGCTCAACTCGTCGCATTCGTCCGGGCACCCGAGCCATCGATATGGCGTTTGGTCCCCCGTTGATTCCTCTTTCTCAGGTATGCAATAAATGCGAGCCGCGTGGTCGATCTGCTTATTTCCCTCTCACTGACCCCCAGCCTCCCTTTTACCTTCGGTCCTAGCTCGATTCCCCCTTTCAACTCCAGGAGCATTTAAAGGCTCTTTACAACCACTTTACGCGACCCGAGGGCTCCGATACCATTATCCCCATCAGTCGCGATGTCGCGATCCAGCTGGCGGAGCCCCCGGACGGCATCGACCGCTCGCTCTGGCTGTACGAGCTCTGCCGTTTCCTGACGATGAAAGTTAACAATCTCATCGTCGCTTTCTTCGCCGACTCCCCCCCTTGCTCCGCGCAAACGTGTCCCGAAATGCGAGCCTCCGAGTGGCAGTATCTGTGCGCCGTCCACGATCCACCCAAGGCCTGCTGCGCCATCGACTACTGCTGCCACACCCTCGACTGGGCCACCAACATTCTCACCTCGCCCAAGTACTTTCCTAGTCGACTGACGCTGGGCGCGGAGGGCGGGGGCGGCGCCCAGGCCAGCATGAGACACCTGACCAACATTTTCCGTCGCCTGTATCGCATCTTTGCGCATGCCTGGTTCCAGCACCGGGAGGTCTTCTGGCAGGTGGAGGGACATGATGGACTCTATATCTTCTTCAAGACCGTCTGTGACATGTACAGTCTGATTCCGGAGGATAATTATACGGTGCCTGCAGAAGCGGAGGGCTTGGATAATGTTCAGCAGCAACAGCAGCAGCAATCGGTAGCTGCGCCGGCAGCGTCAGGTTTTGATCATGGCGATGGACGGAGGGTGACTATCCTGCGGAAGGAGAATGAGCCGTTCTCTGCTGGTATGGAGCCGCCGTCGATCAGCACGGCCGCCACCACGAGGCGCCACAAGGCTAGTTCGTCGATCAGCTCGATTAGCGAAAGTGCCGAGGATGACGACCAATCGAAGCAGCATGCTGTGGCAGCGGCTACGGCTGCAGTGGCTGCTGCCGCCGCTTCCAATGCCGCTACCGGTGGTCAGAGCAAGCCGCAACCCGCACCGCAGGCTAGTGAGGAGCCCAAGCAGCCTGCTGAGCAGACGTCGCCCGGTAGCCCTGAATCGCAAGTCACTGTCGCTGAGGTACGCGAGGATGAGCCGGTAGCGGAACCCCAAGCTGAGGTCACGACCATGGAGACCGAGAGCAAGGCCGATGCTGCTGCGGATACTGCTCCTGCTCCGGAACCAACATCTGAGGAGAGGCCAGAGCAGCCAGCTGGCGCCGACGTGGAGACCAAGTCAGAGGTTGAGGAAGCTTCCACGAAGGAGATCTCGACACCAGAGTCGACGGCGGCTGATGAGTCGTCTACCGAGACTGCAGAGGTCGAAACCGCACAGGAGGCGTGAAGCTGCGTGCCCGTTTCCTCTTTTCATATGAAGCCTTGTGCCTATACCACGGTTGTAATTGTGTTCTTTTGGATTTTAGGGGACAGATGGATGGTGATGTAATGTACGAACTCCAGCGAGATTAATGATACCCTAATGGTGTTGTAGTCGGCCGTGCTATAGTACTCCCAACTGTTTTACTTTGTAGACCAGCAATGAGTGTAATTTGCCCAAGCATACAATGCATGAAGATTTGACTACGCGACTGGGGTCTCTTTGAGTAGTCAGATTCTAATAATCATCACTAAGAAAAAATTATTTTGATTCACAACAACAAGTTGCAACCCCTTTGTCTTACAAACACGCACACCCTGTATACTCCGCATGACGATTGCATCAAGAGCAAACAGAGCAAACACCTCCGTCCCGACCGCACCAACAAGTTCGCCGACGCAGTGCTGCATGCTTTCCATCCCCACGTCTACAACTCCGACACTGGAGAATATTTTTCTAGCGCAGCATGAGAGCTTTCAATCTATTCTGCTGAGCTTGTGCAAAGAGAATTGATATTCCTCTTGCGCCCACATCTCCGACGTTGAGCCTACCGCGCAATTGACGGGCCTGACCTCTCCCCCAAACCCATCGACCCTTCCCCTCATTTCATCACTTCGGTAACAGTTCAGAATAATGGAACGCCTCTCGCTCAACGAAGCTCCTCCTGGTGGCCCGCAGGGCAATGCGCCGCAGGGGTTCCCACCGCAGCAGAACAACACCCTCGGACCCATGACGCATGGTCCCCCGCAGTTGCCGCCGCAGATGTTCACCACCGCGGCCCAGTTATTGGATTTGACCGACAGTATGTTGATGGCGCCCCGCAACTCGAACATCCCGCGCTTCGTTGAAAGAGAAATTAGAAATTTCGGGAGGGGATTGAGTGTACAGCGACTGACAACTGCGGCAGAGAAACTCGTACTGGTCCTGCGTGACGGAAGGAAATTGATCGGTGTGTTGAGAAGTTGGGATCAATTCGGTATGTTTTCGGGCTCATTGGCGGAGCATGCAGAGCTTACTCGGCGGGGGCGGCGAATGCATTGAATAATGGATGATGGTAGCGAATGGCGCTTTCTGACTATCATCACGCGCAGCCAACCTCGTTCTCCAGGACACCATCGAACGCCTTTACTCCGGAAACCTATATGCCGATATCCCGCGCGGGATCTTTCTTGTTCGTGGCGAGAACGTATTGCTTCTCGGGGAAATTGTACGGGCCTCATTGTTGTTCCATTGGTTGCTCGGAATGCTACACTGATAAGATGGTATCTATCAATCTCGACATGTGCGCTGACTAGAGGTTTTATCGCCGCAGGATCTCGATAAAGAAGACGACGTGCCCCCTCACCTCCAACGAGCGTCGTTCCAGGAAGTGTTCGAACTCAAGAAGCAAGAGGAGATCAAGCGCAAATCTAGTGACAAGAAACGACACGGCAAGTTACAAACCTTGGGATTCGAGCCCGAGCACAGCGGGGAGATTTTGTTCTAGAATGTTTGTGCTACTCCCGCCAGTTTTATCGCATTGCATCGGGTGGCGGTCGGCGTCTGCCATGCTGTCCGCCAGAGATCAGAGCACGACATGAGATTTGATCCTGAGGGAAGTTTAATGGGGAGCTCGAACACTGGCTTGGCTTTTGGTCTGTTGAGACCCCCGGCTGCCCCTCAGACACCGTTTCAGGAAAAACCAAGCCGCCGCTTGTTGCTGGTCCGATGCCCGGTTGGCGATTGAACCATTTTTTTTTCTTTGTAATAGATACCAAGGCAACGGAGGGGTCACTCCAGGGTTGTGGGAGCTGGCTGGTCTCTGCCTCGGAGCGAGGTATTTGCTACGTTCGAGGACTGTCGGCTGGCTCGTCAGCCGTGCGTGTGGGTTAGACCGGACGAGTACGGAGTGAAATGTCTCTGACTCCGGTCAGCTAGTGTGGATGAAGGTCATGTTTTGACGAATCTCATGTTTTACTAGAACTACTTCCTAACTATTTCGATTTTGTTATTTCTTGCGATGTGATGCGGTTGAGTCGCCCCACGCGTAGCGAAGCAAAGTGGCGCGGTGGCTACTCTACTTGTGTCACGCTGGAATTTGGTTGTAAACATTAGGAAAGCAGTATTCAGGTAGAATCAGTGTAGACAAGTCGAAAAGAGCCATCAAGCAGCTGGTCTCTGAGCATTTCTCCGCTGCGAATCTGTTATCGGTCTCTATCGATAAACGGCGCCAAGAGTTGCCCGTACCTTTTTTTCACCTTCGCAAAGATCCCGCCGGACCACAAAAAAAAATCTCCGCATCCACCGACTTCTTTCACCTTTCCCTCCCCTCCCAGTCAAACCAGATCCTCTGACCGTCTTCTCACCTGCCTGTTGGTCGATCGTTTCACCATGGCGACCCTGGCCGAGAAGCTGGAGAAGATCAAGTCTCCCAAGCTGCAGAATCAGCAACATGTAAGTCCCCCGTCAAATTCTCATCTCTCCCGCTTCACGATTGGGCGATACCCCATCTCCAGTCTTCTTTGCGACAACCTCATTGACACTCCATTACCCCAATAGACGGCTGTTGTGCTTTCTGCAGTCGAAGACACCCTCCGCGATCAGAAAGCCGATTTCTCTTCCACAGCATATTTCGCCGCGCTGTTGGCGCTTCTGGGCCAGTCCATCTCCGCTACCCAAGGCATTGTCAACAAGGACCTCGCTACTTCCGTCGTGTATCTGCTCGACATCACCGCTACATATGTCCCGGCGCCGATCCTTCGCTCCAAGTTCTCGCAGATCCTGACCAGTCTCGCGCCCGCCCTCTCTCTGCCCGAAGTCGAAGCCCCGCTCCTCCGTCCGTCCATCGGCTGTCTCGAGTCTCTTCTCGTCGCCCAAGATGTCGCGGCCTGGCAACTCCCTCACACCCAGATCGGTCCCCGTCGGGCCATGGCTGGTCTGCTGAGTTTGTCGGTGGATCACCGCCCCAAGGTCCGGAGACGTGCTCAGGATGCCTTGATCAAGGTCCTCAAGACCCCTCCCCCCAGCCCCTCCTTGGACCACCCGGCTGCCGATATGTGTGCGGAGACTGCTCTGCGCACCCTGGGCGACAGCATCACGGCGGCAGCAAAGTCGAAGCGTGGCCGTAACGACCCCCAGAATCGGGACAGCCACGACCCTCTCGTCATTCACTCTTTGCAACTAGTTAAGACGATTGCCGTCGCTTCGGGCGGCTGGCCGAGCAAGAAGATTGAGCCGCTGTGCGAGCTCTTGATGAACGCTTCCCGGTCGACCAACGAATATATCACCATGGGCGCCTTCGAGGTCTTTGAGGTCATCTTCTCTAGCATGGCCAACGAATTCTCGTCCTCCAAGCTTCCTCGCCTTCTCGAGGCGATCACCGACCTCAAGCCCGCACAGAACGACTCGCAGCTGCTGCCCCCCTGGATCGCCGTCTTGTCGCGCGGCTACGACGTGTCCGCCCAGACCAGCCCCGAAGATACCTTTGAGAAGCTCCCGGACTTGTTCAACATGATTTCCGGCTACCTCGCCTCTCCTTCACGCAACATCCGTGTGTCGGCATCGGAGTGTTTGGTCTCGTTCCTTGCGAACTGCATTCCCAAGAACGTTATCATCGAGCCCTCGATCTACGACGAGAAGACACTCGAAAAGCTCGCCAAGGCCGCCTTGGATCTCCTCTCCGTGAAGTACCAGGCTGCCTGGGCGGAGGTGTTCAATGTCTGCGCTGCCATGTTCGACAGCTACAAGTGGCGCTCAAGCCCCTACCTCGACGACATTGTCAAGACGGTTGGTGAGCTCCGCAGCAACGAGTCTTTCCACGGGAAGAAGGAGGCGGACAATGTCCTGGGTAGTGCTATTGAGGCTATGGGTCCTGCTGCCGTTCTGGAGATTCTGCCTCTGAACATCATTGTCCAGAAGGCCGGTCAGCCCGGTCGTGTCTGGCTCCTCCCTGTCCTTCGCGACAACGTCACCAACACCAATCTTTCTCACTTCCGCTCCGAGTTCGTTCCGCTCAGTGAGGCTCTGTACCAGAAGGTGATGTCTTACGGCTCCTCTGGGAAGGATGTGGAAGTGAAGATCTTCGAGACTCTTGTCCAGCAGACTTGGGCTATCCTGCCCGGTTACTGTGAGCTGCCTCTCGATCTGGTCGAATCGTTCGACCAGAGCTTCGCAGAGCTTCTCTCCAACGTTCTTTACAAGCAAACCGAGCTGCGGGTCGACATCTGCCGGGCTTTGCAGAACTTGGTAGAGTCTAACCAGGCTATCTTGTCTCTCGAAGAGGAGGGCGATGACTTGATTCTCCAGCGCCGAATTACCAAGGCTGCGGCTACCAAGAACATTGCCCATTTGGCCGGATTTGCCAGCAACTTGTTGGCGGTCCTGTTCAACGTGTACAGCCAAACCCTGCCCCATTACAGAGGTTTCATTCTTCAGTGCATCAACGCTTATCTGAGTATCACACCCGAGAAGGTAAGAGGAATGCTTGTGGATCCGTTGCGACAAGTCGACTGACCATGTTGTAGGAGCTCAATGAGACATTTACGCGTGTTGCCTCCATGCTCGAACAGTCGGTGGTTTCTGAGCAGGAAGAAGCCAAGCAAGGCAACCAGCAGCCCCCCTCTGGCAACAAGATGCCCCCTACCTCCCACACTTTGATTGACCTAGTCATTGCTATGTCCATTTATCTGCCCCGCACCAGCTTCGCCAGCTTGTTCGCCATGGCTGCAGCCATCCTCAACGGACAGACCGGCGATCAACAACTGATCAAGAAGGCTTACAAGCTCATCCCCCGTCTCGCTACGACCGATGCAGGCAAGGCCGCGCTTCAGGAGCGGAGCTCCGAGCTTCAGACCCTGATCTTGTCGACCTCCGACAAGACTCCTTCGTCCGCCCGCCGCGACCGCATGCTGGCCGTTCACGAACTTGTTACATACCTGCCGACTTCCGACTTGCACTTCATCCCCGCCGTTCTCTCCGAGGTGGTTCTGGGTTGCAAAGAGAGCAACGAGAAGACGCGGACTGCCTCCTTCGACTTGCTCATCCACCTTGCGAACCGGACTATTGATTCGGAACGCAACCCACCTGGCACCGTCATTCGCAACTCTCTGGTGCCGCACATGCCGGACAACGCGCCCGATGCCCCGGCCACCATTGAGGAGTTCTTCACCATGGTTTCTGCTGGTCTGGCCGGTAGCTCTCCTCACATGGTTGCCGCATCTGTCACGGCTCTTTCCCGCCTGTTCTTCGACTTCCACACCCAGCTCCAGGCTTCCATGAGCACCGATCTCGTGCAGACCGTCGAGCTTTTCCTCACCAGCAACAACCGTGAGATCGTCCGGTCCGTCCTTGGCTTCGTCAAGGTTGCGGTTGTGGTGCTCTCTGACGAGGATCTGCGCGCGCGCCTGAGCAACCTGGTTCCGAACCTGATGGTCTGGAGCAAGGAGCACAAGGGCCGTCTCCGCAGCAAGGTCAAGGGCATCCTTGACCGCCTGATTCGCCGCTTCGGCGCCGCTCCCATTGAAGAGCTCGTCGGCGAGGCCGACCGCAAACTGGTGGTCAACATCCGGAAGCTGCGCGAGCGCCGCAAGAAGAAGAGAAAGGAAGGCGAGCAGGGAGACGAGGACGAGGACGAGGACAACGCCGGCCCCGCCGGTGGGGCCGACAACGCTAAGAGCGGCCGCACCTACAGCAACGCCTTCGACAAGGCCGTGTACGACTCGGACTTCTCGGACTCGGACGACGACGCCAGCGAGATCGATGTCGACGAAGAAGGCGGCACGCATGCCCGCAAGGGCCGCGGCCGCGGCGGCAGCACCACCCACAACCGGAAATCCCAGCAGAGCGAGCAGTACATCCGCGAGCTCTCGCCCGAGGACAACCCGCTCGACCTGCTCGCCCCCGACGCCCTGGCCAGCATCTCGACCACGAAACCCAGCGTGCGCTTCCTCAACACGGGCCCTGGCTCGCGCAAGAAGCGGAACGCCAAGTTCGGCCCCGACGGCCGTCTGCTGCTGGGCGAGGAGGACGACGGGGACAACACCACTGCTTTGGATGAGAACAACAACGGCGGTGGCGAAAGCGGCATCAACGCCTACGTCCAGGCCGTCAGCGGGCCCGACGCCGTCCGCCGCGGCCAACGTGGCAAGCTCAAGATGGCCCAGTCGCAGAAGAAGAAGTCCCACGGCGGCGACGACATGGATCTCGATGACGATGATGCCGCCGCTGTGGGTGCGGCGACCAGCTCGAGGCCCGGGCCCGGCCGTCGCGGTCTCGGTGTTCCCAAAGCGCACGGTCCCAGCGGCGGTGGTCGTATCGAGAAGCGTCGCGACGGTCGCGACAGTCGCGGTCGACCTGGCGGTGGCCGCGGCCGTGGCGGCGGTGGTGGCCGCGGCCGTGGTGGCAGTGGTGGATTCCGTGGAGGCAGTGGCGGGTTCCGTGGCAGAAGATAAAAAGTTGAGGCTGTTTGAAGATGATATATAGGTTAGTGGACAATTGCACAAAACAGAATGGGATAATGCCCGCGAATCAGGTGGAGGCCAAGGGGGCGATGGGGTGGGAAATAACGTCCGATATGAGATAGGACATTCAATTTTTTTTCCCCTTATTTTCCATAATGAGATGAATCATTGCTCGTCATGTCACGTCTTCACCACCAACTAACTAAATCTTTGATATGGCATTTACCAAACCAAAGCACATAACCAGTTTCCCTTTTCACTTGTGTCAGTTCTTTTCATGCCACCCCAAAAAGCACATCTATCTATCTATATTGTCTTGTCTGGTTTGTTGGTTTAGTGTTGTGCTTTGTGTTTTTTTGTGAAGGTATTTTTGTATACCCTTTCTCCTGTTTTGTTTTCCTGCTCTTATTCGAGGTCGGATTGTGTAAATGTCGTTATTAGTAGTAAGTTGGATCGATATCAGATACTCGATAGGAATGATTAGTGTATAACTTAACCATCCGATCCTTTGATTCCAACTAGTGCCCACAGACCTCAGTCACCGAATTATAGCCTTCAATGGACTGTATCAAACTTCAAACATTCTGATAACACTCATTCCCTGGCCGTCTACCTGCATATGCCTAGTATGGATAGATACTAGATAGATACTAGATAGATAGAGAGCCCTAGCGAAATCCATCGGAGAAAGAGTTCAGTGACAGTGTCAACATTTCCACTGCCCTGTGACTGACTATCTATCCTGCGAGCAGAGATACAGAATACGTTACAACTCAAGTTTGGTAGCATAAAAAACCAGCAGTGGCAGCTCCAGCAGGGAGGGCGAGAGGGAGGAGGGGGTGGTGGGTGGTGGGTGGTGGGTGGATTCGGGGGGGCGGGCGGGCGGGCAGGCGGGCGCGGGGGAGGTGGTGGTGTGTGCCTACCCCACGCTGATCAATCCCAAGTCCCGGCAGATCGGTTGTTCCAGGTTGATCCTCTAACTACAGTACACATTAGACAAGGTACACTATCCACCACTCTCGAAGATGGGTTAGTTTTTCTACCTACAAGGTACCCTCTCCCACCTATAGTATAGTTACTACCTATTTTATCAACAAAGAAAGATGGCGTCTCTCTCACACGTCTAATTCGGAGTGGTGGGCGGGCGGGGCAACGAACCTTAAGGCAAGCAAGGTTTTGAACAGACAAACAAAAAAGCAAATACGTACTCGACGAGTATAAGACATCTCCTGTTCCCGAGACATCCTATCCCCTCTTTCTGCCACTCCGAGCCCGAATTCTTTGGCGTACTTCGTACCTTTGTACTTCGCTCCCTATCTACAGAAGGAACACCCTAGACATCTATGACGATGACCCTCAACTGAATCAAATATCCCAGCATGACTGCTGAGCAAGGTAAATATTGTATGCTTCTTGTTGAAGAGAGAATCAAGCGAAACCTAATCCTAAGCGCCCAGTCACCAAAAAAAAAAAAACAATCATTCCACATATCCCAACGTTGGTATCATGCATGCATCGAAGAAACAGCCCAGACGAGTTGACGCTTGGTAGAACACAATCAGAAGAGAAAACAAAGACGCAATCTGCAGGTAGCATGAGGTAGCATGAACGCAGCCTTAAGAAGGGGACTTCCGGGCTTTCCCCAGCCACAAGTGCCACCAGCGGCTGACCCCGAGGACCGCGGCCCGCCCGTCGTCTTTACGCTCCGTGCCGTCCGGGTTACCCATGACCATGGAGAAGATCCAGAAAAAAGCGGCGATCCAGGCTGGCAGCAAAATCGCGATCGAGAAGAAGGGCGACAAGAGCAGCACCGAGATCAACCCGCCAATGGTGTATGATTCCAGTGGCTCGTCCAGGAAAGAACCCTCCGGATCATAAATCGGTTGGGTGGAGGCCGATCGCTTGGATGACCAGCGCAAGCAGATAATCCGCTCGTGGATGTGTAGCTGCGGTACTAAGAGGTCGCACAGTTGAGCACGGAAAGACGTGTTCCGCAGGTATCGAATGCAGGAACAGATACGGAGGGGCGACACCAGGAGGACGAAGAGCAGACCGAAGATGGTATACAGGGATGCGACAACTGAGAAGATAGGAACAGGGACGGAGAGTCGGAACTATACATGCAAGCGGTCAGCCACGGTTGCGCGACTATACAACGTAGCGTCGGGGCAGAAGTCGACATACCAGCATCAGCAGCGCATCAGGCTCTTCCTCCTCCGGGGTGATGTCCTCCACGATCGCTCGTTTGTGCACTCGAGTAGTTGCGCCATTCAAGTGATTGTCACCGGACATGTATGAGGAGTGGTCAGTCCAACTGCCCCAACCACGCCCTTCTTTGCGCACGGCCTCGCTCGTCATTGAAGCGCGGGTCACTAAAGAGGCGTTCTCGTAATAAGGCGCCGCAACGACCGTCTCTGGCACAAGGATGGGCTCCGCAGAGGAAGGATATCCCGTGTCCACGGACCCTTGGTGCGGACTAGGGATACTCCGCCGTCGTGAAGAATGGTGGGACTGTTGCGTATGGGAATCTGACGGTTGAGGGTGGAGAGTGTCGTAGCCGGAGTCGCGATCCGACGGTGGAGAGCTCTCCACAGCGTGGTGGAGATGACGCGGGGTGGGCGACAATGGAGGAGAGTCCGAGACGATGTGTGCAGCGGGAGGAGCGGCGGGTGGTATAGCATCGGGGAAATAAGCGGTGATGAGTGGGTTGTCCCCCTGGTGGTGGGTAGCAGAATGGGACATTTCTGGCTGCCTCATGGTGGGTGGAGAAGAGGGAAGGAAGGGGAGGAAGGAAGGGCGAACACGTAGGAGTAGGAGTAGCTAGCTATCAACTGCAAACAAGGGGAGACAAGGAGAGAGTGATTGGCAGGCAATGATAAACAAGGGCGCAATTGAGGTCGGGGAGAACCCCTCAGAATGCCGCGGCAGCAACACAGGGTGGTACAAAGGCATACACAGAACAACAGGGATGAGTTCACCGCATGGCTTCCAGCGCAAGGGGGTGGAGAGACACTTGGATTTGGGTATAGAGACGGAAGAGGCTTATCAGTTGGGAGATCACGGCGGAATGAGAGGATGGGGAGGGAAGAAGATGTATGGGATCTTTGTATATCTGGCCGGATAAAGAGTATGTGAGTACCAGGAGGAGACACACACACAGAGAGAGAGAGAAAGAGAGAGAGGGAGGGAGGGAGAGGGAGAGAGGGAGGAGGGAGAGGGAGAGAGGGAGGAGGGAGAGCGGAATAGAGGGAAAAGAGGAGGAGTAGAGGGAGACAAAAGGCCTTCGACTTATATGAATGCCATGGACAACAACGAGGTTTACAGAGCGGAACCTCCCAAGAAACGACAAGAAAAGATGATCATGTCGAACTTCCCAGGGCGAACAGGAACAGCGGAAAGGGAGGTAGTTCTGGTTGAAAGCAACTCTTTTTTTTTGCTGCCAAGACGCCCAGCTGCCGAGCCCTTGGCATGAGCAACGTCAAAAGTGTGTCACGGCTAACAGCATGGCGTGGTTGGTGGGAGGAAGAGGAGGGAGTAAGAGGAGGGAGGAGGAATTTGGTAGATGTGGTAGTGGTGATGGGGGGGATAAGCTGTGCAGTGAGTGCAGTGTAGCCCGGAAGCGGACAACAGCGCGGAGAGGAAGAGGGATAGATTAAAGGAATGAGAAATGGATTAGGGGAGGTGAGCAGAGAAGGACGAAGGATGACCGGGATACTCCGTAGGTCAAGCTAGAAGGAAGAGGGAAGAGAGAGAGAGAGAGAGGAAGAGAGGAAACAAGCGAGCATATCCACCCCATACAACAACGGGTAGAAACCGGAGTCTGGTCTCCTATTCACAACCATGTGCTGTGTGTACACACTGACACTGTGACTGACTCTCACTCTCTCTCTTTCTCTCTCTCTCTCTCACACACAACAATGGTAGAAGATAATTCCCCCTCCCCCCCTTCTCTTCGTTTCACCTGAGCCGCCAAGACGCCAAGGCTCTGCGGGGGGATGCGGTGGCCAGTCAGGCCGAGAGGCATTTGGTCGTGATCCGCATTCGGAGATGGATTGTTGGTCTTGGCGCGATGATTCCAGCTTAGCTTGGACTGGGAAATGGGGCCATCAACCAATACTACCCCCTACTCCGAGGACACCCTGCACTTATCGTCTCAATGCCGGAGCCCGGGCTCTTTTTTACCTCCCGACCGCCTGCAGCGGCACCCCCCCCCCTCCAGCCCAAATTGATGGGAGTGTGATTCTGTGCAGTTTCTGATGGTGGTCATCATGATGATTGGGCTAAGTTCAGTCAATGATGAAGGCGGAGAATTTCAAGAAATAATTAACCAGACAGAGATAAGGATGACGTCCGGGGGATCCTCTCAGCCTAGACCTTGCTCTGATCCGTGGAAATTGGGAGGGAGGATTGACTTCTGCCGAGCATTGGCAGGATGGAAGAGTAGAATAATGTAGTAGATGAGTAGGTAGTAACTGCCACAGTCGCTGCCGGAATGCCGTGTCCAGCTTGGTCGATCTGTCAATAAATTAGGTAACGCCGACGCCTGGTGGCGGTCCACCAATTCTTATTTCTGCCCTTGCGGCGTTTTTCCTACTTATAGTAGCGTGTATTTTGTTATGATTGTCAGCGGTGGTCGGAGATCGATTCTTCCATTCTCCTCAACCGCAATCTGGCTTACGGTACTTCCTCAATCTAGATTCCAGCGACTTATCCCCCTCACTGGGCTACCGCGTTCTTCCTCGGTGATAACGATGGAAACCAGCTCGGATGGAAACCAGCGCGGATATATCCGTCAATCCCGAGCCTCTCCGGGTTAAATTGTTGTCTGGGCGAGGGCTCATCCGTATCAGGATCCTGGGTACTCGTGATGATGTTTTTTTTTTCGAGGGAGGGGAAATAGCGACAGAGCAAGAAATGGACCTCCCCCAACAAAAAAAGTCGCACAATTTCACCGCGCATCACGGCCTGGGCAAAGCAGTCCTGTTGGTCCATCCAAGCCCGCCAGGAGATCCAACCGAGTCTTGGCTGCCATGTCCAGAGCGTTAGGCTGCGAAACCTGCGAAACTGTTCTGCTGGTCAGAAGGATGATCCGTCTGGCGGTGGGCGTGGCTTCCATGCTGGGGGCACAAGATGCTGTTCGAGTGTTACTGTGCGCCGGTGGAAAACTGCTGCATGGGGGAGGGCCACACTCTGACTATCTGCGTCACACCTTGTAGGATCGCTCATACAGCAATCTGAATCAAGCCCCAGCAGGCCATGCATGTGAAGCTCGCCGGCGGGGTGGGTGACTCCCCCTTTTTCGAATGGTCGAATTTTGAACTATCGAGTGTCTTGGTGTGCGACGAGTTGGAAGGACACGGGGGATTCATGCCAGTGATTTGAGTGTTTACGTCGAGTGGGCGTTTGCCGGTGCGAACGCAATCTTCCAATTGAGGTTGGCTGGTGCTTGGGAGGGGGAAATTCGTTGTCGGTCTGAGTCATGGTTTCAGGTACTGTGGTGTGCTTGATCCATTGTTCTGACATGGTCCGGTCTTGGCATTATTCGTGACAGTCCTTATGGTTTCGAATCTTAGCACAGATATCTGACTACCTTGGTTATCTGATCTCATGAGTCTTCTCCTGGTGTTCTGTTCTCATTGAAAGTGATCTGATATCGTACCTTTGTCTCATTGCATGTAGTCTCGCTGAATATGACAATCCTAAGAAACAATTGATTCACCCTCTGTCTACATCTCTGTGTTTTCCTCATATGTCTGCCGACTCGCTCAACCGGTTCATAATCGAAAGAGTCACTTGAAGTACACTCAGACTGAGCATCTTGATTTCCACTCACCCCAACACTGTCAACAGCCTTTTACTACGGCCTGAGAGCATCCTCCTGAGGCATATCTCTCACACCAGCTCCAACACCTCAAACAAGACATCAAACGCGACCTCATGAAGCTACATTCTAGCCCGAACAGCCCTCTCGCTACAACAGACTACCTCGCATACAGCGATACCCAGAACACCCTCTCTCCGCCACACATGACTTCGGACAGAGAACCCCCAGCCGCAAGAGGCACAGTCTCACGGGATCACCCAAATATGACTTTGGCTGACACATCAACACCACAGATTCCCGACCCTGGCCACGAGGTATAATCCTTCTCGAGGTTATGCCATCTGCAGATGGTGTCATCTTCAGTTTCATAGCAGTGAGGGGGTATTGGCATCATAGGATATCTAACTATTCGATTCCACTAGTCCAGAACCAGCTGGAGCACTGCGAACGAGAAATAGGCCGGGGTTGTGTCGTGAGGTCAGGATGAAGTCCCACGCCACAAGGAATCCTCGTGATCATATGGCAAGGACAAGGATCACCGTGCTGGGTCATGTCTTTTGAGTCACTTTGTGATACTGGGTGGGGAGGGTCGAGCCAGTGTTGCACTTGCGTGCATCTCGTCTGGACTGCCTCGTTTGCATTGGTCTGGAGATTCAAATGCGTCGATCTGGAAATCAGCTGGGGTGTTTCTTCGGGTGTGTGGGGTGAGTGATCACTTCGAGGTCCGGATGGCTTTTTGAGGTAGAGGTGTAGGCTTCTCGGAAGGTCCCTTGTGCGGTAGATTAGGGTGTCATATAATGGATTCCTCTGGGGATATGTTCTGTGATGGCCATTCAGAAGAGGTCGTAACCCATTGGACATTGCTGAACTTAGCTTGGACAGCAGCTTACACGGCCAGTTTGATACTTGTACGAACTTTCTCCATCCACGTCGACGGCCATACATTTGCACACCCTCTGCTCTACCTCGACCGTCAAGAGACTATTCATAATATCTCATTAGCAGGATCGGTTGTCGATGTCTCTCCAGTTCTGTTCCTGTTCTCAGTACCAGATCCACTGTCACGATATATCAATAGCCAAGTCAGATGACCTTACAATCTCAATTACTGGAAGAAGAAAGTACTGTACTTACCACTAGTCCTTCCTCGCACGTTCATATCAGCTACCCTCCCGCCTCCAAACTGAACTTCAACGCCTCCTCAACCAGGAAAATCTGACCCAATCGCTCACTCTGTTCGAGTAGACCACTGAATCTCACCCGACTTCCAAAAGCGAAAGCACCACGCCTCGTTCTTCCTTCCTGGGCAAGGAGAGACCCCAGTATCCTAGTCCTTGACCTTGGATTTCTTCAGAAAAAATCCCCTTCTCCTCGCATATCTGATGGTACGTAGCACACGCTAAATGCTGTAGATATCTCCAGAGCGCAAAGACCCGGGCTCCAGCAGACAATCACGGTCCGGCCCGTCGTAGCTTTCGGCGGTTGCATGGAGTACCTGGCAATGAACGGAGCACGAATGTCAAGCCTAATTATG